ACCCTAACCCTAACCCTAACCCTAACCCTAACCCAATCCGAGAGTACTTCAATTAGAGAATATGATATGGGTCCAACTTTTCAATTAGGACGCCAACTCCGGATCGGCACTATAAGAATCCCAATTTGCACAAGTCCTATAACGTATATATAACATATATGTCCCCTTTATATCAAACCCCCCCCCCCTATTGGCACCCCTGCCGCCCCCCGTACCCGCACCACCGCCCATATGACCCATCACTTGCCCTTGCACACCTAGTCCTCCCCGACTTGCCTAGGTGCGCAACACCCCCCGCCACTACATCCCTCAGAGTCAAAAATTCGAACTGTAGAACACACCCAAAAGCCAGAAAACTCGAAAATTTCTAAGTCCCTAGGGTTCAAGGCAACCCAATAATAAAACCCAACCCAGGGGGTCTTGTAACCCTAACCCTAACCCTAACCCTAACCCTAACCCTAACCCTAACCCTCGCTCTCCTGGGAACCAAGGTCAACCTCTCATCGGCGTTCCATCCCCAGAGCGATGGACAAACCGAGCGGACCAATCAGATTCTTGAGCAATACCTTCGCTGCTTTTGCAACTATCAACAAGATAACTGGAAGGAACTCTTGTCTTCTGCTGAGTTCTCTTACAATAACACCATCCACTCCGCCACCCAGACAACCCCCTTCTACGCCAACTATGGGTTCCATCCTCGATTCAGTCTGGCTTCCGCCACCACAACCGAATCCCTTAATCCTGCAGCCGAAGCTCGTGCCAACCATCTCAAGGAAATCCATGAACAGCTTGCCACTGAGCTCAAGGAGGCCCAAGGACGCATGAAGCGCTTTGCCGATCCTAAGAGGGCACCTGGCCCAGACATGAAACCCGGGGACAGTGTCTGGCTCTTACAGCGGAATCTCAAGACTCTCCGACCTTCCCAGAAACTTGATCACCGTAAGATTGGCCCCTTCACAATCACGGAGAAGATCAACTCGGTCACATATCGCCTCAAGCTTCCCCCATCCTACAAAATTCACAACGTCTTCCATGTCTCCCTTCTTGAACCACGTTTCACCATTCCGGAGCAAACTGAGCCAGAACCCACCCCACCAGAAGAAGTCGAAGGACAGGAGGAATGGATTGTGGAAGACATTCTTGACTCCCGTATTCGACGCACGCACCTTCAGTACCTCATCAAGTGGCAGGGTTGGCCAAGCTCGGAGAACACATGGGAGCCAGTGGAACACCTTGCCCGCTGTCAAGAGCTTGTTGCCCAGTTCCACCAAAAGTACCCCGACAAACCCCGACCAAAGCCTGCCAACATCAAAACAACATCCGGACGCCGTGGCTAAAGGAGGGGGTGATGTTATGGACGACGCGTCCATACCATGCGCTTACCTCATGACAGCATCCCAACAGTCAGTCAATGTCAATTCCCTGTCAAAACCAGACATCTGCCAAACCTCGCAGCCGCACGCAGCCGCGCTACCCCACACCTGCCACTGCCTTCATTTCTCCACGCAGCCGCACGTAGCCACACCTCCCAACACTCGGCGCTTACAAACCCTTCTCCATACTTCCCCACGTACCCGCCCACAGCCTCAGCGTAGCCACCCCATCCCCAGTCTTCTGTTTCTATGCTTCCCCACCCTTGGCGCTTCTCTTGGCTTCCCTCTCATTCCGTACCCTTCTGCTTCCCCACGCTTCCCCAGCCTTCCCAGAAAAACATAAATAGCCGCCTCCCCTGAGCTCCCCACTTCCTGATCCCCCAGCAGATCAACACCAGTTCTTTCTAGTCTTGTTCTAGTTCTTGTTTCGGTCTGAATACCATTACCTGTCAACAACCTGCACCACAAGTAGCCTCTATTTCCGTCGGCTCCGCCCATTCATAACACTGAGTATATCGCCGCATCCCTCGGTTACAACAAGGTCATCTGGCTCCGCTCGGTCATCGCAGAGGTCTTCGGCGACAAATACGCCAACATCAAGGACCCCACGCCACTCCATATCGACAATCAGAGCGCTCGCGAGATTGCCAACTCCACGGCTATTACTCAACGCTCCAAACACATCAACGTACGCTACCACAAGCTACGCAACGCCGTGGCGAAGAAAGACGTCGTACTCCTCAACACCGCGACGCAGGAACAACTGGCTGATTACTTTACAAAGCCCTTTCCTCCCGAGACACATACGAAATTTATTCAAGCAATTCAAGAAGGACGTGTCGCTAGCAACAGACAGCTGGAGACGACTACGTCCGAATGAGACACACGGAACACCCATACCGGGACGGCTTCTGGGCACTATCTACAACTTCAGCACCTTAACCCGCCACCGTGATAGCCGCCGCTGCCCCGGCACCAAGGGCTCCATTGGCTCCGGCTCCGCCTCCACCAGGCGGACCCCCTGGACCACCTCCCCCGCCTCCTCCGTCACCGTCTCCATCCTCACTCGAAGACGAGTCATCCATGTGCGTTCGCAAGTACTGGAGTCGCTTCATCATCTTGTCTCGCTCCCGTCTCTCGGCCGCATCACTGCAGCGCTTTGTCTCTTTCATCTTTTCTTTCGAGATGCCGCCTGTTGCCTTATATTGCGACTCCGAGACTGCCTTACATCCAAAGTAGTCTGCCTCCTCCATCAATGCCTCGAACGACCCCTTCTTCCGCTTCGATTGATCCAGTTTCCCCTTCGTAAACGCCAGGTGCTTCGCGAGGTTCTCATGGTTATCCTTGCGGTACCTCAACGTCGATACCTCCGTCGCCAATCGAAGAGCTTCTCTAACTCGGGGTTTCGACCTCGAAGAGTCGCTTGCGGACGCCGCGGACGATGCGCGCGTAGAGCGCGTAGTCGGACGTGAGGGTCCCGGAGGAGGTGCAGCTGGAGGGGCTGCGGGCGCTCCCGTCATACGGGCCGTTTGCTTCTTCTTGCCGTCGCCGCTCTTCTTGCCACTCCCGCCGTTCTTGCCTCCATTTGCATTGTTTCGCGTATCGTGTGGTAGTCTGGGATACGGTAGTTGAGTATGGGGAACGTTGGTCTGACCTCTCTGGGGCGACTGACAGCTGTCTCTTGTTTTATACTCGCGGCGTTTCCCTCTTCTTTCATTTTACTCTTTCATTTCTTTCATTCTTAGTCATAGCTGTTCATCCCCCCGACCGCCCGCTTTTCGCGTACGGCCGCACCATTGTACTCATTGTTTGTTTTATTTTTCACTTAGATAGACTCGTGAGTTTGAGTGGGGGTGTTGGAGGTATCATCCTCCCGAGTCCCCAGTTAGGGTTCCCGTAGTTTATTTCCTCACGTGACTCCCCTCCCGCTTACGCCACGCTTCCGCGTACGGGACTTCACTCTTTTCTTCCCCTTCGGACCTCGCGTCCTCTTTACACTTTAGACTTTTCTACACAAGACAATACATACTTCACAGTACAGCACTGCACACTACATAGAGTTCTCTCAGTCATCTGCTTCCTCTGCCGACTACTGCTAAGTTCTCCTCTCATTTCGCCAATCGCCCCACAGCTTCTCCACACCCCCCACTACTTCTCCACAGCCAGCAGCTGTAGCAATGCTCTCTACGCTCGCCACGCCCGCTCTAGGAGCATAGCTGGCGCCCCCCCAGTCCCCTCTTGTTGTTGTTGTTTCTTTGATCTGCTGGGTTGTCTATCTATAAATAGCTGGCCTCTCTTCGTCCATTCCCTTCCTCCCCAGCAGATCAACACCAGTTCTTCTCATCTACTGTTCTAGTCCTTGTTTCTTGTTTTGCCAATACAATCTCTTGTCGCCTATCGCTCTCGGTCTGTCTTCTCTTCTTCGCTTCCGCCTCTGTCGTCGAGATCATAACAGTATCATCCTCCCGAGTCCCCGGTTAGGGTTCCCATAGTTTATTTCCCCACGTGACTTCCCTCCCGCTTATGCCACGCTTCCGCGTACGGGACTTCACTCTTTTCTTCCCTTTTGGACCTCGCGTCCCCTTTCTACTTCAGACTTCAATACATACTTCACAGTACTACATCTCACACAACATAGAGTTCGCTCAGTCATCTGCTTCCTCTGCCGACTACTGCTAAGTACAGTGAGGGGCGGTTTGGGTCGGGACGATTGGGCGGCGTTGAAGTAGCCTGAGCGGTGTAGTGCCGAGCTGAGCGGCGCAGTGGTCGTGATGTGTCGCTGCTCGTTCGCCCTTGATAGGCAGATGGGGGCTTCATCAATCCGCCCATTATCCGTTCCGATAGTCAGTAAATAGCTGGGCATACTGACAACTACAGGGCATGCGCTTGAACCCCGTTCCTGAACACGCGGGCATGAAGGGCCATCTCCCGCGACGCTGAAGCCTTCACGTCAAAGGCGCAGGGGAGTGGGGCACGACGTATCTCGGGGTATTCTAGATCTAGAACTTAGCTAGTGGAGGCACTGTAAGGATCTCGTAAACACTCACACAGAAAACCCCCATTGTGCTCTGGACGAGGAACATAGCCCTCTAGAGTCTATGGACGAGGAGGAGGTTGCTTAGTATCGCACTAAGCACCTCCCCTTGACATTCGCCGCACTCGCCGCTCGATTCGCATCGGCTTATTTATCAACATCTTGCCTTCCACGGCTCAATCAACAACTATTTGAAAGGTTTTACGGGTTTCCCTGGACACTAGGTCCTAAATGCGCTGCAGAGCAGCGTTCCCGATAACTAGTTCATCCTCATTGACCCATCCCTCCCTCCTACAGTAGCTTGACATAGCACTCGATAGCTCAAAAGAGATAAGGAGAAAGGGAAGCTACGGCTACGCAAGTTGTTATTTAAACACTCGAGATGAAACTAGAGAAAGCTTACTAAGCAACCTCCTCCTCGTCCATATACTCTAGAGGACTACGTTCCTCGTCCAGAGCACGTTCTTATGGCGTACATGCGCTGTCATATTGGCGGAAAACTGTCGAATGTGCGGTTGCCTCACAATACCTTCTCCCAGCATTGTCTTGTATGCCAGATGCGCTCCCATGCGGTCAAGTCATAACTTGATAAGCTGCACTCGCAGGCACAGAGACATGCACAGGGCAGCTAAACAGACCACACGAGCACACCAGCACACATGTCTATGGAGGAAGGTACACAACAAAATCGTTCAGATATTGCCCCTCCTCCGACCGGGATTTTCTAATTCTTCTGGACAAACTCTTCTAGATTACGACGAGCCACCTCCGGCGGCGCCTATAGTCTCGTCTGTTATCAGCGTTGGAGCAACGCTGGGAACTCGTGCTTATGAGGTTCCGGCTTTTCAAAGACAATACGAATGGACGACCGCGAACGTCGACAGGCTTTTGAAAGGGACTTACGACTCTTTCTGCCAGGAACGCCCCTATTATTTTCTTGGCTCTTTAGTGGTCTATGTGAAAGGTTCGAAGCATCTCGTCATCGATGGTCAGCAGCGCCTTACCACATTGGGGCTGCTCATCAGCGCCGCACGACATTTATTGGAAACCCGCTTCAATGCAAGCCCCGAGCTCCTTGAGCAGATGAGTGGTTATATTTGCCGACGTCCCAGATTGACAACCCGTCAATTACTGCGGAATCCAGCGCCCGCTATAAATGTTATTTCATATGAACGAACGGATTTTCGAGTCGACTTTTTGGAGTTACCGACAAGCCATCGTCCGCCAGGTGGTTTGCATGAAAACACCGCATGGGACCACGTAATGTAAGTCGGAGTTTTGCGATTTATTTGCAGACCCATGCCTATTTTCTGCGTTCTCTCCCCTCACTGCTTTGCCAATCGCAGACAAAACTTCAGGCACACTCAGGCTTTTCTAAAGAGCAGATTCAAGGAAACGGACGCCGAAAAATTTGCAGAATATGTCGACTTTCTTTTCGAAAAAGTGTTTTTCTCCACCACTGAGACTTCCGATCTGGAACAGGCGTTCGAGATGTTCGATACCCTGAATACGGTATGGAGACGGCTCCACCTTCGCCAGGCGCGGCGACTAACCCTATCCCCATCTTAACAGACAGGGCTCAGCTTGTCAGCATGCGACAAATCGCGGGCACACATCATGACTGGACCAGCATTCTTGAGCATGAGCGAGACTCAACGCAGTAGTTTCATACATGCTTGGAACATATATGAAGAGACACTTGGACGCGAAGAGTTTGAGAAGGGTTTTGTCCTGATGATGGAAGTGTTCTGCTACAACATGGGAGACGAGAACTTCGACGCCATCATGAATATGGACTTAAATGAACGCTTAGGCTTAATGAAACCGAGTCCTTTCCAAGATCCTGCGGCATTCGGTGCAGAATGGTTTCGACCTTTCATGGACTGTATGCTGGTAGTTAAGACGCAAGGGAGTTTCGAGGCATTGGGCACCTTCGCTCCTGTCTTGAGAGAGATTGACGCGAAAACCAACGGCTTGCGGATCAAGTTGAAGATTAGGCTCTCCCATTCGATCATGCTTCTGAACCACATTATAAAATCCAAAGGTCGCCGCATATGGCTTCCGTGTCTGATGAAGGCCTATCAACGATTCTGCATGAATCTAGCTTCCGATGCTGAAGTATCCTCCGCCCTTGAATTTTTAACGCTAGCGTTGGAAAGTATCGAGCGAATCTTTGGGCTCTTCTTCCTCTGCGATGCGAAGGATCTCAAGAAGGAGCGGGAAAAGGTGCGAGTATTTTTCGAAACGCTTGACCCGTCGGGTGTGCTGACCGATAGTCATAGGCAGTCAAGGTCATTTGCTGTAAACTCGAGCAAATCCCCATAGACGCCGATTTGCCGACGTTTCTGAAGACTTTGATAGATGCCGATCTATTTGCCCGACTGAAAGAAGAAGTCGGCAAAAGACTGCCTTTGATGGAGTTTCATGGAAGTGATAAAAATCGCCGGAGAGGACACTACATTCTCCGGAAGTATGAAAGCGTGCTCGCGCCTAATGCGTTGGTGCAACATCTGTACTTTGGGACTCTAGAGCATATTCTTCCCCAGAATCCACGGAGGGGACGCAGATGGCTCAAAGACTGGACGCAGGAACAACGACTGACCTGCGTTCATATGCTGGGCAATTTGGTTCTTCTTTCTGCTGTGGAGAACGGACTGGCATCGGACTGGGATTATCAGAGGAAAAGAAACACCTACTTCCTTGACGGAGCACAAAGCAGCACATTTCACAGTACCGCATCACTCCGTGATGTCAAAACATGGCTGTTTTCGGATTTCAACACACGGCATCGGAATACCGTCAAGCGGATCCTCGATGCCTTTGACCTCACGGCGGACCCTGACCTGCTTCCTGAGTCATGGGAAGCTTTAGAAAATTTAGATGATAGGATGAACCCTCTGGACGAGGCCGAAGCGGACACCTCCGGTCCGCACACGGCTGCTCCCACGACAGCGCCCCTACCTACGGCCAATTTGCATGACCCTGGGGCCTTCTCTTCTTCCCCCAACGCGCCGTCCACAATTCATTCGCAGGATTTACCAAAGGAGGGAGAACCGACGAGCGGGGTAAAAAAACGGAAGGCTCCCCCAACGAAGGAAGAAGGAAGCAAGGGCAAAGCCTTGCGCAGGGGTTCATCAGTCAACCAGGCCCCAACGCTAGAAGATGCATCGGATTTTTCCCCTGTTGCAACGAAAGAAAATGGGATCGTTGCCAGGGAATCGTCGTCGCCTCCGCCATTCCAACCGTCCTCTGACGCACCGAATCACGCTGTGTCCGTAACTCAAGGGGATCCGCAATTGGACCCCGATCCTATAGACCCCGGTACCGACGAGGAGATTGGAACTGTGAAACTCCGTTATTATGTATGGCGGTGTGGAGACCTGCCTGAGTTCGGATACGTCAATACAGTCACGCGGCCGAGAGAAGAGGGAGATGAAACTATTCACATCGAGGAATACGAGGGTCCAGATCAAACCACAGCTGAGAAGAACAAATTCAAAAAGGAACTTCGCAACCGATTCAAGTTGAAGGACGCCTCGAACGTGTACAGGAAGAGGAAGCCTCAGAAGGGGAAGGCATTAGCGGAAGCCTCGGCCTTTCAACAACCCCCGCATATCGGCGTTGATGTGGAGCCCAACGTCCCAGTCAAGACGCTTTATGAGACTGCGGCTGCGTGCCTGCGATACGTCTCTCAGAATACTCCTCCGCTCCCACGGACTGGTCGCGCCGGGAGTAGTCGCGCGGAAAAAGCCGGTTTAGACTGGTGGTTCCCAGCGTCAGCCATCCAGCAACACTGGGTGCTGATCAAAACATTGCCACAAGCGGTCATCTCCCGTGGGAGAGAGGGCCCGGATGGAAAACCACAGAAAGGGATATGGGTAAGCCCAGAGCTGTTCTGTAAGTGCGGACGTACCAGTTTTGCTCACGTCGTCTGCGTACACTAAACAATCCTCTGCATCTTAGCGGGATGCTCCAGGATCCACAAGCATGACATCGCGCTCCTGCGAAAAAACTTTTCCGCAGCCGAGATTTTTGGTGTAGAGATCAATTGCAACGACGCGTCCCATGAAGTGTCTGGCCGGCTCTTGAACCAAGAGCTGGCTGAAGGAGGTCACGAGGAGGACAACGAGGCAGAAAGCGGGCGGGGGCAGCATGATGGCGGGGAAGAAGAGGTGGAAGAAGATATGCAAAACCCGGAGTCCAGCTACGGGGATAAGGAGGGGTTGGTCGATGACCCAAACCTGGTTTAAATGAACCTGGAATGAAGGGATCGGAGAAGAATTGGCAACCGGATGTGCAGAATGTGAACAAGCCAATACACCCAAGAATGAAATATTCGTTTCATCGGCGGTGTACCGCTCACGCTTCTCTTCCTTGCAGGATGGCAAAGGCAGATGAATTGATTTATTAGGGAGACGCAGCGGCCATGCCGTCCATTCCACGTGCTGTCTTGGGCGAGTCGTGCGCGAAATCACGCACATCTCAGTGGACATGCGATGGCAAACCCCGGCCCTAGAAGCATTGCAGGAGAGAGCCGAGGATTACATCACCGGGCTGATGGAGGACGCCAACTATGCTGGGATGCATGGGCGCACGACAAGCCAACCTGGAGACATGAGGTTGGTCCGGCAAGTCCGAAGGGAGCCAGGGAATTCCGTTTACTACAGGAGACGGAGTTGGGACCTGGAGGGTCAACTCGTCCATAGACTCTAGAGGACTACGTTCCTCGTCCAGAGCACACTCCAAATCGACGGGGTTTTGACAGAATAGGTGTATGAGAGTGCTTATCAGTCTGGCTAAGATTAGTCAATTGGCCTGAGAGACTGAGACCGCCCACCACCCGCCAAGAGCTCGTCGAACTCACACACCAACCCTTTGCTGCTCTGTATGCACTGCATTTAACTCCCTCCCATGTGAGCCACATCCACCCATCCAACGCCTGTCATCTTACATCACCCACGCGTGAGGGGGACTATCGTTAAAATGAATTATTCGTAGGCGTGTTGGAGACTGTGGGAAGATGTCCGATGTACTCGCGAGACAGGATGTAGGAGAGGAGGACGGGTGCGAGGGAGGCAGGCAGGTCTTGGACGAGATTGGGGGACTAGGGAGAAAGGGAAGGGTGGAGGAGGTGCGGTGTCATGTTGCTTTTTAGCTCGCTGGGAAGGTTTTGGAGTGCTGTTCGAGCTTGGCATGAGTGATGGGACCTCGCAGGGAGGCAAACGAGGGGAGAAGTGAACGAAAGATGGTCATTCCTACTGTACATCCAAGCGTTGCGCAAAGGAAAGAAGGGCCGCTGCTGTGGGAGGTTTGCCTCCGCCTCTGATTTCTGCTTCTCTTTTCCAAGCAGCTCTTGCGCTGCCTGGATCTTCGGGCATGTCGTTACCCAATGTCCAAGTTCCCCACATAATTTGCACGGGAACCGTTCAAAGCGAGATCCACCACTTCTTTGGGCACCTCCACGTCCACGGCCTCTACCTCGGTTTCCTCCACGACGAGAGTTATCCGAATTATTCTCTGTCTTCTTTGAATTCGGGTTGCGCTTATCAGACGACTCTGACGACTGTTGCGCTTCGGCATTACTAGCTTCCGCTGATCTAGGGCGTGAGTTACGTGTGGAAGAATCAAGCGCTCCCATCATCTGCTCTTGACGTGTAGCGGCTTCCTGCATGACATCCAGGTTCGGTACTTCCTTACTGATAATTGCGGAATAGATAGGTCGTTTTAACCCCTCGAGGTATCTATGTTCCACGTCTTCTTTGGATGAACCCGGGATCTGCATCACTAAGCGGTTAAAGGCCGCATTATACGCGATAACAGAGTGAGTCTGTTTCAACCCATCGAGTTTATCCCTTATCAGCGTGCCGTAGGCAGGTGGAATAAACCTCTTCTCCAACGCTGCCTTTAACTCCATCCAGGTTGTTGGGACCTCAGCGTTTCTTTCTCCAGCGAAGGTCCGCCACCAAATATCTACGGTCGACGTGAATTTACTAGTAACTATGGCGATTTCGATGTGCGGGGGTAAATCCACCATATAGATGTAATTTTGAACCTCTCTGATAAACTCATAGAGAGTTTGCGGTTTCCCCATGTCCCCGTCGTACTTCGGAATCTCCTTCAACAACTGATTGGTTACGAATGAGACATTTGTCTCAGACGTGGTACTGTGTGTGGGTGACGCATATCTCTTCGTTGGAAGGACATCTTCCCCAAACCCTAGTGCTTCCTTTTTCTGCGCCGCTTGCAGCTGGGTAGTCTGCATCTGCAGGATAACCTTCAATATCGCGTTCTGTGCTTCTCTCTGTTCACGGAGCTCCTGCTCCAACAACTCCAGCTTGTATTCACGCTCGTTCTTCTCATCAACACCTTCCGTCTGCCTTTGAAGCTCCTCCTCTGCTGTTTCGTCGTGCTCCGCCTCAGCTCTTACTGCAGAGCTTGCCTCTCCGGCGCGGGCGCGTGTCTGAATTGGGCTTAGTCTGAAGGCCATGGCGGTTTTTCGTGCTGGCTTAACGAGTTCGCGATACGATCCTGACTGCTTCGTTTCGGCTCCGCAAACAGGGCTCATAACCTGTTGAGTTCTTACTGGAAGTAGCCGATGAAGAGTAGAACCATTACTGGTCTTATTGTATTACTTTCTTGTATATCTCTATATACTCTGGACTCTGGCGTCGGGTACTTTGTCTCTTTGACCGTGACCAGACTGCTTACGCGTCTGCTTACGCAATGACAGCAATTGACAGGATAGTTCGCGTCTTCGCACAACGCAGTCGTATCCGAGGACAAAACGTCGTTGTGAAGCAAGGTTTCGGTAAAGGTAGTTGTACTTGGTAATCGTCGGAGTGTCGGGAACGCGAGTGTGTCGATTTATTGTCGGAAGTTTTGACGGTATTTTGACGTTGTTGTATAAAGGTGATTCCATTCGCTCGTCGAAGATTCTAGGCGTATAATCGGCGTCGAAATATTATCGATTTCATGCGCAGTTCGAAGCGCACTACTACACCGTACCCCCTCGATTCGACAGACCCTCGCTTCTGCCGGCCACCACCACACCGTCCGTCCAAAGCCCTCGTCCCCAGAAGATCCAATAAGTTAAATCTAATCAATATCCTCACACCTCCTTGCCCGCGGGTATGGAAAGTAAAATGCTTTATGTATTGTACAGCTTGAACTCCAAGCGGAGGTCCACAGGTGTTAAAAGGCCTCCAGGCGTCATCTTGACCTGGATGTTCGGGTCCAGGAAGATCTCATATCGGAAGAGAATCGCAGCGGTGATAGTATGCATAACAGTGAGAGCTAGCTTCATGCCTAGGCCTGGTGATCGTTGAGAGAAGGAACACAGAATGGAGAGAGAATCATAAATCATTGGCCGCAGAGATCTAAAGCATGTGGACGAGATGGTTAAACCGCCGTTGCAACCCGCTCCCAGTGATTAACCTACATTTCCTTCCGCCTTCCGCGAACGGAACCCAGGCAAACCTGTCCATGCTAACGTCCGAAAAGCGCTCAGGGTCAAACCGCTCGGGATCTTCCCAATGCTTGGCGTCGCGATGAACGCCAAAAGCGTGCCAGCCGACATAGGTGCTTTCTGGAATCCAAAATTTGCCCCCGAGGAGCGTGGGGCGAAGGGTACGACGATTGATAAGCATTGGGATGGGTGGGTACATACGCAAGGCTTCCTTGATTACTTTGGTGAGGTAGGAGAAGGGCGGGAGATGAGTAGAGTCGGTGAGTTCCGAGAGAGATACGACTTTGGCGTGTACTTCCTGTCGCGCCTTTCGTTGGATGTCCTAGTGAGAAAGCGGAGCCAAGTCAAGGGTCGCACCAATGTCCCCATTTCTCTCCGTAAAGGATAATGAAATTCTTACCGGATGCTTGGCCAGTAGATAAAGGAGCGATGTCAGTCCTTGTTGTACGTTCTCGTGGCCGGCAACAAAGATGACCATCAAATTATTCTGAGAGGGAGAAAGGAAACATTGCGGATGAGCACACCTAAGCTGCAGTTGTTCTCAAGCCTCGGGGGAGGGGTAGAACATACGCGAAAGTCCTCATCTGTCAAAACTCCGTTCCTATGTGCCACGGTCAGCCGCTGTATCAGAGGTGGGCCCCTGTTGCAATTTTGATCTTCATGAGCGTCATCGAGCATCTTCGCAGCACCCCGCAACAACTGCTCCATGGCGTCGATCTTGTCGCGTGCTTCCTGGCGGCTTTTGATGGGCAATGCGTCGAGGATTGGGAAGAAAAGGTAGAGGGGCTTGAAGATACTCTTCTTTAAGATGGTGTGCGCGACAGATATAGGTGCGTTTGGGTTCTCGAGAGCCTAGATATGACACAGCAACGTGTTAAAACACGTTCGGCAACGACCCGGTGCTTCCAATTAGGCGCTACCTGGAATCCTTGGCCAAAAGCAGCGTGGCCTATGCAGTCCATTGCAAGCCTGATAATGGACCCCAAAGAGGTGATTGCACAGCTTTAATTTGTACCAAATCATGGACTCTAGCTCGCAATGACCAATACGCCGGACGGCATTGATCTCTCACCTCTGCACCAAATTGTTAACCCGCACATGATCATATGATTGAGCGTCTATGATTCTGCAGAGATCTCTTACGCAGTTCTTGAACATTGACGGTCTCCAATGGGTGCGGAACCCAGGAGCCAATATCCCGCGGAAGCGGCGCCAGTTCTACAAGAGGATATATTAAGCATCTACTGAGAGCCCCTTTAGCCCAACACTTTATATCTTCCCATGAGCCTTACCTCGCCGCGCGCGGATATGATGTTCTCACCTAGGAAGTATGCAAGGACCGAATGTGGTATCTTTTCGTTATTGCCCGACTTGACAAAATCGTCTGTGAAGAGCAATGATGAGTTCAAAGTCTAATACGGGGAGGTTTCGTCGTACTTAGCCATGTATAGCCATATGGCCTTGCAAATGTGCATTTGGCGTCTCCTGTCACCTACCTGTACGCGTGTACACTTCGCCAGCCATGTCGACGGAGCCGGTTAGGAGACTCCATCGTCCACCAAACCAGATCTTTGAGGAAAACGACGAAGGAATGAGGCAAATTTCGATTTCGCATGGGATTTCTCAATCGGGACCTACTTACCGCGACGACGCCTTCCTTCCTCATACGCGGAGCTATGTAATCTTTATAGATCTCATCCTGACCCATCCGCGTAACGAATCCCAATGTTGATACCCATATAGGTACGACTGGAATGCCCTTGGGGAAGGAAGATGGCGGAAGCAAAATGGCGCGGAGCAGTCTTAACAGTAAACTTGAAAAGATAGCCAAGATCGCATATCCGGTGATGGTCGTCATTGTTGAGCTGCTGATATCTGTGTCTCATATGACCAGGATATTGTCTCTCTACTTCCTTGTTTTGCTGCAGGTTCCAGATACTATGTCAAGCTCCCCGGTAGCAAGCCGCTACATGTGATGGGTGGACTTTTCCGCTAAGGGACTTTGTCGGGCGCCTCTAGGTACGTAGTAGTCGCCAGCTCAGTTTATAAGTGACAGTGCAGAGGATCGTGTAGTACCCTCTTCCGTTGCTGAGAGCCGCTCGTTTGGAAAGGGCACCAACATCCCGACGTGCAGTTATTGCGCTCCGCACTGCACTTCCCGCGGCCGTATAGTATAGAGGGCTTCAAAATTTGGCGGAGTTGTTGCCATTGCTTTCCTGTCGTACGGGCCGTCGTGGGCTCCGAGGGCTCCGGGCTGCCCTTCCAATTGCGGTTGTAGCTTGGTAACATGCGGTCCAAGCAAGCTGAAATCTAGATGGGAAAAAGAACTGCGATTCTATGCAGTGCGTGCAGATGTCGCGCTAATAAATGCAGAAAGCCTTTAAGTTTATTTTTATAGTTAAAACCCTCAATGTGAGGCTCTTCACCCGTTCCTTGCCCATTTTGACACAGAATGATGCGCATTGTATGCAAAATGACAGACGATGCAAGAGTTTACGAGAATGACCTCTGTTTATATAATTGCTTCTCCGCATTTTATCGCACTACTCCGTATGTATGAGACAAAGAAACTTTTCTCGCAAAAGCGCTAGTGGGACATGCGTGTGCCAGCGATAATCCAGGTCTTCTTGAGAGCAAAGGACGCCAAGAAGGAGAGCCCAGCGAACAGAATGGCCCACCGGAAGGCGGCTGTTGTTCCGGGCCGCGAGTTGCCCATGCGCATAGCGGAACCGCTTGCCGGCATCGTGGAGTTGGAGGTTGAACCGCCGCCCATGTCCATACCCGTGCTGGCCTTTATAAAGTGGGAAAGACGGTCAATGGTTTACAATGGGAGGAAGGAAAGTAACTGATGCAGCGAGGACTCACCATGTTTCCGCTACCGGACGGCATTGCGGCAGCGGCAGCGGCGGAATTCTCGTGACTGTAAATAGCGGACAAAATCGCAACGAGGATACTTCCCCCAACACGATGGAAATAGACGGGAATGTTGGACATCAACTTGGAGTCTTGCTTTTTCTCCAAGTGGGCCTGGGCAATGAGGAACGAGTTCTGGGTTGACAGACCTTGGCCCGCACCAAAGATGATGAGGTAGATGGCGGCAACGCCCTTGCTAGGCACCCCTTGAGAAATGGCGAGAGAAAACAAGCCAGTGCCGATCGTCGTCAAGCCCGTCCCGATGATGACCAGAATGTTCGCCGGCACGTAGCGGAGGAGCTGAGAGGAGATGATACCGAAAACCATCCAGGCGAGGTTGATGGCCAGGGTGACGTCCACGGCGGATTGAAGAGCTGTATCTTTAAGGTCCCCTTTATAATACATCGGTCCAAACATCATGAAAGCCATTGCCGCACCACCTTGGAAAAAGTTCATGACTAACAAATGGAAGAAGCGTATTAGGCTTTAGGAATCATTCTGTTGGTACGAGAGCTACGTGGGAGCACCGCTCTTACCAAAGACGGCGTTGTTGTTGAGCGATCGGAACATGTAAGGCGGGAAAACGGGTTCTTTGGCGACGAATATCTCAACCTATGATGGAGCGGGTATGAGACACCAGCTGCGCCCGCTAATCCTGCGACTATCGAGACTTACGAGAATGAACAAGGCAGCGAAGACTCCTCCAGCGACGAAGAGGCCAATGATTTGGCCGGAGGCCCAGTTGTACTGTTTACCACCCCATGCAAGGGCAAGCAAGATGCATGCGGTAGTGCCAACCAGTGTAATGAAGCCGAGGTAGTCCATGTTCTTGAGGGGTTTGTAATTTGCTCCGTCCGCCTTGCCGGACACAATGGCAGGAAGCGGGAACAGCAGGCCGGTGAGTGGCAGAAGAATCCAATAGCTCCAGCGCCATCCCATGGAAGCATTGTCGGTAATAGATCCGCCCACGATGGGGCCGAGGATCTATCAACCAATAGATGTGAGAAAAGTGTTACAGCATCTGCGCTTTGATGCGAATCCTTCCTACCATAGTGAAACCCATGGCGGCACCGATAATGTTGAATGCGAAGCCGCGCTTATGGATCGGGTAATACTCTGTGTCGTAAAGCCATGAAGTCAATCTTTCTACGTTTCTGAGAAAAGAAAACAAACAGCGTCTTGATCTGCATCTTACCAGTGAAAATGACGAGGGACATGGCAACGATGGCCGAGTTTCCGAGGCCTTGCACACCACGGAAGATGCCGAGTACAGCCATGCTGGACGCAGCGCCCGCGCCGGCGGATCCGGCAAGGAAGGTAATCAAACCGAAGAGAACAATGTTCCTCTGGCCGAAAGCGTCCGCCAGCTTACTCCACAAGGGAATCAGCGGAGTGGAGAGCAGAGTGAAGGCATTGTAGACCCAGGCTAGTTGGAGCGCCGAAGCGTTCAACGCCTTGCCGATCGTTGAGAGGGCCGCTGAGGAACCATCGAGGTTGACGATGACATAGGATAGGGTGACGCTGTGTAATGGCAGGGAAATGGCGGGCGGTTAACAAGATGGAGGGCATGAAATCCGTTGATGGACGATAAAGGAGCCGCAATATGTGTGCCGCACCCTTCTCAAACCTACATGGCAACAATGAGGAAGATGCGAGTGTCGGAAGCCTTCACCTCATGAACTTCTACGACGGTTGCAGAATCTCCTTTCTCTACCCGGTATCGCTGTTCACCTCCTTCCTCGACGCCGGCGGAGTGTTCCATTTTGACACTTGGGGTGGGCTTGACTGAACGCTTTGAGATGCGGTGTTTTTGCGGAAGCGGTCGAGAGTCGACTGACCTTTAAAGCGTCGCCGACTTGCGCAATTCCGAAGAGGGCATCAACGGGATGGTGGAGATCCTGCTTCCAGATTGCTGAATTGCGGCCTGGTTGGGAGGCGGCACTGCGGCGGGGCCATGGGGCCATGCTTGGCGCTTGGTTACATTTCGCAATTCCCTTTTGTATTGCAATTTGTACATCGCATGAGCAGTCGACACGCCGCGGTGGGTACAACGGAGAAAGAGTTCCGTTTGTTTTTGCAACCTGTCGGTGGGGAGGGAAAGAAAAGAGGAGAGCGACCAGCAATGACTGTGTGAGCAGCCTCATGTATTGGAGTGTACATATGTAAGTGTACCGCACGCGTCGACGCGTTTTAGTTTTGGGTTTGGGGCCACAACACATTCCACGAAATGCGCACACGCCTCGTCCAGAACTTTCTGATTGGGCAGAAATGCCGCATGTGGGGTCAATCAACGCAAGTTGGCATGAGGGGCCTCATCATCCTCATGGCGTCTCATAAACACAGAACTTTCTGATTGGGCAGAAATCCCGCATGTTGGCATATTGCACGCGTTCGGATGCACGCGTGGACTCACTCATATCAAGCAAGATTGCTGCCGAGGACTTGATTGAGCCGCAGAAACAATTGCTTTCACAACTGCCTCAAGCGATGCCGCGGCCGTTTGGCCATCCAACTCCGTGACGACGGGCGCTTTTTTTGTTGTACATAATCCCCATGAAAGTGTCCTTGTGGCTCATTGCACAGCGGCAGCCTTGTGCACAGCGAGAGGCAATTTGACGGTGGCCCCGATCCCCATCCCAAAATCTGTAGGCCTGTGGCAGAGATCCTGCTGGGGACTGGACGGGAATGCTGGCCCGACTGGCTTCTCCGTGCGCTCTCCGAGAGTAGCTTGTTCACTCGAGTTGTATAATCGCCGCCCGCACTTTTTCCTGCCTTCTTCCTCTTCCACCACATTTCAACTGTCTGAGCCAACGTAGAGGCTCTTGATTGAAGTTTTTCACGATGTCGCATTACGCTAACGTCCACAAAAGCCGCAAGAGGATCGACGACCAAGGTCTCTCTTCTTTCCTGCCCATGCTACTCTCCTGTAAGTTCATTGTTGACCGTTCAGAATTTATTCGGACGACAGTAAAGCAATATGCCGGTCTCTCCGATAAAAGAAGGCGATTCTTTGACATCCGGCTGTCTCCTCCTCCTCATCCTCTCCTGTCTACATCATTCTTCCCCTTGATTGCGCTGGACAATCTCTCTCCTACATACATCCAGCTTCGTACGCTGCGATCTACGAGAAGAACGAAGAAGGCGACATGAACGAACCGTACCAAGCCATTCTTGCGCTTCCTTCGGACCCCGAGAATCGCGCCCCTACCAATGCCGTCGCCTTCTGCTATGTCTGCGACGAGTTCGGCATCCTAAATCACTTTGCAGCTTATTCCTACGACGCCGGATCCCGAAAAGTAGAGAACCTCTCGATGCTGCTTGAGCCGCACTCTGCAGAGGCTGCTTCGATCGGAAGGCGACAAACGCTGGGCAAGAACGGCGCGATCAACACCTATCAGGTTGACCTTGCTTCACCGACATCGCCGGAAACCAAAACCGTGATCATCTTTGAACGAGCTGCAGGAGATGGCTCTGATTCCCGCGTGGTGCAAGGCGCGGCGCTGTTCCGTCTCGATCAAAGCGAACCGGCAGTTCTGGAGTATCTGGCGCGGATCCTGCTCACCAAAAGTCATGTGGTGCCATGGTGCCTCCAAGCCGCGGCGGCCGAGTCCAAAATCACCGTCGACGCCGTTCTGAACATTTTTGACTCGGAGTTTCGGTACAAGCCCATCATCGACATGTGGGATCCCAGGGGTCGAGAGCACTTTGGCAGGAAGCTCGCCTTCTTCATCGAACGCAATCTGGCACTTCCATTCATGCTTCCCGGGTTCCCTTGCAAGTCCCCCAACGCCGCCGACAAAGTTCTCGGGCATCTCCCTGACAAAGGGGAAGAGCTTGCTCTCGCTTCGATGGTAACGATCGGAGATCTTATCCGAGAAGTATACGCGCCTGGCGCCAAGTTTGTCATTGTGTCAGACGGCCATGTGTTCAGTGACTTGAGTAAGTGGCCGAAGGTTATTGAGTGCAATGTCCCATCACCATTGTGACTGATATCCTGTCTTGCTCAGTCGGTGTACCTGATGCCAACGTCAACGAATACGGTGCAACGCTGAGATCCCAAGTCGTGCAATCCACAGGCCGCCCGGAATTATTCAGCTTCTTCGATCTCAGAGACATGACTTTCCCCGATTCCAACGCCCCGGATCGCTCCGTAATGGAGTCCGCGTCAAGAATCGAATCAGAGCTTCCGTCGCAGTATGCCGTCTCAGTGGAACACCACCTCCAAGCCGACACCAACCCCATCGCGGACGAGACGCGTCGACTCCTATGCGTCCTTGCCGGCAGTTCTCGCTCGATCCTGCGCAAGGACATTGCGAGCGACCATGTTACGACGGCGCTGTACCGCGCCTTCTCTCGCTTTTTGCTCGATGATTTGCGTCACATGCCTGAAATGCAAGCCCTCCCTTCCAAGAGCGCCCAGAAGAAGCTCTGCACCAAGATCGCGTTCGAGATGATGATCCGCAATCAAGCTTACTCCGCTTTGGTAGAGCTGTTGTTCCCATTGCATCTCCGCATCTCCGTTCACGGGCATTCGTGTGAGGGCCCCAAATTCGGGGTGAGGCTTATTCATCGTAGCTTCTTGGCGAAAGACGCGTTCATCCCTGCCTTCGAAGGCAGCACGAGCTTGCACATCCCGACCCCTTGGCACAATGTTGTTGTGATGGACCGCCAAGGGCGTTGCGCCATTATGGCCAGGGCGGAAGCTACCCGATACGCCAATGGGGAGGAGCCGCAAGTTGTTCATTACGATGATGGAAGACCTAGCCACTTGCTGATTGACAGCTTGTCGTCGATACAAGACGCTACACCCACGGTTGAACCTTCCACAGCAACCGAGATCTTCAGGGACGCCGCAGACGTCGCAACCGAAGCCAACATTCCCCAGACCCTTGCGCCGATGGGGCAGTCCATATCAGAAGCTACCGTGCATATTAGCAGTGTGAAGGCAGATATCGTGCCCCTCAAGGATGAAAAACCGCCCGCCCCTCGGCCTAGACCTCCTACGCCGTCGACAACAACAGCCGTCGAGCCCTATTGTGCATATTCCCCTACTCGACGCTACTGTCTGTTGGCTCTCGTGGCGTTGGCAGGGGCTCTTGGACCACTTGCAGGAAACATCTATGTAAGGGGTCATTAGCGGTGAAAGTGCCTGACCGCTTGGCCACTTTACTCACTGACGCCATGTTTCAAGTTGCCAGCGATGGTACCCATTGGGCAAAGTTTAAATGCCAGCGCCTCGATGATCAACATCAGCGTTTCCATTTTCATGTTGATGTTCGCTGTCGCGGTACGTGCGGCCCCATTTCTCCATGTTTATCAACCTCATTCATGCATCCGATCTGAGCATCTTCGTACAACTTGTCTTTTCACAGCCGCTGGGATGGGGATCACTTGCCGATCGAACAGGTCGCCGTGCCGTCTATCTCATTTCATTCGCAGTCTACGTGGCCGGAAGTATCGCACTTGCGTTCACAAACTCGTACGCGTACCTGATCGTGTTCCGCCTCTTGCAAGCCACCGGTGCCGCATCAGTGCAGTCCCTTGGAGGGGGTACGCTCGTGGATCTTTTCAAGCCCACCGAGCGTGGTCAGGCCATGGGGATCTTTCTTTTGGGGCCTCAACTCGGACCGTTGATCGGGCCGCTGATTGGGGGTTTCTTGGCGCGCTATGCCGGATGGAAGGCCATCTTTTGGTTCCTTGCGGGTCTGGGCGTCGCCCTCTGGGTGGCTATATTTTTCTTTCTGCCAGAGACGCTCCGAGCTAGGGCTGGGAACGGGAAGGCGTACGCGGAACGAGGGTGGATCGTTGTTCCCGCCCCGCTCATGAAGCCTTGGGATCCGTCCAGGGCTCGTTACAACCCTTTGGCCCCTCTCAAGTTCCTTAGGTTCACTTCCATTGTACTGTGTCTCAGTTACATTGCCATTTTATTCGGTAGGTGGCGCAATCCTCATCGGACGTTTTCATCCAACCACGGGGTTTCTGATCGCAAGCATTCCTCTCTCGAATTAGGATCGTTTTACTGCTTCAATGTCTCTATCCCTGTCATCCTCCAGAACGAGTACGGATATAACGAGGCGCAAGTGGGTCTTTCCTACATTCCTGTCGGATTGGGTTTCATTTTGGGATCCAATGTCGCGGGCCGTTACGCGGATCGCACGGTAAAAGCCGCCCTCAAGAGATCCGAAGGTCAACCTGTTCCGGAGACGCGGGTGCGCTGCCAATGGGTAGGCCTCGTGCTTTTCCCTTTCGGCGTACTCCTGTTTGGATTCGCAGCTTCGTTCCGTTGGCATGTTGCCGTGCTTTTCTTGACCATGTTTATAAGTAAGTACATTTCCCTATCATGGCTTCTCGGGGACGAGAACCATGGCCGTTTACTGACGAGCTCTCGTCCTCTTGCTCGGATCATAGGTGTCTTTGGTCTTACATGGACCTTCTCCTGCAACACGACCTATCTCATCGATAGCTTTCCCGGATCCGCCGCGGGAGTCGTGGCTCTGAACAGTCTCTTCCGCAATCCAGCAGCAGCCGTCGGGTCAGCTGTCATTGAACCTTTTGTAGATGAAGTTGGCTATTGGAAATCCTTCCTCACAGTTTCCATCATCGCCTGGGTGGCAGCTGGTCTCGTCGTTACAGTCATGATCAATGGCGCCAAGTGGAGACTAGCGGCGAAATCGAAGGCACCGCCTGCCTCTGGATCTGCTGAATCGGCTCCTGGGCCCAAGCGAGTGTAGAGTAGACTTGTGCTTTTGATATTGATTTATTAGTAAAATGGATCTTCACCTCAGGCCGTGTTGTACAGAAATGTACGAGACTCACAAAACCTTAATCGTCCAACCTACCGACTTGGTATAGTCATCCCTCAGGGGAGAAGACAGTGATATGCCTATCGTAGGCGGCTGAGAGCGAGCGTAAATTCGCAGGTTAGGACTATCCACCTCTACGTAACTAGAATTCCCAGCTGGCAGCGAAGACACGACTTACAGCTCGATCCTCGGCTCATGGTGTTTCTGTACTACAGGTGGTTCCAAAAGTAGAGACCCTCCGTTTAGAGCTAGCGTTTTCAGGGTTGTTGATATGTGAGTGGCGGGAGCGTGGGAAAGAAGGACAAGGCGAGATGGATATGATCTGTCGCCCAAACTGAGGACGTTTGCGCGTCGCACACTCTTACCTATAGCGTTGTTTTTTGCGAGAGAAGATGCAGGTCTTTTCAGGCTGACTTGATGTCTCGGATGCTGAGAGGAAGCAAGACGATGATTCAGGAAAGGACTGCGGTGATGCGGTTTTTGGGAGCCCTGATAGACAGCACTGGCAAGGAACAAATTTACGTGCCATACCAGGGGGATGCTGTAACCCTAACCGGTCTGTCTTCCACTCCAACAGGAGAACACGCTGAGTTGCTTACGCCATGGCCTCGCAATTCTTATCAACAGGACGCCATGACGCAGCTGTCCAAAATGGGCGTTCTGATCACGGCGCTAAATCAATGGGGGAGAATGGGCGACTTCCGTGATTAGCCTCCTTAATGAATGCTGCAGCATATGCGGCCGCTCTAAATCGATTTGCGGCGTTACGCGACCAAAAAGAACGCCTCTCAGGAAGCTCTCTCTCCGTCCGTCGCCCGCTGAAGAGGAACCAGAGACAGACATCGGCTATCAAATCACAGACACTTCAGACCCCGCAAATCACCTTTTCTCCCGGAGTCTAGCCGCTGGTCGGATAAAACACCTTCACAGAAGCACCTACAGTCTGGAACCAATATCTCAATAGGTGAAAACGCCCACTTTAACAACTGCCGCTGGTCCCGCGCGTCCCTGTCTTTAACCTGAGACCTGTTTTTTTTTGCAGAATTTGGTCGTTACTGCCACCGTCTGTGAGTGTAGAGAATATACGGGCTTTAATTCCATCAGCACCCGCCAAAGAGAGAGCGCTGTCACTTGCCCCCCTCATCTTGTCAATTATCCGGTGAGTGTCTCCTTGTCGGCCGTGGGAAACGCCAAACACCAAACTTGGCGGGGATTAGCGTTTTCGAATCGGACTATCGCGCACGGTTGGGTATGCAAACCCTCCTCCCGTGATATTTTCGGGGATTGCTGTTGTTGCGTGGAAACACCGAGTGCAGGGACTATCATGAGGGAAGGAAACGCCTTGGCGCGTGTGTGGAGCGGCCGCTGTGACGGGTCGCTAGACCGACATCCGCATTCGTTTGAATCGCATTCTCTCACGCCAAACACCCGACTTTCACTTTCAAACTATTTCAAGCCTTTTCTGACGAAGTGCTCACTTTACCGTTCACGTGCATTTCCAGACCAAAAAAGCTATCGACCGCCCCTTGAGTGACCAACAAACCGGGAAAAACACAAAAACCATGCAAACCATCAAGTGTGTCGTAGTAGGAGACGGTGCCGTCGGAAAGACGTGTCTGTTGATATCATACACAACGAACAAGTTCCCGAGCGAATATGTTCCAACCGTGTTTGATAACTATGCCGTTACCGTCATGATCGTAAGTAGCGGCCTGTACAAAGCCCCACTCATATGGGGTTATTCCTCACCTTTCGCGCTGCCGCCATCTGATGTTTTCACACAAACTCCTCTAGGGAAGCGAACCGTACACCCTTGGTCTGTTTGATACCGCTGGACAGGAGGATTATGACCGTCTCCGCCCCCTTTCATATCCCCAAACCGACGTGTTCCTCGTCTGTTTCTCGGTTGTATCACCAGCATCGTTTGAGAACGTGAAGGAGAAGTGGTTCCCAGAGGTGCGTTCTATAGATCCTGTGCTGACCTGGTCAATCATCTTCCCATATTGTGCTTGAACCATTCGTTCTGATTTCGCAATCAACAATATTCCCCATCCATCCTCAGGTACGGCATCACTGCCCCGGTGTTGCCTGCATCCTAGTCGGCACGCAAGTGGACTTAAGAGACGACCCGGCGACGATCGAGAAGCTCGCCAAGAACCGACAGAAGCCCGTCGGCACCGACCCCGGCGAGCGCCTCGCCCGCGAACTCGGCGCCGTCAAGTACCTCGAATGCTCTGCACTCACGCAAAAAGGACTCAAGAACGTCTTTGATGAGGCTATCATCGCTGCCCTTGCTCCGCCGACCGTTAAGGGCAAGAAGAAGTGCACTGTGCTGTGAAGAACTCTCACACCCAATCAATAACTACACCACTACTACTACCGCCGACTCGAACTTCTCTTTTCTCGCTTGACAACAATCGCAATCACCGTCCGCGCGCTTTTTTTCGACACCACCTCACTCGATATCGTGGGCTGGATTGGAGGGTGGGGCTTGGATGGAAGAGTTTGGAGGAGGGGAATGAGGGGATCGAGATCGATTGCTGGAGGTCTTGGGAGGCGTGGGCGAAAAAAACAACATACACAAAAAGACATCTTAAACCAACAAAAGTACGCCAACCTATCCAGCGACGGATTATGGGGTCGAAAACCCCCGTGATCTGAGACTTGATTCTACACCGCATCGCGACCTACCTTCCCTACCACCAATCCCACACAGACCAATCTACCCACACTCAACCCACCACGAAACGAGCGAAGCGGCATTACAAAGAAAACGTCATCTTCCCACCATCCCCCTCCCCGTCGAGAAAGAGAAAGAAAGTTCCCCTATAACCCCTCGCAACCGTTATCCGCTCATCTTTTTTACTTACTTTAGACATCCCTGCGGTTTCTCGCCACTCGATCGCAGGGTTTCCCCGCCTACCCACCATCCCAACCCTTTTCTAATCTCCCGGTTTCGTTCCCGTTTGAAGGTTTCACATTTGTCAGTTTTCTTCACCCCGGTTTCTTTCCGCCCAGTTCCCTTTCGATTTTCTTTTCGCCTTTTCTCGATGCTGTGTTTGTATATAATACAACCTTGATCCTTGATTGTGGTGGGGGGAAGGGGTTCTTGGATCAGAGGGGTTGAGCGCAGATAAGGGGCGGAGGGAATAGGGGAGTAGGTTCGAATGGCCGAGGCTTCTTCACGCGTCAACAAGGCCCCTCGAGACCAACTTCCAAGATCACTCCCAGCAACCCATGACATCGACCTCTGCATCTAGAGAACATCCACCTCAATTCTCACCCACATCAAATCCAGCAGACAGCGCTCCCACCCACTCCGGACCGTCAAAATGCCACCAACCGACGAATCCATCCCATCCGCATCCGCTAACCCATCCTCAACTACCAACGCATCTTTCCTCCTCAGCAAACGCACCACCACCAGCCTACGACCGCCCCACAGACGAAGAGATCCTTCAATACGAAAAAGCAATCAAAGCCGCCGAGGTCGGGGATACACCTCTCATTGGCGATGTGACAGGGTTTGATGGATTATTAGCCGTACGTCCCGAAATTCCCTTGTCCATTCCCCATCAGATACTAATGTATGTCTATTCATGTAGGAATACGCCCTCTCCCCAGTCTTCCTCTCCAAAGCCCACAACCTCTCCTCAACCAGCACAGGCATCCGCACCGCAAAACGCGACGGTAACTGCTTCTACCGGGCTTTCTCCTTCCGTCTCTGCGAGCTCTTACATCAACATTCCGACACACCCTGGGCGAAGGCTGTTGTGAAGCGGGCGGAGGGGACAAGGGGCGTGCTGGGCGAGGTCGGGTATGATGTGGGGTTGCTGGAGGATTTTTGGGAGGTTTTTGAGGGGGTGTTAAGGCCGGTGGGGGAAGAGGGAGGACAGACGGAGGGTGGGGAGGGTGGGGAAACGTTGTTGGAGAAGATGCGGACGGAGTATGTGAGTGATACGATTGTGTGTTATTTGAGATTGGTCACTGCTGCTGTTTTGAAGAAGGTGGGTTATGGTGCGGTGTGGGGTGCGGCATGGGAAGAAGCGATGGGAAAATTTTCTCATCACACATCGCACCGTTGCTAGAACCGAGACCTCTTCGAAGCCTTCATCCTAGACAGCTACCCCTCCCTCGACCTCTTCATCTCCTCTCAAGTTGAGCCTAGTGAGTGCCCATCCCTCTGCTCTCTCCTCCCCTTCACGCTCTGCTAACCACCCCCATTCCCCCCCAAAGTGAACATCGAAGCCGACCAACCCCACATAGTAGCCATCGCCACCGCCCTAGGCGTCACCGTCCGCATCGCCAACCTTGACCCGACGCTTACCGATTCGTCAGGGACTGTCAATTACCATGAGATAGAACCGTTGGAGCCGTTGGACGTGCAGGAGGGAAAGAAGGAGGTGGTGTTGCTATATCGGCCGGGCCATTATGATGTGCTTTATCCGAGGGAGTAGGGGTGGTAAGGGAACTGTGAGGATGTTGTACATAGGGCGGTGTTGTATAACTTTGGGAGATGGATGGGAGTAAGGGCAAACCACTTGAAGAAATGAAACGGGAGTGGGTTCCGTCATGCATAGGAGGAAGGAAAGTGAACATCCCTTTGTGTTGTGTGGCATCTATCTTCTCGGCCTCATCATCCTGTCCGATACGCGTGACGAGGAAGATGCGCTTGCATTTTGACCTCCGTGCCCTCCGCGTGGAGAACCAACTTTGGCCTTTCTCAACGAAAGTGCAGTGCATGTTCTGACGACAGCTAACGGTATACGGCACGGCACGGCGAGGCGAGGACAGGACGGGACGGCTGGCTCTTTCATACTCTTGTGCCTGGGCGGAGTCCCCAACTTCTGCTCCTTTCCTTCACCTCTAGAAAGAGTTTCCCACCACCCCTGTTCAAAGGCGCAAAGCATTCCACAATTCAAATGGAAACAACCGCACCAGCAACCACAGCACTCGACCTCCCGCGCTCACCCTCCTATACAATAGACCTAACAGGCAACCACCCGGTCTTTGATGCCGAAGAATGGGAGGATGCGTCCCGCTTACTGGTGGAGGTCTCCTCGTCCCCACCAAACGCTGGGTCTTCTTCAGCGACCTGTCGGAATAACGCCCTGGCACCGCCATTAGCAGCACCGGGACCGTCCACCTCGTTCACCATCCCAGAACAGACGCCCGAAGAACTCCTCACCGAAATGTTCCCCGACGCCCATCCAGATCATATTTCCGAGCTCCTACAATCGCACGGCGGCGGGCATCACGCCGTGCAAGAGGTGATAGAGCAGTTGTTTGCGTCGAATGGAACGTATAGGAGAAGGGAGACGGGGGTGCGGAGTCCGGGCGCGGGGAAGAGGGGGCGGGAGGAGGGAGAAGATGGGGACAGGCCGACGAAGAGGGTTGCGAAGAGGAATTATTTGGAGGTTGTTGAGTGGGGCATGAATGCGATGTATCAGGATTCATGGTGAGTTCTGGGTTTCTCCCTTTAATTTGTTATGCTGAGCGTGTGATAAGGGACGGCTTTGAAGTTGAGTTTTACTTTCATCACTCAGCTACAAGCAATTGCAAATCGACTACCCTGTCGTGCCCGCATGTTACATCAAACAATGCATGGCCCAGCACAACAATCAATACATTCCCACTTTCAAAAAGCTCGCCGACCTGCGCGATTCCGGTGACAAACTCCCGTACACACCGTTGATGCGCGGGCGCAACAAGGGCAAAGACACAGGGCGCAACGGCCGTCAACGCCGAGACGAAGGGTTCGAAGTGGAACGCGCGACGCTACTGACATGGATCGCAGACGGGACGCTAAAAGCCGAACTTCAAGAAGCGGAGATGGAATGCGGGTGCTGCTATTCGGACTATCCCTTCTCCAAAATGGTCCAATGCGAAGACGGTCATCTCTTCTGCTCCGAATGCGCCCGCCGCGCAGCCGAGAACGTCATCGGCCTCCGCAAAACCGAGTTCAAATGCCTCTCTTCCCACGGATGCGTTTACGGCTTCTCGCAGGCCTCCATACAGGAATTCTTGCCGGAAAAGGTGTACGAAGGCTACCTCCGCCTCTGTCAAGAAAAAGAGGTCGAGATGGCGCAGTTATCCGGCTTCGAATCCTGCCCGTTCTGCCCTTTCGGCGCGATCCTGACCACGCACCCGGACGTTGACAAGCTCTTCCACTGCGCCAACACCACCTGCATGATCGTCTCCTGCCGCAAATGCCGACGGAAAAACCACATTCCCCTATCCTGCGAGGAAGCCCAAAAAGAAAACGTCTTAGACGCCAAACACGCGATCGAAGAAGCAATGACACAAGCCCTCCTCCGCGAATGCCCCAAATGCAAAAACAAGTTCTACAAAGAGGAAGGCTGCAACAAAATGACCTGTTCCTGCGGCCAGCAGATGTGCTATATCTGCCGGCAACCGGTCAAAGGCTATGATCATTTCCTGGACAAGACGATGAACCCGCGGGGGAATAAGGCCAATACGTGTGTGCTGTGGGATGATACGAATAAACGGAATGTGGAGGATGTGAAGAAGGCGTTGAAGGAGGCGAGGACTGTGCATGGGGAGGTGGTACAGGGGGAGGATGTGAAGAGTTTGGAGATTGGCCTGGAGGCGAAACCTGCCGTCGGGCCTGGAAGGGGTCCTGCCGCTGCGGGTGCCCTTGCCGGGCTGAATGAGGTTCTGCAGCGGCAGATGCAGGCACTCCATGCACGCTTTGGACATGTGTTTCCAGGGGCTGCCGCCATCGGCGCGGATGCACCACAACTGCAAGGGGCTTGGGATGCTCCTGATGCCCGGCTGCGCGCTTATCCGGAGGCGCGTCCTCGACCACAATTTCAATATCCAGCACAACCACAACAAATAGCACGACTCCCACCAGCTCGTCAAGGCATACTCCACCGCGCCCAAACAGAACGTCTCGCAGAACTCGACCGGCAAGCACGCGGCTTACGCGCTCGACTAGCACATAGAGCTGGGGCCGCTGCTGGTGATGGTGCGGCCGCGGAAGCTGCACAGCCACGCGCTGGGGCAGTGCGTTTGGAGGTTTTGGAGAGGCAGATTGAGGCGTTGAGGAGGTTGATTGATGGACCGAGGGGTGCTGCTCCGGGGAACGCAGGTGGAGCTGTTCCCGCGGTGCAAGCACAACTACCGCGCGCACCAGCGCAAGCCCAACAAGAGGTAGAGCTGCATCTTCAACAGCTTGCAGCGCGGCGACAGGCGTTAGTAAACCAGCAACGGGAACTCGAAGCCGCGCAACAACGATTACGGGAACACCAAAACCAACATCAACTGCAACAGCTAGAGCAGGCCAGAGCCAACGAATTGCGTGCTCATGCTCAACCAGTTGCAGCTGGCCGACAAGCACGCATTGCACGGGAAGCCCGCGTTGCACAGCTTCAGGCGGCCCAGGCGCAGCCTGCGCAGGCTGCTGCTGCTGGTGTTGGCGCGGCGCAACCACCACCACGGCAGAATCCTCTTACCCGGTTTGTTCCGCCACCCCCGCGCGCTGCGATTCGGATCGCTGGAGCTGTCCCGAGGCCCAACGCTGCCGCATTCGGGAGAGCAGCCAACCCCGTCGTCATCGACGATGACGAGCCGTTACCGCGGAATCCACCGCCACCCTACCAACCCGCAGCACCACGGGATGCAGCGCAACCGATTGTTATTGATGACGGACCTGCGATACCACCGCCGGCGCCGGCGCCGAGGAATGTGCGGAGGGGTCGTAGACGATAGGCGATAAGGCGTTGGCCAGATCTCACGACAACGCATCATATAGGTCGTAACGCAACGGCGATAGGCGTGGTCATATTCACCCACCCTTCATCCCATCCCCCCATCCCACCACCAGCCCTTTTCCGGGGTTTTTGTTAACGGTTTTTGGATAGAACATTTGCAGCTGTACGGCTGCATGTGAAGTAAGACCCAACCTGCGTTTGGCCGTATGCACCAACCCCTTGCGATGTGAACACACATATGCAATGCCCAATGCACGGATGTATATATAATGGGCGTCTGGATGACTTATACCCTTCGCATGTAGTAGTTTTGTGCTTATCAAAAAAGATGGGTGCGGCATGCGTAGATACTATCGGATGTGGGTTTGGATGAGGGTAGGGAAGTAACACCTCGATTATGCCAGTAACCGCAGATAAAGGATTCCGAAACAAAGCAAACGGTGTCTTCTGGAGACTTCGAGAGTCCCAACATGCAAGATACCTCCTGACTCTCCGCCCATCTTCGACCGCGACATTCAAGCTGTCCCCAACTTTCGTTTCCTAATTCCTCAATATTCACGACACAACGGTCATCGACCTCAATGGAATCGTCCTTCCTGGTTACCTGATGTGCCGTTGTGGTGATTTTTTCCCATACCCTCCCACCCACTAGTCCTTAGATGGGTAGTGTACCGTACTTCGCTATTCCCACCCGCGATGGCACACGGACCTGCGACGTTACTTCTGGTATGTTGTATACAGTAGGAGGTCTTAAATATCATTTTCCGGAAGCCGCCACGGCGGCGGTCAGTGCTTTATTTGCGGGCGTAGGAGGTGCTGCGACGGTCATGCTTTCGTACGGTGATGCCTTTCACTTGTACAAGACGCTTCTGGGAAAAACGACGAGCGGAAAGTGGAAATGGGCGAGAGGGGGATTCTTCGCGCAATGAGCTTGCGCGCTGTCGAAATGGCGGAGGGACCGCGCGTGAATCAACTCCGAACCCACTGGAGAGAAAACCGCCAAGGGAACCAGAATCGTTCCATATTGGCTCCGCAAACGTATTGCTGCACAAACTGTATGTCTCTTGCTCAGCCCTGCCCTTCACTTTTCCGATTCTCAATTATCGATCTCCTCACCGTAGACGCACGGCAACAGATTTTACTCTCGTCCCTAAAAATCGACGAGAACTCACCGACCCAACCCCCACACGCAAAGAAGTCAGAGGTACCACACCGGCAACGGCGACCAGCACTCGGGAAGGGGAGGAGACTTCGTGAAAAAGGTAAGAGTGCTCTCGTCTTGCGGAGCACGGATTGCGGCCCAGGCTCGAACAGCACGCATGGCATCGTCCAGCGACAGTCTGCAACCACTAAGAAGAATGCACCCCACAGGAACCGCACGACCCCAACGTGAGACTAGATCACGATGAGGGATCGCATGGCTGATCTGAAGGTAAAAATCGTTGAGATGAAGCTCTCTCACCCATGGCTCATCCATCTATCTCTCTCCGCAGCCGGCCGGAGGAGGTGACGCCCCACCGCCGCCGCCAAACAACAACAACAACAGCCGGTCCCGCGCCGAGACGGAAGAGAAACCCAGCCGCGGCGCAAACACAAAAGAAAAGGATGACAAAGAAGGCTTCAAAGAATCCAAAGAGCCCAAAAAGGAGAAAAAGTCCAGCGACAAAAAGGACAAAACCGGTAACGCCTTCCACAATGCCGGTGACCTCGAAGCCGGACTCGGTGGGGACGACGGCGGCGAATCCCCAGCCATGAAAGCCTTCTTCAGCGACCTCTCCACCATCAAAGACCAGATCGCGGCGCTGAAGCGGCATATCGAGGACATCGAGGCCCTGCATCAGAAGAGCTTGAATAGTATCAGCGAGGAGGAGGTGAACGCGAACCATAAGGAGCTGGACCGGCTGATGGATCGGACGAATAAAGCGAGTGCGGCGATACGCACCAAGTTGAAGGGGATAGATACGGAGAATAGGGCGTTGACGAAGCAGCCGGGGCAGGAGGGGGATGCGAGGATTCGGATCACCCAGGTGTGTTGCATCTCTGTCTCCGTTACCCTCCGTTGCATTCACAACCCCTCACACCCTTCGCTCTCGATATTCAGCATCAAAGCATAACCAAAAAATTCCTCGACGTAATGCAAGACTACCAATCCATCCAAACAAAATACCAAGACAAGTACAAACAACGGATGCAACGGCAGTTCCTCATCGTCAAGCCGCAGGCCACCACCGAGGAGATCAAGCAGATGATGGACGGCGAGCAAGGGCCCGTGTTTGCGCAACAGATTATGAATTCGGGACAGAGGGGTGAGGCGCGCAGGGCGTTGCAGGATATTCAGAGCAGGCATGCGGATATTGTGCGGATTGAGCAGAGTATTATTGTGAGTTGCGTGGAAAAGCGGGGGGGGATGTGGTTGTGGGGGATGCGTTGATGCGTTCGTATTGTGCTTCTGCTCTGTGTTGTGCTGTATTGACACCCCTACCTCCCCCCCCCCCTTCCCCCCCCCCCCTTCCCCCCAGGAACTCCAACAACTCTTCATGGACATGGCGGTCCTCGTCAGCGCACAAGGCGAGCTCCTGAACAATATTGAGACCAACGTCGGCAACGCGGTGGAATACACCGAGCAGGGCAACCAAGCGCTGTCGAAAGCGATCAAGCTGCAGAAGAAGGCGCGGAAGAAGATGATGATTATTATTTGTTGTTTGTTGATGTTGGGGGTTGCGATTGCGTTGGCTGTTTATTTCAGTGAGTATTGGGAGGGAACGGATGTTGGTTTTGATTTGGTTGGGTGCATTTTACTCACTCCATTCGTTCCTTCCCCCCTTGTCGTATCGAAACAGGCATGAAAAAGTGAAACCCTCCGACGCTCGCCTGCATTCCCGCCATATTCCACCACACCACCCTTGGTCCCCCACCCGCCGCACCGCACGTCCCAAACGCACCATACACTCCTCAAGCGCATTCCTTTCTGCTACACCACCACAGATCACCACACGCCGTCGCATTCCATCCATGGTACGGTACGGACAGACTCGAATCCCATAGCATACACAGGACAGACTTTCCTCATTTTGGTTTCCTTCTTTGTAAATTTGTCGAAATATGAGCATGAAAATGTGAAAAGTCAGAATCGTGAACAGGAAAATGTGCCGGATGAAAGGGAGTCCTCGTTGTGTATTGCGAGCTCCTATTGCAAATAAATATCACTATGTCTACGATATGATACAACAGCCCAGAGTGCCCATCCGCATATAGAGTGCGCAGGCCACCCCTCCACCACCCCCATATTCCCCTAACAAGCCATGCTCTCCCTATTCTTCCTCCTCATCCTCTCCAACTCATTCAAAAACGCATTTGGAAACGGGCTCACCCCCAACACCGGCGTAAACGTCACCGTTTCCACCACAGTCCTTGGCGTATCCAACACGCCTTTCGGGCGGTTAGCGAACCGGTCGTTGGGCTCCGGGATGCTGATGAGCCTCTTGATGGGTTCGGCGCCTTCTTCCGTGGGCCGTTGGATGTGCAGCCGTTGCTTTGAGAGCTGTTTCGTGGTGGGGTTGTTGTGGAGACGGGCGGGGAGGGGGGTTATTAGTTTGAGGTCGCGGAGGGGGATGGCGGTGCTATAAGCAAACAAACGAGGGTTAATGTATCGTTGGGGGGATGTGGGGTGTGCTAAGCGAAAGGAACGGGAGGCTTACCCGTCCTGCGGATCCACCAATTGCAAATGAGAGTATTTAACCGGCGTGGATTTAAAGACCACGCTTCCCTTTGGCTGCTCGGCGTTCGGACGCATGTGTTTCTTCTTTTGATTCAGCTCTTCAATGATTACCGAGTTAATGTCCTTTAGGACCTGCGTGACTGTGCCGGTTTTGCCGACGTCTGCGTATTTTCCGGTTGCGATTTTGACCTGAGGAGTGAATCGATGGTTAGATATGGGATGTCAGTGGGCAGTGTTGGGATCATTGATGAAATGCTATGCTGCTCGCTCGGCTCGCGACGGAAGAGTTCGGCCGGGGGGACTTTCCATATGAAACCAATGAATGCCGTCGATCCCACGGAAAGAGCGGATTCGGTTCGGTGACGCTCGACAGCCAAGAAGTTATCATCCTTCGTCACCACCACCTCCAGAGGTCCCTGTCCCATTCGGAACCACTCACTTGATCACCCTCAAAGATCTTCCAAGTCCTGATTTTGTCGTGCTCCAGGACACGTGGCCTGCGCCGCATCATCATGTTGGCTCCCCTGACTTTTGCTTTCTGCATCTTAGCGAGTCTGCTGTCGGTTTCGGTGCTGTGCGTGGGTGTTTATCGGGTACGGTGGTTGGTGGTAGTGGGGTTTGCTCAACGCTTCCAGGGCTTTGTGTTTCCTCACGAAATAAGCCGGGATAAAACTCAATATGACGGAGAGAGGGTGCTGAAGAGGTGCTGCGTTGCGGAAATATCGATACGGTACGCCCTAGTAGCTATGGTTTTCCGATTGCGCTGTGCTTTCTGTTTTCGGATTTCAGTTTCCCATTGTCAAGTTTCGCTTTTGAGGGACGTTCCCGAATTGACAGGATAGACCCGACACCGTTCGCATCAAATCCATGGCGCACACGTGACTTGTATTTTAATATCTCAGCGGTGACACGGCGCGTAGTGGATCACCGATGACTGGCCCAGCGTTCCACGGGAAGGCGGAGACGACTCAGACGACGAGGAGGGAAAGCCACGCTACCGTCCCATCCACCAACGCGCATTCACTCACTGGTTGAGATCAAACGCCCTAATGAAATCGAACCAAAACGGTCCAAGAATGATTAGAACGCGGTGCTAATGATGGGATGGGATGCGGAGAGTGGATCCCCGCTCTCCCAAGAAAGCCCCAAAAAGGAGTCCAAATCATAAACGGCCGCACGGCTATGTTCACGCAACCTCCTTTTTCCCACGCCGTATCCTTGCCCATCATCTCCTACCTGCAGGCCGTCAATTTCAACACTCGCAGAGAAGGGCGTTCTCCCATATTTCCTGCGTCGTGTGATTCGAAGTAGCGGCATCGACCGTCATCCAGCACATCGGGAGTCACGAACTGACAATCCACAGCCCGTGGGAAAATCCCAACAACTGACGAGGGAACTGCTGCGACCGAACACCAACCCCACTCGACAGTTCACCAAAGACGCATATTTTGGCCCGCTATGGGTTGTTTTATGAGTGCAGAGGAGAAGGAGAACAAGCGCAAGAATGATGCCATCGAGGACGCGCTTAAGCAGGAGAAGGTGAAGCTAAGGAACGAGGTCAAGATGCTACTGCTTGGTGAGTTTATGGGAAGAGGGAGGAGGGAGGAAGAGGTGGGCACGGTTGGGTTCGGTGGGACCCTTGGGAATCGGGGATAGGGGGTCGTGGGAAAGAGAACTCCCGGAAGATTGCTGTTGGGGATGGCGAGCGAGACGGATGGGCTCCGTCGGTTTTCGCTGGACCGAGCAGGGTATTGTGGAACCGTCGCCATACGTCCGTCGCTTTATCGATCCCCTCGTTTCTTCCATCGCCCACTCACCGATCACCTCGCTGAAAATGCTTCCTCTCTTCCCCAAACAGGCGCTGGTGAATCAGGCAAATCTACGATCCTGAAGCAAATGAAGCTGATTCACGATAATGGATACAGCGTAGAGGAGCGAGAGACTTTCCGCGAGATTGTATTCTCAAACACGATACAGTCTATGCGGGTCATTCTCGATGCTATGCAGCTGATGGGCATCCCGCTATCGATCCCCCGCAATGAAACACACAAATCCGTCATCATGGAACTCCCCCACCAGATCGAAGCAGACTTCCTACCCAGCGAAGTAGCCGCCGCCGTCAAATACCTATGGGCAGATGCAGGTGTCCAAGCCTGTTTCATGCGGTCACGCGAATACCAACTGAACGATTCCGCGCGGTACTACTTCGACGCCATCGACCGGATCGCGGAGCCGGGCTACGTCCCTACCGACCAAGACGTGCTTCGATCTCGCGTGAAAACCACCGGCATCACCGAGAACACCTTCCACATCGGCGACCTGACCTACCGTATGTTTGACGTCGGCGGCCAGCGCTCGGAGCGGAAAAAATGGATCCACTGCTTCGAAGAAGTCACCGCCATCGTCTTCCTCGTCGCCATCTCCGAATACGACCAAGTCCTCATCGAAGACGAGACGGTCAACCGCATGCAAGAAGCCCTCACGCTATTTGACTCGATCTGCAACTCCCGCTGGTTCGTCCGCACGTCCATCATCCTCTTCCTGAACAAGATTGACCTGTTCAGAGAGAAACTGCCCCGGTCGCCCATGATAAAGTACTTCCCGGACTACCGCGGCGGCAACGACTACGAGGCGGCGACAGAGTATATCATGAACAGATTCGTTTCGTTGAATCAGAGCGATCAGAAGCAGATCTATTGTCATTTCACTTGCGCGACTGATACGTCACAGATTAAGTTTGTCATGGCTGCTGTGAACGATATCATCATTCAGACCAATCTGAGGGATTGCGGGCTGTTGTAGGATGTGGCCTCCGAAATGGATCGACTGAACGCCACCACCGCACACTTTCCTGAACCTCGCCCTGGCTGGCATCACCTTACGGCGTATGAACCCCACTGAACTCCGCTACTCCCTCCCTGGCGTACTCTCACCCATCTCCCGTCCCCCATCCTGTCTGTATCAACCTGCCTATCTGTGTCTGTCTGGGTACCTGTGTCAAACGGCGTGTCCTCCCCTTTGTAATATGTGCCATCCCTTACCCACCCCACTCTGACTGCCTACCCATCCACGCAACAAAATTGTAACTAGTGGGTTCATCTCCCTGCGCGCAAATATGGTCGTGTATACCCCCCGTTACGGTTCCCTTCTCAATTCGATCAATGGAATACGTTCGTTCGTTTGTGACGATGGTGCCTATAATGTACAAGTCGCTGACAATCCCCAGCATCCATCGGTAGATCAGTGAGGTTATACGGTGCGATGCCGTATCCTACACATCCTCTCCCCTCCCGTCCCGTCTCCTTTGCATCAGTGCCGTCACCACCACAAGGTCATCCCACACGCCCCTGTATACTGTATATGTCTCCCACAAAAAGCCCATCCCCTCCCGAACTTCACGCCGCCCTAACACCACGAAACTGCCCCAAAGCCCACTGCACGCCATCCTCCACCCCGGGCCTCGTTCTTCCCACCACACGGCTGGATCTGCCAGTTGCGATCGCGCGGACCATGGTGAGCGGGATGAGGAGGGGAGCTGTACAGTGTGGGTGAGAGAAACAGGGCATATGTGCGTCTGCTGACGGTCGGAGTGCTTTGCTGCTCGAAAACTCCCAGACTTTGTGGGGACGGCGACGCGTTTGACCTCACCCTTGACGACTTTGACGCCTTGGACCTGCGACGCGAGAAGGGGGTGTAAGTCTGCGAATGTCCGTGATGCAGCGCAACAATCGCCTCGGTAAGCTCCAGTTATGCTGTGTATCGCGTTGCCGGGGAATGTTACTCGCCCCGTTTCCCCACGTCGGCTTTTCGGAGGACTGAATATCCCATCCGTGCACTGTACGAAGATCCGCGTTGGCAACGAGGGTCTTGAGATGTGGGTGCCAGTCCGCGACGTGTTTCGTGACTTCCGCCCAGGCGCGGGCGGGATCCCAGGTCGTGGGTTGCTCGTCGGCGTACTCGGAGGCGGCGAGGGCGCCGAAGGAGACGATGAAGTAGGAGCGGTGTTCGGATGTCGCTAAGGGTCCGTCGGGACGTTCCTGGTCGGATGGGAGATGGAAGAGGGCGAGAAACATGGAACGGCCAGTGCCGTCGATTACCAAGGTTGGAGTCGATGACGGGTGAGGTTGTGGGGTTTAAGGGAACTTTGGCGGCGAAGCCGAATACCCCTGTGCTGCGGCGTTGGGCTTGGTCGGTAGGGAAGAATTGGCGGCGGATGGGGGAGTTGGCGCCGTCGGCTGCGATGAGGAGGGAGCCGAGGGCGTCGGTGTCATCTTCGCCGACGGGACGTTCATATGCGTCGTCTATCTCGTATCGGACGAACTTTTTGTTGAGAATGATCTCCTTCCCGACTTTTAGGCCGCTTCAGAGGGCGGTGCGCAAGGATAGTCTTCCGACGCCCATGTCGGTCGGCAGCACATCCCGTTCCCGCCCTTATAATCTCCGCCAGATCCTGCGCTTATATCACCGAAAAACCAGCCTTCCTGGCCACCGATGCTGCCGAAAACTCGCATGGGGATTTCAGAGGCTGATAAACATTATCAGGAAGGGGAGTACGAAGCGCAATCCCTCCACGCACATCCTCTACGTTTTGCTCCGGGTCGTAAGTCCCTCCAGCACTGGGATCCTTGGTCAGAGAGGCGATAACCTTGCAAGCGGTCCGTTGGGGTCACATCGCGTTCGTAGCAGGTGAAGGAGATGCCGTTGCGTTTGAGGCCTTGGGCGAGAGCTAGGCCGCCGATGCCGCCGCCGTTATCAAGGTGTGGGTGGTGTTCCAAGATGGGAAGGGTGCAACAGCGGTACTGACGATTTACAAGTGGGGGTTTACGTAGTGTACATATAATGGGCTAGGGTACATACCGCGGACCATTGAGTGCTGGAGTAAGCGCTTTTTGTTCTACGGCGTTATGGGAGTGTTCGTTGTTGAGCGTCGGCAAGCAGGGTGGGAACGAGCAGGAAACAGAAGGGCGTGGGCGGTGGGGCGCCTTCCAGAACCAGCGTCACGCGTGCGCTCGCTTCCCTTCGAGGCTGTCGGGGACTCTGGAGAGGACAACAACCCCAGCAGGCGGACGCTTATTACACTGTAACACAGCAGAGAAGGAGGAGACGAAAGAGAGGGCAAGAGAGGGCAGATAGCAACCATGAGTGGCTCGGTTGGTCACCGCTCTCGCAGGTACGCTTTAGTATTGGGTGATCTCCAGTGGTGCCCATGTTCAAGAACTGAACACCATCTTGGCAGGATCGTATGGTCGCCGCACGAGGGGCAGCGCTTGTTTTTGGTGGGCGGAGGTGATTTGCGGCTCTATGAGTGGTCTTCCACCTCGTCCGAGCAGGTGTGTAAAAAAAGCACTCGGACTCGGGGAAAGGCGTGGACACCGCGCAAGTCTTATGACAGCCGGCTTCCCTTCAAACGCTTCTAGGTGGACCCTCTGGAGACTCTGGAGGACCGGAGCATTCATATGATTGGGGTCAATCCCGACATGGGGCATATGAAGGTACACGCAGATCTGTGTGCTTCTTTCGCTTTCAAGCTCAATGGAGCGAGAAATCAATCATATACCCACTTTCCAACTTTGACAAACAAAAGTGCTTTGACTGGTCTCCACACAGCGAGTACTCCGACATGGTCGCCATAGGCTACAACACCGGCCGAACCGTGCTCACCCGTCTCCCTAGTCTCAACTTCGTCAAAAGATCAGGATCACAGACGTTCCGTGCGCCGCTAGCCTCTGGGAACTCGAGCTTCGCCGGCCCCGATTTCGTCTCTGGGACAAACAGTTACTTCAGCTCGGTCAATTCCCAGCAGCCAGCCGGGATGCAGATCCTAGGAGAGTACATGCCACGACATACACGCGCATGCAACGTCGTCATCTTTTGCCCTACGGATCCCAAACTGCTGGCGGTCGGATTCGAAAAGGTCCGAAACGATGCCGGACTGGTCGTATGGGATACGGAAACGTCGGCACGGACAGGGTATGCTCAAGGAGGAGCCGCCGTTAATATGAGTGCAGGGCACTCTCGCCACGGATCATTTTCGACCGGCTCTGGGGGTCAGACCGGGCCAGAGGCGAGCACTAGCACGGCGTTCGCTGCTCCGCAACCCTATGTAACCTCGGACTTTGTTGTCAAAGGACCCGCATCGATTGTATCGACGACGACGGGGACGGAACTAGACGGCCTCATCGACCTGCGACGGAGCGTATCCACGTTTGCCGACAAATCTGCCGCGGGGAGTGCCCCAGCATCGCAAAACCGGCCCGTTCCCGTCGCGCAGTTTGGCTCCTCCGAGGGCATCTCGTCCGCAGGATGGCTCTATCAATCCTCGCCCCTCTTGGTAGCAGGAATGGGCCTCAAATGGATCCGATCATACGATATGCGAGTCACCCAAAGCACCGCCAGCATGGTCATTCCCACAAAAGCCGTCCTCGGTATCGTCGCGGACCCGTTCAACGGCAACCGCCTTGCTTCCTTTGCGGAAGACGCAATCGTTCGCGTGTGGGACATCCGAAAAGCATCGGAACCCGCGCTCACCATCAACTCTGAGTTTCGATACGGGATCAGTCACGTCGCGTGGTCCCCGCAACGGGCGGGGTGCTTGGCTGCTGCTGGGAAGGAAAGCACGACGTTGAGAGTATGGGATACACAAGAGGGAGGGGCGGGAGGGGGAAAAGACGACAGGTTCCCTACATTGAGCACGCATACTAGTGGACGGACGGCTTCCAAGAACGCTGGACAGGGTGCGGCTGGTGGAGGGGCTTCGGAAGGCGCGGGTGCTACGCCTCCAGCGATGGGCGAGGGGCTCACGCCTTCTTCTGTGATGGGGAGTGGTTCTAGTGGCCCGCACGCTGGCGTACCAGGAGCTACTCCTGGAGCAATAGGGGGGACATCTGCTACGCCTTTGGAATGGGCTGGGCAGCAGGATGATAGTAAGGGCGCCGAGGAAACGGCGATCACAGGGCCGATGTTATGGAGGGTGCGCAAAGGTAAGAAAACTGTGATCTCGAGCGAGGGCCGAGCAGAATCTGAGCCCTCGTCCTTTTCTGTGTGCAGTCGAATTTTCCGCAAAGCAGGGAACCATCAGTTTCCCAACCTTTGCATGGATTCCAATGTCCCTCTCCGACGATTTCTCACATCACCTGATCACCGCCTGTCTCGACAAGGACCGCATCCTCAGCATCGTCCGTCTCCCACCCACGTATCGAATGTCTTTCTGCCCGCTAGGCTCCCTCGCAATCACGGCCGGCCCGTGCGTCACTGTTCTCGCGCCCACCATGTCAGCCACCAAAGGCAGACTACAACTCCCCAACACCGCAACTCTCACCACCGCGGACGCGGACCCCATCCGACCGACCGTGCACGTCGCGCCTCTAACCAACAACGACGTCAAGGCCTCAAAGTCGACCCAACCACTGTCCCGCCTCGGTATCGCCCGCCGCAACGACCTCCCCAGAGACGACATCGCGGTCATCATGCGCACGCGCGCCGTACAAGGCTACGCATTCGACGCCCTCGCCAATGCCAAGCTCTTCGAACGGTGTGCCGACACGGACCTCGAGGACGTCTGGACGTGGATCCACCAGTTGGCGAAACATATAGCTCTCGGCAGGTTCCGCATCGGACACGTCGAGTATGCCGGGCAGGGCGTGCAGACCGTTGTGCAGGACATGCTTTTGTCCACCTCGAGTCGGAAAGTCGTTCATCATGACGACGGCACCCGCCCCTCCCCGACCGGCAGCGGCAGCAGTTCCGTGCGGGGGCCGGAACCCATCTTCCCCTTGAAAACGTACACGAGCCCTTACCGCGACCTCGCCCTGCTGATGTGTGGTTGGAGTTTTCACTTCCCGCCAGCAGATCGGGATGAACGCGAGGACGAGGCGGGGTTGGAACGGGATCTCCATTCGCATGACACGCTGGACGCTGCGTTGAGGAAGTTGCAGGCGGGTGGGGAGCATGAGAAGGCCGCGGGGTGGGCTTTATTTCATGGGTCGAGTTTGGGCCTTGCGTTGGAGGTTCTGAAGTCTGCGAAAGACGAACGCCTGAAACTGGTAGCAACAGCAATCGCCGGATATTCCGCCTCGCGCTCCAACGGCGCTGGCACATCCTCCTCATCGTCAACATGGGAAGACCTCTGCAGATCGCTCAGCTCAGACCTCAAAGATCCCTACCTGCGCGCCATCTTCGCCCTCATCGCCTCCAACGGCAACTGGCGCATCGTGCTCCAAGAACGAGGGCTGTCGCTAAGGGACCGGGTAGGCATCGCACTACGCTTCTTGAGCGACGAGGAGCTCGTCGAAACCATCAACGACATGACGGCGGAAATGACCTCCGCTGGCGACGTCAAGGGGTTGCTGCTGACGGGCTTGGTTACGCCTACGGGGATGACGTTGCTGGAGACGTATATCAACCATTGTGGGGATGTGCAGACTGCGGCGTTGTTGCTTTTGCATACACCGGGGACAACAACAGCGGCCTCGGCTTCGGCGGCTGCATCGTCGCGCGTTCTGGACCTGCGCGTGGATGAGTGGTCGGAGTATTACCGCGCGTTGCTGGACCGGTGGCAGTTGTATCACACCCGAGCACGATTCGATATCGCCCGGCACAGAAACCGGAATCGACAGAGGGTGGGCGGCGGGGCTGCTACTGCATCGGAAGCAGCAGCACCGCCGCCACACGCGGACTTGACGCCGCAGATATACGTTCGATGCACCTTCTGCAACGCCCCGCTTGCTAAGGCGGCTGCTGGGGACGGGGGTGCGGTAACGGCTGCCACGGCCGCGGGGGGACAGATGGCGAGTCATGGGGTTAAGAAGGGGATTTCGATCCCGAGTGCTGCGGCGGGTGCGGTGGGGAATCCGGGTGCGGCAGTCGGGGCTGGTCCGGGTGGAGGTGGGGGCGCGGCGAGTCGGGCTAAGGTTCGTGTGTGTCTTTGTTCTCTTCTGTTTCGAGCTTGGGAGAGGCGTGTCACCTGGCCCCATCTCTCTCCTTCATTTTCTGCCGTCGCTCGTCTGACCTCTTGCTCTCCTTACAGATGACAGCCTGCCCCACCTGCCGCAAACCGCTCCCCCGATGCGCCCTCTGCCTTCTCCACCTTGGCACGCCCGCCGACACACTGCGCTATTTCGGCCGTCGCGGCGGCAAAGCGAACGAACCGGACACCGATCTGACCGCGGAGAACAAGGACCTGGGCTTTGAGCTGTGGTTCACGTGGTGCCAGACCTGTCGCCATGGCGGGCACGCGTTGCATATGCTGCAGTGGTTTGAGGGGCATGCCGTTTGTCCCGTGTCGAATTGCGCCTGTCGGTGTCGGGAGCTGTGAATCAGCGACCGGTTTACGACGCGAGTCGCGTTGAGCAGGCCTGGAGTGCAACTTCGCCGGAGTCGTCCAGCCTCTTCGGCGCGCCCGCAAGAACGAGAAGACACGAATGAACCTGAGCGGGGTGGGATTGTGAGCAGTCTCCAGCCACGGCCGGAAGTTTCCCCCGTTATCGCAGCTCTTTCAAGGGCGTTGGGAAGCATCTACCCTACGTGGCGACTCGCCTGCGCAAATCCACGAACTTATGCGCTTTGGATAGCTTTGCGTAGCATTTCAAGGTCGGGCCATCCCAGTGGGGATATAGGAAGCGGCGTATGGCAGAACCCCCGCGTCCCCATGTGCTGACGGTTTTGGTCATCCCTCCTGTCGTATGATAGTTTGTAGGACGGATTCACAAGAAATGTATATGTTTCGGGTGAAGATCAGATTACCGTTCACTGTACTGTACGATGCAACAGAAACTATGTCTCGTTCGGAAACGATCTTGAATCTCTCCGCGGACAAAGAGATTTCGGGGCGGGCCTTGGTTTCTGCGAGAAACGCGTCGCTGCTTACGCGTTCGTCGTTGCCTTTCTCCATAACGCGTTTTTTGAACGGCTGCATCTCGTGATTCGATCCACCGAATGTTTTATCCAATACTGTGTACAGTCTGTTGCCATAAAGCAGGTCGCCCCCGAAAGTAAGTTAGTGTCCTCGCCCGCTGATCATTGCACCCATCATCCTTATTCATGGTATTAGGACCCCTAATCTAAACTAGATCTGTCACTGTGCTAGGCAACAACCGCTGGGGCCGACTGCGCACGGCCGGGTGCGACCTGCTTTATGGCAACAGACTGTACATGTACAGGGAGAATGTGGCTTTTTGTCCTCGGGGATGTCGGTGTTGTACTGCATATTCGAACAGAATGCGGGAGAGAGCCGAGTCGTCGCTGCCGAGATCGATGGGGACTGCGTGCATTTCGCGTCAAACCTTCAGGTTCGACGGCACATGCTCCGATTGGGAAAAAAGGACTACTCGTAGAACCCACAACCTCTGTCAACATTTCCTGAAAAAGAACAACAATTATGCCCACTCATAAAAAAAAAATTGGACAAAGCGGAAATGCAAAAAAGAACCGAGCAACAAAAGCGGGTGAACAAAAGAAAAAGGGGGGGTGAAACAGGAATTACAACAAAACCGCCTTTTCCAGAAATAAGTGTCTCTCATACAGAGAGAAAGGCCAGCCGTGAGATGGCAAAACCGCGACATACACATATCGTTCCGCTGCGTGCACATCTACACTACACTCCGTTCCCCCCTTCAGCCGATGATTGATCCACCCAACTCCCCTCCCGTCGAGGTCTATGACACCCCGATTCACGCAAGTCCGCCAAAATGACACAGATGTGAGCGACCCTGCGTTTCCCAATCCCTCTCCCGTGCTCGGAAGGATACTTCGTCATGAGGGGGAGGTAGAGTGACCTAGACCCGAGCAGAGCGGTCGCGGGAAGTTGCTTTCGCGGCTACGTAAGAAACCAGCGTTTCGGAGGCGAGGGTATAGCGTGCACTTGTCGGGGTGGGTATGGTTTGAGGTGGCGCTTAGGTGAACGCGAGAGCAATCGGGGCTGTATTCGGAGCGGTACTGCCGGTTGTCTTGGATTCTGCACACACACCCACTCCGAAGACGCAAAAAGATGAGGTTTCACAATGAGGTGGTGGTTGAATCTACGTTGTTGGTGGTAGTGGTAGTGTGTGTATTCGTATCCGGCGCTATCGTCAACACAGGGTCCGTCTGCATGGCCGCGGGTGTGGGTGGAGTCGGGGCGGTGTCCGGGTTCGTTGTGGTAATGGTGATGGATGATGATGTTGGGTCGGGTGTTGCTGTTTCCCCAACGACGGCGGGTGCAGGTGCGGTAATGGTGTCGACAGCCGACGTCGACACAACCGGCGTATCGGACGAATCTACTGGCGGTGGCGTAACAGCCGTCAAGGGCGGGACAGCAGCCGCAGCCGTAGTCGACTCCGCGATCGGCGCTGCTGCATTGGTATTGTTCTCAGCGGAGGTACCGCTCGTGTTAGTCGCTTCCGCCGCATTCGCTTCCGATTCCGCCAATGACCGGCGGATGGCCTCCATGAGCATCAATTCCTCGAGGTCTGCGCCCATGTTCCTCATCGCTGCAAAGTCGCGGGACCAGCTCAATCAGTTAAACACACTCACGAGTGCGGGAAACCGCAAAGTCGTGGTTTACCTTCGATGTAATTAAACCCCATATCCGCATTGGTCCTCGCCCGTCGCCTCGAACTATCCCCTCTCGCGCCCCTCGCCCTCCCATTCGCCGCACTATCCCCCGCCGTTGCCGATGCAGCCCCACCACCCTCAGACCCCGTCATGCTCTCCACCAACCCCGCCGCCGCCGCCGCCGCGCTCGCCAAATCCCGATCATTCTCCAAAAACAAATGCCGGACCCTCCGCGTGCCGCCATTGGAGCCGAGGGATGAGATGGTATGTCTACGCTGGTTCGCGGCGCGCACGAGGGCGAGTTGTTGCTGTTTCCGCAGCCAATCGGGTCGGAGCTCGTCGGAGGTAACGACCAGTGCGGATTTATGCGAGACGCTGGCGCGGCGTTTGAAGGGTGCCGGGGCTGTTGTGGGCGGGACCAGGAAGTCTGACGGGCCGGTTTCGGAGGTCGGGCTCCCGGTGGTAGTGAGGTCGCCCGTTGATTCGCGTTTGTCGGTTGTTGAGGATGATGTTCCATCCCCTGGGATTCCTGACGCGGTGGAGATTGCAGAGGCGCGGCGGGCGGCTAGGTAGTCCATCCGCGCGCCGTGGCCGGATGCGACGATCGCGGCATGGTCGTCTGGATGCGCTTCGAGAAGCTTTTTCTCATGCTCAGGCGAGCCGGGGGTGTAGTAGAGGATTCCGAAATTGGTTTCGACGCAGAAGGGGCATGCGGCGGGTTCGAGGGTTGATTCTGAGCGTTTGATTTGGACGAAGCATTCAGTGCAGATGGGCTGGTCGCAGCACCGAGAGTAGTTTATGTTTGACGGGTAATACTATGAAGAAAATAGGGCGATTAGCCATTCATATTGACCTGGTGGCGTCCTTCATGCACATGACTAACGATATTTACCAGGAAACAAATAGGACACTCAACAGCCCACTTATACAGCCCCTCCAACGGAATCAGGGACACCTCCTCTTGCTGCTGCTGCTGCTGCTGCTGCTGCTGCTGTAAGTACTGCTGCTGCTGTACAAGCTGATTCGGCAACGATGCCGACCGCTTCCCCTTCAAACTAAAACTCGAAATCGATCCCTGCCGCTCATGACTGATCCTCCTCCCCCACGAATCCTTCGATAGGTCCGCGGCGCTCATGCTCGTCCGCTTGTTGATGGCTGTTGCGCGTGAGGCGGAGCGGATGAGAGTTGGTGGGTCTTCGCGGATGGGTGTGCCGGTGGGAGACGATACCGGGCTTCGCATTTGAGGATTGTTTGCTGCTATGGATGATGATGACGCTGTTGCTGATTGTTTTGAAGCGGCGGCTTCTGCCTCCGCTGTGAGTTTCTCCGCCTCCTCTGCGTCGCTAAGACCTTTGTAGAAGGGTGCAAGCCGCCGTTCTGTGATTAGCCGTTTGACGACTTGGTGGTCCCAGTCCTGCGGGGCGCTCGCGTAGACCGCTTCTGCGAAGGGCACGACTTGCTGGATGCGAGAAGACAAAACATGAATATCACAATCTGTTGGACCGCCGGCACCAAAAGGCCGACGTTCCAAACACATAACCACCCGTCGATGCAAGCCCTGCTTCGCATCACTCCTCCCAACACACCCCATTTAAAGCACCGAAAACTCACCCCATAATCAATCTTCACCTCCACAACCGCCGCCGCCGCCGCCGCAGTAGCCCCTTCCTCATCCCGTCTCTTCGTAGAAGCGTTGCCCATTCCTCGCCAAGCTATATATTCCTCTGTTGGCCGCTGTACCCTCCCCTACTAGCACTCCAGTCGAATGTTGAGTCCGTCAAGCGGAGAACGCACGCTGCTGTGCGTATCCCGTAACCCCGATAGGAGTGTGTATCTGCTGGTGATATGAGTCGGCTGTTTTGCCTCGCTGGATGCGCCTCGATTCACCAAGGCGCCGTGATGTCGGTTGAATGCGTTGCCTCTCCAAGTAATCCCTCTCCGTTCCTTCACTTCAGGACGTCGGTGTTGTTATTCCCAAGGCCTATTCACTGACAGTGGATGGAGGGTGCGGAGGTGATCAGCAAAAAGGGGCGGGTAATTGAGTGGGTGCATCTCCACATAAGACGGGAAATTGCGGAAGATGGGGAGGCGTGGCTTACCGGTGGGGAGAATCAAAGCAGTCTCAGGTGTGATAGCAGCGGGAGAGTATGCACAAAACGGAAGGAGGATAACCGCCGCCTGGGTCTGCCTGATCGTGATAAGATGGCCAATGCGGAAAGTTCCCAGGGAGTGGCCTCGGACAGCTCTGGAAGGTGGATTTATTCGAGTGCTTTTAATCGATGCTGTTGAGGGTGGGTTGGATGAATCATCGTCCTTTTTTGGGAAGGCCAACAGACGCGCCCCCACCACCGTCACAACGTCACTCCAGGCCAATTTGCGTCCAACTCCCACTTCCCGCCTCTCCCGTCGCCCGTCCGCCCTTCCTTTTCCCGCAACGGTACATACTGTACATCATCAAAACATTCCTCCAATGTGGATCTGGACAGGTTGGAAATCTCGGAAAACGTAACCATGCGCCTTCTTTACGCTCAAAGTCCGATGACGCCCGTTGATTCACTCTCCGCCATCTTCCCTGGCCAAAGGTCGTAGGCAAGTCACATTCATTCGTCATATTTTTCTACACAAAAAAAAAGAAGTTCTTCAAACACCCCCTCCTTTTTACGCAGCAAGCTTCTCCTGACGCCTAAAGTAAGCGCTCAAGGGTCCCTTAGGCGCAAGGTACTTGACATAGCACCCATCAGGCTGGAGGTTTCCAGCCTGGCGGGCCTCAACGTACTGCTCGCGGGTCAGCTTGGTGAAGCCCCACTTGTTGGACACGAGGATACGCTGGCGTCCAGGGAACTTGTACTTGGCACGGCGCAGAGCTTCCGAGACCACGGCCTTGTTGGCGTCCTTGGTGCGCACGGACATGAGCACTTGGCCAATGTCGACACGGGCGACGGTGCCTTGGGGCTTGCCGAAAGCGCCACGCATACCCTGTTGCAACCTGTGGTGGTAGAGAAAGCGAAAATGAATGAGTATGGCCATCCTTCTGGTCGCAGTCTGCCCCTAGCTCCAAAGTATTTAAACATACCTATCGGCACCAGCGCAAGACAACATTTTGTTGATACGAATGACGTGGAAAGGGTGGACACGCACACGCATGTGGAACGAGTCCTTTCCAGACATCTTCACAATGTACTTGTTGGCCGTGATACGGGCAGCCTCAAGCGCCTCGGAGGAGATCTGCTCGTACTCATCGGAAAGGAGGTGGACCGTGCAGGGGAACTCGTCGACGCCAGCCTTCTTACGACCCAAGTCGAAGATGCGGATCTTCGGGTCTGGGGTGGGGAGGAAAGTGCGTTACGCCGGTCAGTTGTGTGTTCCAAGTCGTCACAACATCTCCTTCGCACCGCCCCTCTCGTTCGCAAGCCCCGACACCCTCCTCGAAGTGTCGCTTTGCCCCCATGCAGCGGAGATTTTGCAATTCCCTCCATCAACCGGACTCCATGATTCTCAGTGTTGCATTCCACCACCTCCACATCTCCCCAACCACCTCCATCTCCATGCTGCTCACTTCCTCTCCGTCTCCTCCCTACTCCTCTCCTATCTCCCTTCCTGATACTCACCAGGGACCGCACGACAGAACCGCGACTTGGGGTACGGCTTGTTCTTCTGGTAACGGTAGCAACGAGCGGGACGGCGACCCATTTTTGTGTCTTCCTAAAAGAGTGCAATAGAACAAAATTGGTATGGTGCACTAGGGTGTGCTTCGGTAATTTCCCAAAAATGGTCGATGCTGAAGTGGGCAACTGCCGCCAAGGCAATGCCTCTCCCTTATATATGTCCCCCCTCTTACTAAAATTACTCTCAACAGCGGTCCTCCTTCCGGGACTACTCGCCCACTATCCACGTATTACTAATCCCCTCTTACCTATGGTCCTGTGAGGGATGAACAAGGGAAATATGACCTTCGGTGGTGGGAAAAAGGTGGGAAAGGTTGGGAGCGGCTATCGCGGGCGCCCGGGGGCAGGGGAGGCAGTGGGCCAGTCGCGGCGTGTTAGTAATCGGGGGAAGTCAGCGCCCCCCTCTGTTTACCGAGGGTGTTTGCGTGTGGAAAGATGACGAGGGAGGAGGGCAGGGAAGAAAAGCTGCAGTCACGTGAGCGGGACATTACTCATCCGTGCGACGTTGTGTTACTTGCGGGTGCTGTCGATCGATGTTGCAGGTACCGTCATTTTGAAATCGCCCTTTCCCCGAGCCCCAGCTTGCGATGCAGTGTCAAGAGCACAGACGGTGTGCATGGAATATCCAGACGTGCTAGTTTATCGATACATGTGCACTGCAAATGGAAGATTCGAGCGTATAATCCCTCTTCTGGAGAACACAGAGCGCCACTCTAACTGGGGCACGCATTGAAAAAATCCCGCACACAGGACTACTTCGAGTAACGGCCAACCTTTCCACTGCGCGCTAGTCTGTGAGTGATACCATTCTTGCAAATAAACAGAATGAAGGACGAGGGGGATTGTACATGCGACGCTAGCGACTGCTGACGATACCGCTATCTCAAATAAAGCTGAAGGACCTTTAACTATAACGCCATCGGACCACTCGCTACGGCACTCTATCCTCGGAACAGTCTTCTACGCCTTCCATCCGACCGCTGTATCGCATCCCTCGCTCAGTCGCACCCAGCGCCGACGGCAAGCCCAAACGCGATCCATACGCCGGACCTCGCTCAAACATCGCCCCATCCATCAAACAACCCTCGAATTATGAATCTGAAACACCAACACATCCGAAGCGCCCACCGCCTCCAACCTATCCATAACACTCGCCGCCTCACTCTTGAGCACCATCGCGCTCACCGCCACCCACTCGCTATCCTCCAACGGACTCACAGTCGCCGCCTTCCTCCCCGGGGTAATCTTGATCGCCTCTTTGACCTTCTCGCGGTGAATGTTATAGTTGCACAGCAGGTACTTCTGGGCAGAGACGACGCCCTCGATGCGGCGGCGGAGGGTGTCGATTAAGGCTAGGTGCGCGGATGCGGGGTTGGTAGAGCGGTATTTTGCGCTGTTGGCAATGAGCACGGCTTCGGAGGTAAGGAGGGTGGATATGGCGTGGAGACGGGCTTCGCGCATGGTTTCGCCAGACTCGACGAGGTCGACGATGCCGTCGGCGAGACCGAGGGCGCAGGCGGCTTCGACGGAGCCGCTGGCGTGGTGGATTGTGGTGGTCGATGATGTGGAGATGGCGGTGGCTGTTCCCCCCGGTGCGGAAGATGATGTCGTGGAAAAGAACGCAATGAGCGCCCGAGCGGCTTCCTCTTCCGACGCTCCGGCCTCCAGCGCATCAAAAAAACTTCTTGAGACGTTTCCGAAACTCGTCACGATCCGCTTGCCCACCAGGTCCTTGGCCGTTTTGAACCCGCTCGCCACGGGCACCTGCACACACAACTTGCATTTCCCAAACCCTAGCTTCGTCAGAACTGTAACCTTCGCCTCATCCTTACTCGCACCCGCCTCCACATCCTCAGCGACAGCTTCTGCAATCACATCCTCGCCCGTGATGCCCAAGTCTACATTCCCGCGGCCCACATACGTCGCAATGTCAGCAGCTGGCAGGAACACGATAGCGAGGGGTAGGTTGGTAGAGAGGGCAATGTCCAGACGGTTGCGGCGGTGGAACTGGATATCGGCGCCTTTGAGGAGAGTCAGGCAGTGTTCGTTTAACCGGCCCTTCTTTGGGATGGCGAGAAGGAGGCGGTCGGTTAGGTCGGATACATCCATTTTGGTGAAGTGATTGCAGGGTGATAAGGTGAAAGGATGGTGATCGTTCCAGTGGGGAATGACCTCTGCGTGCTGTGCGTTGCTGTGGTGGACGGGCGAGAGAACGGCGGTAGTGTATCCGTTCTTATGTAGGCAACCGACGTCTCTCGGCGAGGGCTTGTCGTTGTCGTCGTCGTCGTCGGAGTAACTGTTGGAGATGCGACTGGCCGATCGACTTGTCACACCTCCGCGTTATTTCGATGACTCATGGACAATGACTCAACCTCTCCTCAGACTTGGGCGTGTTCTCATGTTGGGCAAGTTACCAGTGGATCGGGAACGCGAAAAGGGGGCGGACATGTTACTGTGCAGTCGGGTAGCAAAAAGCTGTCTCTCCTTGAAATCTCCCATCAAGCCGGACTCCACTCCATCTGGCCTCCTGCACAGCTCATTCCGCCGGTATTCCGCCGCACTCCTCGCTTGTCTCTCCGCTGCATTGTCGGCTTGCAAGTCGCAACCCGACTTTGCGCTTTCAATCTTGCAGCAAAGGTTTCACCAGACCCCCAACCTACAGTCATCTTCTCACACCGTACGCCACGCACCAATCGCTTTCACCACCGCCCACTCACACTAGAACCGCCCAATTCGTCTAACGATCCGCGGGCGCAAACAACACCGGTAACTTGGAAACACTGCGAGCATAACGATGGCACCCAAAAGCAACGCGGCAAATCAGCCTCCCGCAAAAGCAATGCCGTCACGCGAGAGAGACTGATGCCCGAACAGGCTGCTGCTGTGCTCAAGTTTGTCATGTACGATGGGTGGATGATTGGTTTTGAGGGGGGTAGCGATTTGCGACTTATGTGAAACGCATGTAAGGTCGAGTCGAAGAAACAGTCGGTAATGCAGTATCGGATGCAAGTACCTTGATCAGTAAGTTGTGATTTAGTGACAGGGTGGCTTGGATTCATCCACCACATCCTGTTAAGAAAAAAGACGGAAACCATCCCCAATATTCAACCTGTAGCCCCTTATGCATCTATCCAGAGGGTCGGAGGACTTCTTTCCAGTGCGAATAGGCCGTTAGACTCGAACGACATCGATTGCCAACCTTCGCGATGTGGTTGGCAGGGCAGGGGGGACGCGGCATCAGGAAAACCTTCGAAGGCCGTAAAGGAAGAGTTTCAGAGCCTTGATGTTAAACAGCGCCGCCCTGGGGAGATCAGTAACACTTAGAGCCCAGATGGTAGTAAATCAACCGACGGTGGTCCAACGTCTACAAGAGGATCTTGCTTGGCATACGAATATGACGAGGGGCGCATCAAAAACGCTGCAGAGCTTCGTGGATGTTCTCGAACTTGTGGGCGAATTCAAGTGTATTCGACCATGGCGACGGATTGTGCGCTTGCAAGTACGGAGGGTCGAGTGATGCCGATACATACGAGATGAAGTGGGATCTATCGGAAAGCTTCCCGGCAGGATTCAAGCTGTATTGGCAGCAACGTCACCACCTAGCTGTCATACGCACCAATGCATATGGTATTATGGACTGTGCGTATGCTGGCGGATTTTTCCTTTCCCTTTTTTTTTTTTTCGTGGAAGTCTGTCCGTTTGGGAGGTAAAAAGGCGGCGTGACGCGAAGTCAACGCGTTACTGTTAGCAGCTGACGCATCGCGTGCCCCCAGTGTCAAATGTCCGACGGAGAAGTCTCACCAGTCCGCGGACATCCAATCCATCCGCACCCATCCCCAATTGAGAGACTTTCTGGTTAGGGTCGTACGGGAAACCGCGTCGATTAGATTAGGCCGCTCATTAGAACAGCACAAACAACAACGCACGCATCGACGCGAGAAATCAACGCACAAACAACAACACAGGCTGGCAACCGAGTCGCCTCCCGCTTGCGCTCAGCTGCAACCATAAGTGGCCCCTACATTCCCACGACCTCCACTCCCAGTCTCCCTCTCTCCAGGATCCACTCCAACAAACTTCACTCGACACCGCTACCCACAAACGGAATGGTCGACCCAACACCAACTCCTCCCGCCGCGACGCAGGCTGAGCGCCACGAGCTGATCATTGATACCGACGTCGGCATAGACGACGCCACGGCTATTCTGGTGGCTTTTCAACACCCGGCCGCCGATATTAAGGTGTGTTTGAGGGAGTAGGAGGGGCAGTGGAGTGGGAAGATTTGAATGGAAAGGATGGCGGCTGGCGAACGAAAGCGAGGAGGGCAGGGACTGCTTGAGGTTCCAAGCGAAGCGAGCAGAATGCCGGCAGCAGCGAGAGGCGAGCGACAGCGAGCCAACTGTGCCGGCAGGCATAGGAGTGCTTGAGAATGGCGAGCGGTTGTAAGCCGAACGGTTTGACGCCGAGAGCGATCGTTTGACTCATTTCTCTTCGATGAGGACAGGCCTTTACGATCGTAGACGGCAACGTCGACCAACCCCAAGCCGTCAAGAACATCAAGACACTATGCGCGGTCGCCAAGCGTGAAGACATCCCCATCTACGCCGGTGCCGACGGGCCCATCCTGCGCGGTCTGCACAAGAAGGAGCTGTGGCCTGGGCATGGCGACGACGGATTGGGCAACATCACCACCAACAACAATAACACTGACGACGGCGCGCTGGCGTTGCCTGGAGATGGCCATATCCCAACCCAGAAGGAGGTGGCTGCCGCCGCCATTGTGAGGATGGTGAATGAGAGGCCGGGAGCGTATACGATTGTTGCTGTGGGGCCTTTGACGTGAGTGAGGGGTCGAGGGAGGGACATTCTAGTCTGCAAGGCCGTTCGTCTGTGGGGGAATGTCAATTTCATAACATGGACATGGGAACTGATGATGTCATTTGGCGCATTTTCAGAAACATCGGCATCGCTCTTACTCTGGACACTGAGCTACTGACAAAGATCAAGGGATTGTACATTATGGGTGGATGTCTGTTTGGCAAGGGAAACGCCAACCGCGCTGGTACGACATTATCTGTTACCATCCGAAGTCGTGCAAACAAACTAACCCCTCATCCCTCCCGCACCAGCCGAATTCAACATCCACTGCGACCCCGAAGCCGCCCACATCGTCTTCCAAGCCGCCTCCACTCTCCCCCCACGCCCCACCCCCATCATCACCCTCCTCACCTGGGAACTAACCGTCGAGCACGGCTTCCCCTGGTCCTTCTTCGACTACCTCACGCAAGACTCCCCCGTCAACGCCCACGGCAAGTTCCTCCGCACCATGAGCAAATGCGCAGAGACGCTCTCCCGCGCGCAGCATGAGTTGCTTGGAGGACCCGGGCCGACTACGCCTACTGCTGTGTTGGTGGAGAAGGAGGAGCTAGGAGTGAAGACGGATGAGAAGACGGGGAAGAAGGTGCGCACGAGGAATACTCATGAGGAGTATTTGTATGGTGCCAATTCGTTCCTTATGTAAGTCCGCATAACCCACCCTTTTTCCCTTCCCCTCACCCAAAACTGACATCTACTCTTTCTCCCAGGCCGGACCTCTACGCCGTCGCAGCTCTCCTCGAACCCACCTCCGTCACCTCCTACAAAGACTGGGACGTCGGCGTCGAGCTCAACGGCATCCACACGCGCGGGATGACCCACATGGACTGGTGGGGCGGGCACGGCAAAGGGCGCACGGGCCCGAATGCGAGGGTTGTGCTGGCGATGGATAGGGAAGTGGTGAAGGAGATGCTTGTTAGGACTTTTAAGACTGGGTTTTAGAGGTGTAGATGCGGTGGAATGGAGGACGTTGGGAGTATTCTTAGGTGGAAGTAGGTAGCTGAGCGTGTCCTTTTTTAGATAGACTTTTCATTCTTCTGCTATTTGGAAAATCATATGAAGTTAGCATCACTTGTTCCTGTTGCCTTTTCAAAGTCTGCCATGATTCTTCTTCAAATTCACATCACACAAAACATGGTGGAAACATGGAATGCGCCAGTTGAGTCTCGTTTCCCGATCCATTCCGCTATCCTACATAATCCATCGTGCCCTGGCCGGGGCCGTGGGCTTACGCGTTCTCGCACCTCGAGTTCACGCGCTCATGTTCGCTACGCCTTCACGAAAAAGGAGCTCAACTGAAACGAATGCCCTCATCGCCCGTCGCATCGGCTGGGTCACAAGTTACGGTGAATTCCAAAAACACGCACAGCCTTTTCAAAGACTATCGTTCCTCCCCTCGAAAAATGCCCGCAAGAGCAGCCCGCCCGCGTCGGGATATATGTACACAAGCATCGCATCAGTCTCAGACCCCCACCAAACGCACCAAACTACGCCTTCACCACCGCCCCATCCACAAACGCCTCTTCCTGATTGATATCAAAAACATATACGCCGTCAACCATCCCCTTCACTTCTGTGGCAAACTTGACGTGTGCCGGATGCGCGAGGTACGTGTCCCGGTCGTCGGTGGACGCGAACACTAGGAGGAATCCATGGGTGTGGCCTGGCGGACCATGATGTCAATCATCTCAAACGACTGGGTCCGAGAGCACTAGAGGAACTGACTGACCTTGGTGTAAGCCCTCGGGACTGGAGTTCTCGCCGCGGATGAAGCTTCTGATCAGCGGCGTGCCGTCCGGGCGAGTGACGGAGGTGTTCAGCGACGTGAAGTGCCGGACAGAGGCTGATATTTCTGGAGAGGCGAGGGTGGGTTTGTATTTGAAGGAGACGAAGTGGTGGACGGGTGGCATGGTGGAGATGTGTTCAGGGGGTTGAGTGGGTTTTGGGGAATGGCAGCGTCTTTGCTCCAGTCATTCGCAGCCAAGTCCTGTTTCATCATCTCAGGGACCGGTGCACGATTACTGACCTTACAGCCGTCAGATTTTCGACGGTATTGTTGAAAAGAATTACACTGTCGGCGGACGACGTGCTTGGCATAATATGACAAGATGACAAGCTACAGCCCCAGACGCCCGCTATATACTTGTATGTACGCTGGGCCGAGGGTTGTCCCATTACCCGTCCCAAAGGTCTCGTATCATACTCGACCCGGTACTTCCCGCGCTGCGTGAAGCCGGACACTCACAAGTGAGTGCCAGAAAGTCCAACGCACACGACAGTCCAACGAACTTTTTCAACAAAGCTACAGTGTACGGTGGCCAGATATCCGGGGGCGACGGGCTCGCCAAGCCGCCGTCAATTTCCGTACTTCTTCAGATGTGCGGGTAGGCCGGCGACTTCTGGAAAAGTGCGTTGGACTGTCATGTGCGTTGACTGTCCGGCGCTTTCTCCAGAGAGTGCCGCCGGAGCGCCATCGGCGCGACTGCGGGCGAGTATGATACGCTTGGCAGGGGTATCTGGAGAATCTGTGAAATTGTCGCGTGCCTATCGGGTGTGCTCATGGCGAACATACTGTGTCATTGGAGGGGCCTGTTTGCAAAAAAACGGTATCTTTCCACAAACCTTCCGAGGACGGAGTAGGACTTATGTTCAGAACGTTCGAGAAGCGGCTACCTGGATCTAACGCATCAGTCAATAAGTGAAATACAGCCTTAGCAACAATATCGAGAGGAGCGGTTCTTTTGTATCCGGAAGGAGGAACAGAGCAATCCCGGCGGCGAGGGTTATTTGGGAACCAGAATTGCCTTTATAAAAATGAAAAAGCAAACATCAGATTTAATAGTCCCCATGGGCGTGCACGTGCTTGTGGAGCTGAACTTTATTCAGTCCATCACTTCGCAGACAGAGCTCCCCTGTTGCCGAGGTCGTTGGCGTTCATTTTCCTGCGCTTCACTGACAACCCGAACTTCCGTTTAACGCTGTCTCGTCTCTGCTCCCTACAACTGCTCCTACAACCTCCTCGCCATCCCAGCCTTATTGAGCAACGACCAGTCAATGTCTGTTTTACAGTTTGTTCAGAATGCGGTTCTCCCTGCTATCCCGCGGCACTCTCGACTTTCTTCCAGCTCGACAACAACTCCCTCACACCCGCTAACCGACTTGAGCGTTATCGAGGAGTGGGTTGACTTCCCCCATGCGGTTCGGTCGAATCGCTCTCTCCTGAGCGGAAGTTTGTTCCAAGGAACCATCAATAATACGCTTAAAACTCCCGTCTCATCTGAGCAGAACGTCCAAGCTTTTGCTGACGGTACTTTGCACCAGAGCTTGACGGATATCCTTGAGGCACTGGGCCATGCCGGGTATCACATCGTCGACATTACGGGCACCAAATCGGTAATCTTGGACCCGGACCGGATTCTTGACGGTGGCGAGGAAAAACCCATTCTGACGATAGAATTCAAGACCCCTTGGGCTTTTCCAAAACTACGCCAACTTGTTCAGACCTACCAGAGCGCGCAGCCCAAATCGAAAGTTCGCCGCGATGTCAATCAAATCTATGGGTACATGACGTTTAACCACCACCGCTACGGAGTTCTCACGACGTATGAGGAAACATACTTTTTGCAACGCGAATGGTCTGAGCCTGGCGGCCGTCTCCAGGTAGCAGGACCATTTAGCTACGACAGAAGCTCCCCTTTCACCGTCTTAGAAGCTTATACCACTCTTCTGTTACTCTGCATCGACAATTGGTTTTATGTGTCGCCCACCACCTCGCCGGCGCCATCCCGATCGGTATCCGCTTCTGCATCCCCGTCAACTTCGCGCCCGTCCACACCAATGCCATACATTCTCACCGATGTCGATATCAATGATGTCATGTTCAACAAAGGACGAGCCAGGGCCCGCATGGGTGCGGTGGTGGAGGGAACGTTCCGGGGAGCAAAGGTTATCTTCAAGATAGTCGACGAAAGCAAGAACCATCAATTCTCAACCGAGCTAGACAATGAAGTAGACCAGTATCGCGCCCTTGCACACCTCCAGGGTCGTACCATTCCCCGTTTTCTGGGGTACATTCGAGTGTGGAACATGCTGAAAATCCTGGGGCTGGAAGACTGTGGGGTTACTTTGAAGAAATCGGACCTCACTCCTCAGCTGATTGACGAATGCTTTGCTTGCCTGCGTTCGCTACACCAATCCGGCATCGTGCATGGAGATGTCCATCAGGGAAATTTCGTCTATCACCCGAGCTCTGGAGTGCGTCTGTTGGATTTGGGTTTCGCGCGGACGGGACCAGCGACTGACATGGAGGAGGAGTTCGAGGAGCTGACCACCGATCTTGAGTGACCGCACAACATACTCACGCCATGTTCTTTTGTAGAGTCCTTCGCAAGCTCCTATTGATAAGCTCCTACGAACTATTTCAGCCCTACAAACGGCCCGTGAAGTCATCCAGACTCAACCCAGCTATAAACTACGATACCCAATAGGAGCTTGCGAAGACTCCACAAAAGAACATGGCGTGACTGAGTCTGGATGACTTCACGGGCCGTTTGTAGGGCTCAAATAGTTCGTAATGACACCCTCAAAGCATGATTAATTGCGATGGGAGTCCTTGCTGAGTAGAATAGTTCCCGTAATTGCTTCTCTCTCCCACCCCGAAACGATCATGCAAGCACGAGTTGGGAATGTCTATATATCTATTGACTGACTTGGGAGATTGACAGTTCGACTCGCAAGGCAGCTTGTGCACCAATAAATGATTTTCTTGCGCTCCTACTTATATCCGCTTCAACGAAATGCCATGGCGGTCTCTTTCTACTTCGGGCGGATGACATCCGCACTGACTGCATAGACGGGAGGCGGATGGTTGCGAAGGTTTCTAGATTTACCCTGGGTCCAGCCCTACCTGCATACAAATCCAAAAAGGGTGATCATCAATCCACTCGAGAGCCTCGGCCTTGACTTCCTAGAACCCGGACACTAACTGTTTGTCGGGGCGGATGGCACAAGAGCGTCGGGGAAACGAGTTCTGTAAATTTCTTCGCAGCTTGCTGGCCCCCCCTCCTCGCAAGGTTTCTCGGTGAAGATGTGAGTTCTGCGCCACACAGTGCTGGCGGTATTTGGTCAATAGGCTAGGTTTCACTGTGTAAGTGCTTATGAGGGCTTGTCTTCGTTTCCGCACCCACTTCACAGCCTCCCATGCGTCAAATGCGCAACTCAATTGCAAATTATCTGACCCCGCAATTCGCCTTGAATGCACGACTGGAACGAATATCATCAACCTTTCCTGTTCAACTTCGGGCCAAGCATCACCCCGGCGTACCTCAAATTCGGCAGGATGGTAGTTGCCCTTTCGACGATGGTCAAGAGAAGCTGAATGCGGGTGGGCGGGCAGGATGGAGACAAATGGCCGTGCAAAACGTGCTTCTCACCTTCCTTAAAAATGCCTTCTAACAGAACCAAAAAAATTAGTTAAAAAATGGAGAACGAAGCGGTGAAAGAAGAGGTTCTTTTGTGCGGACCGGTAAAGAAGAGGCAGTGCACACGGCCGGGTTTGCGTGGTATGTACGATGGGAGTTTAGTTTGAACTGGATGTGGGTGTTTACGCGTATCATGTCGGCAGCAAACGCGTATTATGCCAGAGTATGTATGCACAGGGCCATGCGGGGAAACGAATGTAAGAGTGATCTTGCGCATCGAAGCTTAGGAACGCAGAAATGCATTAACCCGGTCAGGGCATCTTTCCTCTGGATCCCTCCGCTTCCTCCATTTGTCTTTGCCCCCGCGACTTATCACCTCAATATATACCTACAACCAGGATCTATCACGCTCCGCTCGGCAGCTGTCTAACTAGTCTACCCCTAACCCGAGTTACTCACCTCTAGCACGAGTTACCCACTCCTAGCCATCCCCCGCTCTGGGACTCGCTGAATATTGTACGCGAGCCAAACTCCGAGGTCTAGAAGGCCACGTCGAGCTTGCCCCATTATCAGGTAATTGCGGTCCTCCAAAGCAGTGTATGTACGTGAGGTCTTCGTGTCCTGGCGGATAGAACCTTCGATTCTCGTTGACTATTATCGCGAACGGGAGACTTGTGGTTTCACTGAAGTTGTGTCTGAGGAGTCGCCGTTCCCTTTCGAAGAATGCCGAGTTCCAGGCTTTGCAGGTTAAGAGGCAGTTGAGATAGTCGCGGGGCGATTCAAGTGCCACCAAGGTAATAGCTCCGGCGGTAGACTTTGGTGGCATCGTAGACTCAAGGGCGTCTTTTGGGGAGGAGAGTAGTTGGAGATGGCGAGGTGGATGGACGTACAGAGAGGGTGCCACTGTTAAGAAGCAAGATCAGCGGATCTGCTGGAAGTGAGACTTTGCCCATGTAACAAGTCAGTCATGCAGCTCACCGTCTAAGCTATCGGACCTTGGACCGGGGTGAGATGCATTTCATCCTCAGAGTGAAAGAGTGGATTGCCCGAAAGATCATTTTTTTCGAAAGATGGGGAAAAGTGGGAATCTGGGAAGGGACGCGCGGGCTTTGTAGGGCCCCGCAACAGTTTGTGTCCACGAGAAGCTCATCCTCGACCGACGACGAGCCATTTGTTGCGCTGAATAAATTGGGAGCAGCGGCCGGAGACATCCTATTCTTACTATGTACACTATTTTACACCAAGTGGACCCCGCTGGATTGCCTAAGAATAATTTATACTCTACGCACAACGACTTCTCCATGCACATTTGCCCTTACTTCCGCTCCTTCCGCCTCTTCCATCCCTTCTTTGTGAACTGGTCCTTCTCTTCCTGGATGCCTAAGAATTTGCGCTTGAAATACGCTCGCGAGTCCGTGTCGGCCATCAATTCCTCGACGATGTTGTCCCGGCGTTCTTTGCGCGTCATTCGGCTGGAGTAGAATTCAATGGGGCCTTGGATGATTGTTCCCATCTGAGAAGGTGCATGATTAGCGAAAGTTGCTGAGGTCTTGAAGTGGTAGAGAAATAGAAGTTCTTACCTGGAAGAACTTTGGCGGGTTGTTCAGGGTGCCCTTCTTGTAATGCCGTTTTGGGTCCAGCACCGAACGAGATTTGAGAATATGAAGGTCGCGTTTGATCTCGTCCGTCAGTTCTGGCGCAGGCATGTCAAACCATTTTGGGCCAGAGGTCTCCCTTGTCATCTGGTTGAGCGCCCAAGAATAAGCATCCCCTCCTACATCATTTGTTCTGAGAGGTTCGTAACCTACTGCCTTCTTCTTCTTTGCATCCCAATCCAAAGCCGGCGGCAGCGTCTCTGGTGCCGCCTGAACCACCAGCTTCTCGGGTCCGTTCTGCACCTTCTGCCTGCACAGCGCAACAGGGTCTTTCGGCTTTCCTGCGCTGTCCTTCTCCACCTCGGTTTCTATCACCACCGCCTTCTCCAAGTTGAGGCGGACAGGGCCCCTTCGTTTATCATTGTTGTCGAGGTAGACAATATCTCTCCGCTGGATTCCCGGGTCGAGTTTGACGGTTTCTAAGGGCTTCTTTTCGTTTTCTATTTGGAGGGAGCTGCGAGAGAGGCAAGTGGAATGAGGTCAACGGTTGTTCTCCGTGTTCCCTTGAAAACGTCACTTGCGTGCTTACATGACGGCAGCCTGGCGCTCTTGAAGAGCGCGGGTGGCCTTCTCCAGTAAAGAGTCGAGGTCGAGGTCAGCTGCGAGCGTCATGGTGATGGGGAAGCTTGCTGCAAATGCTTCGTTGGTTCAACTTGGTTGAGCGTCGGAGAAGTTGCGAACGGGGCAAAAGAATGAATGTTTAACATTCAATCCGCACGTGACCGATCTCGTGACCCGACAGGAAAGAACTTCGCAATGCCCAATTATCGCACTTTGGAGGTGTTGGTACTTCCAACCTCAGGACATTCCCCCATACAGCAGAAGCAACAATGGCAAAGAAGGCAGGAGGAGGAGGAGGAAAGCAAAAGTCGAAAGCCACGACCCCGGCAAAGGCCGCAGGAGCTGCCGCGAAAGCCGCTCGCGCCGCCAAAGTGACCCCGGCCTCGGACATCAACGCCTTCATTGAGGAGCAGCAGCTGGAAGTCGACCCTGAAGTGGCAGCAATGATGAAGGAGAACGACCCATCGGCCGTGAAGCTCAAGAAGGTCGGAGGGAAGAAGCAGAAGCACAAGGCGGCGGCAGTAGCTGTCGCGGCTGACAGTGAGGATGAAGAGAAGGAGGCAGCGGGAGAGAATGGAGCTGAGGAAATGGACGAGGAGGATGAACTGGAAATGCAGGCGTATCTGGAAATGATGAAGGGCAAGGGAGAAGAGGGTAGCGACGACGAAGAGCTGGTCGAGAAGGTGTATGCCAACAACACGGTATGCGTGGCGCGAAATAGTCTTACCCAAAACTTTGTGCCCTTTGCGTTCGCGGTGAGAAACAAACTCACACCTCTCGATCCACGTCCAGGTCGCACTATTGTCCCGCCTCGAAGACATCCGCCTCCCCACCACCCTTCCCTGGATCGAGACGCAATCCATCACCTCCCCAGCGCCTCTCGACCTCGAACAGGCAGACGTGCATGACGACCTGAAACGGGAGCTCGCGTTCTACAAGCAAGCGCTGTTCGGCGCAACAGAGGGCCGGAAAAAGATTCTGGCTGCCGGTGTGCCATTCTCCCGCCCGGACGACTTTTTCGCGGAAATGGTCAAGACGGATGAGCACATGGCCAGGGTCAGGCAGAAGTTGCTGGATGAGGCTGCGTCTATCCAGGCGGCAGAGAAGGCGAGGAAGCAGAGGGATCTCAAGAAGGTAGGGGGGTGGTTCTCCATATTATGACTTTATGCGGACAGTTTTACTGATCTCCAATTGACGTGTGAAATGAACAGTTTGGCAAGAAAGTACAACAAGAGAAACTGCTGGAACGCACGAAAACCAAAAAGTCCGAAATCGAAAAGGTCAAAGTCGCACGGCGGAAACACGCCTCCACTGAAAACGCGAACGACGACGGCAACGCCGGGGACGATCTGGATTTCGGTATCGAGCTGGACAAAGCCGACAAGGCCTCTCGCGGGGGTCGTGGCGGCAGCAGCGACGGTAACAAACGTAAACGCAAGGACGAGAAGTTCGGCTTTGGCGGCATGAAGCGGCACAAGAAGAGCAATACCGCCGACAGCGTGGACGATTTAAGCGGGTTCAGCGCGAAACGAATGAAGAGCAGTGTTGGTGGTGGTCGTGGTGGGGGTGGAGGGAGGGGGCGGGGCGCGAGTAGAGGTGGAGGGCGGGGACGTGGGGGTTCGAGGGGCGGGTCAAGGGGTGGGTCAAGGGGTGGAAGCCGTGGAAGGGGTTCGAGCAGAGGCCGGCGTTAAGCGATGACGTTTTTTGGTCGCGCATAGGCTTCGTAGGGGGTTGTGTGCATCGAGGCGAACTAGGAACGAGGGACTCTGGGAAAGCTGCACGACGTGGCCTGCATGTTCCCAGCGTGAACGGGCATCATTTTGCCGGTCGCTAGTCGCACTTCCCGACGCTATCACATGATTTCCACTCGTTTTGAGGGGAGAGAGAGGGGAACATGCACCTACGGCCTTTAAGGATCTTGGCGAGGGCATCATCGACACACCACGCCATTCGCATCACCATCGCATCTATATCGACATCACCATCATTGCATCCCCACATCCACATTCGCATCATATCATAGCGATGGAAAACTTCCCCTTCCGCACACATTCTTGCATGCACGCCGCAATTCGCGGAATCCCACCGTTGTATCTACTCCAGCCTCTACTGCGCCCCCTTTTGTCTGATATTTTATTCTTCTTATTTAAGATTTCTTGCATTTTAAACCTTCTTTGTCGGTGCGATTGATGATACAAATACATGTGCTGAACATGCAGCACCGCGCGCTTTCCAGAAATGAGGATTCCTTACGCATTGGCAAATGAGGCAGTCGCAAGTGCTGTTCACCAACACAGAGAGAGACGAAGTACACCCGCGCACCCTCAATAGTCGCAAGGGGCCGCCGTATGCTGTAAAGGGGCCCAAGTTTTCAACCTATCAGCTGTGGCGCAGGAAGTGACCTGGATCTGGAACGGACACAGTGCATTCCACCTCCGAGACCCAACGACCCGCCCAACATCGACCCGACGCTTGCAACGAAAATGTCCTCAAGTACTCGTACTCCCGCTTCCGCCGCACCGACGGCGCCCGTCTTGAACTTCTTGGAGTTGACGGGTACGTGAAGCGAGGTCCGCATTTCCATGTTTTGTCATGCGTCTGAAGGGAGGGCCTAACCAAAACCCCAATCATCCCAGACACCCTCATCGAATTCCTCGAAGTAGCCATCCACTACATCCTCTACATCCGCTCCGTGTACCCCGCCGAACTCTTCTCCCCCCGTCGCAAATACAACGTCCCAGTGCGCATGTCGCGACACCCCGTGCTAAACGGGTACATCCGCGATGTCCTCTCGGGTCTAACCCCCGACCTTCAACGCGGCACCGTCTCGAAACTCTATCTGGTCATCCACGACCCACGGACGAAACAGCCCTACGAGAAATTCACGTTCCAGATCCGGACGCTGACGGAGGGGCTGAGCGAGAGCATGTTGAAGAACGCGGAGAGTAGTATTGGGGTTGGGGATGTGGAGAGGCATTTGCGCGCGTTTTTGCTCAAGATATCGGTGTGTGATGCGTTGCTGGCGCCTAATCCGCCCGACGCGGCGTTTGCGATTCTGGTGGAGTTGAGTGAGGAGGCGAAGGGGCCGGTCAATGAGTTGGCGAAGGCGGCGCCGTGGATTCCGAGCGACCCGGGGCAGGTGGATGTGAGCGCTGCCGCGATTGTGCCGTTGAAGACTATGGATGCTGGGATATTGAAGATGCAGCTTTATGTGGAGGAAAGTGCGGAGAAAGGCGAGGCAAGGGATGTGGATTTGGGGAGTGGGAGTGGGGGTTGAAACGTGGGATTTGAGGGTTGGGTAGAGTTTGTATGGGATGTTATGTGCGTAGTCTGGAAAGAATCGGTGGCATTACTACTCCATTTGAAATCCATCCATCAAGCGGGATCGAGGCTGTCATGTACGGCAGACGATGTGCTTCGGGCACCACACTCTGCTTCATCACAGCATTAGTACGCAGGCGTAGAACGAGATCGCGGCTACAATCAATATATCTGCAACCACCCTTCGTCACCCACCGTTTTTTACACACCACACCCCTCACCATACGCACAAACCTTTTTCACTTGCGGAGAGAAGACTGCACTTACCTTCCCACTTACAAATACTAGACGAAGCTTAGTATATCAATGGCTTAGTAGAAACGCGCCGCTTCGGATACGCTTACCGTTACGCATGAAGTGTGGTGAAGGCAGGAGGGGATGGGCTTCGTGCCGATACTGGAGCAGTGGCACATTCAGACATGGATAGACGCGGACTGGGTTGGGCCTGCGAAACCCTTCCCTCAGCGCGTTGTTCACTTGCTTACGCTTCCGCGTTTTGACGTGATTTGACAGGGTTTAGGCTCCAGCGCTGTCGGCTTCGTAAGCGATATGATCCTTCTTTCCCTTTTTCCCAAACGCGGACATTAAATAAGCCCAAACTTCTTTCCGTTCCCAATGCGAATATGAGGAGCAGAACTCACCTTTTCTCCGACTCTCGCCGTTGCGTGTCTCCGCGTTCTCCTCAATGCTGCAATCCGCCGGGTTGAAACTCCGCCCCCCCTTCCCCCTCTCTCTGTCTCGCACCTTTGGTATACTGTACAGTCAGTGGACAAAAAGCTGTGTGCACCCCATATGGATTTCAATGACCGTTTCACAAAGCGCACCGCGCGTTTTGGAGCCGCAAGCTTGAGTATTGAAGCCAGCGACGAAGCCGTGATGGCGAAATGCACGCCAACATCTTCACCACCTCAGCTATGGGGAAACCTCTCACACCACAAAAAAGGGCAGCCATAGTTGCCCTCCATATAGCAGGCAAGACGACATCTGAAATTGCAAGGCAGGAGCACGTTCACAGGAATACTGTGAGGAACACTATTAAGAGGTTTGCGAACGAGAGTGCCACTGCACCAACCGCCTATCAATCGAAGAAGCCAACAGGAAGACCAGCTAAGTACCAGCCTTCTGATGATGATTTGGCTGCCTTCCGCAGTATTGTTGTTGCTGACAGTAGCACTCGGGAGAAAACACTAAAACAGATCACTTTTGAATTCACACAGCTCACCGGACTCCAGGTGTCTGCAAAAACAGTGCGTCGCTACCTACGGGACCTGCTCTATCTCACCTCGCGTTTCAAGGTCCGAAAGCCACTATTGACAGAGGACCATAAAGCAGCACGCCTTGCATTTGCACTGCAGCACCAAGACTGGACGGAAGCGGACTGGTCTCGTGTTTTCTGGACTGATGAGACGTCCTTTGAAATTGGCTGGGTACCTAAAATGCGGTGCTGGCGCTTACGAACTGAACGTTTTCATCCCAATTGCATCCAGGGCACCAGGAAGAGTGGACGAAAAACATTCATGTATTGGGGAGCATTCATTGGAAATGCAGTAGGTCCAATGAAAGAGATGCAGCGTGTTCAGCGAGAGGGTCAAAACCGTGGAGGGATTAACTCTCCTGCCTATGTGCAACATCTTACTGCTAACATGTTGCCGATGTGGCGGAATTTAGAGATTTTTCTTCCCAATCCTCTCTTCATGCAGGACAACGCCCCTATTCATACATCGGCTGAAACTCGACAGTTCTTTGATGAACACGGCATTGAGCTTCTTCCCTGGCCAGCGCAGAGTCCAGATCTCAATCCGATTGAGAATCTGTGGGCAATGCTCAAACGGAAGGTATCGAAAGCGAACCCTACCCCTTGAATGTTGGACAACGTTGTGCAAACTATATGGCCCACAATGCAGCCGCATCTTGATGCATTGACACGGTCAATGCCATCAAGAATGGCAGCCGTAATCGCAGCCAATGGGGGGACAACTAGGTATTAGCGAAATTCAGATCTAGATCCATTCATTTAGGTCAGGTTTCGCAATGCCCCAAGATTAAGGATGATGAGTTGATGTCGCGCAACGCGCGTCAGACACTGACTTAATCTGGCATGCACACAGCTTTATGTCCACTGACTGTACATGGGCATGCACACGGGGGGAACACTGCATAATGGGAACCCTATCCTGACGGGGAGTTCTGCCACCGCCCGCCACGGCACCACTCTCCGTCTCCATGGGACTTCCGGGTTCAAAAGAGGCTACTCCCTCGGTCAACTCAGTTTCTTCACGCCGACCACCAAACCCATACGGTAAGTTGAGTGCGCAGTGTATCGAACACACCTTCCAAGTGCATCTCGTATCATTTTGTTGCTTCTTGTACGCATGGCCAATGTCAGGTACGCCTTTGCGCGAGGACAATGCCCAAGATGGGATGCAACACCCCCGCGCCATGACATGAGGTAAGCTACGCCAATGCCGCAGTCCTCATCCAATTTTCGAGCGTGGGAGGAGCGTGGGCCGCGGTGCACACAAGGTACGCGTTTTCGGAATGGGGCCGAAGAAGGGCGGTTGGCAGGCATCGCCGTCTCCGCCTTACCAGGATCACCTCCCGGCGCGTAGGTGCATGCACGCACAGTATGATTGAGTGCCACGGTGTAGAAGTGTCAGGCCTGGTGGGTTAGGCAAGCGATGCCAGGAGATACCCCCCTCTCGTCCTTACAGTACTCCAAGGTCCGAGCGAGATTCTGGCCATACCATTCCGTTTGGTACCCCCTCTCCAGGAAATGAATGGGAGACGCCTTTGCAGAGGACTGCTTCACCGGTTCTAACCGCCAAGTTCCATCAATGTGTGGTCCGGAAAACATCCCTCTCAATCCGTCACCTAGAGACGTTGAACCACCTGCGCTTCGATCAGTCAGCCGTGTGCCAATGCTGTTCCTCCGGGGCTATGTACTGTATGCAGGGCATCGATGGATCGACGCTGGGATCGACGAGACGAGACGAGACGCGCAGCAACGCCCGCAGCGGCCGCCGTCCCTTCTCCGACTTGCCCACCCAGTGCCCACGCTCCATCCAGCAACCGCACTCCCACGGACGAAGGATTAAGGAACCACTCTGCACTCTCAAAGACTCGCTCGTACTCGCCTTTCTACATCTACTTCATATCGCCCGCTTCTAATAGTGTCAAGATGAAGGTAGGCCGCCGCCGCCCGGTGCCCGATGTCATGTCATATCCGAGTGCACACTAACCCGCTATGTCTTGTAGATCATCATTGCAGGAGGTGCTGGTTATATTGGCTCCCATATCGTGCGGGAGCTGTCGAAGCACTCTCACGAGCTGGTCATTCTGGACAACCTATCCACAGGTACGACTAGGTGAAATCGCCCGTCCCGATGCCCTGAATTCACACCTCATTCCCAACCTCCCCCATCCAGGCCACACACAATCGATCCCAAAGGGCGTCGCATTCGAACAAGGTGACATCCGCGACAAAGCCTTCCTCGAAACGGTCTTCTCCAAACACGTCCCCGACGCCGTCTTCCACTTCTCCGCCTCCATCGAAGTCGCACAGAGCGTCGCGGACCCGCTGTCTTACTACGAAAACAACGTGTCCGGGACCATCACCCTCCTGCAAGCGATGCAGAAGCACAAGACAAAGTACTTCATCTTTTCCTCCACGGCCGCGCTGTTCGGGATGCCCGAGCGCGTGCCCATCGAGGCGGACGATAAGACGCACCCGATCAACCCGTACGGCGAGACCAAGCTGGTGGTTGAGAAGCTGCTGCAGTCGTGCGACGAGGCGTTTGGGCTGAAGTCTGTGTGTTTGAGATATTTCAACGCGTGTGGGGCTGATGAGGCAGGGGACATTGGAGAGGACCATACGCCCGAGTCCCACTTGATCCCGCTGATCTTGCAGGTCCCGCTGGGCAAACGGGAGAAGATCTTCATCTTTGGGGACGATTACCCGACCGAGGATGGGAGCTGTGTTAGGGACTATGTGCATGTCACGGATCTGGCGTCCGGGCACGCTTTGGTATGTGTGTGGTCGATTGGGACTGGCGTCTCGACCGGTTCGTCCATCTCTGACCCCGTCATTACCCTGTCCGCAGGCCCTGGAGTACCTAGCGAAACACAACATCTCCAACCGCTTCAACCTCGGCTCCGGCGAAGGCTACTCCGTCAAGCAGATCATCGAAGCAGCCCGCCGCGTCACGGGACATCCCATCCCTGCGGAAATCAAACCAAGGTGGCGTACCATATAAATTTCACCCATTCCCCTCCCCCGCACCCGACTCAACCTGAATATGACATTTTCTTGGTTTAGACGCGCCGGCGACCCCGCAACCCTGATCGCATCCTCGGAAAAAGCCGAAAAGATCCTCGGCTGGAAACGCAAGTACGACACGATCGACAGCATCCTCGCGACCGCGTGGAACTTTCATCAGAAGCATCCGAAGGGGTTCTAGGGCGGATTACATTTACCTCAGCGCCTTTTCCTTCGGGTTGGTGTGATGATTGTCGATGACGATGTACGGCGTTTGCATACCTGGGCTAGCTGCTGTCGGTGTCTACGTAGTCCCCCCCGAAGAGCATCCCGTAGAGTACCACTAGCTTTCCGACACCGGCGTACTAACCTCCCCCTCTCCCGACTCCCCACTGTATCATCCATCTTGTGAACCCTAATGAACAAGTTTTTTGTAGTGTGGGACCCTCCGTAACAGTAGCGTTTTCATTAAGCCGTAAGCATATGAGCAGTATCCAAAAAGAGTTAGCCAAATTCCCCAGATTGGCAGAAGGTAACAGCTAGTAGGGGATGATCACGTATATGAGGGTATGGGGGCTAGTTAGATAAATGGAGGGGGTATATCCTCCACCGGGGATACTCCTCGCCGCACCATCACAGTCACCTCTCATATGCAGCCGGTAACGATTGTATCCCCCCACCGACCCCCGCAAAAGTAACCCGCTCAAGCACCCTCTTCAACTCCTCCACCCTCCCCTCCAGCTCACGCGCCTTTTCGTCAAACTCTGCCTTGTGCCGGCCGCCGCCGCCGCTGCCGCGGGAGGCGATCCAGGCGAGCACGATGGATTTGGCGGACTTGAAGAAGTGCTCGATCGTGGCGAGGAGGTGCGGGATGGTTGACGGGGTTGGTAGCGGGCGGGTGAGAGATTGGGGGTGCGATGGTGGTGGGGTTTGCGATGGTGGTTGTTGTGATGGAGGCCGTGATAACGAGGCATCTGTCGAAACCGCCCGAGCGCCGGTGGACTCCTCAAACGACGGCGGCAGATCCTCCCCTTCCCCCACCTGGGGCCCACCACCCCCCGCCGCCCTGCCCGGGCCGGCCCTGACCAACAGCTCCGCCTCAAGCACCATCATGTTGAACGGCACCGGATTCCTCGGCCACCTCACGCTCCCATCGCTCGCGCCAAACCCTTCCACAAACACGCCGATCTGGGCCTTCAACAGCGCCAACATCTCCAATAGCTCCTGGGCGTGGTCCGCCGGGTCCGTGACCGAGTCGGATGTGAGGAGGGAGGGCCAGTCGTGTTGCAGGGCGGCGATGTCGTCGAGGGATTGGGTGAGGTCGTCGAGGGTTTCGGCGAGGAGGGGGAGGAGGAGGTCGGGGTTTGCGAGGACGGTGGTGGAGGAGGTGGAGGAGCGGCGGGTTAGTTGCGCGGTTAGGGTGGGGACTGTGGGTTCGTCTGGGGTGATGGGAAGGAGGTGGGGGCGGTAAGCGTGCGTGTTATCTCATATGTGGGGAGTGCGGAGTATACAATGCAGCTTTGGGGATGATGGCGCTTACCTTCGACGACGCCGGTTAACGCAAAGGGTATAACGGCACTGATCTCCCTCTGGTTCCCTCCAAACGCCTTCGCCGCATCCGCTATCGTGACCGTGACCTTCACCGAGTACGTCACCTCGACATTCGCCCTGCTCAAATCGTCCACGGGCGGCGGGGTAGACGCCACAAACCCTTTCTTGTTCTCCACCTGCATCGATTCCGCCGACCGCTGCCAGTCCAGGAGCGGGATCTCGGCGGGCACATCGTTCTTCTTGGGCCGGTTACCGACGCCCGCGCCCATCATCATCGTGTAGGAGCCCGTGAAGGTCGAGTTGGCGGCCGGGTCGTACCGCGGCGCGGGGTTGTCTTCGAACAGCGCGACGGTGGCTTTGAACTGCAGTGTGTCGCGGCTCGGTAACCGCATCGAGACGGCTTGCAGACCTTTGAGCTGCACGCGATGCACTTTCTGCGAGGGCTGCAGGTGCGTCACCTCCACATCGACCTTCAGATCGTCGTCCATGGTGCATAGCGGTTTCCCCACGGTGGCTTTCAACACCACCTCGGGGTTCCTGGACCGCCCAAACGACAACAGTGGCGCTTTCAACGCCTGAGTGGCGACGCGCGCCGCCTGCTGACCAGCAGCACCCAGCCCGCCGCCCAATCTATGCTCGACCAAAAAATGCAGCGTCGCCCGCGACCGCCGCTGCATCGAAGCGGAACTCGTGTCCGTCACTACGCCGTTCATGTCCATTCCCCAACCCCCGCCGCCGTCGTTGCTGTTGTTCGCTCCCGGTGCCGACAGCGTGTTGTGCTCACCCGCTAGCGTGCTGCGCCGCCCGAGGTAGCCCACCACCTCCCAATGCACGCCGACGGGCAGGCCGTCATGCAGGTCTGTCGGGTTGAAGGCGAGCGAGGGTGAGAGCGGCTCTACGCCAAAGTGGAAAGTGAAGGGGTATTGGCGGCGTTGCTGCGGTTGCGGCTCGCCCGTGGGTGATGTTGGGGGGTCGGCGGGTGCGGCTGATAATGGTTGTGTGGATGTGTAGAGCGTTCGTCGGACGACAGAGCCCAGCCCTGTCTTGTACACCATGATACATCGCACTTCCGCATATGGCGCTAAAAACACAACGCAAACGTATCAGTGTATACCCCACAAGAATCTCAACTCCTCCCAATATTACCATATCGCTCCAAAACAACCCGCTGCTCCCCATCCACGGGCTCCATCACATTCACAACCCCCGTCAGCGGTGACCACCTTCCCCCATCATACGCCACCACCCTTCGATCCTCCACAAATACGCTGATGACCCTATCTTTCGAATGGCGGCCTATTAGCGCCCGTGCCCGCCCGCCGCCGCCGCCGCCGCCGCCACCGGTTCGAGGAGGGCCCGGGGAGGTGTCGAGCGGTATGGGTGGTTTTTCGGAGAGGGATGCTTGGGAGGTTGCTGTTGCCATTGTACGTTTCTTGTTCTTCTATGGTCTCTCTGTGTGAGGGTGATGGATGGGGGAATGTAGCAAGCACTCTCGGGCTAGTGTCTGGGTGGGGGATGGATGGGGGGGTATCTGGGGTTGTTGTGCAGTCCTCATTGCCTTCGTTTGCGGTTCGTCGTGAAGCCACTTTTCTTGAGGGCACTTGTTGGGTGTCGCCATTCGGGAGGGAGGTCACGCGCCCATTCCGCCCTCCTCCAAGTAGCACAGGAACATTCGGCACTCGGCACAAATAAACGCACAACCGCTGACGTCGAAACTCGGAATGTCCCAGCCCATTAACGACGCAGATCAATCGTCCGCTGCATCTCCCGACGGAAGCTTCAACAAAACGTAAAAGGCAAATCAAGCCGGTGAGGTCAAACGTGAACGGCGTCCCGGACTCCGCCGTGTAAGAGCAATGTTGCGCCAGTTCAGCACCCTTGAGCGAACGGTATAACATCCAACCGACTGGCCATTGACTGCTCTTTGCCCCAAGGAAACCCAGCGGAACATCTCCATTTCATAAGTATATTCATAAGTAACATCAAAAATTCATCGAGCCGAAAAAAAACGGGGGGGTGGCATCAACAACGACCATGCGTATATTGCGCGCGGGGAGGTGGAGAGATAAGGGTGGGTAGTGTGAGCGAATGTGTGAGTAGACGTTGTCGACCTCAAACACACTTAGTGACCGACGCCGTTGGTGATAGCACCGGTCGCGTTAAGGGGCTTGCGGACGGTGAAATAGAACATGGGTGTCATCAGGTGCTGCTCGCCGGCGGCGACGAGGGCGTCGGCGGCCAGGTTGAGCAGGCTGGACACCTTGCGGGTGCCTGCTGGTGCCAGGCGGGCGGTTTCGAGGGTGAAGACCATCTTGTCCGTCATCCTGTAGGAATCATAGTGGAAAGGTAAGGTGAGTTTCATCAAGTCAAGTGATATGGAGGGATTTGCGAGACGCCTACCATCGACCAATGGGCGTCATCCTCCATCGGCCAATCTGCTCCATATTTAAAGAGTAGCTGCCCTTCAAGGGGAGGTACCACGGGTCCTGGGCATCCGCCAACGGGGAGTTGGGGTCCGCAAGATCGCAGTACTCCTCAATCTCAAACCCGACGCTCCTCAACGCAGCAAGACATTGTGGGATGGTGTAGAGCTTAGAGATGGAGTTTCCTTCCTCGACGTCGTGGATGACCTTGAGCTGCTTGGGGTCGTTGGGGTTGTAGCGCTCGGTGGTGAGCCACTCGTAGCAGGAAAATTTGGAGCCTGGCTTCAGGACGCGGAAGATCTCGCCGTAGACGTTCTCGAGGCGCGCGGCGTGGCAGGTCGCTTCGATGGCGTAGGCGGCGTCGAAGCTGGCGGCGGGGAAGGGCATGGCTTGGAAGTCACCCTGATTGAGAGGTCGGACAAATCCAATTAGATTTCGTTCTGATGTGTGTAGAATGCCGTCGACGAAAGACAACCCGTCTCTCGTAAAGCCTACCTTCTGGGCCTTGCAAATGGAAGACAGACCGAGGTGCTTGGCGAGGTGGTTGCAACGCTCGACCTGGTAGGCATTGTTGTTAAGACCAGTGATGGTGGCACCGCTGAACTTGGCGATTTCCCTCAAAGGACCACCTAAATGACAGAGGCAGTGTCAGTAAAACATCCGTACATTGGGTGATACTCTTGCCGCTGAGCCCTTAGGACTAGCAACCCTGTGATATGTATTTGCGTACTCACCGACACCACAACCGACGTCGACGCACTGCATGCCCGGCTTCAAGCCCAGCTTGAGAGCAAGGAAGTCCTCGTGCTGCGCCACGCAGTTCTTGAAGGTCGTCTCCTTGAACATGCGCGCAAAGTGGAACGACATTCCCCAGCCTACAAACACAGACAACAGCAAGGAAAGGAGAAAGGGGATCGCAGATCGTTAGCTGCCTGGTCTTCCGAAAGGGGCGAACCGTATTCAGCAGTCGCATCGAAGGAAAAAAAACGCACCATATTCGTAAAAATCAGTAACAAGATCATAAAAGTGGTTGGTAAGCTTGTCCGAACCCGCCCTCCTCGCTGCAACCGAGTTCTCATCCTCAACCAGGGTGGTAGTGGAAACGTTGCGGTCCGAGTCCCAGTACTTGTAGTACGAGTCTACGGTGTCCTTGTGGGACGCCGTGTCGGTGTTCTTCACTTTCAGACGGGAGAGGAATCCGCTGAGTTTGGGATCTTGCACGGGGGTTGGGACGCCGCCGGTGGGTTGGACTGCTACTCGGGTCATCGTGATGGTGGGTGAGGTTATGCTGTGGTGGAGGCGAGTGTGCGGATGGGGGATGCTGAGTTTTGAAGATGAGGGTTTTCTCGGGGTTGAGGGAATAGGGGGCGAGTCTCGGGTAGATATATGGATGGCAGGGCCGAGGGAGCGACGAGCAGTTCCTGTCCGATGATATGATCGGAAGGTATTACGCAGCAGTCATTAGATCCCCAAGGCCGAGGCAACCATGCTTTGCCGCGGGGGCCACAAACTGGTGGCCCATTCCGTCCGTTGGGTGCGATGCCAATAGCCAGTGGCACCAAGTAAGTCGTTCCACTAGGCGGAGATCCTTGAGGCACAGCTGCTCCGTACTTTTTTCATGTCCGAAAGCTAATCAGATGTCATGGTGACAATGGGCCAGCTCACTTTTCTCTTCCAACCAACGGAAGTCCTTCGGGCGTTCGGCCCCGAAAGCCGTGAGCCCTGGCAATGGGAGATCTTTCGGATGTCGAGTCCGGTAGCCGCTGACGATAAAGGGAAGGTCGGGGCTTGAACCCTCGCGAATGGTGAGCCGATGAAACGACTGCGTCCGTGGGGGAGAGCATTTGGCTAGTCACTGATCAATCTGGGGGGCGGCACATGCATCCGACAGGGGGATGATGTCCTGCAACAACCTGATGATTCGTCCTCTGGAGACATGTCCGAAGGAAACGCCCTCTGACCTCAGCTCACCCACTCACCAAAGTCTCCCTCTCACGAAACGACGCGCTCTGAACGCGTTCTCCATGTCTTGCTGCCTGTCTGCGTCGCATGGCATGATGCGCGGAGAGCGAGCGAGCGAGGCGACAGGAAGGCGCCGGAAACCGGAGCGGAGGTCCGACGCCGACTTCCGTAAGGCAGCACAGGAACGCGTCCGGTAATATAATCATCTAATTCCACAACCACCCCACCTGACTCACGCAAATGACGGATTCTGACAGCGCGTCCAGCACCCTGTCAAAATGCGGTCCCCAGGTTTCTTACACATGACCGGATCTCTATTATGAGAAAAACTTGATACATGGGAACCAAATCTGGCGGTCCATTAGAACGGCAAATACGGAGGCATAAGCAATCGTTCCCCAACACTACGCATATGTCAGTTTGCCTTCTTTCGACATAGGAATGTCTGGCGGGGTGTCATCGACATCGAATATCACATGGATTGACATCTAGTGGAAAAGAAGATCGGTTATGAATCCGTGCGACACGGGGTTTTCAAATCTGACCACATTGCCCGTCCCCCCCGACATTACCTCCAGGGTATCCCCAGGCGGCAAGTCAAAATACTCCATCTTCCCCGGTAAATTCCGCGCTATCGTGTTGTACATCTGCCGACGTAATCGTCCGAACAACCTCGAGGATATCGTGGAATGTACGATTTCTCGTCCGACGATGAACGAGATCTTTTCGCCCGCTTTCATCCGCAGCCCGCGTTTCTTCGCTCGCTCTAGTGCCGTTTGCACGTTGAAATCTCGTTCGGCGTAGCCTGGTGCAAAAAAACACAAAAATAAAAAAAAAGAGCAGGCTGGGTATGCATTTCAGCAACGCATGTCAAATAGTCATACCATACGAAATCACCAGCCGGTATATCCCACTAACAGCATCCACGGTCCGAAACACCACCTTCTCCTCATCCGCCACAAACGGCGACTGACTCGCCACCGCACTCATACATATCAAATTCACCGGCAGGTTGTTCAACCGCCCCGCACATATCCGCAGCACATTCGGCACATCCTCGTCTCCACTGCTCACAAACACCAGCGTGCCCGGCACCCTCGGCATGCTCTTGACATACACTCTCAGATCGTTCAGCGTGATCAGCTGCTCGCGCAGCCAGGTGCTGATCTCCTGCGTCGTTGCTGTCCACACGAACATGATCGTAAACACCATGAAGGCGAGCAGCAGGGAGACCCAGCCTTCGTTGACGATCTTGCGCAGCGAGGACACGAAGAGGAGGAGGTCGAGCGGGAGGTAGATGCTGCCGAAGAGAAGGATCTTCCATTTGGGGAGGTTCCAGGCGTGGTGCATGACGAGGACGTAGAGGAAGCTGGTGATCGCCATTGAGCCCGCGACGCATATCCCTTTTACGAATTACGCCATGATTAGTTCATAAGATGGACGGAAAACTATTCTTATACGAGACTTACCTGCGGTATACGACAAATGCTGCGATGTATGAAACGCCGACGCCATAATCACGCTCCCCAAGAACAGACAGAAATTGACCGCGGGTATATAAATATCGCTCCCATGCGCGTGTTTCAGATGGCGGGTGATCACATTGGGGAACTTGTTGAGAGATATCTGGAAGGAAACTGGGAGTTAGCACTGTTTTAATGAGTTCTGTTATGTTGCAGCAGCGATGTCAGACTCACCGATTGATCGATCAGATTGAAACAGCCGGAAATAGCGCCCTGTGCGGCTAGGATGGCTAATAAAGATGTTCCAAGCGATGAGTCCACGTAAAAACATCGAAGAATGGGGTCCACGAGGGGAACAACGTACCGGCGATTGTGGCAAGGACCATGACAGGCCAATCTACAACGCTGCGGAGGCGAAAAAGGAGGATAAGCCTCAGACGGGAGAAGGTATGTGTTCTGCGCCACGATACATACTTCGGGATGGATTTGAAGAACGGGTTCTCGGCAGCAGCCGGGTTTCCAATCAAATATGCAGCTTGACTACAAAGCAGAAACTTTTCATCAGTGCGCTGCTCTTCCGGACGGCTTTCGCGGATGCATTGCAATGCTCTTTGAGACATTACCCGAGATAGTTCAGCGTGATGGCCGGGTACACCATCCCCAAGAACGTCCACCGGATCGGCTTGGCCGAGAAATGTCCCAAATCCGCATACATCGCCTCCACGCCCGCCACCGCCAGCACTCTAAAAAATCCACATCTCAGGTAAATGCCTCTCTCCTCCCATTCCAAAAAAAAAAACACCATCCCCAAACTCACGCTTCACCCAATATCGTCGCCACATGGCCCACATCCTTCCTCACCATATACCCAATATAATGCGGGCTCCACGCCGCGAGCACTTTCGGGTACCGCGCGATCTGGTACAGCCCGATCATCGCGATGACGAGGTACCACAGGGCGAAGATGGCGCCGGAGGCCTTTTGAATGCGCGAGGTGCCGAAACGCTGCCACCAGAAGACGATGGCGAGGACGGTGCAGGTGCAGGCTACGACGGCGTCTTGGGAGAAGGTTGCTCTGGGAAGAGGAGAGGGTTAGATGGGATGGAAGCGGGGGAATGGGGGGTTTGGGGGGTGGGTCTTACTTTGAGTAGAGGCGTATGCCCTCGAAGGCGGATAGTACTGTAATAGCCGGGGAAATCATCTATGTGAGAAAAGAAGTAGCACGTCAGTAATGTCTTCCGAAACAGCCAGACTATATCCAATCGAAACAAACTAAAAACAAAACGTACGGTATCTACGACTAGAAAACTAGCCGCTAGCAATCCCAACACATATATCCCGGCGCGAGACCGATGCAACAGTACGCTCGCATCCAGCGATTCCAACGGTATCAGCGACAGCAGCGCCCAGATTCCGCCCTCACCCGTCCTATCAGCTTCGAAATCACACACACTGTCATGTTAGCTCCCAGAGCGTCCCCCAGCATGAAAAAGTCAAACCCCCCACCGCCGCACTACGCACCCCACCTTTCAGTATAAGCCACACATACTTGATGCAGCACACCAACGTGACCAACCACACCAAAATCGATATCGTGCCCAAGATCTCCTCCTCCGGTATCTCCGGGTAATCCCCATCATCCGTCAGCTCCCCGCCATGCGGCGCGAAGATCGCCTTGAGTACATACAACGGCGACACGGAGATCTCGCCATAGACAATCCCCAGCGCGCCCGCGGAGAGCGTAAACAGTTTCCGCCAGCTCATGTTCTGATCGATCCGCGACGGGGCGGGGATGCACAGCGCGGCGCCCAGGGACATCCGGCGGGCCTGCATCTGGGCCTGGCTCTCCTTGCGTTGCTGGGCGCGCGCGGAGGCGGAGGCGGCGAAGGGGTTGTGGAACGGGGCGGTGGCGCTGACTTGGGCGGTGAGTTGCCAGACGGTGGTTTTGGTTTCTTCGGCGGTTTTGAGGATCTGGGAAAGCGCGAGGGGGAGGTGGTCGTGGGTGGATTTGGGTTTGGGGACTCCGGGGGTGGAGGTGGGTTGTGGTGGTGGTGGGTCGGCGAGTTTGCTGGTCGTGCTCTTGCTCCCCGGCATCCCGGAGAGGGTGAACCGGGGTAAGGAGGCACCCTCCGGGACGTCCGGGAGCGCACCTGCACCTTGGCCTTTCCCCGCCGACACCACCGTCACCTCCTCCTCCAGCAACAGCGGTGAGGTCGGCGACAGCGGCGCCGAGCCTTTTATCTTCCCATCCGCCGACGGGCCCGAGAAATAACTCGCCCGTCCAGCCTCGACATCATCCGCGAACACGATTGATTTGCGCGTCCGCGACTTGGACATCCCTTCTTCCCCGTCGTCCGACGACCCCATGTCCACGCTCCCGTTCTCGTGCGCTATGCTTAGCCCGTTCGCTTTCGTCAACGCGCTCTTCCGTAGATTCTGTCCGGTCGTGGCTTCCCGCGACGACGGTTCGGGGACTAATGCGTCCCCGGATGCGACCCCAAACTCGAGGTCATCCTGAGCTTGCCGCGTTGAGGACATCGCTCCGCCGTCTCTTCCGATAACACAGAAACTCCAAACAAAAATTGTATTGCAAGATTTTACCGATATAACAGCGACAGCTCCACCGTAATCTGTAACTAGCTCGATCTTGCGCACAAGAACCTATGTCAAAATTCACAAAACCACACCCGCCAAAAACCCGCCGCGTTACATTCTTTCATACAAGCCCCCCCGGCATCCCCAAATAAACTTTTCTAGAAGAACAACCATGCCCATTCCGCCCCGCGAGATCAAGCCACCTTCAAGGAGGGAGATCCGAACGATCTGGACTTTGGGTTGTCTTTCATCCTATTTTTAGACCCCGCGGTCGAATTTGGTATGGACTGCTTGCTCGCAGGTGGCAAATGGACCCTTTCGGCCGAGGCCGAAAGGGACAAAGAGGGCTAAGCCTGCCGTAAGCATACGGGCTTCAAAAAAAGCTTATATTGGTAAAACGTTATATTGCATCACGCTACTCGAATTTAAGAGGTCTTTCCAAAAAAAATCGTTGGAATAATCGCAGTTTCGCCAGCCTTGTTCGCTTTAGCTGCAACACTTCCTTTCCTTTCACAACCCGCAAAAATCCCCAGTCATTACTATCGTTTCCAGTACCTCTTATGCCACTCCGCCGAGGCAGCGTCTCCTCAGACGTCCGAACCGACGCTCTATCCCCAGACCGACCCTGCAAGCCCCAAAAAGCCGCCACCGCGCTCTCTCACCTCCCCCCCGAATTGCACCTCCACATTGCCGCCCACCTCTCCATCCCCCATCGCCTCGCCTACGCCGCAACATGCACGTTTATCAGATCCGCTGTGCTGAGTGATGCCGAGTGGGGGCGGGTGTGTGGGTTTATTTGGCGGGATTGTGGGGCGAAGGTGGGATGTGCAGGGGGGATAGGAGAGGGATCCGCGTTACGGACATGGCGGGAGGTGTTTCTACAGCGTTGCCGCGAGGACTGGAGGGTGGCAGGTGGGAACCCGGGGATGGGGAATCGGGGGTCGGCGCTGAGGAATGGGGAGGTTGCGCAGGTAAGGGGCAGAATGCTGGGGAATTGCAAAGAAGTTTTCTTGCGTTCCCATGGAGTACATCGGGATACAGAATCTGACAACCCACACAACCCACTTGCTCTTCACCCCAGCTTTACGAGGGCCGTCTTCTAATCGAAAATGACTACTACCTTGGGGTGTCCATTCAAGACCTTTCCACCAATCGGTGGCCGCCCAACTACATCAAGGAGGAGTAAGGGAACGTCGAGCAATGCGTTCACGCACTTCCTCTGCCTGAATGACTAAACGGGTATGAGTTTACAGTGGGACGGTGAATTGTTTACAGGCATATATGGGAGTCCTAGCTCTCGGATGGGAGGTATGCTCATTCCCTACGCCTCGTACTAACTCTCGTAACTCCGATCATTGACGCCACTCGCGCTGTCGCTTTTCCCATAACAGCGCGGTCCACGTCAAGAATACCCCGCTCATCGACCCACACCACATACACCCGCCCGCAGCCCATCCCCGGGTTTCGTCACACTCTACAACCTCGACACACTTCAGCCCTTGACCGTCCTCCGCGCAACCTCCATGTCGGGCGTGACGGCGCTCCGGTTCAACTCTCGCCGGCTGATGGCAGGCGACCAGTCCGGTGCGGTGCGAAGCTGGCGGTTATCGCCCGGCGCTGGTCGGGGGTGGCTGGAACGGACGATATGGCCACCGGTGCAGATACAAAACCGGTCGCAGCATGACGCCGTGGTGGACGTGCAATTCACAGACTCGCACATCCTCTCCCGCACTAAATCGGTCGTGCACGTGTTTTGCGTGCGCACGGGGACGGTGGTCATGTGCTTCCCGGGCCCGATGCTGTCGTCGTCGGTGTGGGATACGATCCCGCTGGCGGCTCATCTCGTTGGGACGCAGGTGGCGATTGCGACGTGGGACTGTGTGCGGGTCGTCGGGTTCGGTGCACAGCGGGGCCGGAACGCTCTGTTCAAAATGTCGTCGCCGATTAAGGATGTGTATGGTGCGGTGTGCGTGGAGATAGTGGACACCGGGGCGGCGGTGGTGTGCGGAGACGGCGACGGGCGGCTGACGTTCTGGGATGTACGGAGCGGGGACTTAGTTGCCGAGCGTCAAGACCTCGATCCCGTGCACGCCATGGATGTTTGGCCGGTGAATGAGGGCGGGTATCTTGTCCATGTCGCGTCTGCGAATCTGAGGCAGCCCGTTTTGACGGTGCAGGTTGCCAGGCGCGAGTAGCGATGATGACCCCGACATGTTTTTATTTGGCCCTGGTGTCGTGTGTGTGATATATGGAGCGATGTGAATCCAATTGGAGTCCACCGGAGCAATATCACGGCCGTTCCTTGCGTTGTTCGAGTTGATACTCGGCCAACAAGCTTTTGGCGATGCTGGGCAGGACCCGCACTACCGCTGCCAACCGATGGCGGTATGTCTATGGGGGACAATACTCACAATCAGATGGCCATCCGAGCGGTGTCTTCATGGGAGCCTGACGATACGCTTACCTTCCCCGGAACTTTGACAACGCATCCCTCGACATGCTGCCCAGGAACGGATTCAAGCACCTCCTTCCGCTCGTTCTCAGGTAATCTCAAGAACTCGGCGCTGGAGACACCCACAATATCCTACAACCAAGAAACGTTCATTCATCAGCCTTGAGAACTTACAAAGCGTTACATTCGAGAAAACCGGGGGGCGCTCACCGCAGCAATCAGATCCGTGACACTCACAGCGCACCGCGCCGTCCCGTCGTCTAGTACAAACTTCAAAGTATACGCCGCGTGCTTCGCTTCAAACCGTGCTTGGCAGAACGCACAGTAGAACTGTTCGTCGCTTGTCCGCGGTTGTTCAATGACCCGGCCGCACGTTTGATCTACGCACAAAAAGTCAAACGTGGGTAAGTGACAGTGGTGCAAAACTCGGATCGACAACGGCTGCTTTGATCCCTTACGCGTAGATATTGTCGGCCCTCCTTCACTGGCTCTACATTCGACCAAGAAAGCGCGGACGTAGAACATCTGCAGGTCCTTATTCAACGCATCCACGATCGGGACGATCCGTCTCATGCTCGGGGACGAGATCATGCCGACCAGCGTGCTTACTGCCAACCCAGTCAACAAGTAAGTCCAAAACAAAATGGTATACTTCCGGCCTCCAGTTTTGAACCTACCATTCCACACTACCGTCCCCAGATCGGAGCTGCCAATTACATCAAAAGTCTTCTCCATCCCGCCGCCGTCGCGCGGTTTCAAGACCCGGGCGGTGGTGGCCAGATTTAAAAACAGCACATAGTCGCCTGTGTGCAGACTGCCTATGTGTTTGCGGGCGATGTCGCCCCAGAGAGTTATGTCGCAGTAGTCTATGGAAAGAGGGGGGGAGGGTTAGGATTGCATAATTTCATTATCAACGGAAAGCGTAAGATAGTGCGAGATACATACCGGTCGAATCTTCCAGACGAACTCCGTACCTATCCTGCTGACCTGGGCCGCGGCGGACTGGATTCTGCGTGAGTATGTAGTATGAGTCCCCCGCATCAGCATTACAGATCTCCATCGCAAGGTGCGTACGTTTCCGAACAACTCGGCCACGCGTCCCATGATAGTTGCATTTACGCATTTCGGTTTGAGATCCCTTATCCGAAGCAGGCTTGGCAACTGTGATTGATCCAATATTCCCTGGAACAATATGAGAGTCAGCCGGTGATATACGGTGATGCACAATGATCGTGCTTGACCTACCTTCTCATCCCGCCCTGGTTCTGCCTGTGTCGCCATGCTGGCGCCAAAATCGGATTCCTACTGCATGGGAAGGGGAAGCATTTAGCGGACGCAAAAATGGGGACGTTGGTAACTGTCGCAGGGCCCATGAGAGCGATTTGAGCCGCACCTTCGTGTGAGACCCAGCAATACGAAAGATTACCGTCTGGGATCCGTACTCAAGAGTCGGACGCTCTCCATCCTGCGTGCTCCCTCCGTACGTCACATATGGGCGCCATATCCCCAGCCAGTCGCCCTTTGATCAGATTTCTGGCGGTTAGTCCAACAGCAGAGCAAAGCGGCTAATGCAGAACCATCGTCGAACAGTACCTTCCTGAACAAAGACGCCAAGCCGATCTGCTGGTCCCACAGAACCAACGGAACGTCCTCGGTCGTAGTATCGGTGACGAGTACCTCCATTCGCTTCAGCCGTCCGTTACTGTTCGCAGCTCGGACGGGCTCGATCTTTGTCACCTTCACCAAGAACGCCGCCGGTTCATTCGCATCTTCGATCTGGGACGCAGTCGCCTGGTTCAACGCGGCGCCGAATGTCTTGCTCACAAAGGTGCGGTCTGCGTCTCCATCTAGGATGAACAGCATGTACTCCGTCGGCAACATCTGCGTCGCACCATTAGGAGCCGTGACGGATCGGGTGCCGGTTAACCGGACTGTTCTCTACACGACAGTGGGCTTCGATATCAGCGTACGCCAAGGCTCCAAGACACCCACATCATGAGCTGTGTCAATTCCTCACCTTTGTGAAAAAGCTCTCCCCATCAGCATCCTCCAAAAAACAGTACTTTTGATGCAAGTACATATTCACCTCCGAGAACCTGCCGTGCCCCCCTCCCGCCTCCGCGCCTACGAACGAAAGCACAAACGTTCTCGTGCCCGGCAACACCTTCACCCCACCTACAACCAACTCAAACAGCGCTTCCGTCGACACCGCCTGCCCATCCCTGAGTGCTTCCACGCCTTTGAATTTCTTGGATAGGCCGCCGCGCTGAGCGTCGCCGCGGATGTCGTCCCACGCGACTTCGAGCTCGGAATTGATGATGGCGGGGGTCACTCCTGAGGGGTATTCGGCGAGCAGGGAGAGGAGACGGTGGGCTGCCCAGCTCCAGGAGGCGGTGTGTCCGGGATGGGTGGAGGCGTCGTCGCGGCGTTTTTGGGAGTGGGTTGTGAGGCGGGTGCAGAGACGATCTAAAGTGGTTTGAAAGTCCATTTCAGCGACGTGGGGCGTGACAGCGCTTCTCTGAGTGTTGGTTGTGCCGGAAGCTGAGAAGAAGCACCCGTCGTGGGCGGGTTGAGGTGCGTTTCCAAGAGCAACGAGTGTGTGGCGACGAGGGTGAGAAAAGAAAGCGAGCGTGGGAAAAAGGGGAGTCCCGAAGGCGGAGCTGCACGCGTTTCTCGGACGGACCTTCTGAACTGACAGCTCCCGTCATTCGCTCCATCATCTCTTCCCTGTTTCTGCATGGCTCGAACTAATACTAACTGCCTCCCTCGCTTCCACTTCCGGCAAACGCTCTGAAGATGGCTACTGTACCGCACTTCGACGCCAGCCAGATCGAGGCGTCTAGCAAGGCTTACTTGGGTGCGTCAGGTCGTTGTCTCTTATCTTCTCAAGTCGGCCCTGTTACTCACGCACATTGCGCCCAACCAGATAAGCACAAGATCGAAATTTACTTGCAGGTACATTGTCGTTGCAATGCTTTATATCGATCTGCTCTCCCCAATTACCACCGCTGATGTTCTACCCGGCCGAACCCGCAGGATGCGCTAAGCCGCCTATTAGACGACCGCCCGGAAAAGCCCGCCAAATTTCTATCCGAGTAGTAGGTGTGCAGCCCGGCATCCCATCTTGTCTCGCCTCGTCTCTCCCCGTCAATACTTGCACCTCCCGCTCAATCTATCGAATCAATATGCAGCTTCTCAAGCGTCCACCGCGGCATCAACACCCTCCTCCGTGAATACGAATATGTCCGCGTAACGAAACAAAACCGGAGCGCCTTCATAGATCGAGTAGCCGACGTCATTCCCAACCGGAGTTGTACGTTCCTTCCCACCCCCCTCCCTCACCTCCACATCATTCACACCTATCCACACATCCATCCAGCAACCCACACAGCCCCCGAATACCACCACCTAATCGAGCTCCTCTGCCCCGACTTTCCCCTCTCGATCATCCACCGCGCCACCGAGATCGCAGCCCATATTGACTACAAGAAGGCGTATCGTCCGCATGAGCTGCTGCGGTATAAGATCCCCGCGGGCAGGTTTTTGGGCGCTTTTAGGGCGTATTTTACGTATATTGGTATGCGATGCTGTCCTTGTTTGACATCAGTGAGATGTTGGATATTTTGGGCTGACAAAACGTTGATGGGTGATTGACAGATTTCTTTGAGCACGCCCACATTGCGATTAGGAAAGCAGCGCTGAAGTCGAGCGGCGCATCCGCACATGCGGATGAAAGCGTGGACGAGGTGGTGTGCAAGACGTATTCAAGTCGGGAGGTCGTTGCTCTTGGGGTTGGCATTGTGGATGCTGTGAGGAGTCTGTTGGATGGGGAGGACGTGGAGTACGTTTGGCAGTGTGTTACCAGTCCCTTCACACGATCATCCTGGATATTGACCATCGTCTCCGTATAGGTTCGACATTCCGCCCACCTTACGCGTAGAATGCGCTCTAACGACGTTCAAGGAGCAGTTGCAGCAGCTGAGGGATGTTACGGTCGGGGATGCGTTTATGCTGTTTCTGGTGACGTTCGCGCAGGCTCCGGAGGAAAGGACGGTCGTTGCGGACAGAGGCGTTTGAGATTCCGGGCCTGTAAACTCTGTATATTCCATTGGCCCAATATAGACAGTTTTGGTATCGGTCGGCCATGACTGCTAGGGTGCAGTCTCCGTACTGCTTTTGTTGTGTTTTCCCACTTTCGCCCACACCTCCATGACCCACAGTGGGGGCTGATAGTGCAGCATTGGTATACTCATATACAGAATACGCCCCAGGTTGCAGAGAGACTCGCTTCAGATGTCGGCTATGAATTCTGCACGCCCTGCATCCCCCAAATCAAACATAACGACTGAACCCTCCCCTCTGTCCCACATCACTCAGGCTGCGCAAAAGGGTTGGCAATCTCCTCCGTGCCGTCTTCCGGCGAGATGACTATTATCGCCGTCCCGCGACATACCACGAGACCGAGCGACCGTTTTTGGTCTGTTACGCGGTAGTTGTCTTCCGGATCTGTCGGGAGGTATCGCATCGGTTGGAAGTAGTTCAGGCGCTGTCATAGGGATAGTAGCATTACCTCGTACTAGCTCCTCAGTGTCGTCTAAGACCAGGTTCAGCAATGGGTCATACCCCTTCAACGTCCCAATCACTAATCAAACAAAGCCATCAGCATTCTTTCCTTCTCTTCGCCTGCCTTGACCCCCAACTCCGAAACTCATGCCCATCCAAACCGACCTTCTCGTCCACCCGTATACTTGACATGGATCTTCTTATCCATATACTTCCCCAGATCCAGAATGTTCTCCTTCTTCTGTGGCCCGCCGCCGCCACCGTGTCCGCCCCGCCCCCCGCCGGAACCGCCCCCCCGGGCGCCGCGGCCTCGTGAGTTTCCTCTGCCCTGAGTGTGGGAGGGGAATCAGTGGGTGATCGGGAAGGGAGGAGGATCTTTGGTGAGTTGGGCTTACCCTATCCGACATGTTGAAAGTAAGTGTTCTCCGAATTGGCTTTACAATTGGTGGAGGACAGGCTTCCTGCGAGACTCGAGAAGCGGTTGGCGTGTGTGGTGCACTGGTGACTGGCGAGTTCTCAGAGACGACCAAGGAGGGACTGACTTGTAATGACTTGCCGATTCTGTAAGTCCGTCTTCTCTGCGAACGCGTGCGCAAAGAAAGCTGTCCCTCGTTCCCAACTGTCATTCCTTTCTTTCAAACGCTCTCTCAAGGCAGCTCTCAAGGGTGCACACTGAACTCGGCCGCCCAGCACTAGTAAGCTTCTCCATTCACCGCCGCCCAACATGACCCGCCTCACGAAAATGGCTCGCAAAACGCACGAAGAGGCTTCCGAATTCGTCGCCAAACCCCTTCTCCCAGTCAAGGCCGACCCGTCCTCCACCCCAACTCCCTCCTCCACCACAACCACCGACAAGTCCAACAAACGAAAGGCAACAGACGATGCCTCAGCACCAAAACCTGCCACCGCTGCCGAGGGGACGGAGGGCGGTAAAGCGTCAGAGGCGGAACCGGAGCAGAAGAAAAAGAAAATGAGGCACAGGAAGAAGGAAGCTGGGGCAGGCGACGACGCCGCTGTGGCGGGTGCAGGGAAGGGAGGCAACACCGCTGGGAGGAAAACGGGTGGAGCTGGGCCGGGTGGACGGGAATTGTCGAAACAGGAAAAAGAGGCGCTGAGGAGACGCACGAGGAGGGAGAGGAATAAGGAGAAGAAAATGGTATGGGAACATAGACGAAGCTGTCGCTCTCAGATAGTGGCCCACACTAATGGAGAAGTTGTCCTAATGTAGGTATGCTTCCTGTGCCGTAACTTGGGCCATTCGATAAACTCGTGCCCCAAGGCCACGGAGACGGAAAAAAATGCGCCCATCGCTAGCGACGGCGCCGTGGTGGGGATATGCTACAAGTGCGGGTCTGGCGAGCACAAATCGTCGCAGTGCAGGAAGTTGGTGGATCCAAGTAAGTTCAAAACCAACTGCAGCCGAACGTAACCGCCTAGCAGAGTTCTGCCAAAGCCCTGATCCTGACGCCCTCGCTTGCAGAAAACCCATACCCGTTCGCCCACTGTTTCGTCTGCAACAAGAACGGACACCTAGCCAGCGCATGTTCCGAAAACGAGCGCGGACTCTACCCTAACGGCGGCGGGTGCAAGTTCTGTGGGTCCGTGCGCCATTTCGCCCGGGACTGCAAGCCGGCCTTGCAAGGTATGAAGAACGACTTCGGGGTCATCCCGAAATGCTGTGCAAACAACTAACAAACCCTACTTGCCCCCTACTCGCACATCAACAGAAGCAGGTGTAACAACAGTTGGCAAGATCGACCTCCGCCAAGGCGGCGACGACGACGACGTCTTTGTCGCGCTGCACCGGATGGACGAGGACAAGACCCAACGCCGAGCAGCAGCGGCGGCTGCAAAGACACAGGTCTCTGCGACGCATATCGCCCACCTTAACTCGAAATCGGATCTACCGCCCCAGCGGCCCGCTGCTGTTGCTCCTACTGCTGCTGCTGTGCCGAATAAGGCAAGGCCGGCGAAGAAGAAGGTTGTTAAGTTTTAGGGAGGGGTTAGATAGGTTGTGTTCGGGTAGAGAGGAGTCATTTGGCCATTCACGTATAACCCTTCCGACTCCGGGGGTTCCTGATAGACATAGGCCCTAAATCATTCATGTAGCATGTCTTTTAATTTAAGCATTTCCCGAGATTTCTTTCTTTGTTCTCCACTACCGTTTGGTAGTCAGAGCGAGAAACCAGCGTCGAGCATCCAGCACTCCACACCATCACCACATACGGTGTGCTCTTCCTGCAATCCCAAAGTCCCTGACATTCCCCAGCGTCCTGGATAGACGCGCAGGCCCCTTCCCCTAGCTTCCCCTGCCTACCTCTGATGTCCAGAGACGAAGCAAACAGCACACCCCACATGCATTTTCACGCCCCAATCGACCAAGACCCTTCTTCCGCGGGAACTCGACCCCGAGGGGGACGCGGAAAATCATGCCCAAAGCGTCATATGCCCCCTCTCATGTTCGTGGACGCCGCCCAGCGAGGGTGCGGCGAAGGTTCCCTGCTCTACATTGCGAGGATGTGGGCACCTCTGCTGTCCGTGATGGGGGGGGGGGGGGGGGGGGAACGAAGACGGCAAGTGGCCCACCGGATCCCCTTTTCTTCAGCCACGAAACATCCATGGGTGGGCGGGGTGCGGGCGGCCGTGCATGGAGCCGGGGCCGGGGTCGGAGGGTGCGGTTGCGGGCCGGCACACCTATCTTCCGCAGCATCGGGAGCAAGGAGGTGAATCCCCTCACGAGACGAACCGGCGACGGTAGCGCCCCCATCGCGTCGAGAGCGTCACTTTAGTTTCCAAGCCCAGGTCGTGCGAGATCGCGTTGTGCTGAAACGCTGTACATGAGGAGAGAAGGTGCGGTTGGTGAGGGGTGACTTACCTACCGTCCTTCCGAGCCCTGCGAAATGAACGTTTACAAGCGCGGAATGGCAGGATTGGCGACACACAGTACCTTAGGCGTCAATCACGGGGAGTATGTGCCGGGAGAATGACCTACACGTGCATGACTTTTGCGAAATAGCACTTACCCTTTGCTGCTCGATTTGGATTCTTGCGTGATGCCAAAAAAGTGAAATGAAAGCAGGTTGAGCTTATGTAACGCGTGCGGTCGAGAAACCGCGAGCGTAAGCAACTCATGGCGCAAATCACCCCGAAGAACTCGGGGCACTTGCGCTGTTATGCAAAGAGAGTGCGGAAACAGAACGGGGAAGATCCTAACGGCAGATAAATACAGTATATCCCAAAAATTCCCACAAATCAATTGCAAAATAACCCGACACCACATATTACATAAAAGGTGGGGCCTCTCCGATTCCAAGGGCTCAATGCTCGCTAATCAAACCAAGTCCGCCACCACGCCCTCGGTGCGCCCTCCTCCTTCTCTTGCTGCTCAGGTTGCTCTTCCACCATCAACCCCGCCAAATCCTCATCCTCTTCCTCCGCTATCGGTCGGTTGCGGGGCTGTGGTGGGGGTCCATGGGGGTGTGCATGCTGATGGGTAGAGTGGTGATGACGATGTACGGCACCGCCCCCACCACCACCGGCACCCCCTTGCCGATCCTCATCATCACTACTCCGCCTTTCCTCCTCCTCCCCATGTCCATCCCCACCCCGCGTGTGGTGGTGGTGATGCCGACCAGGCGGCGTGTTCCCCAACAAATGTCCAAAGACCGGGTCCGACCGTGTCCGGCCGCGCGGGTTGGTCATCGCCACCGGTAACGCCGCCGCCGCGGTGTTATTCGCAGCAGTAGTAGTAATAGCAGCAGCAGGTTTATCGACCCCCTCACCAGCCCTCCAAATCGTCCTAACGTTCGGCACCTTACTCCTCGTCTCAGGCGGGGGATGGGTCCAGCTCGCCATCGGGAATGTGCGTTTGGGGAGGAGGCGGGTCGGAGCGGATGAGCAGCGGTTATTGTTGCTCTTGTCTCGCGGGGGGGCGGCGGAGGGCCCGAGTGTTGAGCGCTGCACGGCTATGCTGCTGCTTGATGTGTCAGTGCCGGATACGTCTGTTGACGATTTTAAGGGTTGCACGGGGGCGTAGGGCATGAATAGGCCACCGTCATCGTTGTGGGGCGAGTACTCCCCCCCACCCATCGCGTAACCGGGCAGGCGGATGTCGGAGCCCGGGAAGCTTTTGGATTGTTGTTCTTGGTAGGTTACGGTTGGGTGTTCGTATTTTGCGCAGAAGCCGACTGTGATGATAGGTTCGCGGGTGGGAGTTGTTGAGGGTTTGGCGCGGGCGGGGAGGGAGGCTGCGGCGGCGATTTGTGCGCGCTGCTGGGTATGGTGCGGGTTGGGGTTGATGATGGGACGGGTGGCGCTGCGGAAGGGGTGTGGCGGGACCTGGGGATATTGTTGGGGATGTGGAAATTGCTGCTTTTGGTGTTGTTGCAGTTGTTGCAGTTGTTGTTGTTGTTGTTGTTGTTGTTGTTGTTTTTGTTGTTGTTGTTGGAGGAGTACTTGCGGATATGGCTGTTGACCGGTGTGATGTACAGCATGCGCATGGTATGGCATGCGTGGGTGCATCTGCTCCGCTTGTCCGGGCAGCCACTGATTTAGCGGCCGCGACTGCATGTAGGCATGTTGCATCTGCTCCGTTATCGCAGGATCTGCGACCAGTTGGGGTTGGGGGTAGTGCTGTTGCGCGTGATGTGTTGCTGCGACATAGCGGTATCCATACGGGCGATAGACTGGCTGCTGCATGTACTGCGCCGGCACTTGAGCGGGTTGTTGAGGCTCGGCCGTTAGTGTTTCTACCGGTTGTTGCTGAGGTAATGGTAACGGAGCTAGGTCAGGTTGCAACGACTGCTGAGCCACCCAGGCCGTTGTCTGCTGCAGGTGCTGCTGCCTGTCATGATGTGGTATCTGACTCACTTCACTCTCAGCGGCAACCACAGGCGTCGACCGGGCGGCTACGGACATGTTCTTAGAGATATCATTCCGAGGCGGCGTTTGCGTTCCAGTGTCTCGACTCCCGACGGCGGGGGTCGGTATCGTCGTCGCCAAGGCCGCCGGAGAAGCAGAAACAGCAACCTCAGCGCGCGACGGAGTGACTGCAGCAGCCGGCGTCGACGACGTCCTCGGCGAACTCATATCACGCCGCGAAGCCAACGGCCGTTTCCATTCCTCCGGGTCTTGTATATCCAGCAACGCCTTGCACAAAGCCCGATGATTGCTTTCCTTTTTCCGCACGGCATCGTCACTCGACAGGAATTTCCGATGTGCGGCTGCCAACGGTGACGTTGGCGGTGGAGCCGCGACGCTGAAGGATTGCGATAACGGCTTTTGCGTAGTATGCTCCTGAACAGGACTTTCCTCCTTTAGCGATTGCGTTATCTGTTGCGCACGCGTAGAAGTTATAACATCCTCCGTTGGTTGCTGCTCGCTCGGCCCCGCCGCCGCCGCCGGCGACTCACAGACAACGGCAATCGGCAGTGCCGCTTCCTGCGCATGCGGCGACGGCTTCGACGTCGTCGTCGGTGATAACGGCTGGACCTCCATAGATGGCTGGCGGAGTTCCTGGCTTGAGCGCCGACTGGGACCGTGGGATGGCTGCTGGGACGGAGGGCTCACACGGCCGCGCACGACGGGATATTGTGGGTGCAGGGAGTGTTGGCGGTCATATGATGGGTCCGGAAAGCGGGAGACTGCAGTGGCAGCCATGTTCAATTGCTCCGACGGAGGAGAATATGCCCTCGTCCGATGCCGAAATTGGGGATGCTGGCAGCGTTATGCGGTGTGTCTATCAAGAGTATGGCAGTCCCGTTTCAGGCGATAGCTATCCAGTTCAAAGCATCCTCTGTTTGGCGAGTGTCAAGCACCGCCGGGACGGAGTGTGGCGAGAAGGATGGGTGGTGGGGCGCAAGATGGACAAACAAAAGTTAAATACCAGGGTAATGGAGATGGCAGCAGGTGCCTAGTACTACGCAAGGCCGGGTGTGATATGCAGGTGACCAGCTATGTGCGACGGGTGCCCGAGAGCCCGAGTGCCCTATGGTATGGATATGGGGGGTTCGGTTTGCGACGTAGGATACACTGACACATACAATAGACTTGTATGCAATACGGGCTCTCTCACACTCCTACGAGTGACTTTTTGGCTGGATTTCTGGGGTTGTCGTTTTTCCCCCTTGTGACAGCGGAGCCTGACTTGACTGGCTACTAGTAGCTTGCTGGCTGACGGGGAGGGGCATCCTATGATATGGTGGGAGGGAGGGGAGGGAAAGGGGGGGGGGGGGTGTGAATAGCGTGCATGTGCGTGGAAATGTCGCTCGTTCTGTGAAGGCAAAACACGTAAAACAAAGCACATGGCCAAATGGACCGGCCCATAAGGGCACTCCCACCACATTAGACGCAGCGACAAACAGCGCAATCGATGCTAATCACCGCCGACTACGATCGCTAATCAACATCGCCATCTACTATTTTGGCTACTCGGACGTATCACCCCCCCCCCCCCCCCCCCCGCAACCCTGCTGCGGGCTGCTGCATAAATGTGACCTGCTCAACTGCCTGTCAATAATGGGCCCATTGTGCAGCAGGGGGCAACAAGCACGCGGAGACCCATTCTGGACGTCACGCTCACCGACACACCGTCGGAACTTGCGCGCAGACCCTCTGTTTTGGCTGCAAACAACCCTCTCATCAAATGGGCTGAAGCCTTCCCGCCTGCGCTTCTGCGCAGTCAGTCCCATTTGATTTGTGGGGGGTGAGGGCATCGATCCATGCAAATGGCAGTTCCCAAATGGCAAATGGCGATTGCTGCTGCTCGGAGTCTAATCTCTTCTCCATCTAAAAGGTGGGGGGGCGAACACCGCAGCAACCGCCCCCACGAGAGTCACGAGGCGGTTAGACACACCTGCCTGCCCGCATGATGCAAGTGGTAGCCGATCTAACGAGATCTAAGCACAACTGCGTGACTTTTCCCAGAACCCAAGTTCCAAGCCTTCCCGACTTTCGGTTGGACGCGTAAAAGCTATCCCCATCACATGACTGCACGTGCCGGGGATTAAAGACAAGCGAGTCACTGTGAGTCACCGTCGCCCAACGACACCGACAGTTCCGATTCGCACGTCGGGTTTTCCGTCCATTTGCACTTTTCCGTACGCCCATTCGGTCTCACTTTACCTTACCTCTCGCCAACAACGAGTAAGCACCCAGTATACTCCCTGACCAACGACCGCTTGTCCACGAGGAACACTATCCCCTAGCCACATTCCATAAACCCCAAGAATGGTCAACGTGAGTGCTCAGTATGTCATAGACGACTCCAAATAAGCTCACCGACCACTTATTCCATCCTCTTGCAGGCCGCCAAACTGATAACCCAGATCGTGCTAACCGGCACACAAATCTTCGGCCGGGCCTTTGTCGAGGCGTGGAAGCAGGCAGCTAAGAGTACGTCGTCCCCGATTCCGCGAGCATTCACAATGCTGAGGCCCCCGGAAGTTGCGAACGAACAAATTGGGGGGGGGAAGGAGTCACTCTAACGAAAGCGATTTTTCCATTCTACGCAGACGGAGCACAGAACGCAGCAGCGGCAGGCACAGGGCGGGCAGGGCAAGACGCCGCGACACGGAAGACGGGGATATCGGTCGAGGAGGCGGCGCAGATATTGAATGTGGATAGGCAGGCTTCTGCAGAGGAGATGTTGAAGGTGGGTGCGGCACAACGAAATTGTCGTTTTACAGCGGAGAGGAGAGGAGAAGGGGCGGGGGGAGAGAAAAGGATGCCAAAAATCTCTGCGAGCATTCAATCTCGCCATTTGCAACATTCCGAACCCGAACTCATTTTCTTCTCTTTCTCTCCGCCATAGTCATACGAACACCTCTTCAAACAAAACGACCCAAAATCCGGTGGATCATTCTACCTGCAGTCGAAAGTGTTTAGGGCGAAGGAGCGGCTGGAGCTGGATCTGAAGCGGAGGGCGGAGGCGGACGGCGGGGGTGGTGATAAGAGCGCGTCGCCAAATTGATGAGAAATAAAGTAGAGGGACAAGTCAATTTGGAATTGATATTCGGGGGTGGGAAGCTCGGGGAGGAGAGATGTGGGGTGGGCACGGACTGCAAACGATGCGCGGCATCTGCGGTCGCCAACCCGTGTACATCCTTTCGTACGAGACGGGGAATCGAAAACAACGGCCGGGGGCCTCCTGAACATGCACGCAGATGAGCGAACTGCGAGGACTACGTACTGTAGAACACCCGGCTGTGAGATGTCTGCGGGAAGGAATAGGAGTAGCAAAACCGGTGGCCATGCGGATAGGGGCACACACATACTTGGACGGGGGACGTTCACCCTTCCACCCATATCTATCGCAGGCCCTCGTCCGCCCCACCCCTCGCTACACAGCATCACACACCTTCGGTTTACGTATCCATCCATATAATTATTTGTAGATAGAATCCATGTTTTCGCATATACACATCGCGTTTTTCGAGATGACGTCCTATATGCATCATACTCAAGCGACGGTGAGAAAAGCTCGGTATCGGGCGAGCGGCGATAGGACGACCAAAGGGGAGGAGGGGGAAATCTCGAAACCAGCAAATCGCCAATGCCGTCAGATGCTCTACTTCCGCTGCCGGTGTGCAGGCCGGGTTTGTATTGTATTTCACAAAAAACTCCCCGCAGACTCCCCAAACAACGACGCCGTATCCGTCTTTGCGAACGGGTGCGGTTGTTGATGCTCCGCGGTCGTTACATCCCCATGCTGAGACGTGTGGCCATGCCCCTGCCCTTGATGTTGCCGTTGGTGATGCTGCACCATCCCGTTGTTGTAGCCCTCCTGTGTATGTGCATTATTGTACGTGTGCTGTTGGGAGTGGACTGGGGGAGTGGAGGGGGAGGTGTAGGGGTGGGTTGCGAGGTAGGTGTGGGTTGGTGAGTGTGTCTGGTTTGATGGGGCTTGGGTTGTGTAGTTGTAGGTGGGGTAGTTTGGGTAACCGGACGTTGGTGGTGGCGCTTGGTGGTGGTGGTGGTGGTGGTGGTGGTGGTCATGCCCAGTGTGGTTGTGCCCGTGGTCGTGGCCGGTATGTGCATGGGAGTGGACGTTCGCATCGTATACCTTTCCATCGTACCCCTGTCCGTCCGTAGCGTACGCGGGACCCTCATAACCCCCCTGCGGAGCCGCGAGCTGATCGGACCCGACACTGGTTTCGTCTGCCCGCCTCACAACCAGCTTCCCACCCGCAATCTCCATCCCATTCAACCCCTGACACGCCACGTCCGTCGTCGTCGGGTCCGCATACTCGCAATACGCCACGCCCTAAAAATATCCCAGGAAAAAAGATCAGCGCACACCTCTTCAGCTGGAAACAAGCAACCACCCTATCTCACGCATGTACATACCGTAGACACACCCGTGAAATTATCTTTGATCAACGTAAACGCCTTCAAATACCCAAACGTCTGCAACAGCTCCATCACTGGCTCCTCATTCAAGAAGGTCGGCAGTTCCCCCACATATATTCTGTTCGGACCCTCAGGCACGTCCGTCGACACCACCGGGGCTTGCTGCTCGTGCGGATAATACGCCTGTTGCTGCTGCTGGAACTCCGCCGTCGGCTGCCGTTGTGGACTCGTCTCACGTGTACTCGTATCATGTTCAGGCTGCGCCGACTGAACCCGCAACGCCTCCATCTGGGCCTTCAACCCCTCCATGATCTCGTCCTGGTCCGCCATGTACACCAACAAATCCTCGTGGTCGGTCTCGAGGGTTGCGTATTTCTGGTGCTCGGCTTCGAGGGCTTGTTCGAGGGTTTCGATGCGTTGTTGTAGGGCCGTGATGTCGGGGGTGGGTTGTGGTTGCCCCTGGGGAAAAAGGTAAGCGAGTCGTGTGAGTTTTGTGATATGATGGCGATTGTGGTTAGGAAAGGACTTTTCGCTGTTTCTTTTCTTACCGGGGGTGCTTGCGTCTGCTTATGTGATTGCTCAACAAGCGCCCGTTCCAGCCGCTGGACGGTCTGTTGTAAGGAGTCGATTTCGCGTTCCTGGGCTGCCGAGTTCTATATTCCCGACATCCGTGAGGTTTATTGACGGAAGCCAAAAAGCGGATGTCTATTCCAGTTGCTTTTATTTTTACCTGTCCCGCATTGACCAACTGTGCATTCTTCTGCGTTTGCTCCGCCAGCGCTTTTTCGAGCTCTGCGATGCGTTGGTTCTTAGCCGCCAATTCCTGTAGACAGGAAAACATGTCAATCATCGGGTCCGCGAAGCCCCGGCTGCAATCAACCAGCACCCTACCTGCTCAGCCCCACCGTTCCCCGAACCTGTAGCAGCCGATTGATCAGCCATCTCCTGCTCCAACGCCTTAATCGTCGCATACAAAGCTTCCAGCTGCTGCTGATGCGCATTCGTCTGAAAAAAAAATCATCCACTTCATCAATCCCAATTCACCCCTCCACCAGCCCATCACAGCCACGACACATACCTGCTCCCCCCTCTGCACGTCCATGGCGGCAACCTGCGCCCTTAGCACAACCACCTCGGACTCGATCTGCTCGGCGTTAAACACTTTTTCTTCGAGGGTGAGAATTTTTTCGCGAAGGGTGGTTAGTTCGGTGGTTTGGGTCGCGATGGTGGATTGGTAGGTCGTTAAGGTTGCTTCGTCGACGGCTGGTTTGTATACGGAAGAGGGTGTTTAGTTGTGGGAAAGGGGGACCAGGAGATGTGGCCGGTACGTACGCGCCATCCGTCGTTTCGGGGATGAGCCTTTTGAGACGGGGGTGGTGATGTCGCGGACGATGCGGTCTGCAGACAAGGGGGACGGATTAGTGACGTGGACACGAAACCACCAGAGGCGAACTCATCGTTCTGATTCTGGGGTTGTGTGTGAATTCTCACCATGGTTGGACTTGAACAGCTCAACGAACAGAAAGTCGAAATACACCTCGGGGAGGCCGTCGGCTCCCACATTCGTCTCCTTCTATTCACAGGGGACGCAGAACAAGCCGTCAGAGGCCACTTCTCCGACCACCAACAAAACCACCCATATACCTTAATAATATGCTGACTCGCCCCATTAAACTCCTTCGCCTCCCTCAACCGCTCAATCCTGCTCGCAAACACGTCCGCGCCAATACGGCTGGTGACGAGAGCTTGGAGGTTAGTTCGCGTGAAGGTAGGTTCCGAGTCGTCGTTGTACTCGTATAGGAGGCCGAGGAGGTAGGCTGCGACGCCTTGGATGAGGGGGTCGACGCCCGAGGATTGGTTGATTTGTTCTACTAGCTGTGTTTGAATGATACTCGGTTAATTAGCACGGGCGGGAAAATGGGGATGAATGGGGGGCGCGCGGGGGTAGGGGACACGTACGAACTGGATGTTAGACCCCTCGGTCAACATTTCTGCCACGGCTTTGGGACACTCGTGCACCCAGATGGAGAGCAGGCAGAGGATCCCGAGCGAGATGCGGACGTCGGCGGCTTCGCGGGAGGCATAGAGGAGGGCAAACATGCATTTGTGCAGGAGGGATACGGCGTCTACAAACCGAGACAGTCGCGGTGAGTCCTTCCGGTTCCGTGTCCAACCGTCACGCTCGGGTGGATCAAGGGCCTTACCTTCACCCTCATCCAACTTGGTCGAGATCGCCAGATGCTGTCCCTGCGTGTTGTCATGCATCGCGTGGGATAGTAAGGTTGCGGCAAACCACGGGCCGAACGGTTCTTTGCGCGATGATGTCCATTCGAGGATGGACGATACCAAGAGCGAGCCTGCAGACTCTGGTTTCTCTAGGAAAAGCAAATCATTTCGCGATAAGCCCTTTTTCCATTGGATACCTGTCACCGGTGAGACCACATACCCGCATCAAAACTATTAGGATTCTCCGACGGCGGCGGGATAAGCGTCGACAGAACCGCCAACTGCGCGTCAGGGTTATGATACACATAGCTCTCGAACGCATAAGCGGCCGCGGCGCGGACGGGGAACTCGCCGACGTTCAACGCCAGGCGGATCAGTTGCAGGACGGCGGGGATGGGCGCCGTGTTTCGGGGGTTGGGGATTTTGGCGAGGAAGGAGGCGGAGAGGGTCGTGCGGGAGACGATGTCTTGGTTGGCTTTGTGGCCGCGGACGGCGTCGCCGTATGCGAATAGGGCCTAAATCAAGAATGTTCGTTCACTTTTGTTCTCTGTGGAGGTACGCGGGGGATCCGAGCGGCTTCGGTTTGCTTACCTGTGCTTTTACTTTGACCGGTACCGTCGTTGAGAAGGCCAGTTCACTCAATGTCCCGATTATTTTGGCGTAGTTCATGACGTTCTGGGAAAAAGATCACCTCCATGAGCGGAGAGGGTCCCGAGTCTATATTCGCACCGCCTCAACAACGGCGTACCTGATTCACAGCAGCACTAGGATTCTTCGGCGCCGCCAAGATCCGCACAATCTCCAGCACCAGCACCGCATTCACCACTTTCTGATCCGTCCAGACGATACTGTCGTGCGTCAGGGGCACATCCACAGGCTCCGACCGGTCGTCCAGCATCAAGCGCATGGTGAGCAGTGATGGGATGCGCTGTATGCAGCTTGTTTCGCGAAAGAGGTTCTGTTGGCCATGTCAAAGCATCAGCGATGCTTGGCGGCGCAGACACTCAGAGGAGAAGCCAGGTACGTACCTGATTGGAGACATTATACTTGAGGAGATTGTGCGTCAACTGCAGGCAGTCCTGGACGATGATCCCGCCGTCGGTCGCGCCCTCGTCCACGATGATGCCGAGTAAACGCTCGAAGGCGCTCTCGAATGCGATGATCTTTTGGATGTCGGCGTTGTTCTCGGTCAATGCGATGAGTAGCAGTAAGCCCTCTGGTTGAGATCCCGAGAGAGAGATAAGTAAACGCGGCGAGGGTCGGCTACGGCGCATGCAGCTTCTAGAAGGCCATACCATTTCGGATGATCTCGCGTCGGTCGTCCAGAAGGTCAATGAGCCTGTCCCGCATCCCCATATGAGCAACATGCGCTTGAGATCAAGACTGATGAAAGATGACCACCCACCGAGAGATCCCCAGCGGGCTCGTCAGCACGCTGTCCTGCAGCCTATTCCCCACGTTCTCCAGTAGCGTATTCAACAGCTGCACGGCGTAGAACCGCACATAAAAGTCCACCTCTTCCAGAATGTCGAGTAGAAGCGTCACATTCCCCGCATCCTACACACCAGACATGCGGTGTGAGTACGTTCTCCTCTCCTGGCGCGTAGGACCCCGAGAGGACAATACCTTGGTGTAGATCTCCGTGAACATCAATCCCAAGTCTTCGCCGCCATTCCCCTGCAGATGTCAGAGATCATTAGCCCCTCCGCGTCCATTCGACAATCGAATTGCCTCAACATACTCCTGGAGGCGATCCTGCAGATTTCGGAGGATCGCGTGCGCATAGGATCTGAAGCGTCTCCATTGCTGCTTTGACAATATCGACGTCCATTCGGTCGTTTCGCAGGACATTGATAAGCACCGGCATGCCTTTCGTTCCCACATCCTAAAGCGTATCATGAAAACAACCTTCAATACAACACATAACTTTCATAACACAGCGCCTGCTCCTAGCCGCCAATACCAACCAGCCTCCAGTCCTTCGCCAGCCCCTTCAGACCCATGACGGCCGCCCGCCGGTCCTCTAACAATGTTGAGTTCTGCACGCGGTCGCATAGCTTGTGGACCGTCTCTGCGCCTGTCTGTTCTACGCCTTTGTCGCCACGCAGGGCGGAATACCCTGAGAAGAAGAAGCTCATATTGGGTGTATGTGCCCCTACTGCTAATTGGGGAATGAGGAGCTCAAGATGGCAGGCAGGAAGCGAGGGGACGAGATGGAGCGGCCAGTGCTGCCACGCTGCTCACCTCACCCAGATCCAGCTCATTCACACGCGACCGGGGGAACTTATATCCAGGTCACATGACCGCACTTGACTCCCCTCCAAATGCAAAATCTTTTCCGGCGAGCCCCTCCGAGCACCACCAGCGAAGGCAAGCGACGGAAGCGGTCTCCTTGGTTCCAATCACCCCCAGCTTGCAATATCTTTCTCGAAAAGGTCGCAGCAGCCCAACTACCACCTTCGGTAAACACATAACGGTCAACCATGGTGAGTTGCTTTTACCCAAAGTTTTCCAATCAGACGCCACCCATTTCGACCTTGGGACGACATGCGAGTGGGAGATTCCGACTGTCAGAAGAGAGAACCGCATGTGGGAACGAACTGTTGACGATTCCTGTTTTTCCCTTCTTTGGCAGCCCAAGCAGATCACCGAAATCAAGGAGTTCCTCCTTACCGCCAGGCGCAAGGATGCCAAATGTAAGCACAGGGAGCGAAGCTGTAGAATCAGGACAGGAGGGAGGGGGACGGAATGGGAAGTGGAGAATGGAACGGAGAGACTAGGGGGAGTGGGAAAGCGGGTTGGAGGGGGGAGGGAAAGTCTGTGGAGGCTGCTTGTGGTGGACGACAATGGCCAGGCCGTCAGGAACGGCTTTCTTCCAGTTATCCGTGAAGGTGTCTGAGAACGTTCTGGGAGTGGTCTTAGTAACCCGGCCTCTCTACCTACAGCCGTTAAGATCAAGAAGAGCACCAACGAGGTCAAGTTCAAGGTCCGCTGCTCCAAGTACCTCTACACGCTCGTCGTTGCCGACCTCGAGAAGGCCGAGAAGCTGAAGCAGTCCCTTCCCCCAGGTATGTCTATTATCACACCCTCTTTCCACATACACTCTCCTCTGTGAATAGAGTTCACTAAATTCGTTTGCTACTCTGTAGGACTTGAGGTCAAGAACCTCTAAGCGATGGAAACCCACCCGTCACTTTCGTTCGATTCCGGGGGCTTCTGTAGACTGATTGGATTGCGTAGATCGATGTTGATCAGTCAATAGACCCTTTCGCGCACAAAAAAGATCTGCTGTTGCTGTCTGTGGCTTCCAATCCTCTTTCCGCCGTCCGGAGAACGTGTGTGTCTCGCACGGGGGCTGCCCTAAACAGCCGCGGTCATGAGACTGATTCTAGCGATTGCAAGTCCATGGACGGTCAGCATTGGAGAGAGGCGCGATCGACTGTGCAATCCTTGGGCTACTGGCACGGGGCATGTGGCACTGACATCCATCCGTCCGCCCTCCTGCCTTGGCAGTGTTACCACTTCATTGTTCTCATGGGAGTTTTATAGGTTATACGTTGATCCAGCCTTTCGTCATGTCCAGTGTAAGAAGGTCCCACCACGGAGGACAGTGTGGCGTGCAATGCATGCAACCCACGGCAACATCTTCCCGTCCAGCCCATCCTCCAACATACTGAGAAGGGATAGGCAGGACTTGCGTAGAACTGCTGCGTCCCATTATCGGGCACTCCACACCCATCCGTAACATTCCCCCAATGCCTCTACCCTCGGCCCTTCATCCAACGCCGACAGCCCCACACAGCAAAAAAAATCAAGAAAGAAGGCAACGTCCCTAGGAAGAAGAGATCCAATCCAACTTCGTTCAAGAAGGTTCCGTACAACAGTTTTTTGGGGGGTTGTGGAAACACTCTATCTAGAACTTGGCGAAGGACTTGGCACCCTTGATAACCTTCTTCTGGACACGGAGGACGTTGAAGCGGACGGTCTTGGACAAGGGCCTGGGAAGGTTGGGATGGAAAGATGGAGATGATCAGGGACATGCACTCGCTCGTCAGGAAAAGACACCCACACCCCCATTCCAATATGCTCACCTGCACTGGCCAACAGTGACAACATCACCGACCTCAACACCAATGAAAGCGGGCGACATGTGCGCAGCCAGGTTCTTGTGCCTCTTCTCATAACGGTTGTACTTGGAGATGTAGTGCAAGTACTCCCTACGAATGACGATGGTGCGTTCCATCTTTCCGACCGAGATGACGACACCGGAGAGGATACGACCGCGGATGGAGACCTTGTCGGAGGTGAAGGGGCACTTCTTGTCGATGTAGTGGCCCTCGATGGCTTCGCGAGGGGTCTTGAAGCCGAGACCGACTTCCTTGTACCAGCGCTTGACGGTCGTCTTCTTCTTGCCGCCCAGCTTGGGGTTTTGGAAGATGCCGACTTGCGTCTGGAAGGCTTTTTGGGTCTGCGGGTGGAGGAAGAGGGGGAAGGGTGATGGTTGAGTTCGCCATGTTCTCAGAAATGTCATAACTTCTGCATGGTTTCGTCGCAGTTTCGAGATCGGCCGCAGTGTGAACGTTCCTTGACCCAACGCTGCGAATCTCCACACTATCCGACCCTCATTCTCCAACGACGTCGGCTATCGCTCCAGCTCCAGGTCCTCGCGACAGCTTTTAAGCCATTTTCATATTGGCTTTGTCGCTAGCGTTCCCAAATCCCTCCCGTTCCCACAAAACCTCTCCTCTTCTCGCCCGGTCCTCCGTCCTCCCTCCCCTCAAGTGTCTTTCTATTGGGTGAGTGAATGAATGAGCCTTACCTGTTCAGCCATGTTGCCTGCTAGTGTCCGCTGTAACGTTTAGTTTGGCGAAAGAGGGAGGAAAAGCCGGCAGCTGGCCATCGTTTGCCCATATGCAAGTGAGGGACGGAGCGAAATGAATGAAGCACGTGATGTGCAAGGAGGTCATGTGACCTGCGAGATTAAGATGGTGCTTACGCATTGGCGCTTAATCAGACGTGCGAGCATTAATATTCAAGGCAAGCTACAGTATTCAAACGCTGTGTTCATCCGCTTGCAACTTGCCATTCCCAGCAACCACTTGCTCGCTGCAATCTCAACAAGCAAAGCACTCACCGCAAACAGCAGCAGCAGCGTCCGTCTCATCGCACTCGGTATAGACAGCAGCAACGATGGTCGCTCCAGTACTGCGCTCGCCCGCAATGTCCTCCGTCAGCCGCGGCCTAGCCCTCGGCCTCAGATCCAACAGGTAAACAACGCACGATTGCATTCCCCATTCTCCCGCCCTCCCATCCCCGTCACTGACATCTCCCACCCCCTCCAGCGCCCTAATCACCCCACCACACCCCCGCACCCTCCACACGACTCCCATCGCATCCTCCAACATCGGCAACCTCGTCTCCCAGATGCGCGCCAACGAAAAGTCGCCACCGACGGGGTTCAATGATGCGGACGTCAAGAAGGGGCTGCAGCCGGTCAACCCCTATAATCTGCCGACGGTGGCGAACAATGCGGCGGAGTGGGCGTTGACGACGATTGATGGGTTGATTAATTGGACGAGGACTGCGAGTGTTTGGCCTATGACTTTTGGATTGGTGAGTTTTGAGTGGGCGGTGGAGAAAGTGGGGGGTGGAATGGGAGGAGGTGGGAGGGCAGATAAAGGGAGTTGGAAAGGATCTTTTGGAATTTAGATGGAGCTGGGAAGGAGCGTCTGAGAAGGTGACCATCACAGCATGGAGCCCTCATCTAACTCTCTCCATTCTTCCTTTCCCCAGGCATGTTGCGCCGTCGAAATGATGCACATGGCCGGCGCCCGCTACGACCAAGACCGCGTCGGGATCATCTTCCGCGCCTCCCCCCGACAGTCCGATGTCATGATCGTCGCCGGCACGCTCACCAACAAAATGGCGCCGGCGCTCCGCAAGGTCTACGACCAGATGCCCGAGCCGCGCTGGGTCATCTCCATGGGCTCCTGCGCCAACGGGGGCGGGTACTACCACTACAGCTATGCGGTTGTTAGGGGGTGTGATCGCATTGTGCCGGTGGATGTGTATGTGCCTGGGTGCCCGCCGACGGCCGAGGGGCTGTTCTATGGGGTTTTGCAGCTGCAGAAGAAGATTAGGAGGGAGAGGGTTACGCGGATGTGGTATAGGAAGTAGGCAGTGGAGGGAAGAATCACAGATCGATGTGGGAGACGCTTTGGATCACTTGGAGTGCCGTTCAAGTGCTGTTTCGAGGACGTCGTTGGAGGCGGACCGACGGTCGTTCCTCGTCGTGTCCGTGGATACCCGTCTCTCCAACCCCCTCGCTATGCTATCGAAAGAAAACGTTATCACAGCTACCCATGTTTTTGTTCAATGCATTCTCGTCTTTGTGTCTTTGAAATGCTATGTTTTCTATGAGGGTGTTGGGAGACTTGTACCATACTTGTACCATGTTTTCCTCGGCCCCGCCTTCGCAAAAAGTGCGGTCATTTCCTATTCCAAACGCCCAGATCCCAAAACGCACGCGTCAAAATATCAATCACATCGGTCAGAACTGGGTCAGACCGTCCTCGTTCCCATTACGGCATTCTTCCCTCATCCCCCCGTCAAGAGGCACCCCACCCACCATGGTAAAATCCCCCTTCATCCACGCTCTGATTCGATATCTCATCCCTCTCCTCGGTCTCCCCAGAGCTCCAACACCGTCAACAACACCTGCGACGTGCCCGCGGACATCAAAGCCATCGTCAAGAAATTCCGATTCAGGTATGTTGGGTCGCCACGCATCGATCACCCTTCGCGCGGGGATGCGGACGGGTGTACTGACTGGGGGTGTGGTTCCCCGGGCGGGGGGTGTTTAGGAAATCGAAGAGCAATGCCGCGGTGATATTCAAGATCGATACCGCGGCGTTGAGGGTACGTGGGTTGCTGAGACCTCCAGGGGGGTGTTTGATCAGCCGGCAGAACACGGGACTTACGCACTCGGGTTTGGCAGGTCGTGCTTGACGAGCAGCTCGACGACGTGCCGATCGGTAGGGGTCCCGCAACAGCGGTTGGTTTTGCTCGAGTGGCCACGCTGACGGGATGTGGGATCCGCACACACAGAGGACATCGCGCAGGCCCTCCCCGACACGACGCCGCGGTTCCTCGTCGTCTCGTCCGAGCTGAGGCATGGCGATGGGCGGATAAGTTATCCCATGTTCGGTGCGTACCGCCTGTCGTGCCGCGCGGATGTGGCTCGGGGCCCTGATGTGGGGTGCTTTTTTGGTAGGGTTGTATTATAACCCCGGCGGCGCGAGCACGGCGAACCGGATGCTGTATGCGAGCACGAAGAATTATCTGTACCAGGAGTGTGATGTTACGGGGAAGGTAGCGTTTTTTTGGGGTCGAAGCACATTCACATCACATCTTTTCAACGGAGTGGGTGGGATGTTGATGCTATTTGGTTCTTTGTTTTCGTGTAGATCTTTGACCTAACAGACTCGGAGGAACTGACAGAGGAGTGGCTGAACCAGCAGTTGATCGAGTCCAAGACCCGGCCATGAGTTTTGGCAATGTCCCCCGACGCGACGGCTTGCGAGACCTCCCGCAATTGTACATTTTTGCAAATGGAACCATATGAGAATAGAAAAGGATGGATATATCATCAAAAAAATATCAGAGTATATGCTTTTGGGCTCTTTGTACAAGGGACCGCGCGGGGTTGATGGATTTGCCCGCTATCCGATCGGAAATCGGATCTTCAGCATAGGCTGTAAGGGCCCGGTGTAAGGCGGAGAGGGACTGAGGCAGGGATGGTGAGGGCGGGAGGATGGACGTGAAGTCGGATGGACGGAACGGGTCTTTATGCGCAATGTGGGACGGGCTTTGCGAAACCGAAAGTGCATGGAGGGTATGTGTGGCGAGCTGGCGGGCCGGGCTTACTCGTTTAGGAGGGCGAGGATCATGCGGTACAGGTCTAATGATATGCGCTGTGGGTGAGTGTGCGCCGTGAATGGAGACGAGGGATGATTGATAAACTCACAGTAGAAGAAACAAAGCAGGTAGAATCCCAACTTCAAAAAGCATTCCTTCTTATGTTGCGGCAGCGTGCGGAATATCTCTGTTGCGTCGTACATGTGTCGGTTGTTCATGACTCTGCGAGAAATCAACAAGAAATTCCGGCGGCATAAGTGACCCACTCCCGCTTTTCGCCCATTCCCTCCTGAACCGACTTAAATCTCTCCATTGTGAATACGTACTGGTATCCATGCCATGCCAATAGCGGTGTATTCAGCAACAACGCGATCCAGCTGCCTTTGAGAAGGAACATTGCCCAGAGGAAGGCGTGGGCGAACCTTTCTGGTAATACGAACTGCGAGAATGGGCGAGAGAGAGAGAGAGAGAGAGATGGAGGTGGTGCATGAGTTTGGTGGGATGTTTCTGGGCGGTCCAGCAGTTTTTGCCCGTCCGCCCCCCATTCGTTTGCTGCTGAAGATCCCCCGACTGGAAGTGATCTCCTCTACTCACAGTGTTGAGACGGTTGCACAGGTCGATGGGGTTGATGTAATCGCATTCCAGATCGGAAAACATTATTATCTGCGAGTGTTGCCATAAATCGTCAGTGTTCATTCATCCTCACATCCACTCATACACATCGAATACTCTGAGATTGTCGGACTTACGAAAAAGACCATGGCGAACAGCAGCACTGCTGCCATTACCACCCCGAACAGGAATAGGTACTGCGTTGGGAGAAAGTTGGGGAGATCGGGGGTTAGTGTGCTAATCTTGCCGTCGCGAGCTAGGTTGCTGCTGGAATAGTCCCAAGATGCCCGGGGTATGTACAGACGGTTTTTACTCACCCCCTCTACGTTCATGGTGCCGATAAGGTTTTTGTCGTAAGCCTTGTGTTTGGGAAAGTGTGGGGGGGTTGGTTGTTTAGCGATAGGGAGCTCAGTGTTCTGAGAGAAAGCAGACGAGGAAAAGAACGGCGCCCTTGAGAGCGACATCAAAGAGCGGACTCGGCAGCGATGACGACACTCGCTACAGTACTTAGTTTAGAAAGGGACCCCCACTGCTTATGACTAGTCTCCCCCAGGGACGTCTATTCGCTCTTCCCACGCGCTTTCTTCTTCCCACTCCTGCTCTTTCTGGACACTCCCAGTTTACCCCCCCCCCCCCCCCCCCCCCCCCCCCCAATAACAGTATGCCCAAAAGCAGCAAAGCCACTTCTTCCAGGACCCACCCCACCGCCGCCACCACAACCTCCCACAAACTCCACAAACACCGCTTCGACCACATTCTCTGCTTCATACAACTACCCCACGAGAAGGGAGCCTCCTTCTCCAACCCATATTTCGAAAGCCTGTCTGCGTATCTCGGCCCGAAAGTCTCGGCTCACCGCGCAACGATATCGAAGGAATGGCCTTTATGTCCCGCCTTTTGGGATAAGGTGCCGTTGAACGGGCGGGGAAGAGGAAGCGGGGAGGTTAAGGATGGGAGGAGCGCGAGAACGGGAAAGTCAGGAAAGAGTGGGGCGAAATCCGGCAAAAGAGATGCGGAAACGTCGATTGCGTCAACGAGGGAGGGAATGGGAGCGGAGGCAGGTGCATCGAAAGCCACCTCAACACAACCGGAAGCTACGGCCCCTGGGGCCTGGGGACAGACGAAACAGGCTGTGTTTGATGGCACTCCAACCTGGGTGGCAAAACCCGAGGAGGTCACCACAGCAATCCCTCTCAAAACGAAACCGAATACCCACCGATGGTCAGACGTCGCCAAAAATGTCACATCCAGACCCGCACAAACGGAATTGGCACCGACCGCGAAAGGCCCCACAGCCAACGCCAAAGGCGCATGGGCAAAGCCGTTACCATTGTCCGGCTTTACGCTTGTGCAGAAGAAGGTTGCTAGTCTAAGTGGCCCAACGGTGTCAGCAATCGCCCCGACCTCCTGGGCGGTGGATACCGGAACCGCTGCGATTAGGACGTGGGGAGATGGAGGTTGGGCGGCTGTTGGAGCGACGGACGGCTCGCAGAGCAACGGATCGAAATTCTCTGCACCAGCCGAGCCTGTGAGCTGCACAGCTGTGGGACAATCTCGAAAAGCCAAACTACCAATCAACTGCATCGTCGAGTCGTCGTCCACTATATCCTCCAATACGCCAAGACAGACGAAGAAGACAAATATAGCCTCGACAACCTCATCGACCGCCTCCGCGCAAACAACAACATGCACTACTCCGTCCACCTCCAACCCCTCCTCCCATTCCTCAACCGCCACCCACCCAGACCTCCCCTCCAACCCCTGCTCAAAAGGCTCCGCCTGCAACCTCCGCCACGCCCAACCGCACATCCCCTGGTGCCCAAAGGGCGTCAACTGCAAACTCCGACCCCTAAAACAATGCTTCTTTGCCCATTCGGATAAAGAGGACTGTCTGGAGTTGACGCCGTATATGAGGGAGATCTGGGATGTCGCGTTTGGGTTGGGGTGGAGGAGGAGGGGGAAAGTCAGGATCACTGATTCCGTCGAGTCGACGAAAACATTACACGCATCGTCACACCCACGACCTGCACAACCACCAAAATCGCACATCCTAACCCTCCCCTCCACCCCCCTCACCCGCATCCTCACCTACGCGACCCAATCCTACACCGACCTCTGCAAGCTCTCCTTTGTCTGCACGGCCTTTTATCAGGCGACGCAGACGGATGCGGTGTGGAGGCAGGTGTATTTGAGGCATTTTTGGTATGCGGTTGGGGATGCTGTAAGGGTGGTTGGGAAGGGGAAGAAGGTGGGGGATGGGCGGGAGGGCGGGGATGAGGGAGAGTGGTGGAATGCGCCGAAACCTGTGAGTAAGATCGGGAAGAGCGGGTGGGAGGATGAGAATGAAGTGAAGCGAAAGGGCAAGACGAAGCTGAGTGGCGAGAGTGCACCGGGAAGCATTGGGGAACCATCACGGATGTCGGGCGAAACGCGCAAACAGCGGCGAGCGAGATTGTATGGGACGAAAAAGAACGCGGACGAAGCGGCGGGCGCGGAGCACGGCAACGATAACAACACCGAAGGCAAAGTCGACGCGGGAGGAGCGAAAACGGTGCATGAAGATGCCAACAAAAACGAAGAAGAAACGGAAACCACCGAGAGCGACGATGGACCCCACACATTACAATATTCCCGCATCGACCCATCCCTCAAATCCACGTACCGGTTTCGCCGCGAGGACGGTAAGTGTCATGTATCGTCCACAGTTCACTGTCCCCTTCCCCGATTCCCCCATCCCCCCACTCACGCACCCCTGTTTTCTCCCCTTAGCCCACCAACCCCCCACCACACCCCTCCTCCCCCTCCCTTTTTCCTCCCACAACCCCTTCTTCCGCCACACCCACCGCCACACCCTCGGCCTCTTCCAAACCTCGTCCCTCGACAACACCCACGAATTCTTCGTCATCACCCCCCTAGGCCTATTATGCACGTGGGCGTATGCCGACGACATGTACGGCGGGTACACCGACACGGTGCCGCGGCTGTACTTGGCGGAGTATACGGGGGTGCTGGAGTGGGGCGGTGGGGGCGGCGTGGAGTGTTTGAGGGACCCGCGGGCGAGGTGGAGAGGGACGTGGACGGGCGTGTTTGTGAGAGGCGTTTTGCACGTGTGTGAGAGGCGGCGCGGGAGGGCGGCGTAGCGGCGTACGGTTGATATACGCACATATCTATTACACGGATCCGCACATCCCCCCCCCCCCCCCCCCCCCCCCCCCGCCGCCGGACGTACTGATCAATAGTGAAAAATGTAATGGTGCATACGACACGGCCCCTCATATACGGGACACACGAGATAACAAGAAACCCATTGGGCCGTGTATACAGTAGAGTGTTAGGAAGAACGTTGCACAACCTCTTCGAACAAAAGTATCCCGACGTTTCCGTTCTTTCCTGCCGCGTTACGGCGAGGTTGACGCCGTCGATTGGGAAAAGTGTCCGGTCCCCCCTCGCAACCCCCACACGCATACATAAGAACACATGTTAGGTCCTCCGTCCCCCGGTCTCCGGGATCTGACTCGAGCGAGCGAAAAGTGCGAGTTACGGGTATAGGGGCCCCAGAGTTCAGCATGCATCGGCCTTTTGAGCTCAGTGATCCGACCTGAGGTGGATCCACCTATGGCGACACGTATCTAGCCGGCCATACACGAGACCACACCTGCAGCTCCAAAGTTCAAGTTCACAAATCCATTGCTTTTTATCCTATTTACAATTTGATATAGGGATATTGTATTGGCTCTCACAAGATAAGGATTTGGGGGGAGGGGGTGGTCGCCCGTTTTTACAAAAACGCTCTTTCGAAATGAAAGAAAACAACAACCGCGACACACACGAAAAGACGACTGTAGGAGAGGGGTGGGATGTATGCAAGATGGGGGATGATGGGGGGTTTTGGCTTGCGGGTATTGGTTGGTTTACTTGGAGGATTGGTATTTGGTCACGGCTCTGCGAAAAGGAAAAGGTGGATGAGTGAGGGCGTTCAAAGCGCGGAAAAGGACAGTGGGGCAGGAGCTTGCTCGCGATGCTCGCTAAGAGCGGAGTGCTAGACGAGACCAGCGCCTTTGGCGCAATGTGGCTCGCGTAGGGCTCGCGAAGAGCTCGCCTGCTTCCAGCATTCTTGCCCCTCTCTTCGGTCGTCGCAGATCAGAAACTCACTTGGTACCCTCCGAAACGGCATGCTTGGCGAGTTCACCGGGCAGAATCAACCTGACGGCGGTCTGAATCTCCCTGGAGCTAATCGTCGAGCGCTTGTTGTACGAAGCGAGCTTTGAGGCTTCACCGGCGATCCTTTCGAAGATATCGTTGACGAACGAGTTCATAATGGACATGGCCTTGTTTGAGATTCCGGTGTCGGGGTGAACCTGCTTGAGGACTTTGTAGATGTAGGTGGAGTAGGTTTCGCGGCGGATGGTCTTGCGGCCTTTTTTGGCGCCTTCCTTCTTTTCGGTGGTGGATTTGGCGGGGGCTTTGCCGGCGGGCTGTGGATTGGGGGAGGATGGAATGGAATTGAGAAAAGGTTAGTTGGTGGATTGGGAATGAGGGTCGAAGGTGATGGAAGGAATGTGGGGCAGCAACAGGATGGGAATGGGGAATGGTAAACGAGTCGCAAGCGCACCTTCTTTCCGCCAGTGACCTGGGACGATTGAGAGGCGGGAGCTTCCTTGGGTGCCATTGTGAATGAGCTGGTGTAATTCGGAGTTGTCGAAGAGAGTGGGGGTGACGACGAGTGGTAGTGAGTGGGTAGGTAGCGTGGGTAGGTAGCTGGGAGTGTTTGGGGAAGGAGGGAACGCAGGGGAGGGGGGTTTGCGTGGGTGCCTTTTATATTCCGCTTGGGGGAGGGACTTGAGGCCTCTCGCGCGCGTGTCCGGATGGCTTCAAAGGACTCCTGCTGAGCGACCAAGAAGCGCGGGTATCTCGTTATGGGCAGATTGCGTGTATCACCCTGCGACGCGCTCCGCCACCCAATCACTCGCTCTCGCTTCCTTCTCGCTCTCGCTCGCGGACCTCCAAACACGCGCCATATAAAGACTCCCCGCCCAAACACAACCCCCCTCAGTCCCGAATCTCGTTTACTCCCTCACAGCAACACTCAGCTCTCGCCCCCAACCGTACTCGCCAACACACCCACTCACTCACCCAAACCCCAACTCAACCCTCGCATCTCAACACAATGGCTGGAGGAAAAGGCAAATCGGGTGGCGACAAGAACACCGTCAAGGCCGGAAAGTCTCGCTCGTCCAAGGCCGGTCTTCAGTTCCCCGTCGGTCGTATCCACCGTCTGCTCAGGAAAGGAAACTACGCTCAGCGTGTCGGTGCTGGTAAGAATTCGAAATGCATTTCGCCCATGATCTCGCACATGACTGTGCTTCACCTTTTCTCTCTCCTGTGACAAATCCACTCACATACAATTATCCTCTCTTTCTCTCTGAACAGGCGCACCAGTGTACCTCGCGGCGGTCCTCGAATACCTCGGCGCCGAAATCCTCGAGCTGGCTGGCAACGCCGCTCGCGACAACAAGAAGACCCGTATCATCCCGCGCCACCTGCAGCTCGCCATCCGCAACGACGAGGAGCTCAACAAGCTGCTCGGCAACGTCACCATCGCCCAGGGCGGTGTCTTGCCAAACATCCACAACATCCTCTTGCCCAAGAAGACCAAGGGTGGAAAGGGTACCCAGGAGTCCCAGTAGATTTCGCTCCCTTCGAAAAGAGTGATTTTTTTGTTCAAACTCCCCCTCTCTATCTCTCCCTATCTACTTTGTATTATCCGGTTTTTGTCAGAACCGTACCCGCAGCACCTAGCGGGAAGGATAAAACACACACCCACACCCATACATCATACACCCAATCTATCCGTTCCTTGTGTAGATAACTATCGGTTTTGTCATTCACTTCTTGAATACATCCATCCTATCGAACCAACAACTTTTGCTCTTGGTCTTGCATCTGTCTCCAAGCGTTTTTGTGTCTCGTTAGACTTGGTCGGCCGAGTTGCTTCCTCGTGAACAGGAGCCCGACTTGATGACAACGAACGTACGTCTTCAGTGAGGGCTCTTTAGTCAAACAGAGATTGCTTTCCGATGCGTTTCTAGCACCGTCTTTCGCCCCGGTCTTCAGCCGCACAATCATGTCCTCTGCTCCATTTCCCGACCACGTTTTGGATTTATCCTATGTCACAAAGTGGGGAGGCAAGATACTGTATTTTGCGTCGGCGGCTGCCCCACTACATCTCCAGTCGTCGAAAGAATCCGCTGGCATATACCATACGAGCAGCGTCGAATTCACCGCCACGGCGCGCCCGCAGTGCTAATGGATGCTCCTTTTGGCGGCCATCCCCCGTCCGTTCTGATAGCGTCCAGGGTTCCCCATATGCCGTTGAGACATATATGGCATATGCCGGTGAGACAGACCAGGAACCGTTCAAAAGTCCAGATGACGCGATGACTTCGCACCTCACGCGTCAGAGTCTGAGACCAACAATTGCGCGTAGCCGATTCTCAGAAAAGTTGTCAAACCGTGCCGTTCACCGCTCGCTCAAACGAACAGCTGCAAACAACCCAGGGCACAAAAAGAGCAGGACTACATCCGTGTCCCATTCCGGATCCGCTCCGGGGCCGTGAGAGAGACCCGGTTGCTCTGTATCTCCTCCCAACCCGCCTTGTCCAGTCGTCACATTTCGCAGAGTGACATCTCGGCCGCAACAACATCAAGAAGAGCGAGGGCATCGATGCCGTTGCGGACAATCTCGAGGAGCCCTGGATCAGCTATAACCAGCCAGATCGAGCGGCTGAATGGGATCGAGTGCTGTAAGAAGCTCAAGGTGCTGTATGCGAGCAACAATAAGATCAAGAGATTGGAGTGGGTTGCAGCCGTTGGGCGGGTTGGCGCATTGTGTCGAGGTGCTGTTTGTCGGGAATCCGGTGGAGGAGAAGGCCACGGGGGAGAATGTGTGGGTCGCTGAGATGACGAAGAAGTTTCCGCACTTGAAGAAGTGGATGGGAAGCCGATTATTAGGGAGGGCGGGGGGGATAAAGAGGACGAGAAGGGGGAGTAAGGCGGCTTGGTTCTGTGCTGTGATGGGAGGGGGCAAGAGGGGCGTGGAGCGCTGTGATGAAAGCATCGAACATTTCATCGTTTTGTGTTTTTGCGTATGCTTTTTGTACCGTCATTGTCTCGCTGGGCGGGAGGATAAAGAATGCATGTGGGGACGATACGACACGTAGAGAGAATGCAGGAGTATGACAATCTTTTATGTGCAAGTAAATGGACAGAGTAGTAGACTGACAAAACAAGCAGAGAGGAAAGGGGCACTGGAGCAAGGAGCGTTCTGTGTCTAGGACATGGTCATGGTCATGACTCCCGGGCCTGCGTGATCAGTCAATGATCTATTCCTCCTCCTCGGCCTCCTCGCCCTAAAAAAATAGAGAAAATGGTCGATGAGCGTTTTTCTTCAAGAATGGGATTTGAGTGAAGGGGGAAAGTAGATACATACCTTGGAGGCGGCGGCGGCAGCACGCTTACGCTTCACACGACCAGCACGGCCTCCTCCGTAGGGAGAGGTGAGGGCAAAGTCGATGTGCTTTTGGCTATAAAGACAAGGTGGAAGAGGGTCAGTACGGCGTCTCGTTGTATAGTACAAAAGAGGCAGACATGGGTACGAACCTGTCCAAGCGGACGATGAAACTGGGGATGTTCACGATCTGCTTGCCGACGCTATGGAGAAGCAAAGAACGGGAGATAGAATCCCAATAGTAAGTGACATGCGGGTATCGAACTTTTACAAAATTCAAGATACCGCAGTGGCCACATACCGAATGTGCCTCTGACGAATGAGGACACGAGCGTGGTGGATCGACTTGGCGAGACCAAGCTTGAAGACCTGGGTCTGGAGACGACGCTCGAGGAAATCCTCAATCTTGAGACCGAGAACGTAATCGAGCTTGGCCTTGGACTCGTCGAGGATACCGGTGCGGATAAGACGACGAATCAAAGCGTTACCCTCGAAAAGACGGCGGGGGTCCTTCTCCTCGAGAGTCAGGAGCTCACGAGCGGCACGACGGATGTGCGAGAGGGAGTAACCGACACGCCCTGAGAAGAGAAACGAGAGACGGAGAGAGTCAGTTTTTGATAACTTCGAGAACCTCGGGAAATTGCTGCTCTTGCTCGTTCTCCCAGTTGCCAAGAACCTCCAGTACGAGAAACAGCAACAGCCCGAGGGGGGGCGAAAGAGTCCTCGAAATGCCCTTACTACGAGACCAGCTACCTACAGATCCGACCTCCAAATCATTCCCAAGAGGACTCCCACCACCACCACTACGTCCTAAGAACCTCCTTTCCCCCCCATCTCTCCACCCCCTTCCTCCGTCTCCTCAACTGCATCCAGACCCGACCTCAACAAACCCCAATTCCCACCTCTCCCGGCAACTTACAGATTTCACGCTTGCACCTGAGTCCATACTCTCCAGCAAGCTTGAGCTCCTGGTCGAGACGCTCGGACTCGAAGGGCCTCTTGGGGACCTTGTAGGTCTTGGAACAGTTCCTCTGAGGCATGGTTGCTGTCTGTCAACTCTGTGATGAATTGAAAAGGGGGGAAGAAAAAGACGGTTGGCGAGGTGAGGGGGCATTTGGGCACGGCGGTCTTTTTTGAGGGTCATGTGATCTGCGATTTTGGGACGAAGTGGCGTCGGGTGGCTTGGCGTGGCAAACTCCGCGCGTGCTGTCACTCACAAGGAATGCAACGAGTTTGAAGAGCAGCGACTAGCAGAAATTTGCCAGAGTGGAGTTAGAGGAGAGATTAGCTGAGGAGCGCCCGCGTCGAGCAAGAGCGATTAGCATGGATAGGTAGAAGTGGCAAGGAAAGGCGCAGCGGGTGCAGGAAGAGAGACGGAGACGACCAGAGGAGCGAAAGGTGTAAGAGCGGAAATAAGCAGCTGCCATTAGCGGCTGCAACTAGCACAAAATATGCAGAGTGGAGGAAGAGGAGAGAGCGGCTGAAGAGCGCCGACCGCGTCGTGGAGGAGCAAGAGTGCCCAGCGGAGATAGTGCTTGCCGTTGCAGTCCCAACCACGGTTCCGGTGGAGGTGGTAGTTGCGACGCTGCAGGTACGCGCAGGGGAGCAGAGTTGAAGAGCAGCGATTAGCAGAATCATGCAGCGTGTAGGCAGGTGCATAGTGTCCAGCAAGAGCATCCGCGTAGTGGAAGTACAGGAGAATCAACCCGTGGCACATCGCATCGCGCGAGAGCCCGAGTCATCAGCAAGAATCTGCATAAAGTGGAAGGGGGAAAAATTGACTGAGGAGCAGCGGATCCGAAGCGCATCTTGCATGACTTCCGGATCGAGACCGAGGAGAACACATGCTGAGGAACGCGATCAGCGAGCATTTACAGAGATCCGCCTGATGCCGAAAGAGGAAGAGCGTGCGTCAGACGGGCTGACGAAGGAATAGTGTGAAGAGGACGAGGTCAGCCGAGCTGGAGGAAGCGTAGAAAAGAAAACGGGTGTTGAAGAGCAACCCGTGATGAGTGGGGATTCTCAAGAGGCATGTTTGAATAGCTAGCAATCCATCGCCCCGGAACAACCGGGACCAGATATCTGAGGAATTGTTGACCAGGACTCCCACATTCTTTTATCACCGACGAATCTGAGATATGTCGAAGAGCATATGAAAAGATTCTGTTTTTCGTTTGTTCCCTAGGGGTAAAATTTATGTACAACAGGGGTTATGGAGAGACTAATGTGATGGACAACTTGGGTGCCAAACGGCAAACTACCTGACATGCAACAGGCCATTTCAAGGCCTTATTACAATTGCGGAGGGAAAGAAGACTCAGGAATGAAGAGAGAATCCCCACTTTCAGTTACAGAGTGAAAAGCTCGATCAACAGCACAACTCTTCACCCCCAGCCTGATCCATGACAGCGGCCGCGACAGCGGCCCTGGTCCATTCCGAGAAAATGGCGCTGCCAATCGCAAGCCCCAGCACGACCGCAAAGAACAACCCGACGTTAAACGTCATGGCAACCAACATGAGCGCATACGCCACCGTAACCGTCACAAACTTGGCCAACCCTCTCACAACCGCTCTCTGAATCCTCTGCACGACATTGCCCTGTTGCGTAGGGCGAGCGATGGGCGAGGCGGTGTTTGGCGGTACGAGACCGGTCTTGGAGACGGTGTCGGTGGCCTTGTGGCGTTGGAGGAGCTTGGACTCGTAGGTTGCGACGAAGGTGTTCCAGGCTTCGTAGAAGATGCCGAGGAGGAAGACGGCGAGCCAGGTGCCGAAGTATTGGCCGCTGGTGCGCGGGATCCAGGTTTCGAAGAGGACGTAGTCGACGAAGCCTGTGGGTTCGGGAATGGAAGGGAATAAAGAGTTTAGTGACTCTGTCGGTCTTTTTTGTATGGTTGAAGTAAGTCAAAACATACCGGTGTGGAAAAACATCCTCATAATAGGCGGATCATTGCTATTAGCATCACCGCCATTAGCGGACGAGCACCAGCCCAGATTAGGCGTAGCAGCACACATAGTCTTCCAATCCGCACATTGCCTCATATCCGGCATCGCCTTGCACAGCAGCGCGTATGTGCCCATCAAGTCGCACGAGCCGCGGGGGTATGTGTCAGTGGCCGAGGTAATCGAGCAGGCCTCACAGCCAGGCATGCTCATCTCGTGGCAGATGGAGTAGATGTTCTGGGTGGCTGCCTTGCTGGTGGGGATGTTGGGGAGGGCTGCGGAGGCGGGTTCTTTGCATTGGGCGTTGACGGAGGTGGAGGCGGAGGTGCTGTTGCCGCACATGTTTACGTATGTTGCGCAATCTGGGGGATGGAGGAAGGTGGTTAGCGACTTGTAAGCCGGCAACTCGAGGTCACACTAAACATATCGAAAGAACACCCCGTCACTGATCACCTACCCGACATCCTCGGCATATCCACCGAACAAACATCAGCCAACAGCGACATGGGTTTGCAGTATGGCTCCGGAACACTCCCCGGACTGGTCGTACACAACTTCCTTAGGTTGCATCCCGGCATAGCGTCCATCTGCGTGCAAAGGGAATCCATGGCTGCGGTGGCATTCTTGTCGCAGAGGCGGAAGGAGGCGCATGCTGGGTCGGCTGGGTTCGTCGGACGCGGGCAGGAAGCGGGTGGGGCGGGGCAGTCTTGTGCTGCCACTGAGAGGGAGAGGGTTCCTGCTCCGAGGGCGAGGAGGAGGAAGGACTTCTTTTGTGATGGTGACATTGGTGGGAGTGTCTGGAGGTGCTTTTGTTAGGTGACAGGGTGGGGGGGCAAAAATGAGCGGATGAGGGGGTTTTGCCCCGCGTTGGGGCTCTTTATATGCATTCTCGTTTTCTTCTCTCCTCTGGCGCTCCGTCGATCGGAACTATCAGAGACTCGGACTCAGGCGTCGGCGGCCGTTCATATAGTTGAATCATGATGCTTTCAATTAGTGCCAAGTTAACGTTCCCGCCCTGAAACACGGGACAAGACGCGCCGAAACGCCCTGGTGTAACCCCAAATAGCTCCACTCATTTGAGCCTGTTTGACACTGAGATTACGTGTTAGGGTTGTACGGTAAGACGAGTTCCCTACCCAATACCGTCTAACCCTAGTGTGCTAACTCTAACCATGTCCCTTTCCATGTGCTCTCCCATGCCCTCCTAAGCTCTGTCCAGTGTCGTCCCAAAAACACTCCCTTTGAGAGGGAACTCGCACATCACCACCACCACTCCTCCTCCCCCTCCTCACCGCCATGCCGCTCATACAGCTGCAATGTCGCTTCCCGCCACCCCACAGGTTGCTTGCTGATCAACGGTCGTGAGATGTCGTTGATATGTGGTACGCGCGATGATGCATGTCCGTTATTGTTATTAAGTAAGGGGTGCCGAGACAAAGCATCCTGGACGGGACGCGTCACATCCTCCTGTTCCGGTGGTGGATTCCGTTGCGTTACGATGTGTGCTGATTTCGTTGTGGCGGTGGTGGTGCTGGGTTTCGACGGCGTCGGCTGGGTAAACACTCTCGAAGGCTTCACCCGACCACCTGTCGATGGCTTCGCTTTGCTGTTCATCATAACAGGCTTTCTGGGCGGTTTTATCGTTGTAGAGACTTTGGCAAGATATGTCTTCGCTGGAGGTATGGGGATGCTCGTCTTCACCTTACTCGCGTCAACATTTGGTGGTTTTGTTGGTGGCTGGCGATTGACGTGAGCGAGGGTAGGTTTCGATTTCGCCGAATTCTTCTCCTTCGTCGCGGATGTCCTCAAGACCGGTCTTTCCGATGTCGTCCGGTTTGTCGATATCGCTGGCGTCGAGTCCGCCTCTTTCACAACCTGCCTTTCCAATTCGCCTTCCTCCTTCCTTTCACCAACCTCGCCTTCCTCCATCGTCACATCTACACCAACACTCTCCTCCGCCTCCTCCCCATCCTCCTCAAACCCTCCAAAACTATCCGTATCATCCCCATCCCCGCCTTCGTCCTCATCATCTTCATCCCGCCTCGTCTCCGAAACCACCGGCTGCCTTGCGCCTTTCCCCGCACCCTCAGGTCTGGCCCTTTTCACAGGACTTTCCCCCGTCTCCTGACTCGCGGCGGGGAAGGATGTTCTGGCTGGTTGTCGCATCAGACGTCGGGATGGATGCTTGCGATGCTGTGGCTGCGGGATAGGCGTTGTGGGGATTTGCGGGATGGATGTGGTCGTTAGCGTGACGCGGGGTTTACGGGGGCGGGTGGGCAGGTGTAGTGGGGTTGATGGGAGATAGGGAATTTTGGTATGTTCCGTCGGTGAGGGTTTCTGAATGATAAATTTGATCAGAAGTTAGTGTTGGGTTTGACAGGGCTTCAATTCGTGGTATAATGCGAACCTCAAATGACCCTTGCGTCTTCGGTCGGGGTGTTTCAAAGTAGTGATGTGGACCGTAGAGATTGGCGGGGAGGACCATGAACGTCGGTTTCTCGCGATCGTAGTGAACTGATTCCGCCGCCTACCAAAACAAAGACCCACACAGTCCAATATCAGTAAGCTGGCGATTCCATCCTCCAACGACACCCACGCAACAGACAGTCAGTTCGCACCTTCCGCTCCTCCCTCAACCTGTCCGCCGTGTCGGTACTGATGACAGGCAACCACCCCTGACCTCTACTTTTCATCGTAACATGCGGCGCGGACCTCACTCTCGTCCTGCGGTTCCGCCGCCTATCAGTTCCAGCTTCCTCGTCCGGTCCCGTCGTCGCAAGACCACCGTGTTCAGCGGCCCTGTGGGGCGTAGAGACAAGCCGCTGATATCGGTCCACAGTCTCAGCTTTGCTGAACGCGCAGATGTGTGTTTTGTGAGCGTGGGTGGGGACGTGGATGGGGAGGGAGGCGGTTTGGGCGAATTCTTTCTGGGAGCGGAGGGAATGTTGTGAGTTATGCGAATATTGTAAGCGAGCTGAAACGGGTGTTGTTTTATTTTGGTACCCAGTACTTTGTCCGGAACCGGTTGCGTAACCGCATGAAATCCATATCTTCCCGATCCTCAAGTTCCGCAACATGTTCCTTGACCGTTCTGAAATGCTGGTGCGGCTCACGGTGCGGTTGCACTTCAGCAGCTGTAGTCTGCCCATCCCCCTCGCTTGCCGACGCAGCCTTCAAAGCCTCCTCAAGGCACCCATCACACAGCGCACTATACCCCTTCACCACCGCCGCAGCCGCCGCATATCTCAGCGCATTCACAACCAAACCGCCAGCATCCGATTCAGCCGGGTCCCAATACGCATGCCACTTCCCATCAATCTCAACTCTCGGCGTCGCGATCATATTCAGCGAGACAACGTTCTCATTCACTGCCGCGAGCGGGACACCCGTTCCCCATCGGGCGATGACACGCGAGCCTTTGGCGGCAGTGCCCTTTGCGAAAAACACGTAGTTTTCGGTACCGATTCGCCGTACGTTCTGAAGGATAGGGTGGGGGCGTGACTGACTAGCCGCTGTTGACGTCGACGCAGAGACTTTTGATGCAGCGCCCCAGCCGGGGGCAGACGCCTCTTGCATTCCGACGGGTTTGAATGCGCTGGGGAAGTTGTCTGGCGTGCAGACCAGTCCAATGCGTTCGTGGGCGATGGCCCGATGTAGGACAGCTTGCCAAGCCGCTCGTTGTTTGCCATTCGTCGGCTTCTTTCGACGCCGGAACGGCTCCAGAAGCTGTCCCACAAGGAGTACCGCCGTCCGTGTCTCCAATGCATCCGATGTGAGTTCCGTGCTGTCCAAGTCCAGGGCGTCTACGGCGATGACCGCCCCGCTGGACATCAAGAGAGACTTCAATATGTCCAGCGTGGCCACAGACAGACCGTGGTGCAGAATGAGAACTGATGCCAATGTGGGCATCAAACTGTTGGGAACTCTGCAATCGGCATGAAACAGTGCATTGCACTGGACGCAACGCGATGTCATGGCCTTTGCACATGATGAGCATAACCTGGGCGTGGCTACCTGGGAGATGTCGTGAAGGTGAGCCGATGCTTACAGAAGAATAGGGAGGGGAATATCCACATACCGCAAGCTTCTGCACACCCGGACGGGCAAGCCAACGCAAAACAGCGGGATCTTTGTACGGGTCATATCCAAACGGCGGAAATGCTTCCCGTTTCTCCGCCTTTCGATGCAGGGAGCGAACGTTGCTCTGCGGTTCTTCATACGTAAAAGTGAAGCCGTGAGAACTGGGTTGGGGATAAGGTGAGTTTGGAACGCCCGACGCCCCCAAGTGCTTCATACTCCGTCTTACCCATCAATGGCAGGGAAGGGCTCTGCTACGCTCATGCTAATACGGCCTTGTGCTATCCAAGCTGTTTTCTTCAAGGATACCAAGAGTTTACGTTGCTCGTTTCCGCCTTCAGGCCTCCTGGGCGCAAAGAAACGGGGCAGGGTCGAACTGACGGTACGGTTGATCCGAATGTACCCGATTATCGATTATCCCGGTAGCGGAGCCTTGTGGCGTTGCACCTTCGTTTGACGGTACCGGGAGGCAGTGGCGGTTTCAAGCATATGGGGCGCCATCGCGAAGATGGGGGTGGGAAAAAGTCCGGAAAGAAGCGTAACCCTGCGATGAGTGTGGAATTCCAAGAGCACGCGCAACGAGGGGTGTGGCGGTATCACAGTGGGGCTGTTCCCCATTGCCTGAATTTGCCTCCCTCGACTTGCTGCAAATGCAAAACCAGTGAAACAGACTCACAATTCCAACAACAACAGCACAACCGCAACAATGGCAGACCCTATGGACCTCTCCCTCGACGACATCATCGCCTCAAACAGGCCCAAGCGCCGCACCAAGCAGGGAAACGGTGTCTCCTTCGCTTCAGACACACGCAGATCCAACAACTACCGCTCGCGATCCTCCTACGACCGGCCCGACGGCAGAGGATCAGGCGGCCCCCGTCGCGAGAACAAGCCGTATGCACGAAGAGACTTGGAAGGGCAGTGGAAGCATGATATGTTTGGCGACTCGAGGGGTGGATCTGGCGCTGGCTTGAGGGATAGCGGGCGAGTGGGGAGGAGTACCGCTGCAGAAGGAGCGACGATCACGATTAAGAATTTGCACTGGAACGTGAGTTAAAGGGAACTGCGTCTTGGGTGAGGTATGACGCAAACTGATCCGGATTCTTCAGGTGACGCAGGAGGATATCGCAGAGCTTATGGGGTCGGTACCTACCACCGTGTGAAGGCGAAATTGCGAAAAGCGTTTCAGCACTTGTCGGAACCTCGTTCTTACCAAATCCTCCCTCCCACACTTCCAATCTACGGCATGTCCGTCGGCATCTCACATGGGACACCGTGATCTTACCTGAACAGAACACAAGGAGCAGTCAACAAGATACACTTCAAGTACGACAACGCCGGTCGCTCTCTCGGAGAGTGCGAAGTTACGTTCGACAGCGCCCGTGCAGCACAGTCCGCCCTCGACACCTACGATGGCCGCGAACTTGACGGACAAGCGATGACGGTCGAACTCATCGGCGGAGGGTCCAGGCAGGCTGGTCGGGGCGCTGTCGGAAGCTCTCTAGCCGACCGCCTCGGTCCCAAGCAGGGGAGCAGCATCGTCGACAGGCTCGGGCAGAAGTTGGAGGACCGACTGGGGCCTCGCCTAGGTGCGAAGGTGGGGGGACAGAGCAATGGTGGCGGGCCGGACAGAAACGGACGTGGAAACCGTGGGAGGGGCGGACGCACCGGGGTGGGACGTGCTCCGCGGAAGGGACCTGCGACGATGGAGGATTTGGACGCACAGATGGAGCGGTACATGTCGGGAGAGCCGGAGCCGGAACCTGTGGCCCTGCAGAATGGAAAGGTTGATTGGGATAAGCCGGCCGACACCGGGGCTCGCGGGATCATCACTTATGATGATATCGACACCTTTGCGATGCAATAGTCGATGGGCTGATTGCCAGTACCAGTCGATGTACCTGTTTCCCCTTTAATTTAGCGAATTGCACAAGAGGGTATGCCGTCCTCGTTGTCTTGTTTGCATAATACGAAAACCTTATATATCGCTGTGAAGACAACATCGCTATGACCTTAATGGCTTTCTACTGTATTTGAAGTCAAGAAGTGCAAGCAGGCGAATTTAGTTATCCATGCAGACAAACATTTTGTGCAACTTCTTGCGTTATCTGAGCTCTTTTCATATGAAGCACCCATCTACTCTCCTCGGAACAGGCAGCGATGAAGCTATCTGGGCTTTCGGGGTTCAACGTCTCGATGTTCGAACTCTTGGACAGGTGAACGGTCAAAACGCGTCCGTATAAAAGTCCAACAGTTTGGCCCCCAACTCAGCTCAGCTTTGACTTTCCTCCCACCCATCCGTTTCCCAAACGGGCTTCACAAGCACAACCGAAAGTTCCTTGGACCTCTCCACCTCCTTGCCTTTACGTCGTCCACACCCCGGAAGCACCCCTTCCGCCCTCGGAACTAGTTTGGTCAAGATGGCCGAGATGCAAGACCATGCCGTCGCTGACGAGGAGGACATGGAAGAGGAGTTTGAGGTAACGTTTAGCCCTTGGCTGAGTTGCTGAAGGTCTACGGAGCTAACCAACGCACTGCTTGAGAGCTCCCTTCTCTTGTACTGATGTCGGTTGTTTCTGCTGCTTCGCACAGGTTTCACCGGTAAGTCAAGATTGCATGGTGCTGAGCACAGTCGTCGTGAACTGACATTTCTTTCCTCACGCGGCATTGAAGGATTTTATGGAAGTGAGTAGAGCTTTGAGGCTGCTTCCCTGCTTCTCATCGAGCGGTTCTGACATATCCACGTTTCTCATTCCCATTAGGTTGAGAAACTTCAAGATGCCGGTATCAATAACGCAGATATTCAGAAGCTTAAGAGCAACGGGATCACCACCGTTCGGGTGAGTATTTGATTGTTACCAGCCGACGACTGTGCCAGTATGACCACCGAAGCACGATGTTTACTTCCGCCTACAGGCCGTCCAAATGACCACCAGCCGGAACTTATCAAAGATCAAGGGTCTCTCCGAAGCCAAGATCGAGAAAATGAAGGAAGCCGCGGGCAAGCTGCTTCCATGTACCTTCGTCACCGGCATCGAGCTGGAGGCCAAGCGCAAGAGTGTCGTCCGTATCTCCACGGGCTGCAAGGACTTTGACACCCTTCTGGGCGGAGGAGTTCAGACTATGTCCATCACGGAAGCTTTCGGGGAGTTCCGAACCGGTAAAACGCAGCTGTCGCATACGCTTTGTGTTATGGCTCAGCTGCCGGCTTCTATGGGAGGCGGTAACGGCAAGGTTTGTTGTCGCTACATTTGGCCGGGTCTCCATCGCAATCGAACACTCACTCTGACCCCCATCTTTTCCATCGTCAGGCCGCATTCATCGACACGGAAGGCACTTTCCGTCCCGAGCGTATCAAGTCCATCGCCGCGCGTTTCAACGTCGATGGAGAAGCCGCACTCGACAACATTGCCGTCGCCCGTGCGCACAACAGCGAGCACCAAATGGAGCTCCTGAACCATCTCGCCGCTCGACTGTGCGAGGAGCGCCAGTACCGTCTTGTCGTCATCGATTCCATCATCGCTCTGTTCAGGACTGACTATAGCGGTCGTGGTGAACTTGCGGAGCGACAGCAGAAGCTTAACCAGATGATGTCTAAGCTCATGCGGATTGCTGAAGAGTTCAATGTTGCGATTTTCATTACCAACCAGGTAGAGGAAACCCCCGTCTTTCACCGAGGTCGTCACCATGAACCGCACTTCATACTCCTCCCGTCTCCTACGCGTAGATGTGCGCTGACCCTGGAGGTGGCTTGACCTTTGTCGCTGATCCCAAGAAACCCATTGGAGGACACGTGCTTGCGCACGCTTCTACCACCCGGCTCTACCTCCGTAAAGGGCGTGGCGAGCAGAGGATTTGCAAGATCTACGATAGTCCGGATGTTCCTGGTATGCTCACGTTGCAATTCTTCTTTACAATCGTTGGGCAAATCGCTGATGTACCGTTTCAATCCTATAGAATCCGAAGCTGGTGAGTGCGCCCCACATCGCCCGACATACAAAATGACCTCCCAACGAATCTCTCTCCCTCACAGTCTACCAAATTACCGAGGGCGGTATCGCGGACTCGACCGAGTAAAGCGGCGTGGCCCTAGCTTGGAAAAGAGGACCTATTCCCCGGGGTAGGGCGTAGAATTGATAGGATTGATGGGACCCTATTACTCTTCAGAACATGGTGTATATGGTTTGTTTTTTATGCACGGCGCTTTGTCGCCGGTCGTTGTTTGCGAGGACGTGTGTGTGTATTTGTACATAGGCAGTGTTTGTATTTGTTTTGTGTTGTTTCTTCCCAATCCTACTGTAAATCCTACCGTATGTGCAAAACAATCCTCCGTTGCCTTTCCTGGTCGTCGTTCATGTCTTGAAGTGCTGATGACAGCCGCGCGTTTGGCTTTGGAAGTTGGCGGCGCGCGTGCAAAGAGCGGAATGATTACGGATTGCGCAATTCCTAAAGAGAACGCTTCGCGGAGCTCCGGCGTCTCCGCTTTTCACACCTCCGTTCACACCTCTTTCTATCCCATTTTATACATCCCTCGCAGGCACACACCACTACTTCCCTCACACCCACCTCTCACCTCACCCCCCAACCCCTCCTCAAAATGGTATCAGCCTACTTCTACAACGACCTCGACACGACCGACGGCCGCAACCCGCATCAATACACGCCCAACCGCCCGGTCTCGCTCGACCAGTTGGCGGCTTTGGGGGTGCTGCATTGGCATTTGGATGTGAAGAGTGAGGGGTATATGGATGTTGTGGAAGGGATCTGTGTGGAACGGGCTTATAAGAATCGGGATGAGGTTGGTTGACAAGTGGGGGAGGTGGGGTGTTCTTTTGGGAGAGCTGGATGGAGGGGAATGGGGGAGGATGTGTGGGAGGTTAGGGGCGGCGAAAAGGAACGGGGGGATGCTATGAAAGATGGTGGGAGTGCCCGTTTGGTGCTCTAGGATGTCTCTTGGACGGGGTGCGGGTTGCAGCGGCATGTTGTGGCGAGCCATTGACAAAACTTAGGACGACCACCACCCGTCTCCAGCTCCCCTTCTTTTACCTAAAAGTCAAATGAGCGGGATGTCTGGAACGACATGGAGTCTGGGGGCCCCTTTAGTGGCCTGCGACAATCATTGACTCTCGGCTTGAGCCAGGTGGGCTCCCCGCCTCAACCGGACAACGAGGACGAAGCTACATCACCCAGTGCACCCCAACCCTCACAAGCCCGATCTAACCACCCCCTCCCTCTCCCCTTCCAGATAACAATATCCCGCGAGAAACTCCCAAACTACGAAGAAAAGCTTAAAACCTTCTTCACGGAACACATCCACGAGGACGAAGAGATCCGGTTCATCCTCGAAGGATCCGGCTATTTCGACATCCGCGCGCCGAACGATGCGTGGATCCGGATTAAGTGTGAGCAGGGGGATATGATTATACTGGTATGTTCCTCGTGTTCAAGCAGTCTCGTTGGATGATATTGAATGGGGGTTAACGGTTTTTCGGTGATGTATGTAGCCCGCGGGAATGTACCACCGTTTCACCCTCGACACGACCAACTACCTTAAAGCGATGCGGCTGTTCAAGGAGGACCCGAAATGGACGCCGCTGAATAGGAACCCGGACACCGATGCGAATTCGTACCGCACAAATTACCTGAATACAGTGGCGTACCCGGCCTCGGAGCGCTTTGCGGCGGAGGTTAATTGAGAGGGGAGCGACGGCGGCCGTTGGATTGCGCTTGGGGAGCGCGTAGTAGTTCAACCCAGGGGACATTTTTTGTATAGTGACATTTCCTTCTTTGCCTTCCACACTTTTTCTTGCATGTAACCCTTTAGGCTGATGCCTCATTATGCCGGCTGTCACGTCGGCCAGTCGTAGCATAGTACGACATAGTTTGCAATAGCAACAACATAAAACTGGCGTAGTAAAGATCTGCTCCGCATGTTCGCAAAAGCGCAACGAAGAAACTGACATTTGTGTGGGGCGAGGGATTTCCCCCCAATAATATACAAAAACTGGACATACAGACGTGTCCCAAATAAGTTGGGGAGTATGGGTTGGGGAGTATGGGTTGAGCGACGTTGGCGGCTAGTTAAAGCTACGGTTGCGCCCGTGCTTGTTAGCTACTATCTAGGTCATGCGGCGTGGGCGAATCACTGGTTACGTCGCCGCATGACTCGTGCCGGCGGTAATTACAATGTAATATGCGTTGGTCGAAGGGGGGCGCGATTGACCGATGCCCACTTCCTGGAATCCTCTATGAACTAAAAAAATCTACATTCCATTCGCGGTCAATTGCGCTTAGGCGCGCGCAGGCCGGCTCAAAGTGGGGATAGTAAATCCTTCCTCGGTGATGTGCTCCCATGCACCGTATGCTCCGACGACTCCGGCGAGGATCGCTCCTGTGAATACTGCAGGTCGAAGTCCGGCTGGAATGATGCAAACAGTATTATTAAGGGGTTATCAACAAGAGATGAGCCGGGGAGGGACGTGCATACCTGTAGATTTGAATAGGAATCCACTTGTGAATGCCGCTGCGACGTGGTTGTAGTAATCCGACTGACCGCCCCTCATTGCTTCGAATGCGTTGTCCAGCAACGCCCATCCCATAGCTGGAAAAACGTACGGTTAGCACGACTAGCCCCACACAACCCAAGTTTCACCTCAAAAAACCGATATTTGAAACATACTCATAATTCCCATGGAATTCGCAGCCCAAGGCCCATATCTCGTCGTCTGATTCAGCACATTGTTCATTCTCACTTTGAAAGTTGGCACCTGCGCAGTCCTAAACCCCCTCAACGTTCCGTACACTCCACCATACACGAGGCCACCCACATACGCCGTCCCCACCCCATACAGCAGCTTATCGTAGCCGGTACGCATCGGCAACGGGCCGAAGGTGCCCGTGGGTGGCTTGTGGGCAAGGCCGAAGGGGTTGTCGGACAAGTAGAGGATTTCAACGTCGTCCTGGGGTACAGCGGGGGCGAGTTTCTGTTTGAGGGAATCGACGTGCTTGGGCGAGGATTGGAGGTCGGCGAGCATGTCGGAGACTGTTATTGCGGACGTTGGCTGTGACGAGGAGGGTGAGGAAGGGGGTTGTGATGTGAAGGAGGTGGTTGGGGCGGTGTCGACGGGCGAGGCCGAGCTTGACGATGTTGGTGCTGGGGCTGCGGGTGCGCTTCCGCCGAAACCGAACCAGGACGACATTGCGAGTTGCGAGGGATATGCAGGGGTGTGTGAGGGAGTGGAATGGAGTGGGTGCTGAGCAATAAGTTATGTGCAAAGGATTGCGTTGCAATTTCCAACTCAACAGGCGGAACAACGATTAGTGAGGAGGGGCGAAAATTCCGATTCCCAGAATTGAATTCGAGCGCGCACGTGACTGACAATAAATGCATGCTCACGTAAGCAGCGACTGGCTTCTTTCGTGTCTCTTGTGCCTGGAGAAAGTTGCAAACCCCCAGTTTATAGAATTCACCTGCAGAACCAACACAATGGACGTCGCAGACCAGCTCCAGGCCCTCAAGGCAAAATAGTAAGTGTCCGGAGTGTGTATGCCTCTGGCTCTATACTCTCTCCCTTCGCTTGGTGTGGACGGGGAAGGCTTGTCCTTCCAACCGTTGCGCATTCGAGCACCACTAACGCTTCCTCACCACAATAGCAAGTCCGTGGAGGTAGAGAAGCTCATTCCCTTGGACTTTGACCTCGGCAACCTCGTCGCCTACGACACAAACCCCATCGACGCCGCCCAACTCAAAAAGCAGCCCGAAGCTTACCTAAAAGATGTCGCCCGGGACGGAACCCAGCTCCTCCTTAACCAAATTTTCTCTCTGCCAACCGAAACGAGTCTCGATAGTGTGACTGCGAAATTACCACCAGGAACGACCATCTTGCCACGAGCAAAACCAATCCCGAAGGACAAGCCTATGACCCGATGGGAGAAGTTCGCCAAGGCGAAGGGGATCCAGAAGACGACGAGGAAGAAGATGAATTATGATGAGGCGTCGGGAGAGTATAAGGCGAGGTGGGGATACAAGGGCACGAATACGGCGGAGGATGATTGGATTAAGGAGGTTCCTCATAATGCTGGTGAGTTGGGAGGGACCGTCAACATTTGTGACGACGAACGGCCGGAAACGCCTATGTCGGATGAATATTATTGATCGGACGATGACAGTCTTTCCGTGTCAACCGGTAAGGCATTTACTCACACCCTGGTTTTCTTCCCCAGACCCAATGGAAGACCAATACGAAAAAGCCCGCGAAGAGAAAACCGAGCGGGTCAACAAAAACAAACAGCAACAGCGCCGTAACGCCGAAGAGCACGCAGCCGTCTCCGCAGGCAAGAATCCGCGCGAGGTGCGCAAAGCCGAGGTCACAAAGAAGATCCTTGAGTCAAAGGGTGCCACGGCGTCCATGGGCCGGTTCGACAAGTCGCTCAGGAACGAGGACGCGGTTAAGGTGAAGCGGGGGAAGAGAAAGTTCGATGAGCTGACGCCGGGGGATGCGAGTAAGGAGAAGGAGGGTGTTATGAATGTTGTTAAGAAGGTGCTGAAGGGTGAGGATGGGAAGGTGATCAATGTGACAAAGGTATGTTTTGGGAAGCTTCCGATCGGCAGTTCATACGTGAGGGATGTCTCACTCTTACTTCCACAGGCCGTGAAACACGTCCACCAAAAGGGAGGATTGAAGGTTGTCGACTTTGACGACGGGAAAAAGAAGAAGACCAAGGGCAGGTCCAAGAAGTAGTAGTCAACACCCACCCACACAATCTCCGCCATCCCGTCTTTGTACATAGCAGATAGTTCTCCATTACGCAGTTCAGATTTAGGATCTTGTCGGGCAGCCTAAGCATTTAGAGGGCAGCCGGGCATGCAGCAACATATTTATATCATCTAGCCGCTGGCCATGCTGGCGTCAATCCCTCTCATTATGCGCAGGATATCATCTTCGTGTCGACGCTGCGATCCATAATATCATGGCTATTATTATTTGCATATCACATCTACGCCCCCGCTCTGTCGTCTTCTCACTCTTCAGTATCCATCCGAAACCCCCCATGACCCTCCTCGTCCTCCTCCCCACCCCCTACTCTCCCTTTCCCCCCAACCCCGCCATCCACGTAACTCCCCAACACACTCCCCTCATCAACAGCAGCCTCAACCAACCCCTCATCCAACAAATGAATCTCACACGTGCTATCCGCATACCCAAGCATCAGCGTAACATTCCTACTCGGCTGGGCCAATTTCACCTGCGATGCCGACGTCGTCCCGTCGGATATCACAGCGGTGTAGGCGGGACACAGCGCGAAGGTGACGATCGGTCCCGTCGTTCGTTGGCTACTTGTACTTGCACCTACGCTCCCCGACCGGACCACGAAGGCCGGGTCAGCTTCGCTTTCGCTGAGATCCCATACGCTCAGTTTGCCTGTTTCGTCCAGGACGAAGAAGACTGCGGGGCGTTGTGGGGACCATTGCACTGACACGATGGGGTCCGGGGAGGCGTCCCAGGTGACGAGCGGGGATGAGTCCGTGAGTTTGAAGAGGGCGATGGTGCCGGAGGTATAGCCGGCAAGGAAGAGGTTGGGATTGTGGGGAGAGCAGGAGAGGGACGTTATTGCGTCGATGGGTGTCTGGGAAGTGAGGGAGAACGCGCGCGGGTGGCAGCGGTGGCGGAACCGGGATTGGTGGAGGATGAGGCCGGTGTCGGTGCCGACGAGGAATTTGTCGACGTCGGGGATGAGGAAGTGGGAGGTTGTTACTCTGATCTCTTTTGAGGGGTTTGATCTGCGGGGTCATGTCGGGGAATTAAGTATTGAGGTGCTGTGAAAGTTTATTGGGACTGAATGGAAGAGCATACCTGTCCCGAGACTGGACGTTGAACGATGGCCCCTTGATAAGCTTGATCCTGCTGCCTATCCTCATGCCATAATCAGGCTCAGCTTCTGCAAACGACTCATCGAGGAGTTCCAGCACGGTCTGAATCCCAACCCATCAACGTTAGCAAGATTGTACCGCTCACCAAACCCCACCAATCCTCCGAACTCACCCAAAAATGTATCAACCCCCCCTCATCCAACGAAGCCACCTGAAACGACCCCTGCTCAATCGCAAACCGTCCCACCCCGGCCCCCGTACCCGTATCCCGCCTCATCGGCAACGGCGTCAACGTCCTAATCGGCGCCTCATGATATCCTTTCAACGTATATATCCCATCGGTGCTATAACTCGGCGCCTGCACACATATCTCCTTCCGCTGTTCACCCTCCCCAACCCCGACCATCCGATGCGTCGACGCCGCTTCCTGCAAATCCCACGCGCAGACGGTGCCGCTATTGGTGCCCGCGAAGACGAGGGCGGGTTTGGAGGGTGCGAAACAGCAGGTGGTGGGTTCGCTCTCGCAGACGAGGATGCGGTAGGGGCTTGTGAGGTCGCTGACGCGCCAGACGCAGAGGAGGCCGTCTTGGCCTAGTGGGGTGCGGTCTGTGGTGCTGAGGGAGTAGGCTACGAGGATGGTGCGGGCGTCGGTAGGGGAGTAGGTGATGGATTTGATTGTGCGGCCTGGGTGGCAGGGAGCGGGGTTAGAGAGTGGTCATGGGAGATACGGCCGATATTTGAGCGCACCTCGTAGGTATGGCAGGGGTTTCAAAGCGGTACAGCCTTGGCTGATGTTCACGCTAGTAGCAGAGGTGAAAGTGTGGGGCAACCCGCCGCTCGCGGCATTTTCCTCCAATAGCGTATCCATGACCTACATAAAGGTAATGCAATCAGGCGATGCTACCACGGCAAGACGTGACCAAAGCATGTGCACCCCTCACCTGAGCAGCCCTCTTCAAAAACGACGCCAACCGCAACGAATCAATCTTCGCCGTCTGACTCGCCCTAATCACACTCTTCGTGCTGACTTGCAACTGCTCGAGCGGGTTCCCACTGCCCGATCCCTGGAAATCGTCCGGTGGTGCCTGCACCCACTTGCTGTCGGTTTCCCAAAGGTCGGTCTGGGTTTCTTGTGAGCCTTGGTCTTCGTTGCTTTGTGTGCTGGCCTACAGAACGAGATTGGGGTCAGAATGAGCGATGTTGGAGCGAGGAGCTCTGTTTCTTGCATACCTGCACGGTATTCGACGTTCCATAATTCCGGATATAAAGCTCGTATTCGTTCAGCGGTTGTAAGTTCAGCAGTTCGTACGAACACACGTCCAAGGTTATGAGCTTGCTCAGGTCCTGGATGAGCGTTGTTCAGCCTGCATTCCTCATCGCATAGTCATGTTTCTAGCTTTCGATTTACCTTAGCGCGCTGATTCTGCCGCTTTTCCGAATCGGTCAACTTTCGTTGTTCCTGGGCTTTCTTCGTTGCAGCTGCAAGACCCACAATAGTCCTCTGTGGCAGCGCTGAAGACACCCGTTCCTTCTTTGTTTCTGCAGCAAAGGCCAATCTGAGTCCCCAATATGTGGGATATGGGCGAACGAAACCCCACTAACCCTGCTCCTTCATCTCCTGGGCCCGTTTCGCTTGTCGCGAAGAGGCTCGCTCGTTTTCCTCCTCCAGTGCCTTCTGGACCTGTTGGGGCGTCCGTCTTACTGGTCTTGCCTTGCTTCAAGTTGTGAAGCATGTCCATACCTCGTTCATATGTCCGTCAGCCGTAGCTACTTGCACCGGAGGGTATTCCCGAGGCTGAGGCGATTCTCTTTCCTCGTCGGTTTCCTCATCCTCATTCTCCCCATCATCCCTTCCAACGTCCGTCCTTCGAGGAAGAAGCTCAATCTCCTCCTCCTCGGAATCATCAGGCTCCGGCTGCTCCTCCTCTTGCTGAACATCCTCGAAATCCTCGAAGTCTTCGTCATAGTCCTTTGAGGAGGAGAATCAGTCTGGGCATCAACAAGATGTTAAGCGGATGCGATATTGAAAGCCAAACAACGATCACATTCCACATACCTCAAACTCCTCCTCGTAGGCGTCGTATGCATCGTCTGCTACTTGTTCGGCGGCTACGGGTGGTTTATCGCGGATAGTCTCTACGGGATGGGAGAGTGACTGGTCAATGGTGTTGCACTTCAGATCTAAGTGATGCAAAGCAGTACCTTTGTAAGCCGGGACATCATCTTCCTCCGAATCCTCCGCCCGCACAGGAACCTCCATCTTCGACTCCTTCCGCCGCTGCACCTTCGCAGGCTCCGGTACATCTCCACGCGATGCCGATCCACCGCTCGACGTCGGTTTTGCAATAATGGCTGGTTTCGCGTCGCGATTCGGCCGGGGTTCCGGATTACGTTGGGATTGGGCCTTGGTTTTGCTCGACACATCGCTTCTCGAGGACGCTCGTGCTACTCCTAAGGACTCGCGGGACGATGCCATGGCCAAATGGGTTGAACTCCCACGGAGGTTCTTGAGCCCAGGTTCACTCCTATTCCAGGGGTCATTAGACTGCTTTCAAGCAGTTCAAGAAAGGCAGCCTCCACTCACGAGTCCTTAGCTCTAGACCCTCTGCTTGACGTCGTTGGCCGACTTGATTTGGCAGCATCTTTGCTTATTTTTGACGATTGGGAGTCGAGGAACGCGTCCGAGCCGGTGGGCTTCTTGGAAGAGCTCTATTGAGGACCATGGCGTGAATTTTTGCTCAAGCAAGCCACAGGACGGTGGACCGCGTATATCCGCACTATCACCTTTTTCGTAGTAGTCATGGTAGTCTTCTCGGGTAAGTGGTTTGGGCGGAGATCTAGCCGAGGATGTTCACGGAGCAAGCGCCTTCGAAGTTCGAACTTTGGAGCATTGATTGCGCGTGACGTTTTGAGACGCGTCGCCAACTTGCAGCACGCACTTCCTGCGCTCGCCAACTCTCACCAGCAAACGATAGGCTGCACACTTCGATATCCTCAAAGATGCTTCCCGCCAGCACCCGGCCGAAAGAGGCTCATCCAATCATCGTAACCCTCGGCCAGTCTCAGAGCCGAATCCCTGCGAAATCAAGCGACGAGAGTGTGTACAGTCTCGTGTACCCAGATGAGAAGCCGGAGAGATATTCTAGCAGGCACGCCTCGCGCGTGAAGTCCGAGGCGAAGAACAAGTCAATGGATAGCCTGAACAAATGTGAGGGATACATTCCGCTTGGATTGCATCCCGCATTGGAAAGACATTGCTGACGGCTGCTTTTCCCTTTGTCCCCCTGAAAAGCGTTCAAACGGCTAGCAACCGATTCAACACCGCCATTGGTTGTTCCAAAGAATGTCCCCGCTACCGGAACAGGTCTATATGTGACGAGGGGCGGTGTGAGAACGGGCACAGTTCCACGGACGCAGCCGAAGAAAGCGACGTCCGCAGAAGCGACGCTAGGCACAAAGTCCAGATCGGCTGGGAGTGGGATCTTTGCGAGTAAGTGGGATGCTCAGCAAGGGAGGATGGTATCGCGTTACTAATGACTGCTCACGATCCATCAGAGGCAAAAGTACCATCTCGCTACGTCTCGCCAAGGACCAAACCGTCATCAAGCAAAGCGCCGGCCCCACCTCGACGAAAGTCTGGAGAAACCCAGAACATTTTGATCGTTGAGACACCATTGGAGATCCACGCCGAACCAGCGGTGGAGATCCCCGCGGCAGCGGAGTCTGAAATTGCCGAGTGCATCCAGGAGGCAGGCATACCGTCTTCGGGATCTACCGCAAGGCTCTTATCCAATGCAGAGCGGATCGACATACTGGCTGATTTGAAAGTGCAATGGGAACGATTATCGGATGCGTACCGTCGGCTGCCCATTGCAAGTGACACACCATCGCGGATGAGGAGGTCAGTAGGCGGAATGGACGGCTCTCAATGTGAGGTTTACTAAATTTGTCCATCTACCTAGGAAAGGAGACCTCGAAGCACAATTACAAGTCTTGGAGAAAGAGATGGAGCGCTTTGCTAGCTCGAATGTGATGGTCGCTTAGACTCATGAGCATTCCATTAGACGCTATGTGGAGTCTGAAGGATTACCGCTAACACCATGTAGCCAGAGGGAGACTTGACGAGGGTTGGAAAATATCCATTCCTTCTGTCTGCAGGGGAATCGATGAAGAGCCGTAGGACGGTCCACCTTTGTTTTCCTATTCGCCAACCCATACACAGAGTGAAAGTTTGACAAGAGATTCACGGAATTCGTTTGACTTAATATATGTAACATCGTACGCTTGGTCGAATCTGGCCGGTTACCCCGTTTGAACCGTCTCGGCTTGAGGATTACCCCGTTTGAACCCTCACGCGCCAACGCGTCGCCTTTGGAAAAGTGGGGAGAAGTGGGGGGGCAGGAGATCGTCCTCGACTTGCCCATCAACGTCAAACGGACGAAACGGTCGTCGGGGTCCACCTCACCGCCGATAGGCAAGCAGCTATCACATCACTTTTTTGGTTGACATTGCGGAACAGTCATTCGGCATACTTTTATCGTCACAAAACGGCCACGAAGACCGACACCGGCCTCCGATACCGAACGACGAACGGGGCAGTCATGACATCCCAGGGGACCAGCGGGACGGGGAGGATACCCACGCGGAGAGTGCCCGGGACCCGTAGCCGGGCGGCTGCGGGAACAACTGGTTCGACAATTTCTGCAGGATTGCGACCGCATGCAGCCCGGGGGAACAAGTCTGAGAACACCAACTCGAATGCAATGCCTGGCGCAACGGTTACGAAAAAGGCGGCGGGGGCAGCGGCCGCTACTTCGAAATCAAAGACGACGGCAGCAGCAGCAGCAGCTCCAACCACTCAAATCAATGCTACTTCTACTGCAACACCGTTTCTGGATCGGTTGCGATCTTGGCGGAATACAGCTTGGGAACAAAGCTTGTGGCCAACGGCCGCTTATTGGGGTGATAAGATACTGACTATTGGAGGTAGGAACAACATGGACGTTTGGCTGGATTCTGTGGAACCTTTGCTCATCGATCCGTCCACACTTAGGCGAAGCCGACGATTACTACCGGCAAGCAAAGATCTATTTCGCAACGCAAGAGTACGGCCGCACAGAATCACTGCTATCATCACGAAAAGACATTTTGGACGCCAGCATCCGCTGCAGATACATGGCCGCCCTTTGTGCGGTAAGTGGGCACACGAGGGTGTGCTTACCGTGCGCATTGACTGTATACTCACAAGTCCGGGTACATCAGACGAAGCTCGGCAAGTGGGACGAGGCGGAGGACCTTCTAAGGCCCGATACCTATGACCGGGGTGAGCAGCCAAGGGAAGGGACCATGAAGTATGCACTAGCATGCTTACTCTCAACGTACAACGTAGATTCAGCAGTCTCCGGTGACGAAGACAAACAGGTAAGAAGGTGTCTCGTGTGTCCGTTGATGTTTATCGGATCTCATGCCCGTGCGTCAGTTTGCAGGTCCCATGTGGTACTTGGCGGGAATTGTGCAGAGCCAGATAGGACAGATGACCCGGGCGAAAGACTGCATGAAGAAAGCGGTTCTTGCAGATCCGCGTTCTATGGAGGTATCCTTGGCTTCCTGCGTTCCTCCATGCTTTGCCGATTAGATGAACTGATGAGATGTTGTCGCCACATCGCGTAAAGGCTTTCAAATGGCTGGCTGAAAACCATGCATTGGACTTGGAAGAAGGTTCGTCGCCTCGGCCCGCTTTTACCTGTGACGAAACTAATCCTTATACATTGATAGAGAAAGCTTTCGTCCGGACAATCGATTTTTCTCAATGCGGAGAAGATGCATCATTCATGGCGCTCCTCTACCAAAGCAACACCAGAGTGGTATGATTCCGCGTTTCGCTCTCAGCTGGAGAACTCTGTCCGGCGTTGGTTAACACTGGGCTCATTTATAGTACGATGAGCACAAGGTGGTACAACTGGAAACCACGTATAAGCTGAAGGGCAACCATGATATGCTACAACGTCGCGCGGACGCCATGTTCGAGCGATGCAAATACGCTCAATGCTACGAGTTGACCTCCGCGTACGTGCCTCGCCGCGCTTTCAAGCCGCCACATGGCACAGGCTGACCTACTCCTACCCTCTCAGTATCGTGAAACAGGACCCTCACAATGCCCAAGTTGTGCCTGTACACATCTCAGCCATGATGGAGCTCGGCTACACAAACGACCTGTTCTACTTCGCACATTGGCTAGTGGACAACTTTCCGGAGCGGGCGTCGACGTGGTTCGCTGTTGGAACGTATTATTTAATGATCAAGAAGAATCTGGAGGCGCGGAAGTACTTCAGGTGAGCTACCGTCAGTCATAGACAGAATAAGATTCGTTCCATGCTCATGCAAACATCCCAAACATCCCATTCAACAGCAAAGCCACACAAATGAACGGCAGTTTTGGACCCGGGTGGTTGGGATTCGCCCACTCCTTCGCTGCAGAGGGCGAAACAGATCAAGCGATTTCGGCGTATGCCACTGCTGCGAAACTATTCAACGGGTGGGTTCTCAAACTGTCGCCCGTTGCATGTCATTGAGTATTGCTGGCTCACACATTGTTCTTGAAGAATGCATCTTCCGCTGATGTATCTTGGAATGCATTACATCAACCTACAGAATTTTGACCTCGCACGGGAGTACCTGCTGCTTGCCGAATCCATCAACAAGACAGACCCGATTCTCATGAATGAGTTGGGCGTTCTCCATCTCAAGTTTGCCGAATCTATGCCAGAAAGCGGCAAAATCAAGTAAGTGGCGAAAATAATACTAAAAATTACTGGGCATCATATGAACGGCCACCTGACGAGTTCCCTTTTGTCTCTCCAGCTATACACAGGCGATCGAGTACTTTGAACGTGCTCTGAAACTGGCGGAAGAAGCCGACTATGCAAATGCACAATGGGCAACGACGTGGTATAATTTGGCGCAGGCGCATCGGAAAGCTGGGTAAGCAGACCTGGCATACGGCCTAAGGGAAGCTGCACAGACGTTGACATGCCTCATTTGCGATCAGCAACATCGACCAAGCGAGGCGCTACCTCCGAATGATTCTAGACACGAATAGGAACGTCGCAGATGCGCACATCCTTCTCGGGTATCTGGATCACTACGAAGGCAAATGGGAGGATGCTGCGGAACATTATCAACGAGTGAGTTCCAAACCTTGACGCACGCTATTCCGATGGGCTTTCGTAACCGCGTTTGTTGCAACCTAGGCGCTTTCATACAAACCCGACGATGATATCTGTAAAGATCTGTTGCAAGAAGCTGTTACTGCCTTCACAAGAGAAGCGGAAAGCAAGTGGCCGGCACTTCCACCAACGTCGAAAGACTTCTTCCTACCGCCCGATATGGAAAAGTACCGGCATCTGCAAGACCCTCCGGAAGAGGACTTGTCAATGAGTGAGGAGATACTGGATCCAGGTCCTGACGACGCTGACGAGCTGGCAGACCTCCATGATGGAGATCAAAGTCTGCGGAACTCGTCGAATGTGTTTGCCCAACCGAATACCCCTGCCTCTCTCATGTCAGCCGAGGAGAAGCGGCAAGCCTTGCTACGATTTCCAAACGGATTTGATACCACGCCGTTATTGCCACAACCCGCCTGGATGACGAGCACATACCAGCAAGTCAGCTCCATAGCCTCCTCAACATCCTCAACATCCTCCATGGTCCCATCTCCATCCTATCGCGGTCCTCGCTCGTTACCCATCAGTCGTCGTGGACTCCCTTCCAATGCCGATGCAACACCTCAAACCCTCCATCAACAACACTCTGACTCCACGCCCAACGACCCAGTCGGACTGACAGAAACGCCGCCAAACGGAACACCGGCGATGTCGCATGGCCGCACCACCCTCCGTCGGTCTGCTCGTCACGGGCATGGGCCGGCTTCGAGCGCGAGAACGCCGGGTACGCCGGGAGACGGAGACGTGAGCATGGATATGGAGATTGACGAAATGGAGTGAGGAAGAAGTTTTGCTGGCTGTGGATGCCACCGGGCGTATGTAGAGTTTGAGCGTTTCCTGTGGGGAAAGGTGACAGCTGTGAGAGGTGTATATGAAGCTGCCGGAGCGGAGAGAAGAGCACATGGTGCCACGGTTGAGTGTAGCTAGATATAATAATCGCATTTTTGGCTTTTCCATTATCGCTCTGCGTCGCAGATTGGTCGGAGTTTGGGGTTTGTTGTCGAAAGGAAACAGGTTTCGCCGACGAATGATGAAGGAAAATAACAGAACCATTGTGCGTTGCAGTAACTTGACGAAGGGAAGAAACGAAAGCCAAGCTATCATTGGCACACGGTGTTTGTGCCGGAAGAGTGACTGTGGATAAACCGAACATGGCAGTTTGTCCAAGCTTATTACTTAGTGGCCATGACAAACGCGTAAGACGCGGGGAAGTCCAACAACACATGCTTGTCTTCCTTCTCCGACTTCTCCGTCATCTCTGCAAAAGCTTAAAGCAATTAGACAAACCGCAACCTTCATAAGCGTAACCCGAAAACCAAGGAAGCTTCCTTTTGGCAGCGCTTTCAACTTGCAAGCCACACTTTGACATATCCAGAACCTAACTGCACCGCATGTCCGTCAGCCATATATCCCATCTTGGACTTTTTGAACTTCCAACGTCGGTACCAGCAGCAAGCACGAACACCAGAATACCATTTCGTCGAATAGCCGCTATATGTTCGCCTGAACTGTAAAACGTTGAAGATATTCGAAACCTCCTTGCACCACCGGGAGACACTTCTTTCATTGGTAAACGGTCGGCCAGAAACAAATATCGCGAGCTTAACAAACCGCCAACGAGCTCACCCTGAGGATGAGCCACTCCGCACTACTCTCCGGCGTAGTGCAGTCACCACTGACAGCGCCTGCCCAAAAAGGCCGGCCAGGGCCCGGGTCCGTCAGCTCGTTTTTCGACGCGAACCCAACAGGTCATGGGTCACCACATATGCCGCGGGCAATAAACAATCGCGTCTCACCGTTTCCGATGGATGGAGCCGGACAGGGAAGTCCGATGGGGTCGATGCATGGGATAGCCGAGCCGAAATCACGGTCTCTGTTTGGGGTGGAAGCGCGGCAGAATGGGACGTTTGTCGATGGGTTTGGGGCGCCGTCGTCTCCGGGAGCGTCGGCCATGGGGAGAGCTTCGTATTTCGCTGGGCAGGGACAATCGGGGAGCCCGGGGAGCAGTAAGGTGAATGTGACGGGCGGCTTCGCTGGAGCACCGGGGAAGGGATTGTTCGGTGCAGGGCCAGGGCCCGGGAGTGTGTGGCCGGAAGCTGGAGGTTCGTATGCTGGTGGACCGCTGCAGGCGAATGGCTCCGCGCTTCCGTCACCACGACCCATGGCGGCCTCAACTACGGATTTATTAGGTGGCGACCGAAGCAGATTGCCACAACCACCACGACAGAATCAACAATCGCAACCATACTCAGCGCAACCACAACCACAAAATCGATTACTGCAATCACTTCAGCCACAACAGCAGCAAGCGTTCGGATCACAGCAAATCAATACCCCTCACTTAGAAACGCCATACTCAAGTTTTGGAACAGCTCGCCGCTCATCAGACGTTCTCCCTGCAAGCATAAGCTCACATGCTTCTGCCAAACGGTCCCTACTCTTCGGCACTCCATTAGACCCGCTCGAGCGAGCGCGACTAGACGCCGGCACAGTAGCGCATGGAAGTGGCGGAATAAGCAGTCATAGTCCCCTAACCTCTGGCAGTGTGGCCCACTCTCCGTTCCAGTCGAACAACGTCATGAACGAGGGGCCTGTTGGGACAGAAGCAAATCCGATGATGGAAGAACAACGCGACCGAGTCACACCGCTCCTACCGCCGCCAAACAAATTCACCAACCCATCTAGTTTTAAAGAAAAACCGATCCAACACGTCATCAAGATCGAAGATTTCGACAAGGTGGCTGAAAAGCTGGCCGTCGTTGAGAAAGCTGGGTGGTACGAAGGCCACATCTCTATGCGAATGCTCGACGAGCTGCAACGGCTGGAAAATGAGGAAAACGATGCGGATCTGCAGCAGTATCTGGTAGCCGCCAACGCCGCCGCGGAATTTCGAGCATCTCTAGATGCGCACGATGGGGAGCACCATCACCATGGCGGGGAGGCGGGTGCGTTGGGCGGCGGTGCAGTTGGGCGGAGGGCGCTGGTCGGGGCCAAACCGGACTTACTGCGAAACAAGGAAGAGCAGTTAGCGGTGTTGAACGCGGCTGTCGCAGCAGCTAAGGCTGGCGGGTCCAGCCAGGGGGATGTCAGCGGTGTGGGGTTGTCACCTAAGGCGCCCGCTTCAGAAGCGTCGAATAACGAAGCCGCTGAACAAGGAGGGTCGGATGGGGAACAGGGAGAACGGTCGGACACCACCCAAAACGTGACAAATCCGCAGACAAGGGGGACGGATAGCGCACCATCAAAGAGCGGACGAGAATCCCCGTCAAAGGATTCCACAACGACACCAACGCGAGCATCACGCACATCCCTCAAAACGAAGCCGCCAGCAAAGTCATTCTTTGCCCGGTTGTTTGGTTGCGGTGGATGACGTTATCATTCGCCACACCTGCTGCAACAACCCCCGGCGCTTGTACAAACGTTCTCCTCCTATACCCCCTGCATCCTGCGTCTAAGATGCCGTATTTAGAGCACACCGTAGCCTGAGGCAACGCATACAGTTAAATCAACGTATTTTCATCTGTCAGATTCTGTCGCACGCTGTGGTTGCCAGACGGCATTACGGAACGCGTCCTTAACTTCTTGACTTGACGCGCCAAATCGTTTTACAGCTGTACAGGAGCGCAAAAAGCCAATCCTGCCGAAACTGAACCTTCATCCCAAACCACTATCAAACAAAAACCATGGCAGCAGCAGCATCTCCCATAGCGTCCAACGGGGCCCCTCGGCACGATATCTTGACACAAACAACCAGTACCGCACAAGGACAACAAGCATCAGGTGGAGGGTCAGTTGCACTTCAAATTCAGCCGGAATCCCCGGCGGTACCGGTGGTGGGCAACGAGCATGAAGCCCAACTACCCAGCGGCACCCCCAGCGAGGGGCCAGATAAAACTGACCCGAAACGCAAAAGGGATACCGAAAGTCAGATGCCTGGGCAGCAGGTGTGTATCAATACTCGCGACCTCTGTTCACGGCTTTTTTCTCAACGTTCCATCCCTCCAGCCACCAAAGGCAAAACGCCAACGATCAGCGCTGAAGCCTACGAACGATGTATACCCTCTGGAAGAATCCACGAAGTCATCGAAAAAGTCTAAACCGACTACCCCTGACGATTCCCAGACTCCACCTCCTGATCTCGCGAACGCCGTATGTAAGTGGGTGCGGTCTTCGTTTGTGTTCTGTGATAGTCCAATCTGACGGAACGATTCCTCCAGATCTATATCCCGACGATGATAATCCTCGCACCGATGTCGTGATGAGCAAACAACCCATCCACCGCGCGCCACAGATGGCCTTGTCCGACGAAGGGTTGACGGTGATGTGTGATTCGGGGTATCGCATGGCGAAGGCGTCGCATGGCGTGTGGGAGGGGAAGTGGTATTATGAGGTTTTGGTTAATGAGCATTCGGGACATACGCGGTAAGCTCGGATGCTTGATGACGCCGCGCACCCTGAATTGTTACTCATCTTACGACGATCCGCTATGCAGGATCGGGTGGTCGCAGATTAGCGGAGATCTCCAGGCTCCGTGCGGGTACGACCAGTTCAGCTATGGGTATCGCGACGAGCCAGGGACTCTGTTCCACTGTAGTGCTAAGGTTAAGGACGCACCGTCAGATTATGCAAATGGTTACGGTGCGTTGCAACCATCTCGTTTCCGAGCTGCTTATCTTTGTAGCTAACTTCGTCGTGTCATGCGTTGCGATAAAGGGCCTGGTGACGTGCTCGGAATGGCCATCTCGTTACCGCAATGCTCCGACATGGCGGACCTGGTGCAACGACTCTGGAACCCATACAAAGACTATGTCGCTTATCCGAGCGAGCCACCAGAACCGGTTGATGGGAGCGAAATCTCTTATTATAAGAACGGGAAGCCTTTAGGAATCGCCTTCCGAAAACTGCTGAAAGGTATGGTTACCTGGTCCTTCACGGACGTCGCTCCACGAAGTCCGAGGACTACTAATCTAGACAATTATCTCATGCCTTGCCTTACAGGGAAGTACTACCCAGCCATCTCATCATACCGCGGTGGCAGCGTGACTCTCAATTTTGGACCGGAGTTCAGATGCCCACCACCCCCAGGCTTCTCGCCTATGTTTGAAGCGAAGTACCTTGTGTCGTGGACAGATATCGCGGCAGGGATAGTGAAGTGGGATGGGGTACAGTGGAGGGACGTGAGGAGCGAGAGTGGAGATGCTGATGGGGTGGCAAGTACGGATGATTCGACGAGCTCTGGATCGTGGGACGGCCCGGGTTCGGAGCCGAAAGTGGGACGGGGATAAGGCACCAGCAGGGCCTTCTGGAGTCACGGCGCCCGAGGATATGACATTCCGGTCGTAAACGTCGTAAAACCCTCATCGGCAGGAGACGTACTTTCAACACGTAGAAGGCTCCCACAGCATCGCAGGTCTCAAACGAAAGATTGTGGATGTGGATTGGAAGGTTTTCCGTACAACCAATAAAAACTGTCCGATTCAGGCTACCGCCTACGTGATCAGAAAATATATATACAAATGGAGTTGGAGAGGAGCCGCCGTGCACTGTGGGGAGGTTGATATCACCCGCTGAGGCTTCGTGCCTATCCTATGAAGAAATGTGTATGCGAAGCATTGATCGTTTCTTCGCGTCACTCACTGCAGCGCTCTGCCTTCCAATCCCGCTCCTCGTGATCCTCCATCGACGAAAAAAGAGTAATGATGATACGCTCGTGCTCTGCTCTCGCCTTCTCGCAATGCTTCGGCTTTGTGCGGGGGTACATGCCCGTATGCCCTGCCTCCTTTACGCCATGTGGGAGGTAGTACCCCCGGAACCGCCTCTCCCGTCCTCTCCTGCTTCCGTCATTCCATCTCATCCCCGGCCAGTCCTGCCACGTCGTGCAGTGCAGGGTCTCACTCAGCCGTCTACGTAGCCATCCCCCGCAACGGCGCCAGGGGCTGCGCCTGCACACTATCCCACTCGATCTCTGCATCTCGCTCCTGGTCTACTGAGCCTATCGCCGCACTTGGACAAAACTCTCGTAAGCTTATGGCAGCACGCTCCTTGTTTTGCGAAGGGAAGAACGTACATATTGTCCCCCCGAATGATGTACAGCCCCAGCGGGACCTGCTCGACGCCGTCTTCTCCGCCAAACACCCGCTCGGTGGAGTTGGAGAGGATAAGGTTTGTTGTTTGGTCGAAGCCGCGTAATGTGCCCTGTGGAGGTGAGAAAGTGGTGTGATCATCAGGATGTGTGTGCTGGGAGTGGCAGTTGAAGTTAGGGTGAGCTTACCAATATTACTCGTCCGTCTGCTGTTAAGACGGAGACTAGGCCTGGATAATCGAGGGTTGGAACAAGGGGTTAGGGTATTCTGTGCTGTGTCAGTGTGATATGCAACATTTTCAAGACGCTTACTGTTGACAAAGGGTTGTATCTCGGACATTCTGGGCGAGTGGTGAACGGTGGAGAGGCTTGCTATAGAAGCTGGACTGGCGAAAAACGACTTTCGATATGACAGCGGGTGGGAATTACTCTTCCTTTGAGCGTGAGTGTTGTTGGGGGATCAAGTCTGGTCTGTGAGCACTGAGCAGGGAGGGTCCAGGCGTGTTCGCGCGGTTGCTTGCTGATGCGTTCTCGCTCAGCTTCTCGTGGGAACTTCGCTCAATCTTACCCATCATCGTCACAGCTTGCCACACAACACACACCCGCCCACTTCCGCAACCTGCCCAACTAGCACAATGGCCTCCCCCATATACGCCACCGCCGACTCCATGCCCTTCAGCCCCACCGGCACCGGCGCTAACCACGCTCTCAAAGGCATCATCCTCGTCGGCGGCCCCTCGGTCGGAACGCGCTTCCGCCCCTTGTCCCTCGACTGCCCCAAACCGCTTTTCCCCATCGCGGGTCAGCCTATGATCTACCATCATGTCTCTGCGCTAGCGAAGTTGCCCGGGATGAGGGAGATTCTGGTCGTCGGGTTCTTTGAGAATTCGGTTTTCGATAGGTTTTTGACCGAGGTGCAGTTGGAGTTTCCCACTGTGCCCATTAGGTGAGTTCACGACTGGGAGCGCGGAAGTGGGAATGAGACCAAAGTGAGCCTGCGGTGGTTGCGCCGCAAGCTTGCGGGTCTTGCGTACCCGATGTAGCTCAACACCACAACGCTTTCGAGGGGTGACAGGCGAGCAACGCAAACTCGTTGCGGCTTACGCGTCAGATTGTTGGAAGATGGCGACCTTTGCCGAGCGTTTGGCTGTAGACGCTCGAAAGCGTGAGGTTTCACGCCACCGTTGCAAGAGCTCCTACCCCATCGTGGGCCTTTCCCATGCCGGTGTTCAGAGTTTTTACGCGCATTCCCACCTCTGCATAGACATATAAACTCACATCGTCCTCGGTTGTAATCCACAGATACCTGCGGGAATACCAAGCTTTGGGAACTGGTGGCTCGCTGTTCCACTTCCGCGATCAGATCATTCGTGGAGACCCTGACCAGCTCTTTGTCCTGAACGCCGACATCGCAACTTCTTTCCCCCTCACAGACATGATCAAGACGCACGCAAAGCACGGCGGCGTCGCAACCCTGCTCGCGAACCGCGTCGACCGTTCTCTTGTCTCAAAGTACGGATGTGTCGTCGCGGACCCAGAGACGAAGGAAGTGCTCCATTTCGTCGAAAAGCCCGAATCCGGCCTCTCCGATCTGATCTCCTGCGGAATTTACCTCTTCAACCGTGAGATCTTCGACGTGATGCGTCGGGCCCTGCAAGAGCGCCAAGCCAAGATCGCCGACTCTGGCTACGACGACTCGATCGCGCGCGGCGGCGCCGAGAAGTTCATGCTGGAGCAGGACGTGCTTATCCTCCTCACCTCGGCCAAGAAGCTGTACACGCACATCTGCCACCCGACAAAGGACTTCTGGATGCAGATCAAGACCGGCAGCTCCGTCATCCCGGCCAACCGCATGTACCTCCAACACTTCCTCCACGCCGCCCCGCGCAAGCTCTCCAACGCCCCTAAACCGAATCTTAACGACCTCACCAACCTCACCACGGGCGGGAACACCACCGCCACCGTGATCCAGCCGGCCTACATTCACCCGACCGCGGTGCTGCACCCGACCGCCAAACTCGGCCCCAACGTCTCCATCGGCCCCCGCGTCCTCCTCGGCCGTGGCGTGCGTGTCCGCGACGCAATCCTGCTCGACAGCGTGGAGGTCAAGAACGACTCGTGTGTTCTGAACTCGGTCGTCGGGTGGGACTCAAAGATCGGGAGCTGGTGCCGTGTGGAGGGCGCCCCCGGTGAAAGTAATGCGCTGAATGCAACCTTGAAAGGGTACAAGATCCCCTCCGCGACTATTCTGGGCAAGGACGTGACGGTGCATGATGAGATTGCAATAAGGAATTGCATCGTCTTGCCCCACAAGGACATCAAGACTAGCCAGCATAACGAGATCCTTATGTAGATTTTGGTCATCTATAAAAACTCGGACTGCCTGCGCTTTGCACTCCGTATCTTTTCGAGAAAGGCCGATTGTTTGGGGGTTCATGATTGCTATCACTTCTAATTTTTTGCCGTAGTAGAATAAAAATCTCCTTTTTCCGAAACCGACACGCAGAGCTAGGAGTCCTCCCAAAAGACTGATTAGAAATCATCCCTACGAAGACTTACAATCCAGCACTACTCCCACCTAAACCTCCGCATCCAAATCCCCAGCCAAGGCACCCCCCAACCTCCTAACCCCCCTCAACCTGGCACATAACCTCCCAAACACCTCCCCACTCCCTTTCCCCTCCCTCTGTATCTCAAAATCATTGTCCGTCCGTGACAACCGCAACGTAGTCGTCATTTCAGCAGCAGTAACGAATTTGGTGTGCGTCTTCCCATCCGCATCTCCAGCCAAACCCAGAAATTCAGCCAACAACCCAACAACAACCCCCTCCTCCTCCGCAACCAACTCCCTCGCCTTCATCACCGACGCCGCGGCACTCCTATACGCCCGTGTGGCATGTCGGGCGTTAGCGGACAAAATCGCCAATGTCGCTGGCATCACACTTATGGTCGTGCACCCCAGACTCCGCACACTGCTCCGCGCACAGTTCATCCGCGCGCTCGCGAATTTGAGGGAATGGGTGGCGGCTGCGGTTGAGCGCGCGATGAGGAGGAGGGTTTGGGTGCGTGAGTGGGTTTGCTTTGCGTCATCGTCGTCGTCCTCCTGCGTATGACCATGACCAGGACTGTCCCCACAACTGGAATAAGCATGTTCCAAGTCCTTGTAGTCGAACATTGAGAACGGATGTGCATGGCATGGGTCCTGCATGGCGGTCGTGACGGAGAACAGGTGGGCGCGGTCCGTGAGGTGGGTGAGGAGGCGGCGGGCGTCGGCGAGGTGGAGCTCTAGGTGTGCTGCTGCTTCGGGGACTGGGATATCGGTTTGGGGCGGTGGTGGTCTTGCTGGTACGTTGGGGGTACGGGACGCGGAAGCAGAGGAGACAGGTGTAGCGGTGGCGAGTCTGACCCGTTTCACGGGCCGTGGTTGCGGTGTTTCTGATGCAGGGCGTTTGTGCCTTTTTGGTTGGTTGGCGGTCGTGGGTGCTTCCGTTGATGATGACGCCGCAGGCGTTGCATCAGCCGGGTTTTCACTAGGCGCTGCCTGGACGACATCATCCGCAGGTGCGGGTAGGACTCCATCGGCACCGGTTTCAGAAGGTGGGGCGGCTCCTGTAGCCGAGGTGGTCTCGACAACGTCCATCTCATCCGCAGTTTCCGTATTTCTATTCACGACATCTTTTGAGGCCTTGGCGAGCCTGACGGCCTTGAGTGCCGCGCGCGATCTTCTTCTATTGTTCCTCTTTGTCGTTGCGATATCCGTCGCGGGTCTTTGCTCGCCTGCTTTGGTCACCAGCTTCTCTCCAGCTTTCTCCCTGTCAACCGCTCGCTCTCCATCCCGACTCATCGCATCACCCCCAGAATCCGTCCCAACACACCCTGCTGCTCTCCTTCCGTCCCTCCGTCCCTCAACCCGTCCCACCAACTCCCTCACCCACCCCACAACCTCACCCACAAACTCCTTTCCCAGTAGATCCCACATCACGCTAGCAATCTGCACGCCTCTAAACACGACCCCAACGTCCGGCACGCCAAACGCTCTTGCAAAGGTCCTGTCGGTGAGACATAGTGCCGCGCAGGCTGTGCACCGGGCGGCTATTCGGTTCAGAATGCGTTCTTTGGTGGCGGTGAGCAGAGCGGCGTGGGAGAGGGTTGAGGAGGGGAAGGGTTGGGATGTTGGGGGGTGGGGTGTTGGTGTGCTTAGTTCAGGGGTGAAGTGTGAATTGTGAATGCTGGTTGCTGAGCAGGGGACGGCGACTAGGCGGGTACAATGGTGGCAGACGGTGTAACGGGTGGTGCAGCTTGCGCAGATGAGGTGGTATCTGTCTTCGCCTATTCGGAGGTACGTTATCCGGCACTGGTTGGAGGTGTTCTTCGCGGACGATGGGGACGATGCCGACGCGTCCGAAAAGGCCGAGCAGCAGGGTTGTGCTGGTGGGCGGACTCGGGGAATGAGCATTATCTTTCGACGCTGTTTCGGTGAAGGAAAAGGGTAAGTGCAACTTGTGAGGCCTCGCCGCCTGCGGTGTCCTGCCTTGTCCGAGTGAAAGTCCTTTGGGAAAAAGGGAAGTGTTCCAACATGAAGAGGGGACTGACAGGAAGCGCGGATCCCGTCAAAGGCCTTGTAGCCAGAAGTTTGCCCCTTCGTTTCGCTTCCCTTCCCACTCACTCTCCGTGCGCTGCGGAGTCGCTCCTTCTTCCTCCTCTCCTTCGTTCCGTTTTTCCCACCGCCCACGTTCCCACGCCTTGCGCATTCCCACGCAGATCTACAAAGACCTTCTCACGGGAAGAGCAGGACAGGAACAGCCCATTCTCACACCTTCACACACATCACCTCCCAACAATGTCGGCTCCCACCAGCTTCTCCCCAGTGAAACCACAAGGCTGCAACGTCGCTTCCTGGCTTCGGCGGCGGGAAACTAGGCCCACAAACAGACGTGAACGGAGACAGGTCTTCAAGGCTATCCACCCGACCACCACTCTCTACGAGGTGGAATTGCCCAATATTGTGCTGCGAAAGTTCTCACCGGACGGAAAGGTTAGTGTGGGGAGTCACTGTTGGCTGTCCCTCAGCCCGACGCTGCTCGTTACCAAGACCTCGAAACTGATATCTCATTTTCCCACGCCCCGAATGTTCCCAGAAACTGATAGCGTTCACACAGAACGGCAATGCCGTGGAAGCATATGACTACGAACCTGAAAAAGTGCACGCCGCCGCGGCAGTGGTGGGAAAATCGGTGGAGGCCTTCGATACGGTGTTTGATCGGCGGTGGGAAACCACGCTTACTACTTCGCGGGAATCGCTTTGTTTGGATTTCTTGCTGTTTACTAAGACGCAGAAACACGTAGGTGTTCCCTCGATTTATCGGCGGTTGTTTCTCAAGCGTAAGGTGCTGATGTCTGTCTTTCCTGTGCAGATAATTGTCGTTACAAGCTGTCCTTCCACATCGACGGATCCGACTCCGCAGTCGCCCGCAACTCTCTCAGGCCTGTCCATTTTGGAAGACGTTACCTTTTGGATTCTGGATGTAGAGACTGGCAAAGTACGGCTTTCGCCTTTGAACGTCCCTTCTCTCCGAATGGTCTTCTCATACTTTAAACCCTAGGTCACGGACTTTCGGAGGCTCTGTGCCGAGTACATCATGCTCAAGAACCACGCTGGCGTGCACTTGAGGCGTGACACACTCGGTATCGTCTCAGTCAAGCATCAGTGCATCTACCTTCTACATATCAAGGTATGTACACTGTAGTCATGACCTATCTCATAAATGCTCCAGAAGGCAACACCATACTCACACCACATGACAAATGACGTGCAGGACAATGGCAAGTTCGGTGGCATCCGCAACATCGGTTGGTATGTCAATGAAACCGACGAGATACTTCAAGCAAAATATCGGAATGCTGAACAGCAGCACACGAAACGGCGGAAAACCGGCCTCTCAAGACGTGTTGACTCTGGGTTCTGCGACGAGATGTACGATGCACTGCCGCGGAAGATCGCGTCATCGGACAACGCCGGGCCCGCACCCTCAACGCCGTCGATCTCGGTGGGTCCTCCGGCGCTCCGCAACGGCAAGAGTGTCGAAGCAAAAACGCCGCAGACACCGTCTTGGAAGTTCATGGATCTGCCTAGCGAGTGGAAATCTGTAAGTTGGTCTTAAGTTCCGCTCGTCTCCCACGGATCTCCTGTACTAATTCCAGCTCGTGAGAATAGGACGACTTTCCGTTGAGCGGACTGAAACATCGCATTCTGGCATTCTCATATCTCGAAGCGCGCAACAACAAGAGCTCTGGGTGAGTCAATCAGCGGATCTCTTGTCGTATATCGTCACAGCTCACGTCCTCGATCCTCTCTTCATCAGTCACATGCACAACTTCCATCAAAGCTTCACTACACTTAGCAAACTGGTCATGTCTCGGATGCAATTCCTGTCAGACGACCAGGTGTTGATCAAGTTCGGCGCACCTGTCATCACACCTGGAACGGTAAGCTCTTGTCTTGTATAAGATGTATACAGCGAAGACGTCCCTTCTCATCCTTCGGTTTCACAGCGTCCCGACAATGCCAACCTATCTCGCGGTTGCCTCTACGTGGTCTACTGCATCTCGAGCGCGACCGTGCTGGGAATCTACGAGCAAGCTTCCGAGCGGCTGTACGCCATGCTGCAAAACGTACCCGAACTGTTTGGAGCGCCGAATCCTTTCGCTCAACCGTACATCACCCACCCGTGTGACAGCCTGATGGCCAGGGAAGCACTTCGCAAGCAGTTTGCAGCTGTTAAGAAGGCTAAGAATGGAGGGTAAGCACTTCATTTCGCAAATCTACCACTTTCAATAGCCACTCTTCAATCATCACACTTTGTCGATTGCTAACACGTTCGTTGCTGTCTCCACACCACCTCGTAGACCAGCGGAAGCCCTGAAACGCGCCTCAGGCCCGCTTCCCTACAACAACCAATGCTTCATCGAATCGCCCTACCTCGACCAAGACAGCTTTAGCTACGACACCCGCCTCGTAAACAACTACGACCGTCCGCGTCCAGCCGGAGAATTCCCTGCCAAATTCTTTGACAGAGCTAGCGGACGACTCAAGTTCAAACTCGACTCGGATGAACGGAACGCGGGGCGGTGGGGATGGAATATCAAGTACGTTTTTTCATCGGTTATGGTACGACTATGTGTTGCGTTGGTGGCTTACCGACACTTCTCCCAACTTGTCTAGACGCTACGTCGTATACATATTCCACCCAACAGACCCCTTCATCATCTCTATCCAGCACAGATCCACAAACCTCCGCCCCATCGTCAACTTCCACGTGCGCTCCACACAAATCGTCTGAAATCAAACACAATCGTGCAAACATCCAATCTGCCAACTCTATTAAAATCTTCTTGCCTCGCTTAAGCCTCGTGCGTCGTAATTACCCATCCAAACGAACGCTACAATTTTTGGGACTGTATGTTACTCTTTTTCTACTTGTATATGTCTGTAGTCCACCCTGGTGGCTTGATCCCGTCTTCCTCTTTCTGTTCTGTGTATCTGATGAAAACGTGTATGTAGTCAGTCGGTGATTTTGCGCCGATGTTGTCTGTGCATATATGTGGGCCATTAAAGTTTATGTGTTGTGTGATACCTCAAGAAATAAGAGATGAATTGTGGGCCGCCCATGCAGAAGAAGAGATTTCATGCGCCCCTGACGAAAAGCCTGCGATGGTTCATCCTTTGTGAGTCCCTTCGTCCGATGTCCATTTATGAATATTCTGCCCGTACCTTCCTCCCCCCCCCCCTCCCTAAGAGATAGAATGGGATAGAAGAGTTGCATCTATCTTACGCGCCTTTTCCGAACGGGCCGCGGCTTCAGCACACTCAGCCGCGGAGACCCTCCGGATCCAGCTATTGTCTTTCAGTAAGTAAGGCGCTACTGTCTACTTTCATCCACGCGGCAGGCTCATCTGCGCTCATATGGTTCGTAGTTGCGGCCAGCAGCACACTCCTGCCCGGAGGCCGTCCCGACCCAGCCATTATCTTGCACGTTCGAAAGCGCTATAGTATATGCTGTCCTTTTGTTTCCATCAAGGGGCGAATGGGTTCTTCATGATGCCGTACGCGACTTTCCGGTGGCACCGCTACCCTTGCATTATGCTGCGAACTGCTTCGCGGCTGAGGGCAGATACGGCTCCTGGCTGGCTTGTTCCATTACCGCTCGGTTTGCTGCAGCTACTTGCTCGAGAGTCGGCCAGTCTGACTGCGACGGTGGAGTAAAAACGCACAATGCGTTCTGGCGAACCTGTGGAGGATGTAAGTTACGTGCCCTCGCCTGCGACAGAACACGGATGTCACTTGCATCGTCATATTCATAACCCGCATTTGATTGTAAACTATCTGTCAAGGACCTTGAAAGAGTTCGACTAGGAAGGTCCCGGAACTAGGAGCCGTCCGCTGCTATATGAGCTCGACAAAGAGATCGTTCATATTTGGGGGTATATAGCACGCAGCCTCCTGTCGGATACAGGACGCGTTTTGCGGTGGAACTCGACGCGTTTTACTATTAGGTAATGACAGTAGTGACAGCACCACGTCCCCAACGCAGCTGATGACGACGCACGGATTAACGTATAGTAGCGCAGTCCGCCGATTAACTCCAGTGCCGTCGCTTACCAATGGCCGCAATGATAATCGATTTCAGAGCAAGTCGAGAGATGGCATGAACGGAAGTTGCCCAGGTAAAATGCGAGAACAGACACGTACGGGGCGAGGTCTCATTATTCGTAGCATGTGTGCGACGATGCCTTGAAATGTTGGGTGAAGGAGGGCCCATGGCTGGGAGGCTGGTGAGAGCGCGCATCGTGTGTTCACATACTCGTATTGGGATGGCCTTCAAATATATATACCATATATCGGTCTATTAGCAACCATGGGGAATTGTCACGCATGACAAGAAGAACAGCCAATGACTGGATGTGCCGCTATCGCAACGAGCAGAATCCAGAAGTCAGAAGTCACACGGACTTTGGCATAATGCGAGTACAAGCGTAGGGAATATCGTGTCGAATTATCCTGAGATCGGCGACGAACGCTTTCAAGGATTCGGGAATCAAGAGATCAAGTTGCTTCCTACTCGAAGAACACGGAAAATGGATGGCGACAAGAAGCGGAAATCTCATTCTTTTGATCGGAACAGCTCCGCCCGGGTAGTGAGTGACCCTGAGCATTGGTCGAATATCAACAGAAGATGTCTTTGTAAGCCTCTCCTTCCGCCTACGTACAAACTTCTGCAACCTATTTTTCAGTTTTAAGCGCCAAGTTTAGAGAACAATGGAGATAAGTTTCCAGCTCAATTTCACTTCCCACAAAGCTAATCCGCGTAGCTCCACCCTTGATCATAGCGGATCGAGCCTGAATCGTTATAGTGGATCGGTATCCACCTGAGGCAGACGTCGTGGAATTTTTTGCTTCTTTCCGCTATGCGCACAAGACCCACCATGGCTGCCTCGTAGCCCGTAGCCGTCTTAACACTGCCATTGGCGACAATCTCCAACACGCCGCCTCCATTGTAATGCATGAGTTCTGCCTCCCACGCTGTTGCCATCGCATTCGTTACAGTCAGAAGCGGAATAAGATATCTGAGTACCCGGATGGGCATCCGATTGGACCATTTCGGGAGCACTAATGGAACCCCCCAAAATTCCACGTCCAAGGAGCATATTGTTTCTGGAAGATCCGAGAACAGCTCCCTGGCATCATGCTCGTGAAACTCATAACTCGCATGTACTTGAAGGCGTGTGACGGCCGGGACCCGCCAAAATCGATCGTTGATCAAATCATCGGCGTTTCCTGTGACCTTCATTAGGCACGGGAAATGGGGCAGGGCGATGGGCGGCAGTTGCTTGCTGTCGACGTGTACGGTCTCATTTGCGTACCGCCAGGAGAGTGTTTTCAGAAGACTTCTAAGGCTATCTTCGCCTAAACCATACTCGTCTAGCTCGAACTCGGGAAATCCGAAGAACATCCGCCCTCGGTTCCATCCAAAAGTATACTTGTCTTCGTGATGACTTTTTTGCGTATGGAGGGTGAAGGTTATCTGTTCGAGGTGCGTCATAAGGAGAACGGTATGGAGTTGCGCAACAGCCAGCGGGCCGCAGCGTCTGTCGTCTTCGTCTGCGGGACGGGGTCCATTTCCCAGTTCGAAACTCTTGATCCACGAAAAGCGCTCCGGTCGAACCACGAGCGTTTTGAACAGCATGTCAAGCCGCTTCTCGTTCACTATGCGTATCCGTGCATACAGGTTTTCAATCAGCAGCGTGTGCCAGGTGCGACATCCGAGCAGCATTTGCATCTGATCCCTCTTTGCCGAGTAGCTGAAGATAAGCGGTATGAGCTCCAAGGGAAGCGTCGGGGCCCTGAGAGCGGCGAATATGTCTGTGTTCATGATCGTCCGTATCGTTCGGTTGTCCGAGCGGTGACTTTGAGATGGATCTTGATGAACCTGAATGCGTCTTGATTGATCGTTGGACGCGCGTGGAGAATCTGAGATGGAGGCGTGCAACAGTATTCGTCCTCAACTCCCGTATGTAATCATAAAAGGCAACTCCGAAAAAGACCCTTTTATACCACAGGGATTTAAACTACCTAGCCCGTCACGTGGAGTCCTGTGAGCGCCACCCCAACCCTAACCCCGACTCAGCATGTCTCCTGTTACAAGGCGGGCGTGACTCTTTCTGTGCGACACGCGAGCCGGGTTGATTGGATTGGATTGGATGGAATGGAATGACCCGCGGGAGGGAGGGAGGATCCGGACGCCGTTTCCGGACACACACGCCCTCTCTCTCTCTCTTCAACTTCTCTCCAGCGCGAACGAAGGCGGACTTTGTTCACTGGCCGACGTTGCGACAGACCGCCTTCGACATCCCCTCCTTGCGGCTCCGAAGAGGGACAACAACGTTCCGTTCTTCCGCACGCTTTTTCTATGGATTTGTAAACACCCACACTACTGTACATAAGGACTGTACATAAGGCAGGAAGGGAAGGAGCAGGTCCTCCTCCTCCTCCTCATATCGTTCAAGACTCCCAGCTCACACCAGCCGTGCGCACAATGCTCCTCCTCTCAACCATCTTCACCGCCGCCCTGGCCTCCGCTGGTCTCGTCTCGGCCTCGCCCCTCAGTGCTCGTGCTGTAAGTCCCTCCCACCCCTTTCTCGTATAGATATATTCCGCGATTGCAGCCCAATGTATTCACCCCATTTCTCTTCGCTTTTACAGGACGCTTCCGCCCCTATCAACACCCTCGTATTCTTTGGTGACTCCTACTCTGACAATGGCAACGACTTCCGCGTACTCGGGATCCCTCGTCAACCCTACTTCCAAGGCCGTTTCTCCAACGGCCTGCCCTGGTCCGACCTACTCGCCCAGCAGCTCGTCAACAGCACCGTAGGCAGCAGCACCACCAATCCCAACAGCACCACCTACTACAACTACGCATACGGCGGCGCCGTCGCATCCAAAAAGAACCTCCCAGCCTCCATCCCCAACCGCGACGCCCCCTTCCCCCCCGACATGTCCCAACAACTCGCCCTCTTCCTCGCCAACCACTCCTCCGCCATCCCCGACCCCGCAACAACCCTCTACCCCATCTTCATCGGCGGCAACGACTACGTCTACACCCTCGCTGCAACCATCCCCTCACCACAAACAATCGCTTCCTCCGTCGTCGAAGCCATCCGAAACCTCACTACCTCACCCTTAAAAGCAACCCGCTTCCTCGTCCTCAACCTCCCCGACCTCGGCGGCGGTCCCACAGCAGATAAGCTGCGCCAAAGAGCAAACGACTCCACCCTCCCCGTCGCCCAGCTCGCGAAAACCATCACTTCCGCGCACAACACCATCCTCCTCACCGGTCTCCGCGCACTCGTCGCTGAAAACACCAATCTCCAAATCAACACCCTGGACCTGTTCGGCCTGTACGGCAACGTCACCGCCAACCCCGCCACGTACAACCTCACCAACGCGACCGCGCAATGCATCAACCTCACACCTCAAGCCCGCGCCGCAAACATCACAAACATCTCGCTCCTCAGGACCGCAGACGATGTCACCGTGTGTGACAAACCGGATGAATACGTGTTTTGGGATAACCTCCACCCGACCAGGGCCATGCATCGGATCATTGCCGCGGCGGCGAGGAGGGCTTTGACGGAGCCCGTTTTGACTGCGGCTGCTGCGCCGTCGGTTGGGGGTGGGAACGGGACGAATGGAACGAGTGCGGGGAACGGGAATGGGACCGAGGCGGGTGCCAAGAATGGAGCAGGGGCGGTGGTGGGTGGTAGGGTTTTGGGCTTAGTGGGCGCTTTTGTGGTTGCGGTTATGACTGCGGCGATCTAGGTGGATCCGAGAATGGAGTTTTTGAGAAACCACTTGTGATTTTAAAATGTCTGTATCTAATCTAGATATCCTTAGCATAGACGCTACGTACTATATCTAACCGTGTAAACATTCAGCTTTGCTCACGAGCAAAACAGTAGTATCCTTAAATACGGGTATTGTCTAGTGATATGAATGCAATGACGGAAGGAAAGTGTTACGTCTCAGCGACCTTCTCGTGTTTCTGGTTTGGGGTCGGCGCCGGCGGGTCAATCACGACCCTCTCCTCCCCAATCCTCCCTCCCCTAATAGGCGCGGACACATCCCCAACGCTAATCCCACCCCTCGCCCGCACCTCATTCCCACCAGCACCCACATCAGTGCCATACCTCCTCAACCCTCGTTTCCCACCGGCCCAGACATCCCCGAACCAGCCCTTTGCGCTCGACCGGTCCACCTCCCCCGTATGCCATCTCCGCAACCTTGTCCCAACACCCTCATTTGCAGCGTCATCGGGCCTGAGCCTCCCCTGCCCCCACCCCTCCCCAGTAGTCCACCACCCCACCGCGTCCTCCCTCTCCTCCGCGGCCCCCCTCCGTCCGCCCACCCCGCGCAAATCATACCCCATCGTCACGGTCTCCAGATTCCCCTCCGCATACACCCCGACCCCAACCCCACCCCCGACCTCCCGCCCGGTCTCCCGCTCCACCACCCGCGTGCGCGTGACCGCCTTCCGCGTCGGCAGCCGCACCGTCTGGTCCACCGCCGACGGCAGCCCGCGGTGCCGCCCGAGACACATCGCCGCGATGATCGCGAGCTTCGACGCCGTCGTCCACGTCCCCGAGAGCGAGAACAGGTGCGTGGGCGTGCCCAGGGAGTATCTAAATCAAATGGTAAAATGAGTTCGGTCAATGTGTGCGGGGGAGGGGCGGGGGGTGGGGAGGGGGGGGGGGGGGGTGAAAAGCGGGACAAGAAGGGGATGGGGGGAGACCACGCACGTACCCGACGTTCCCGTACGCGCTCACCACCTCAAACACCAACGCAAACATCGTAAACCGGCCGCCTTCACCCTCCCCGCCCTGTCTCCCGACCGCCGCGTCCTCAAACACCAATATCAAGAAGATGATTGCAAAGATCGACACGATGTCGTTCAGCATCAGCAGCCGCATCTGCGCGATGGAGGACTCGGTGGGTTTGGGCTTGGTTGGCGGGGACGAGAAGGAGGTGGCGGAGGATTGGGTGGAGGAGCGGACGAGCTCGCGGTGGTTGTACGATGTGTTTGTTGTCCGACGGATGGTGACCGAGACCGGGTACGTGGAGGAGAGGTACATCATCCCAACTGTGAGGGAAACACATCATGTTTTTAGTCACCCTGAATCACATTCGGGCCCTCGAAAAAAAAAACGTATGAGAAAGAGACCCCCCGACTCGACGCCTCACCATACACCCACAACATCGCCGGATGCAACCCGGCAAACCCGACGACCTGAAACCCGCCGTTCCGCGTTGCCACCGACTGGAAGAAATGGACGAAGCGGGACACGCCGTCGAACGCCGGGTCGGTCATGTCGAGCGCGAGGGAGCATGCGAATTGGAGGAGGTTGAGGAACAGGAGGGTGCAGACGAGGAAGAGGGTTTGGCGGTGGTCGAAGAGGTTGGTGAAGCTGGGGTAGTGTAGATAACGATTAAGGACACATGGAGGGGAGTAAGGAACTGGAGGGAGGGACACGTTGAGGTACTCACCACCGCCGCGGATATTTCAACAGATACCGATACACCCTCGCGCGATTCGCGTCCCCCCTCCACTCCGCAAACCTCTCCAACGCCCAGATCAGCACCCGCAACATCACCGGAAACCCCGTGTTCCCAATCACCAGCGGGATGCACAAGAACGCCATCAGCACCGGCTCATTGCCGAACGATGTCGCGCCGTCGTTGAGGAGGGTGATCCCGACCTGGTTGAAGGTCGACACGGCGTTGAAGAGGGAGAACCACCACGGAGAGACGGTGGAGGAGATCCGCGCGGAGAGCGCGGGGCGGAGGTGGAGGTAGGTGCGGATGAAGAGGAAGACGAGGAGTTGCGTGCCAAAGTAGAATGCTGGAATGAGGGTCTGTCTTTGGAAAAAGCATTAGATAAGCCCGCTTTTGGGAGGAGGGCCCGGTGTGTGCAAGTGTATCATCTGACCTCTAGGGATTGGAGAGCGCGATACTCGACGCCTCCGACTTGTTCAAGCACGTGTTTGTCCGGGACGAGTAACGATGCCGCGTTGGACTGGGTTCGGACGAAAGGCTGCCCGGGTGGAGGGTTCTTGTTGACCGTGGGTTCACCCGTGGGTTCAGTCGCGAACTTGATTTCGTCGGCACCGTTTCGTCTCCTCTGAATCGTCGACTGACCCGCATCTACCAACGTGTCGTGAGTCCGTTCGGGTAGTAAGATCCCTTTAGGTTCCGTCTCCATCGGCTGAGGCGATTGGACCATCTCGATATGCTCCCCTTCTATATCCGGCGGCTGCGATGCGACACTGACAGGCGATTCAGTAAGGACCTCTCCGGGCGTGGAGGCATCGGCCACCTTCGGTGTCGTTGGCCACAAGTCCAGGCCTTTCGGGAACCCCTTTCCACCACCACTACTCTCCGCCCTCTTCGGCAACCTCCGCAAATCCACCTTTGAAAACCATGGATTCCCACTCCCACTCCCGCGATGCGTGTCGAATTCCTCATAAATCCCATTATCATCCACCTGCCCGGTCATCGTCCGCTCGAGCGCAAAATCACTCAAATCCACATCCTCCCTCGCATCCCCGCCCTTCCGCCTCAGTTTCCCCGCGCGAGTGACACCAAATTCCTGTAGGAGGACCTTCTTGAAGGCGCGTCGGCGGATGATGACGGGGATGAGGGACATGAACACGGGCGAGCCGATGAGGGCCAGGAACCACATGGTGACTTGGCCGAACCGGGAGAGGGTTTCGATGTCTGCCGGGGCGAGGCCTGGCGCAAGAAAAAATCAGATTAGATGGCTTTTTGCGCTTCCCTTGTTCGAAAGAAAACTACCGGGAATGAGCACATACCGACAACGAAGTGGGCGGTTGAGGCCCAATACAGCGCGTCGATGTACGTTGTTTCGGCCGACGTCGTGTAGTGGATCACGATCGAGCCTAGCAGGGCGACGGTGACCATCCATACCATGTGCAGCCTGTCCGTTTTCGTGGGGGGTGAGTTACCTTTGACTCTCGAACCTTTTCACGTCCCGTCTGTATTAAAGCGGTGACCTACCGGTAATATGTAGCGTGCCGACGCCGAAACCGGTGCAACTTTCGCCTCCATTTGGGTAGGTCCTCGATATTTGTCCCCATCGTGCTGGTATGGTGTATCCACTCCAGCGGTCGGTGCGTATTCGTCCCCGTTGGAGGGCTGGGCATGGGTATCGTCGCATGGGGTTGAGGTTCGATAGGTACGGAATTGTGGCGTTGGAGTGGGGACTGGGTTCCCGGCGCTTGTGGTGGCAAAGTCGGTTGGACGAACTGTAAGTTTAGGTTGGGCAGCGGTTGCACTGGGGGTTCAGCGAGCGGAGGACCGGCCACTGGGAGTTCCTCGTGGGACGACCGGCGATTCATGACGGCGGCTACGCTACCAAGACTGGTCCACTACTAGTGCTGCCGGGAGAGCGTTGAGCGTTGGCGACGGTAGCTTTGCGTCGAGTGTATACTGTAGCTGTACTCCGGTTGTTGCGTGGCAATGGTTTGCAGGGAAAGAAAGAGGGACGGCGGCAGCAAAGGGGGAGATACGCGCGGAGTCTAAATCCTTAAAAGCTTAAAATCGAGCATTTCCCACTTGGGCTGCAAAGCAAGCCTGGACAGACAGCCGACATCCTTCAAACAGGCACCGCAGCAGGAAGGGGCGGGTCCCAACGTGAGCAACCACATGAAAATACTTGCACTACACCAAGCTACATACGTCTCTACCAGGTCGCGTTAGTCTCTCTATATAAATGCCCTTTGCCACATGCACTATTTGCGTCAGACTCTGCATCCTCTAAGCTATCTTCCTACAGAATTCTACGTCTCAGGTAGGAGCCTGCGGAACTGATGGAGTCGGCACGGGTGGAGGGACATCTGTAGGAGGCTGCACAATAGGAGACGGCGTAAGCGATGGCGGTGGAACCGGGGGCGCTTCGATCGGCGCTCCTGATGGTGATGGTGGAGCAGGTAGAGACGGCGCTGGAATCGACGGGGGTGGAACTGCTGGTGGCGGAACGGCCGGTGGAGGAACAGTTGGTGGTGGGACCGGAGGAGGCGGTACTGCCGGTGGAGGCACAGCCGGAGGCGGCACAGGGGCTGGCGCGGGAGCAGGAGGAGGACGATGTGTTGCCAAGAAATTGAAAATCACCGAAAGCATGGCTGTTTGGGAGAAGAAGTGGTCTTCAGCATAATGAAAGGAACATATGACCGATGCGCCTTCCGAGTGACTTTACCCAGAAAGATGACGGTGGCGAAGATGATGCCACACCACATATACATGTTCGTCTAGCAAATGTTGCTGAACAGTTAGCTGTCACGGTCGATGTGCAGGGCATGGCGTCAAGCATCCTGCTTACCCTATGCAACGCAAACCATCGGTCGCTCTCCACCCGCCGTGTGCGACGCTTGAAGAGAGCACTTGCTGTTTCCAGGCGTGCTGTAATTGAAATTGGTATCATTGGAGGATATCCCAAACCCAGAACATGTGCTGTTCATCACACTCAATACCTGTCTTCTCAGCCATATCAGTCAACCTCTCGCCCCTTCCCACAAGTTTCCCAACAGCCTGATGTGCAGATTCAGAGACAGCCGCCAGTTGTGCCAGTAGCCCGTTGGCCTTCCCCTTCCACCCGCCGTTGCTTCCATCGGCCCCATCCTCCTCTTCATCATCGTTCCCGTGCCCGTCATCCCATTCCTCGTCCGCGCCTTCATCATCGTCCAGCCTCCCAGTTCGGACAGCGGCGTACTTGTACGGTCTGTTGAGCGTGCCATACGTCGTCCGAGGTGCCTGGTATCGCCATTGATCATTCAAGTTGGGGTTGGACGATTTGGCACGGAGAGCGGCTGGGACTTCGGATTCGGAGAATAACGTGTCCGTGGACGACACGATGTTGCTTGGATTTGACCGAAGATGGGACGGCAAGCTCGCGTTCTTGCCCATGGGCTCTCCGGGGCGGGGCGGTAGTCTCGGCGACATTGCCGACGTTCCGCGATCATCCTGCTGTTGTCCGTACCCAGCATCTTCCTCATCGTCGTCCGAATACTGATATCGAAAACGCGAGGCCTTCTTCGTCTCATTCCGCTGCGGCCTCCATGACGATGCCGACGGCGACGGCGGCCCGGACTCCGTCCCAGACCCCGACCCTCTGCCCAAGAACGAGCGAGGGGGCAATTCCGGCCTTATGCTCCTCTCATACGCATCACTCGCCTTCATAGCCTTATGCTTAGCCGCGGCGGTCGGCAAACTCGGCCCTTTGGGCTTTTGCCTGCCCCCATGTTTACCGTTCTTGCTGCTGGACCCAGCCTCGATATCCTCGTTGGGCACGAGCCGGCGGACAGCCTGAGCGTGCTCGTCGTCGGAGTCATCTGAGTCTGAGTCGATGCTGTTTGCGACGTGCGAGACGAAGGTGCGGATGCTTTTGCCTGCGGAAATGGCGAGGCGCGCGAGGCCTTTGTCCTTTCGGCCCATTTCACACAATTTTACTAGGGTACTTTACTCACACAAACATACACTCCCAGCTGTATATGTACAGTATCTGTGTCTCCAAGAATGGGAACGAGAAGTGAATAGGGAGGTAGAGACATACTGAACGAGGATGAGTTGGTTTGAATTCTATTATTTGTGATGGAAGTGTCCATTTCCTTAACCGCAATAAGCTTACTTTTCCTGGCTCAAGGAGAAATGCTCACTTTTGGAACGTTGGAGCGCTATGCGTAACAGTGATATTCAATTAGGTAGGTAAGTGTATGGTACAAAAATGTCTGGTATCTCAAAGGTAGGCTATCTACAGAGCCAGAGCGACAGCCGCGGCCAACGCAGGTGCGATGAACCAGCGAGCGTATGCGGAGGGCACAGCAGCCGAAACGGGAGCCGAGGTGTCCGGCTGAGCAACGGTGTTGTTGGCGAGCTTGAGGAAAACGCCCTTGGCAAGAGCATCAGCGACCTGCTTGCTTTGCTCGAAACCGGTGATTTGAGTGTTGTAACCCTCGTCCCACTTTTGTGCGATCAGTTGAGCTCCAGCGGCGACGGCGAGGTTCTCGTGCTCGGAAAGAAGGGCGAAGACGACGTCCTTGGGGTATGCTTCGGGGTTGAGAGACTCGATAACGACCGAGAGTTTCTTGCCACCGTCGGCGAGCTTGACCTTAAGATCCGCGATCTTCTGGTCATCACCGGCCTTTGTAGCGTCAACGATGGCAGCGAGCGTGGCGACGTGATCGGCGAACAGCGTTTGGAACTTGGCGAGGGCGTCCTTGTCGGTGTACCAGTTCGACAACCAGTTGGTCATGTTGGGGGCGGATTCCAAGGCGTGGGGTTGGATAGCCTTCGCGAGGTCCTTGTTGTTGCTTGCGACGGCCGCGGCGTAGTCACCGACGGTGGTGACGTGGGCGTGCCAGAGAGACCGAGCTTCGCCGGCGACCTTGATGGCGAGGTCTGGAAGTGGAATTGATGAGTCAAAGGGATAATCCTTCCAGGCTACGATGCGGAAGAGGAGATGGTGAGATTCGACCGCTACAACTCACCGGCATCAATGTTGTTGGCGGCGCTCACGCTAGCGACGGCAGAGGCCGCAACGGCGATGACAGAGATGAGGTTCCTGAACTGCATTTTCAGAATCGTTTAGTTGATAGGTGGGAGGTGGGAGTATGGAGGGCGGTTGGCGATGAGGTTAAGCGAGGCAGGAAACTTGAGCTGGGAGACAAACGGAGCCGGCGACCCGCCCTCCTTTTTATAGACTTTCACGGCCAGCGGCTACTCGCCCACTGCCATGCATGGTGCGGACTCTGCGGAGCAGCGGAGTGATGGCGCAAGACCACGCAGAAAGCTCGAAATCTGATCATGTGGAAGTCATTCTTTCAAGCTTCGGTATCGTGGCGGAAAATTCGGCCTTCATGAGAAAGATTTCTCGCCACCTCCTTTGTTGACGAGCTCGTGGCCGCACATTCGAAAGCTATTCGGGCGTCGGGCAGTGTATCCGTGGTGCTTAACATACGCTGGACATCATCGACTGTGCATCATCGATTCGTAGTGTGCAGAGACAGTCGGGCGATTGAAAGGCCGTTGGCGGACGCCGCTGAACGTGCCGTGCCGTCTTGAAAGGCTTGTCTCAGATGACGGATCTCTTACGCGCAACGAGCTTTGCACGTCATCGAAAATTGCAGCATATTGCCAACGGAGTACAGGAAGGGCAGGATACTTTCCTTCGACGGCCGGCCAGAGTAGGAGCTCGCTTTATATATCTCTCGCAAAAATCCCTCCTAGCGGATTTTCCTCGCAAAAAGGCCTCCATATGTTTTGCACTGTTTGTTGGGTTCCTGGCGAAATGAGGCGGACATCGCTATGGCCGCCTGTTCGGCGTGCTGGTGACATAAAACTCTCGTCTTTTTTGGAATGTCCGCCGGGCTGCGGGTGTTGTGGACTTGGTAAATTGCGCTGGCCCGTGTAACACAAGTGCAGGCTCATCTTTTTACCGACAGTGGGCGGCCAAATTGACATTATGACCGTGCCCGAGAGTCATCCTCATCCATTTAGTGCCCGGTCCTTCCATTTGAGCGTCCCTTACTTCCATGAAGGGCTAGCATTTTCCGTACCATCCCAACCCCGCCGCCGGTGGTTGGGCTCTCCTTACCGCCGTGCCCTTTGCTTTGCCTCAAACAAACTGGGATTCAAGTACTGGCATAGACGTCAGCTGTTGACGAATACATAAACTCTCCGTCCCGAGTGGATTGGAAAAGCGCCAATCGGGGTCTCTCCCCACCGCCCGCTCGTTTGCTGTCTTAATCCCGGGTTTCACACTGGCAACGATATGTGCGCTTCTCCCACTTTGCCCGCTCTTTGTTGACTCAAAGGCTGATCCCGGATCGGAACCATGGACCTTCAGTCCAGTGTGTACACGATCTTCAATGCGCTCGCACCAACGCCTTGCTCTTCGGCGGCATCTTCTCCCCCCGGCCGAACGGCCGGCCTAAACGTGCCCAATATGGGCTGGAAAGGCACTTATTGCCTCCGGAGCGGGGCTGCGGCATCCCGTAGGTCCTTGGCCGTGGATGGACCGAATCTGTCAAATTACACCTCGCATGCGACTAAAAGGGTGGGTGCTCCCCATTGACTGCTGTTTTTGAAAATTGGGCTAGATGGAGCTTACCGGCATATACGCACGAGCACATTTTCGATATGGTGTTCCCGCAAACCGAGCCGTTTGCTGTTGGGAGCTGGGGTTCCGCGCAATACCTCTCGATTTTGCGGCTTTGTTCTGGTACGTACATTGAGGAAAGGCACTTCCGTTCAAGGCCAACTCGGTAATAGTAGTCTCTCTACGAGGGCATCTGATCTTTCGTTCCAATACCGCCTACGCCGTGGTCTCCGTCCAGATGGGAGTGGCTTTGTATACTGATGGAACCACTATGACAGACAATCAGACAGGCAATTACATCTAACCCCAAAGCAGGCATTCCCCGCATTGGCGTCCATGTCAAACCAGTCTACGCCTAGGTATATAGATGGTGTCTAGATGGTATCACCGGGAGGTCCGAGCCTAAGCTTTGATGGAACCCACACCATGACAAACACGAGTCACGACCTACGATAATCTTCGACGCGGTATGACGGTTCCACCCCAACTCCGTTTTCGACAGTTGCAAGCAGGCATGGAACGTTCCTAACTTGGAAGACACAATGTCATTTGACGCATCCAACGAGGGGGAAACTCCCAGCCAAAGGGGACGATACGCCTAACCTTCTTTGTTACAAGCATAATAAGTAAGGTGTGTCACTTCCGTGTAAACCCGTCTCCCCATGCACTTCTAAGCCAAACCCTGTCTCCGATTTCCTTCGCATGTTTAGAGACCGATATGGGGAATAAAATCCAATGGGAGGTGAGCAATAGTATTCCCAATATCTACTTTCGCCTGCTTTGGATTCACAGAGACATTTTATTTCGATGTATTCACACACGCAGCCCATCCCGCAGATTTCGGGAACATCGGAGCTTAGCAGCGTAGAACGGGGCACGTTTCTTAAAGCAGAGATCATCCAAACTGTCGGCGCACAGTCAGATAAAAAGAAATATGACCCCTTGAGTGGTTCCGACCCGCAGCTTGGTTCTACTGGCAATGTTAATACTTCCCTGGTGTTCCCGTAAGTGTGTCGTCATGTCCTGTGCGGGCGCTGTGTGGCTACCTCTCATCTGGGCACAATTTTCCGTATAGCGAAAACGCAGGAGCGAAGCACAGAGGTTTGTCCGAATATGAGTCCGACTTTCCGAATTTTGCATAACTACCCATTTTCGCAAGACAATGAAAGCGGTGAACCGCTCGTCGAGCCTCGGCCCATCCTGGCGAGAGCGTTGCAACTTGTTCGCTGCTTCGATCCGAGATACTCTTTCAAAACCAGGGTAGCGATGAGCACCTCTGCGGTCGCCACTGTCTTCGTCAGCATAGCCGTTATCCTCATTCGGTTTACCATAGTCCCAACGATGCAAACAGAGGCGGGAGACGTCCTCACCGATATGGCGACCACCATCGCACGGACTGTCGATGATACTATATTTGCCAGATATCGCGACATCCGCATCGTATCTACTCTTCCCTTTGTGAAGGATGCATCAACAAATTCGAGTACGCTGCAAAATATTTTGGACGAATTGAAGAGTACGTACACCTATTACTCATGGATTGGAATAGCCGGCACATCTGGGAAAGTGAAGGTCCGTTACACAACTTTCCCTATTATTACTGTTCCCTACCGACGAGTTTCCGCCCATTTCTTTCTTGTAGGCAGCAACTGGGGGACTCCTGCAGGATGTGGATGTCTCAGCTCGGCCTTGGTTTGGGGCGTGCAAGAACTCCACCCCAAATGCCCCGCCGTACCTCGGAGACGTCCACGGTGCTTTGCTATTGCAAAAGGCATTGAACTTGTCAGAACCACTCCGACTACTAGATGTGGCGGTCCCGCTCTTCGATGCGAGCAACTCACAAATAGGCGTGATTGGCGCTCACATCAATGTTTCGGTCCTGGACGCCGTTGAGCAACTGGTGCTGCCTACTGGGGAGGGTGAGCGACATGCGGCTCTCCGGATGTTTATCGTGAATTCGTTCGACACCGTATATGCTCCGACAGATAACAATGTCACAATGAAAAGGTAATGCGGCGGAGATAAATGGAACAACGGCGGACAGAATTGGAGGCGTTAAGCCTTTCGCGTACGAAATGCAGTGAGCGTAATTGGCCAGAGGAGTCACGCTTACTATATGATTTCTTGCAGTATAGCAACGGGCCCTAACTCTGCGTCGCAGCTCGCCCTTCGAGAGTCTGCAGGATCGAATGTGGAACGATGGCCAAACGGGACTAATTATGTGGTTGGCTACGCCCGAACGGATGGGAAAATGGGTGTGAATATGAACTGGTGAGAGTTCGGAGCATAAGGACGTGATCCGTTTTCTCCACTCATCTCTATCCATGACTGGGTCAGGACCATCCTTGTGCAGAACCGGGAAGACATGGCCTTCGCAGTGCCCAATCGCATGGTGTTCCTCGTTTGGGTTGGACAAGTTTGCGCGGTTGTTATGCTCGTTATCACCTCTTACCTCATGGCTCAAGTCATGACGGCACCGCTCGAAAGGATCGCGCGCGCCGCAGACGAAATCCGTCATGAACGGGCGACGATAGCACAGATTCCTGTGATAAAGGGGCATGATGAGGTGGCCCGATTGTCAACATCGTTAAATGCCCTAGTCGCCTCTCTGTTGGAGAAGGAAGCGAAATTGGAGGACGCTAATAACGAACTGCTTGACAAGATTGAACTCGTTCAAAACGCCGAAGCGAACCTCCGAGCGAATGAAGAGAAGTTCAGGCAACTCACGGACACAACGGACGAGGCATTTTTCATTTACGAGACAACGGAGCTTACTTCTATCATCAATCGCAAGCCGATGACATCGCGGACAGGGTCACTGAGCCAAGTTCACGCGAGGTCCGGCTTGCTGAAATCGCCGACCCGCTCCCCATCGAAAGGTTCGCTCCATCGACTTGAGGTGAGCAGGGTCGCTAAGCGGCCATCACCGGCAAAAGCACCCGCAGAGCCCCATCCTGAGATCGTCTACCCTGAGCATCTCATATACGCATCGGCCGCGTTCCCGGAATTGTTCGGAATTTCTTTTGAAGAACTGGAGCAGGACCCGTTATGCTGGCTCGAGCGGGTACTGCCAGAAGACCGTGCGGGCACCGGCGTTTTGTTTGCAGATCGCCGAAAGCATCCTTTGGATATCTCCTTCCGCATCGCTGCCGCGGAGAGGTTTCCGAACCCTAAGCCGCGACACATAGCGCTTCATACCCTGCCAGTTATCCCTATGGACGGAACGCACCAGGTCCGAAGGGTCGTGGGCGTATTCCGGGATATTACGAAACAGCGCGAGGCGGAGATGGAGTCAAGCCATAAAAGCGCATGGTAAGTTACTTTACTCAGTTTTCTCCTGGGGGAGAAACAACAGCAGCCAGGGCTGATATTATGGTCGTTCCTTTTCCAACAGGGTGAGACAAGTCGGGCACGAAATCCGCAACCCATTGTCGGCCACGTTTACTATGATCAACCTACTGTTGGAAACCAGCCTGGATGCGGAGCAGGCCGACCTTCTTCAAACAATCAAAATGTCAAACGACACACTGCTGTCACTCATCAACTCCATTCTGGGTACGCTCAAGTTTTCCACTATGAACTTGGCATGCATTTCTCCGTCACGTCTCCTAACCCCTTTGTGTAGATCTGGCAAAGCTGGAAGCTGGCGAGATGACACTCGAGAGCATCCCGTTGAGCCTCGCCGCCCAAGTAGAGGACGTGCTGGAGCTGATGGCTCCGCAGGCACATAAAAAGGGTCTTCGCATTGGAGGTTATGTAGACGCCGATGTAGACGCCTGGGTGAAAGGCGACCCATTACGCATCAGGCAGGCTCTCATTAACCTATGTACGAACTCGCTGAAGTTCACTAAGACAGGCTCTGTGTTCATCCGAGTTGAGCGTGCAACACGAAGAACGCGATCCGTCTCGGGTCTCAGTCGGGGGAGTGATAACAGGAAGGTGTCTCGCAGGGAGGGGAGCCTTCTGCGGCGTCGAAGCCACGACAGCACCCAGGATAGCATTGCGGGCAGTTTGAACGCGGAAGTAGGATCAGACCCGCCAGGGCAGCGTATGTTCTTGCGGTTCTCCGTTAGTGATACCGGTATCGGCATTTCCCCGGAAAATCAGAAGCAGTTATGGGAACCGTTCAAACAGGTAACTAGAAGATTACAAATGATGCGTAATAAACAGGCAGCTGTTAACTATCACACTTTTACAGGCGACGGCAAGCACATCCCGGCAGTACGGTGGGACTGGTCTTGGTCTGTCAATCGTCAAAGAATTGGTGACGATGATGGATGGCGAAGCGGGCGTCAGCTCCGAACCGGGGAAAGGCTCTACCTTCTACTTCTCTGCCTGCCTTACTAGTCTGAGCCATGAAGATTTGGCCCACATCCCAGACACTGAGGATAAGAGCACTGTGAGCATTGCCGGCAAGCGTGTTTTGATCCTCAGTGAATGGACACGTATGCGCGAGCTGTGTCGTAGCATGGTGATGAGCATCACAGGGAAATCGGTCGAGGCAGAGACATTAGCAGAAGCCACGAGCATGCTGGCGCAAGCGACCAATCGCGGCGCCAAAATCGACGCCTTGATTACAGACTTCAACCTTTTCGAGTCTGTCGAGGTTCGCGATTTCATAAACAGGGCGTCGGTCCAGTGCCGGGTCGCGATAATCGCCCCACGGGAACAACGAGATGCTTTGAAAGGCGTTTTGGTTCCGGGCCGGGTAATCGCCATCACGGATCCGGTCAGGGTGAGCGTGGCTAGGCGACAATTTGGTGAACTGATATGCGGTTATGCCCAAGAGGCAGGTGCGTATACCTTGGCACGGAAGCCTGCTGTGGCCGCTGCGCCGGACACCCCTCTGCTAGATGAAGATGGAAACCCGATCTCGCTTATGCTTGTCGATGGTAATATCGCGATGAAGTTCATCCATTCAATGCTCATGCTCACAGTTTTGCGCAACACCTAGATAATTCCATCAACCTGAAAGCCGTCTCAAAACTTCTATCGAAGATCACACAGAAATTGCCAGTAACGGCGTCGGACGGCCAGCAATGCCTGGACATTCTAACACGGATGAAAGAGGCGGGAGAACCATTGCCCGTTCTAATCTTTGTGGGTACCCAACTTTGGTTGTCTTAAGTGAGAAAGGAATGCAGAGCAGTAACCCCGAGCATTCCCTTACCTTTCGCAGATGGACGTCTGCATGCCGGTCATGGACGGACTGACAGCCACACGGAATGTAAGATGATCCTATCGTCGTCATCAAACTTCGTCCTTTGTTATGAACATACCAAACCCCTTACAGATTCTGCAAACGTATTCCGACGACGAGCGGCCCGCGATCGTCACGATGACAGCGAATGCCCTCCATCAAGACTACCTCGAGTGCATGGCAGCCGGAGCCGACGGCTACCTGCTAAAGCCCGCATCGAAAGACGTTCTGAGGTATGGCGCTTTAGTCGTCTCGAGCAAATTTACCCACCTTGACATTTTCTTTACTCATTCCAGGAAAACAATCGAGACCTGGTGGAGGGTTGTCCGCGACAAGCGGCTCGGGCTTGGCCTGGGTTTCCGACGAGGGAGCGTCCCCTCCCTGCATTTGGAGGAACTGCAGGTTTAGGGCATGGCACCACGCATTTAGCTGGCCGAGAATTTCTGCTCGAATATGCGTTCACGGTTGAAACTCCGGCGGGCACACTCAATATACTTTGATTACAGGTGCAGCAGCATCTGGGCGTAGAAAACTGATGTAATATGAATATGAAGTCCAGCTTCTAAATGTAAGCAGGCACAAGTAGACGAATGGCTAAATAGAGGCTCGCCCCCGCGCGGTCACCCAAACTGTGGATGCCAAACCAACTTGAACGCTCGCGAAAGTCAGATCGAGTCGCATTCCATCCCCACCTCCTCGTGTGAGCTGAAGTTTCGACTAAGGCCGCCCAATCCGCCACGTTCACCGACTGTTCCCAAACTTCTGCCTCCTGCGCATCGGTCCAGTATTCACCGGTCACCCCTGCCCATGACCTGCGTGCTTTCCTCTTCCAAGGATATGCGGTCTATGGATGGCGTTCCAAGGCAGTCAGTCACCTAAGCATTTCCACAGATTGAGTCCCGGCGCGTCTCCGAAGTGACTTCGAGATCGAGAGGATAAGTGAGGGTCATCGTGCCACTCCGTTTCGACTCTCCCCTCTCTCCCGTTTCCTGACTGCGTTTGTTTGGCCGCCGTAGCAGCTGGCACGTTGCAGCCTCATCAACAGTCCACAGGCTGCATCGTGCGAACTTGCACAGTTGCATTCTATCGCAGACTGCTACAGTATCCGAGATGGGCGAGGGCCGAGCGCCCAGTAGAACGCTGAGTAGCGATAAGCGGCGGCGGTTATGACGTAGAAGCAAGGCGGCGACCATGGATCCTGGATCTGGGAGTCCATGGAACTGTATGAATGAACTACTACTCGGCGTGCCAAGTTCAAGTTCAAGAACGTCGATTCGTGAATGGTCGTGTGGGATCCACAACTTGTGGGCGTCGAGTGAAATGAAATAATGCTGAACAGATCAACCCCACTACCCCACCCACATGCCCACGTTGGGAACGGCCCAGGCAAACTGCAGGAATGCAACCTGACTCGCCTCCTCCGCCGCGCTGTACAGTATATCATATGTAACTCCTGAATCCTCCCCAGGCAGCCGACCAGCCGGGCATAAAGGAAGAAGGCAGGTACAGGACAACCTGGGACTCGCCACCACTTGCCTTAGCAAGCTGTCGCCAAATCTGTCTATTTTCGAACAATGACCGGCCCGCTGCCTGCAAAGACCCGGTTCGCCGATTTGCTCAAGGAGCATCCAGGACTAACCACCGCTCAACTCATCAACTCCAACAACTTACCCCTCGACGACATCAAATCTGGCGCCATTGATGTCACCACAGAGCCCATCTTACCGAAACGGGCAGATGTGGTCGTCATCGGCGCCGGCGTCGCCGGCCTCCTCTACGCCATCCACCTTAAGCGAATCATGCCAGAAGCCAGCATCGTGGTCCTCGAGCGGTCAACCGGCCCGACATACAAGATCGGCGAATCCACGCTGTCGCCGTTCTCGAGATTCAGCGTGTCGGATATCATGAGCGTGGCGTACATGCTTCGCCTGTTTCATTTGAAGGATGGATTGGATTTTGTTCATGTTGATGAAGAGGGGAAGAGCGTAGAGTACCAGGATATTGGGGGTGTAGATTACTCCTTCCAGATTGAACGCAAGGTCTCGGAGCTGCTTTTGACTTTGAAGGCGCAGAGGGCTGGCATTAAGGTATGCTTTCTCGCCGTTGATGATCTGATCATGACTTCATCCTCACCATTATCTCCGCGCTGTAGGTTTTCTACGGGGTTGGAGTGAATGGCAGGACATCGAATTTCACCGCCGATGATGAGAAAACCGTCCGCTTCAACTACAGAGCTTCGTCGTTCAAGACTGCATCGCCGCCCAACAAGCTGGCTCGGATGCCCCTCGATATTCTCCCAGCGCAGGCCGCCGATGCCGCACGGGCTGCCACGAGACTGTTCTCGTTGGAGCAGTCGGTGGACGAGAGCAGCGATATGCACACATCTCCCGCTGAGCAGAGTCAAACCCCGGCGAAGCGTGGTTGGCTTGGCAAACTACTCCGCACATTCCATGGAGATACCGCGAACACCGTCGCACCCTCCTACATCAAAGCCCAAGTCATCGCCGATGCGTCGGGTCTGACGCATACAGCCGTCCAGAATTTTGGGGAGATCAAGAAGTTTGACGGAATGAACTTTGACGCCTACTGGGCGTACTTCAAGGAAGATGTGCGTAAGGAGGAAACGGAATTGAAGGATTGGATGTATTGCGGGACGAATCATATTTGCTTCAAGGATGGATGGTCGTGGTGGATGTGAGTACGTTTGCGCTTTGTATCAGTTTGGTGAATTTGATAAGCGATCTTCTCATGTCCATTTTATCACAGCCGCCTCATCTCTTGGGAAAAGTCTGAGCGCGCAAACCTCATGGATCTCATCACGTACCTCCTCGAGAACGACGAAGCCGGCGTTCCAGACTCCCTCATCCCACCCATCGCGACCCTCTCCACCCAATTCAACTGCCCCTTCGAGCAGATAGTCTCCATCGGTTTCACCCTCCGCACCGAGTCCGTTCCCTCCCTCTCAAACGCCCCGTACGTCCCGAGTACAGCGTCAGAGAACGAGAAACGCTTCTGGGGCGTCGTGCACAAATACCCTGTTGTCGAACGCATCCTTCGCGACAGCGGGCGCTACGAGGTCATACCCAACCACTACGGCCCCCTCCTCGGTACCTACCAGGCACGCAAAGCCATGTCGTTCTACAGAACAGTCATAGCGGGACCGGGCTGGTTCGCCCTCGGTAACGCGTCGGGCTTCACCTCGCCGCTGTTTTCGCCGGGGATCAACCTTATTGCGTTGCCGCAGGCCGTGCTGGCCGCGACGCTGACGAGGAAGCGATTGAGGAACGAGAGTTCGCCGGAAGAGGTTGCGGAGGAGTATCAGGCGTGCATGGCTGACAAGCATATCCCCGGCATGAGGGACATGGATGTACTGTTAAACAGTATGTTCAGGGATCCCAGATTTTTCATGGCTATTTTCCCCATTATGTTGGGAAATATGCTAGGAAACATTGTAAGTCTCCCGTGCTTGGTCAGAAGCCCTAAAAGATCTGACTGACAACCGTCTCTTTTCCCGCACCAGTCAAAGAACTACACTCATGGCTACTCGCTGGCCGAGATCGGCTGGGGCCTCGGGTGCTCCACACCCCTCTTCAAATCTTTCATCGCCGAAGTGTTCCCTCTCATCATGGGTCCGCCCAACACGGTCATCGCCGATGAGGTGGCCGATAAAGTGCAAGAGATATGCAATCGGTACAAGAAGACGATCGTGGAATCCTACTCGCACGCCACAAAGTACGCCCGTATCTTTCGCCACCTCGACGATGAGATCAACCATGATCCGAACAAGGAGGCGCGGACGCCGGGGAAGTTTGGTGGCAGGCGGTGTACGGCTTGCTTTCATGCGAACCCGCAAGAACGCGCGATGTGTATCTGCTGTGGGGCGGAGATGGTGGCTTTGACAATGACGAAGACGGTTGGAGGTGTTGGGGAGGCGGTATTCTGCAGCGTCACGAAGTCTGGTTTGGACGACATCGTAGAAGAACGGCCTTTGGCTGCGGCGCGTGCTGGTCAACAGCCGCCCATAGCGGGCGTGGCGTAAGAGTTTTTCAAACAGTTCCCAAATAGAGGTCGCGGCGCAGGACGAAGACGGCGTAGATACCTTAGATATACCAGAGACACTTAGACACCTATAGCTTCTATGCCGAAGTAGATACGCCAGGAGATTAGCGGAGCAGTTGCGACAAGGGATACGCTTGTTTTCCGTTGCAGGGCGACTAGTAGATGGTTGGGAACTGCGATAGACCCTTTCTTCCCAATAGATGGATAATGGAGAAGATGCGAAACTGTAGTAACTGCCTTTCCCTTGGATCCCTCCTCCTTCGTCTTGCGCACAGTCGTACGATACTTACGATTCTCCTTCTCTCCTTACGAATGTCTCTCCTGTCCTGATGCATGCACCAGCCAGCGTCACAATGGTGAACTGCCCTCCTGTTCGTTGGAGCACCGATTCTACGCTCAGTCTCGCAGCCACAAGCGCTCTTCTGAAGTTGTCCGTCATGCTCTCTCTCGTAGCGTCCCTCAACTTGAACGCGTTGGGCACCGCGTCTTTCGTACACGTAAGCAGTCGTGCGAGTACAGTAGCTCTGGGTGTCACGTGACTGGTCCCGTGTCTCCCGCTGCTGCGATACCGGCGGGCACGGGTGATAGGGCGCCAACCGGCCAGGCTCCGCGAGTCCGAGGTCGGAGTGACAAACGAACCCCTTCGAGGCCTCGACGCGCAAAGACTTCGTTCGAGGCGAGTCTCGCCCTTCCATGATCCTCTGTTTTTGGACCGCTCGCTCCCTCCTCCAACTATCCGTTGTGACACTTGTGAGGGAGGACATTCCGTATAAAAAGGATGCTTTGCACGGCATCCTCCCCCTCGCCCCCCAAGCCGGGAGAGCATAAGCTCATAGTGAACCAGAAAGGGCGAGAAAGCGCCACGATACAGTCATGGAGGTCATTCAAATTCCCTTTTCTCTGGCGACCGCCGTGGTCGCCATCGCCGCATATCTTCTGACGGTCAAATTTCTTCGATACCGCCTTGCACGCGAAATCGAGAAGATGCCCGACCCAACCGATGGCCCTTCTGGCATGGCCATTTACCAAAAGATCGCTTTCTGGGACTTCCCATTCATCACCCAAAAAGCGCTCGAGTTTGCCTTATTCCGAACGTACGGCATCCCCTCCATCGCCAAGACGCTGTGCTCGACGAAGGAAATGACGCAACGCTGCAACAGGAGGTACGACGATACATCCTTCCTCTTGGCCGAGATCCTCGAGCACTTCAACGAACCCGCTCGATGTGGAGCGGCCATGAAACGCATGAACTACATCCATTCCCTCTACCCGATCAACAACGACGATTACCTCTACGTGCTGACAACGTTCATCTGCGAGCCGGGCAAGTGGATCGAGCGGTTCGGTTACAGGTCGTTGACGACCAAGGAGAAAAACGCTATTTACCACGTGTGGGTCCACATCGCCACCGAGATGGGAATCAGAGAGATCCCTACTTCCTACGAGGCGATGTGCCGATTCGAAGAGCAGTATGAACGAACCCACATGCGGTACTCCGAGCACAACGCTGCATTGGCCGAATCGACGTCGGCGTTGTTCCTCTCCATCATCCCCGCCTTCCTACGGCCCATCGCCACCCAAGTCGTCCACGCACTATGTGACCAGCGCCTACGTGACGCGATGGGCTTCAGCACGCCAGTTCGAGGGTATACGTGGTCATTGGAAGTGGTTGGGTGGACGGCCAAGATGGTTGCGAGGCACTGCATGTTGCCGCGACGGACGCCGCATTTGCAGGCTGCCGATAAAGTGGACGAGAATGGGAAGTACGTGCCGAAGATTCATGCCTATAAACCGACTTATAAGTGCGGATATCGGATTGAGGATCTGGGGCCAGAGCATCTCGTTGGGAAAGGTAAGCGAGCGCCTTTCATTGCGACAAAGACGACTGCGGAAACTTATGACGGGGGAAACGTAGGCCCAGGAACAGTTACAGGAAAAACGACCAAGCGCTGCCTCAGATCAGCATCCCTACGGCAATAAACCCCTCCGTTCGTGCACAAAGAGGGCATCATCTCAAGCGGAAATCGTGCCGCAGCAAGACGGATGGACCGTCGAGAGCCGCGACACTGCGCGGGGGTTAGGGCTCATGCTCCCGCGTGCATGTGGTGCAGGCACCACGCAGATGGGGGCGAGTGCTCTTCGATTCAACATTATATCACACATTGGCTCCAACTTTCAAAAAGACGGTGTATTCATTTAGAGTAGTGGCAACTGTCTTTTACGTGGGACATGTCTCCAATATATACCCTTTGAACCATCGATGCATACCACTCTACGCCAATATCACACGATCCACTAGGGAACTGAGCGCAGGACTTACTGTTTTGATGAGTGATTCTGGTCCCGACGAAACTGATCAAGAGTTTTCTCATTACTCATGGGTGTATCCGCAGCGGCGTCAGGTTCTCCTACTACTACGCCTATCTCTTCCACATCCCCAACGTGATCGCCCCTCGCTACAGCGTCACCCACTCTCCCAAACTCGAGGATCTCTTCTACTTCCCCCCAGTGTTCCCGTTGCCCTACGCTGTCATTCACGATTCGAAAGCCGCAATACATGAAGATCACCACACTGACCAACATAACAAACGCGAATGCCCCGATAACGGCGTATCCTACGGTTCCGTAACTCTCGTTGATGGATCCCAGAGTATAACCCGAACTCCTTACTGAAGATCCCCAGGACCTGGATGAGACAGATGACGAATGCGATTACGACAGACATGGGCGTGATCGTAAAGTTGTAGTAGAGCTTTTGGACGGGGTGGATCGTGGCCCATAGGAAGACCGTTGTCTAGAGGAGAGAAAACATTAGTACTGAGCGAGTTACCACTACAGAGTACAGAGAGTGGTCTGAATAAACGTACCATCATGATCCCGTCGGCGGTGTCGACAAGCGTCATCCCCGCCGTGAACAATGCTGGCAAGAACATCACCAACCCGATAGACATGCCAGTGCTGGTGTTCGCTGCACTCACGGCCAGTAGCGAGACTTCGGTGGCCGTGTCAAAGCCTAAGCCACTGTGCTGACCGAAAGAAAGATATGAGCGCGCCTGGGCGTTAGGGGAAGTGAGAATGATCTTACAAGAGAAGCCCCAGCGAATACATCTTCCACGCTGCGTCAATGAAGGAATAGACACGTCTGAAGCAGCGACCGAGAACGCCGCCCGTGAGCATGATACGGTCCGCCTCAGCCGGATCCACTTTCCCGCCGCTCCGGACTTTCCTCAAGTTCCGCCATATCCCAACGAGCGCAAGGCTACACATCCCAACCACAAACAAAACCGCACTGCTCACGATCGTCCCCGTAAGCCCCCACCCGCCGGCCGTCAGACCCGTCTTACTCGCCGTGGCGACAAGGATGATTGCCGCGGATAACACGATCGTCGAATGACCCAGCGCAAAGAACAGGCCAACTGTCAGCGAGGGTGGGCCCGTGCGTTCGAGGGACAGTTTCCGAGTGACACATCTTCTGGGGACGAGGGCTTTGGACGGAAGGTCGAAAGCAATGGTCCAATTAGCCTGGGCGCTCGAGAGACTTTACCAGGTTCTCGTAGGCTTGCATACGATCGTGGCTTGATTTGGAAGGGCCTGTGGTTGCGTCATAAAACTCGTCCTGCGCCAAATCGAACTTGGAAAGGGGGACAAACGTAGTCCTTGGAAGTCCACCCTTCCGACCGCCGCCACCTGCCGACCAAGCCCGTCTCTCGGTCTCCTCGGCAGCGACAGGAAGCGAACGATGACGTTGGTGCCGGAAAGCATCCAAACTCCCCAATGCGCCCGCCTCTCCCATAGCGCCGCTTCCGCTTTGTCCTTCCATTGGCGTAGAGCCGCCTTCCACCTCAAGAGAGTCCACGGCTTGCCCATCAGCCTTGTCATCCTCACTACTACTATTGTGATCGTCTGTCGCAGTTGCTTCAAACGTGTCCCCCCATTCCGCGCAGACCAGTTTCGCATGGGCCACGAAGCAGTTGGGATGAGGGGCGTCTGGGTGGTCGGGGTCCAAGCGAATAGCCGCTCCATGGTATTGCGTGAAGTCTGGGTGGCCCCCGGTGTTGTGGAAGGTATACGGGCGCTGGGAGACGTCCACGCACCACAATTTCGCGTCAAAGGAGTGGTAGTGGTTCGGACAGAGGAGGACACCGTTGCGCGGGTCGTTAACCCCTCGGAAGGACCGCGGAATCGCCTTCACTATGTGGCACAGGCTGTTGAGCTACGAAACATCAGAAAAAAATAAGCACGATATAACGGCGGGCGGGGCACGGTAAACAGACAGCAAAGCCAATTTCAATGTGGAAACCCTCTTCTGGCCTAAAGTGTCCTTCGGGATGATGTGGCAATGATGGAGTACGGAGGAGAACGAACAGACAATGCAACTCCCGCGGTCTCTAATGTCGATGCGGTTATTGAAGAGACCGCTGGAAGCACTGGACTGCACACTGGCGTCATCCTCAAAAGGGATTACTTTGTAGGTCGTCTGAGGAAGCTGCGGCATTGAGAATGGCACAGCGGCGAACAACTCTGCAGCGTCGTTCGTTGGAGACCTCGAAAATGTCGAAACTGATTGAGACTGTGTAGTCGTCAAGCGTGCAGAGTACGTGGTAATAGAGACAGGTGACGATGGAGGCAAGGAACCGCAGCAAGCTCCAAAGGACGGTAGGATTTCTCTATCTCTGCCACTTGCACAGTGATTACAGTTACATAAAATATGCAAACACCAAGGGGCCCCTTCCGTTTCACACCCGAAAATAGCGACGGAGTTTCTTTGGGGGTAGTGACAGTGTGCTCTGGACGAGGAACGTAGTCCTCTAGAGTCTATGGATGAGGAGGAGATTGCTTAGTAAGCTTCTCTATTTTTCTTCTCGAGTGAATAAATAACAGATAACCCTAGCTTCCCTTTCCTTTCCTTTATCTCTTTTGAGCTATCGAGTGCTATGACTGAAAAGCTACGGTGGGAGGGGGGGATGTTTCAATGAAGAAGAAGAAGAACTAGCTATCGGGAGGCGCAGTGCGCAATTTAGGACCTAATGTCCAGGGAAACCCGTAAACCCGTAAGTATGTTGATAAATAAACCGATGCGAATTGAGAGGCGAATGCGGCGTTCGAGAGGAGGTGCTTAGTTCGGCGGGTAGCGAGGTGGGATACTAAGCAACCTCCTCCTCATCCATATACCAGAGACACTTAGACACCTATAGCTTCTGTGCCGAAGTAGATACGCCAGGAGATTCGCGGAGCAGTTGCGACAAGGGATACGCTTGTTTTCCGTTGCAGGGCGACTAGGTCCCAGCCCTGTCGCACGCGGATAAGCGGGGAATCAGAGTCATGGCTCGAAGGAGTTTGCGGCGTACACACTTGGCTCGTCAACCAGCAACCATGTTCACGTATAAAGAGGCAGCATAGGGTAAAACGCCTTCACCCGCGGGCAGTCTGTGCTACGGATTCAGTCCTCATGAACCATACGAGAATAAACCGTGAAGTCACTCTATTTCCAGTCGGAGTTTGCAAGGTGTGCGTGTAACAAATGCTTACGTGATCCCTCTTTGCCTTCTCGCCGTCCTCCATTCTTTTCTCGATTTACCAGTGCGTCGTCGTAATTCGAATAGACCCGCTACGTTGCCTGGTCACCTGCTTCGACGGCAAGCGCTAGTCCTACTTCGAAAGCTTTCCTGAGACGAAGCAACGTATCCTCTGACTCACAATGGCTGACGACGACTTTGTCCGCCCCACCTTCGGGCTCGGCAGCGGAGGCTACAACAACGCCTACTCTGAAAATGGCACAAACAGCGGTGGCAGTTTTGCCGAGAAGCAGCTCTCCAAATACGGATGGAAGAAAGGTACCGGGCTGGGCAAGGACCGCACGGGAATCAACAAAGCCATTTCGGTCGGGTTCAAAAACGACACCGACGGCTTGGGAGCAAAGTCTGACGAATGGTCGTTTGCGTGGTGGGACCATGTGTTTAACAAGACCTCGGCCTCGATAAACATAACGAAAGACACTACCACTACCACTACGACTGGTGCGGACTCTGAAGAAACGATAACGACGGCCGTTGTCACAACCTCAGCTACCACAACCACGGCCGCGAAAGCTCTTCTTTACGGGTCCTTCATAAAAGCCGCTCCCGTGACCTCTGGGTTTATTGAGGAAAAGGATTATTCTGTGAGAATAACAGACGCAGAGCTCCTGAAGGCGTGCGAGGGGCGTACCGCGAGAAAAGGGGCTAGAGCGCATCAACCGGGAAAGCTCGTAAGAGCAGGGATGGAGGCCATGGCAAAGGCAGCAGATGACTCCTCGGAGGATGAGGATGAGATGGAGCGGATGAGGAAGGTGTGTGAGGTGCTGGGGGAAGCGGCACCAGCGCCAGCACCCCCAACGATATCGGAGGCCAAGAATAGTAGAGTAGAGGAAGTTGAAACGAAGGATGGGCCGAAGAAGGATAGGAAGGAGAAGAAGGACAAAAAGGAAAAGAAGGAGAAGAAGGCGAAGAAGGAATCGAGCAAAGCAAAGAAATCGAAGTCTGCCGCGAAAGAAAACGCGGACGATATAGAATCCTGTGCGACATCGCGATCCAAATCAGAAGCCTCCTTATCAAGTACGGTTGCCCCTAAACCGAAAAAGGCAAAGAAGGAGAAGACGCCGGCCTCCATTGACACTGCATCCGAAGCGGTGAGCGAAAAGTCCGATCCGGTCGAAAAGAAGAGTAAAAAGCGGAAGCGGCAGACGGAGGAGGTGAGCTCGGCATCAACATCGGGCGAAACTAGCGAAGGGAAAGCGAACAAAGAGAAAAAGGCGAAGAAAGTTAAAAAGGAGAAGAAAGTCAAGGCGTAAACGCCCCTTCTGCCGCGCCCCTCAGATAGTAGTATACCCTTGTCATTGCACCGCACCGAACAAGTAGGCAGTCATGGAGTGATGTTTAGATTAGAATAGAAAGTTTTGAAATGTTATTTGACACGTCTCCAGCTGGTTTCTGCTGCGGAAGTATACACATAGTGGGATTCTAGGATCTGGTTCTTATGAGGATAGGCTCAATGACTTCCCAGGCATCTTCCCCCAAGGTTGACATACTGCCCGCTAGCATCCCGGCGGAATCCTTCTTCAATGTTCTCCCAAAGTCCAAGATAGGAACATGATTGGGAAGTGTGGACGCAGCTGTGGCCGGCACATGTGTATTTGTGGTATATGCTCGATCAAGCAGACACATGCAGTCGAAAGCATTTGCCAAAGCAGCCAGCGGCTCCTCATATGCAGGCAACTCCTCGTCGAAATCGTCCAGCTCTTCGTTGATGTTGTCTGCTTGCGACATACTGTAGAACGTGTCGTCATCGTCATCGCCTCCAACCTCCAACATCTCTACGCATTCCTTATCTTCAACTTTGATGGCAATGAAAGGCGACGCGAGACGTCCGACCTGGTCCGCATCCCGCCGCTCGCCTTCCATCGCATGCTCCCTCCGAATAAAATCCACCCATTTGCAAATGATCTGCCTCATCGCCATCCATCCTTGATCTCCCACCCCATCCCCCTCACCCGCCTCACCCCGCTGATGCACCTTGAACCACTCATAATGAGCCTCCTTGCACCTCCCCGGACAAACAATCGGGCCCGCCCGGAATCTGTCTGCCAGTTCTATGTGAATGAGTCGTTCGCAGCGGTCTGAGAAGCGGCAAATTGATGCTGTAGAGGCATGGAAGGGATTAGATGCATCGAGCTGAGGCGGGAAACATTCGATGAGTTTTGGGCGGAAACCGCAGCGGGAGGACCATTCGGAGAGGCGGCGGTTGATGTCCGTTGTTCGTCCTGTCGGGATGGTGATGTAGCGGGTTTAGTACGATGTTGCAACTCGGAAGAAACAGTGTGTACGTACCTATTTTGTACATCGTCGAATCATACTGACTGATTGTGTTACCTTCCGCTAGCATTTCAATACCGTTAGTGACGCTCAGCCCGATTGAGTCAGATCAAGCCAGCGGTACGCACGTCTGATGAGTTGGTAAGCGTAAATGTACCCGGGCTTGTCCTTCGAGGATATCGGTTTAAAGAGCTCCGCATAGAGCCTGCGTTTTGTGAAATCTGACAGGGTCGGGTTTATGAAGTCTGAAACCGGACCAATGTCAGAATGCATGGATGGATACCATCATCACATCGGTCTCCGCGCTTCTTACCTGCATATCGTCCAAACTGCTCACTATCCGTCGCATTTGACACAAATCGATGTAAATGACACTTGACGGCCAGTGATTGTCTAGTGCATCGGTTCCCATTTGTTTTATTATACGCCTGGCATTGGGTTTTCCGCGGCGAGTCGATGGTTGTTTCGTGCTGGATTGATGAGGATTTGGTTTTGATGACTTCGAAATCGACCTGGTCTTCTGAGGGATGATGCGTGAAGCTGCTGTAAAGGCTTCTTGCCGTGGATGGTAGAAGAAAGTCCCACATACTGCTATATGTGTTATATGTGGTTTTACTGTGAGCTGTCAGCTGAATCCGGAGAAGACATTTTCGACGATTCAACGCGTAAGGACGTGTGTCATGCTGATTACGCAAGCGCGGTCAGAACAACCAAAAGGCAAAGAATGAGCCGAGTTTCTCTGCATACTCGACAACAGACTCGTGATATAGCTAAAAGACGCTCAATCAGAGCAAGAGGTACGAATCGTATATGTTTTTCACTTTTACAAGATTTTATAGACATCAAACCAAAGACTGGAGCATAAGACACAATGCTTTTCAACGACCAGGTATGACAAGCCCTACATAAAGCAGCCGGAGTCACTGTCCGGCAGTAGACGAGGAATGCTTCTCAGATGCATCCGAAAAGCATGTCTTCCGGGTTGAGCTTGAAGCTTCCGGATGAGGCGAGACGGTCGAGGTCATGGGTATCGTCGGAGCTATCATTGGATGATGAAATAAGGGTAGAGTATGGTACGTTAGCTCTTGTTCGTGTTCCCTTTCTATGATGTTTTTAGGAGATGGCCCTTCTAAGAGAACCCACGCACGTCTGCTGGGCACGGACCTTTTGCACAGGTTGTAGGGTTGCTGTTGAGCTAAGAGAATGCACATAGGACCGCAAACTCTGCTTCATCCCTGTATGAGACGGTAGGTGCGCATGCCCAGCAGTGAGGGGAATGCTTGCGTCACATCATGATGTGCCTCTTGTCCCATCGTGCCAACGACTCCCAGGCCATTGGCCCATATGCCACTCTTCTCTATTTCTGGGACACACCCCAACAATTCTATAGCGCCAATGCTCACCCGTGATCGGTCGCACCCGACGAAGTGGAACCCTGACGGAAGCTGACCTTCCTTGTGAAGAGGCCGCCTCCGTTCGCCGACGCAGTCTTGTGCGAAATGGGGATACCCGCGCCAATAGATGGCAACGCTCCCGCAGGATGCTGCTCGTGGTCGTCGTAAAGGTGGCCATGGTTCATGGGACTAGCAAGGTAGACCGCAGTGATGGCGCCAAGGCCTGTAACGGCGGCAATGAAGGGTGTTGTAGGTGCCATGGTTTGTTCTCGCTGAAGATGGGTCGTTATGTATGAAGACGAGTGTTATTCAGTTGCTATGTGTTCTGGTCAGTCTTTGAGGTGAAGTTATCGGTGCGTGAAGAAACGGATGAACGTGGACTTCACGCTGCCTATATATTGGCGCAAATAACACATGCCATATCTCTCTTCATGGAATTCGCCTGTTAACAGTTTTGCGAGGTTGGAAGGGGAAGGGATGGCGTGGGGGGGGACATTTTATGAATTCAGAGCGTCAGCCATCATTGGGGGTTTCCAGCAACGCACGGCGGGAAAGCTGGCGTCAGATGACGGACCCTGCGCCTGAATATTCAAACAAACCTGGGAAACCTTACTCAATACGGATCCCAATAATCCAAGGCACAAACTTACGTGGATGCAGTCGATAAGGATACGAAGTCTACCGTCCCCCAAAGCATGCATGTGGGAGAGGCCCCAGGACACAAGCAGGAACGAGATAAGGACATCGCATTGAGAACACAATAATGCACGCATGTATGCAAGCCTCGAAGGCCCTGTTTGCGACCCCTGCCACGGAACGGGTCGCGTCCGAATCGTCGGACTCTATGCGCGCGCGTTGAGTGTGGCTGAATGTGGCTTCAAAAAGCTTTCCAATTTCCCCAATTGACCTCGTCATTGGAGGTTGAAAGTCCATGCCTGGATAATAGGCCAATATTTCAGCGGGAACCCGCCATGTCCCGGCAATTTCAGGCATGGAGAGGCTGTTCAACATAGAGGGAGCCGTGCAAGCGGCCACGGCGGGAGCTCAAGATGAGCTGGACTTGACCCATCAAGGTGCTCTTCTTATCACAAGAGACGAAAGGTGCGGGTTTACATATGCTTCTTTCAAAGCCATGATGAAATGGGAACTTAGCGCCTCAATTTGCCAATGGTTAGGTTGACCACAACACTCGCGTGGAGATACGCCATCTGCCGCGCCCTTCGGTCAGACACCGTTCTTTTCCTGACGACCGACCGTGAGAAATTATCGACGTCCGCCGAATGGAGTGTGTTCGACGGCGGCGGTGATGCGCTCTCACGCATCCATATACGGTGCGTGTGTAGTATGGAGGCGCCTCCGCCACAACATCATCACTGAAGTTGACACCGGTGCTTGCTCAGATATGTCACCAACGTATCAGCTCTGAAGAGTTTCCTAGCCTGGTTCCCGCACTTGGATCAGCCTGTCGGCCTCCCCGGGCTGCCTGAATGCATAGTTATTAACAACTACGGGACCTTCTTCGCCGATGAGGAAGCTCTGTAAGTTACGTCTTACGCGACACGGTAGACATGAGTGACTGATTACGGCTTCAGAGAGAACGATTCCGCTCGCTGTATGGCCCTTTTGCGGTTTGCGCTGGAGAATATTGGCAAGACTAAGCAGAGGTATGTCGGTCGAATTTGATCTGGTGATGCAACGACCTCGGTCTCAAACGCGGACTAGGACCACCCGATGTTTGATCACAGACGCACTCGACGTCGCGGATGACCTCACGACAAGCGATGGGGACCCGATATCACAATGTTTCAAGTATCTGAAGTGGATTTTGGAGGTGGAAGGTGAGGCTATTTTTGCAAGAGGTGCGACCAGAGGCCCTGAATTGTTGTCCTCACGTTTCCTTTGGGCAGACGTACATTCTCCGTACTGCACCATGAAACTATCAAACTCAATAACGTTTCATGGAGCGCTGGTAAATGGTGACGGCCGATCTCCCAAAGATGCAACAAACCATTCTTCTTACGAGATGGTCCAAATTGGCGACGGGTTGCCCCAGTCCGCTGAGCCGGGATCATCGGATGCCGCTTGCGATGCAGAACCGCTGATTACTGATGCGTTGAAACATTCCTCGGTTACTCCGATGTATCATTGACGATAAAGATAAATGTACGGCGTATAGGGAATCGTTGGTTTATCGTCGGTGTATTCTGTGTCAGACGGCGGTATGTAGATTTCTCACTTGAGCAATGGGGGAGACACCGTCCGTTGCGGGGTTTCGATGTTGAATCCGTAGGTTCGCATAGGAAAAGCCGCCAATGTGAGCGAATCTATAAGCGCACCAAACTCCAGATATCTAGTTCCAAACAGCATCGCTCACCTAGGGCTCTCGCTTTTTTGCACTCAATTCTCATCTTCGTCTCTCCCTTCGTCTATCTCTGGATAATGTCCGCCTTGTCGGCACACATATCTCTTCTGTGGTGGGATCTCTGGACACTGAGCATATGGGTACGTCTGGCCATTGTTCTGATGGTCAATGTTCTCGTAATGTGCATGTCTGTCTGAAAAACAGTGATGGAAGTTCCTGGAGTCTGGTTCACCTGTCGAAGCCGGGCAACGTGATTACCTAACGGAAACGGGTTAAGCGCGAGTGTTGCAAAAGCAAAAAGAAAAGTGCATTCAGGTAACATACCACTGACGCGGTCATACTCTGAGCTGAAGGACGTGGGAATCGAACCGGTGACCTGCACGTCTGCAGACCAGGAAGATTCGCCACAACGCCAAACAGTATATGCTGGCCATAAATCTGGATACGACGCCCCAGACATCATTCCGAGCATAGCCACCACGGGTGTGAGCGGGGATGTTTTGAGCGTCTCGACCTCGAAACTCGGCAGGTCATGTCAAGCTTGCCTTGCCCATCAAATTACTTATCAGCACGCAAGATGTCAAACCCACCACCGCCATTCTTCCTAGAACGCCCCACACCCCGGGAATGCGCCCGAGCATGCGGACATTTCGCCAAAGTCGTCCTGACCGCGACCGCCGACGACGTGCCCGGTGTAATCGACTGGTCCGCCATTTCCGAGTGGCAACGAGAGTGCCTTGATAGCTGCAACAACCGCCTCGGTGCGGGACGCCGAGAAAACGCAAACGGAGGGCAGAATATATCGTCGGCGGCGGGATTCACTAGGCTTGTCGTTCAGTGCTTGGTTAGTGTAGAGACTCCGACGGATCTCTTAGATTGCGAACAGCTACGTTTGTGGTGCAGAGAGTTCACGGCGCAGACGAATGATGTTAGGGCAAATGGTCTCAAATGACAACAGCGGTCGAGTGTGAACTAAATAAACAAAGACACAAAAAGGATAAACAGGAAGGATTGGTGGGGCTATGTGCACAGCCTCTGTAAGAAGGCTAAAAATTGTAGTCGGTCGCCGAAAACGTCCACTGTTCTAGTGGTGCCTGCAGTCCTCAGGCACGGAGGTGGGGTCGAAGCCGGGCATAACGAAGGATCTTGCGAACGCCTCGACCTCGTGACGGAGAGTCTTGACCTCCTCACTTGCGTCCAACGCGACGACGAAGTCCTTGATGAGCTTTCCGGTGGACTTCTGGATGGTAAGCGCGAGCTGGGCCGCACGGTCCAGGAAGTCGGCGATCTTTCGGAAGTCGTCCTCCTTCATGTCCCTGGATGTCAGGGCAGGCGTGCCCAAACGGACACCACCAGGTACCAGTGCGGAGGAGTCGCCGTGGACGGCGTTCTTGTTCAGGGTGATGTTGACGTAGTCGCAGATCTTCTCCATCTTGGAGCCGGTCAGACCGTTGGGACGGAGGTCCCACAGGACAAGATGGTTCTCAGTACCGTCGGTGACGATCTTGTAGCCCTTGGACTTGAGAGCTTCAGCGAGGGCCACCGCGTTGGCCTTGACTTGCTTCGCATATTGTTTGAACGCTGGGGTGGCGACCTGCTTCAGAGCAACAGCAATAGCGGCAATGGTGTTGTTGTGGGGTCCTCCCTGGTTGGAAGGGAAGACGGCGAAGTTAACCTTGTCCTCCAGGTCAGAGTTCTTCTCACCCTTGGGGGCTCTTTGGAAGAAAATGAGACCCGCACGAGGACCACGAAGGGTCTTGTGGGTGGTTGTTGTAACCACATCGCAGAAATCGAAGGGGTTGGCGGCTTCGCTGGACGCGACCAAACCACTGATGTGCGCAATGTCGGCCATCAAGTAGGCGCCGACTTGGTCAGCGATCTTCCGCAGACGGGCGTAGTCCCAATCCCGTGCATATGCGCTGGCACCGCAGATGATGAGCTTGGGGCGGTAGAGAAGAGCGTTGCGCTCCAAATTGTCGTAATCCAGGACACCGGTCTTCATGTCGACTTGGTAGGGGAAGGACTCGAAGTAGATGGCAGAAGATGATACCTTCTTCTTGGCGGTAGCATATCCGTGGGTCAAACTACGGATAAACTTGTTAACATCTGGCCAAGCTCGAGAGCTATCAATGAAAGATTCTACTCACTGTCCACCCGATGGCAAGTCGAGTCCCATGATACGGTCGTGAGGTGCCAACAAAGCAGTCAAAACGGAGAAGTTGGCGGTACTTCCGGAGTAAGGTTGCACGTTCACACCCCACTTCTCGGAACTCAGGCTGAAGGCCTCGAGAGCACGCTGGCGACAAAGGTTCTCGATCTGATCGATGAACTCGTTACCACCATAGTAACGGGCACCGGGCAGACCCTCAGAATACTTGTTGGTCAACGCGGAACCGTTCGCTTCCATCACGGCTTGCGAAGTGAAGTTCTGCAAGTGGAAAGAAGTGGCCAATAAGCACACCTCCCAATAAGGAAAGGAGAAACTCGTAGCTCGTGCGTCGCCTTGACATACCTCGGACGCAATCAGCTCCAGGCAAGAATATTGCCTCCACTTCTCCTTCTGAATGAGATCATACATCTCCTTGTCCTCCTCAACAAGAGGGGTGTTCAAACCCGAGTTCTGTGGAAAATACGAGGAGAGATCAGAAGGTGCATAACCTCGCATACAGACTCGGATGCCAGAGACTTACCCATTGCTCTTGAACCATAGTGATAGAAGCTTGTGGGTGGGTGATTTGGGATACGATCTTGCGTGTGTGTTTCTGTTGGGTGGTGGGAAATGACCAAACGTTTGCTTTTATGCTTGAACCAAGTCTTGTGCAGAAGTGGGGTTGACGACTCACGACTGCGCACAGCCATTCCCTATTGGGGGAAACGCCTATTATTGGGGAACGGGGAGATCATTGCGATCGCATCTTTCCCATCTACCAACGTAAGCAGCAGTCCGCAATTTCGACAGTGTCCTGACGGTGGGAAAACTGGACCTCATCCACGCAGAAACCAGATGTGCTGCCAACAACAGAGCGTGGGCTACTAGATGACTTCACGGCTTCATGAAGGGAAACTAAAAGGTAGCGACATGCTAAAAGGGGGCTATGCAATGTTGCACCAGAAGGTTGAGTGTTCTCCAATCGATGGCAACCAAAGTCTCGACCGAGGGCAACAAGGAAGATCGAAGTTTGGTCATCCTAAAGTGAATTACGCTTGTTGTTCTGCTTGATTCTTCAATATAGAACGCACACCTGTGTCTTTATATAGTTTGCATGAACCGATCGACGACCCTCCCCGCCCACCCAAAAATCCCCTGGCGGCTGCAATAGAAGAAAAAATCGAGCCTTCGAAGTGGTGCGCCACATAGACCAGTCTTGGGAAGAGTAGATAAGGCGTGGTCAGGGAGAAAACGATCTTTCTCAACTTCAGTTTTCCCCGAATAATCAAAGTTCTACTGCCTCAGAACCTACTCATACATCATCGTCACCGCCAAACTTTGCAACGATGTCACGCAAAGCCGGCTCGCCTCGCAAGAAGGCGATCCCCGACGAAATCCCGTCGCAGACTTACGTCGAGAAGCCGTACGACGAGTGGCCCGACACATCCACAGATATCAGCTCCCGCTTGAGTTCCGACACTCTCGCGGAAAGGAATGCCACCGCTATCGATGTCGCACCAAGTCCCAAGAAGGGCACTATACCGCAACTTCCCGATGACGGGGAGCGCACAAACAAGGGCAGAACCACCTTGGTCATGCGCTTGATGTCGTGGGGATGGATTTTTCACTTTGTGGTTATCCTTGGAACGACATATGTCTTGTCATTCGTTATACCCCAAGGCTATGTTACCGATCAGGTCTGGAATAAGGGATGTTACTGGAAGATGGGTAAGTCCTATTGAGCTTTCTCCGACGACCCCGTTTGACATCAGAATCGCACGTCCTGACATCCTTCTTGTCTGTTTCTTATCTTAGGCTGGCTTCTACCCATTCCATACACCTTCATCTGTTTCCTCGGGTTGATTCTTCCGCTGCACAACGCCCCAGCGCCGAAAAAGGCCACGGCAACCGAGCAGCCAAGGAGAGTCGACAACCTCTACATCCTGACCGTCACCAAAGGAGACAACAAGGAAGCCGTCATGCGAGCCTGGAAAGCTCACAAGCATCTCGAGCTCCTCGACCCTTGCGTTCGAGTGCACGTCCTTACCGACGAGCCTAATTTCTTCGAAGGGATCAATTGCTACACATGCCCCAAGAGCTTCACGACTTCGCGGTCCAAATACAAGGCCCGCGCTCTCGAGTGGTACCGCCAGACCATGCGCTACACCGAGCACGACTGGATTCTCCATCTCGACGAAGAGTCCGTTATCGACGATGAGAGTGTAGCTCGTATCCTTGAGTTTGTCAAATGGAAGAAGGAGTATACCTGGGGACAGGGTATCATTATGTACAACCAGTACCATTTCTGGAAGAACCCTTTCTACACCGTCGCAGATGGCCTTCGTGTTGGGGATGACTTGTCCCGATTCCACCTTCAGTACACTTACTTCCATCGGCCGATCTTTGGTGCCCACGGTAGTTTCTTGCTCACCAACGGTGCGGTTGAAAATGCCGTTACTTGGGATCTTGGAAGTATGTCATATTATCGTCTCTTTGTTCACTCTTTCATTGCTTTGTTGCTGACGACCGTTTTCCCTTCCATTCCCCAGGTTTGACAGAAGACTTCCAGTTTGCCGTCAAGGCTTGGCAGATGGGTTTCCGCTGCGGCTCCGTCGCCGGCATCGTCCGCGAACAATCTCCCCTCGACCTCATCGGTTTCCTCAAGCAGCGTCGTCGCTGGTTCGTCGGTATCCGCCGTCTCGGCTCCGTCCTGCCCAAACTCCTCGCCCTCTTCTGGGGTCTCGGTCTCCTCTCGCTGTACTGCACCATCGCATCCTTCATTCTCGGCGTCTACGTCCCCACCGACACGCCGATGTGGTTCGGTATCCTCAAGGACTTTTCGCTCACCGTCTTCGTTTACCTCTATGCTATGGGCATGTTCTATCAGAACGTGGACAAGGGCTACAATATCTTCATTGTCATCTTGTTGGTTCCGGTCACCATCCTCTTCCAGTTCGTGGCCGTGATCATGGAGGCTGTAGCTGTAATGTTTGCCATCCTCTTGCCACCCGACGACTTTGATGTTATCAAGAAGTGAGCGAGAGACTTTGTCCTTTTGCCGAGAGACTTGAGGAGGGGAGGTGATGGGTTTTGCAGGCTGGAGGTTTTTGATAGAGTAAAGGATTTCTTTTCTGATAATTGTAATAAATGAATGAAATTCATAAATCTTCGTACATGTATTGTGGCCAGTGTCCCAGTGGGGCGGCAATGAGATGAGGACCTTTGTGGGGGGCTTCTCGCGTACGAAGAGATCCCCAAGGGCATGCCGACAGAAGGTCACCAGAATTTTTCACAATTTCTTATGCAAGTAAGTCATATTCAAATACGCCCGCATCATATGCGCACACTACTAAAGTACATCTCTGCGGGCACTAATATGTATGCCGAATGCCATCCTACGGCTATGCCTATGAAAAGGTATTTGCTACGATGTATGAACACACATCTCACTTCTCCTGTGAATCGAATCTGAAGCAACGCTCCTTCGTGTTCCGATGCACTCAAGAAGAAAAGTTCGATCTCCAGTTCTTGGGTACGACCCAACCATACGCACCGGCAACGCGTTCGAAGGCATCGATAGCTTCTCGGGCGGAGTATGGCTGGTCCCAATTCGGTGCAAGTCGGGCGGGAACCGGGTCAAGCGAAGTGAGCGCCATGCGGATCTGAAGGAAGACGGACTCCAGATTGTATGTCGGCTGCCAGCCGGACGAGGTTAATAGGTCCATGCAGACAGACCCGCCTGGGAGGTCGACGTTTAGTGCTTGTCATATGCTCCAATTGCAAGTTGCGGAAATATATCCCTTACCAGCAGTGACATGTCCACCTCCACCATGTGCGAACTGCATAGAAGTTCCCCGTTAGATTCAACGTTGTTTCTCCCAGTCGAATAAGAACAACACTCCCACCTGCAAAAATCTCGGCTGTATGACCCGCACATAAGGCCTGGAAATGAAGTTGCACAAGGATAAGTGGGATTTTATTGATGTCGGACAATGTCAAATGTAGACTCACGGTGCAAAAGGGAAGTCTCCGCTAAACCGTACTTCGAGCTCGATGCCGGAATCTTGCAATCCCTTTGATCGAAGGTCTTTCGCTAAAGGCAGATCGGCGTCGAAGTCTGTCATGCGTAATCTCCATCTGCAAACATAGAATCATCAGCAGATGAATCTCCATTATGGCAAACACGAAAGGGCCTACTGGTATAAATTTGATATGTCAGAATCCTTGAGATACCATCCTCTTTCTCCTCGGGATATAGAATTCTGAAGGTTCCTGAGACTTTTCAATTCGTGGAACAATGCTTTCGTCGCTGACGATGTGGCGTAGTGAGGCGGTGGAAACAGCGTATCGTCATCAAACGCAACGACGTCGCTTGCGCTGCGTTCGTCTTTGTACCGCTTCCCAGAGGAGAAAAGGGTGTCGAAGATCCGCCCACCCATACTCTTTTCCTCATTGGAGACATTGCCCGGACTCGACAAGGCGTTTTCTTTCCGCTTTCTACATCTGGCTTGCGACTCCGATTCTTCATTTTCTAACGCGAGGATTCCCGGATCGTCAATTCGAATGTCGCCCACAGTGCCGCTCTCTCGATGTGCATAGGTCAGTATGGGTATTTTGATACAGGTGTTCGTTATATCCACTGGAAACAGGCTTGTATCCATCGCGTGGTAGGCGACAGTGGGTATTTCGGGGGTGGCGCCAGAAGACCCGGTTTGGTTATAGTTTCGATAGGTATGCCGAGCCATCAGAAACCGTGTTTGAACCCAGTCGATGTTCCCCACCACTAAGTATGGGTTTGTCGAAACGAATTGCGAAGGGCAGTTCACGATCTCGTTCAAGGACATGCATTGAACCACCCCCAAGCTTGAGTGCGGCCAGCTACCTCCAGTGCGCGCTGCATACCCGGCTGCAGTTACTGATTGAAGAGCATGATAGATGCCGTTTCCGTATGCCCGACCATGTGCGACTCTGTCTGTGTTCAAGCCCGTCCTCAAGATGCTGTGCCAATTATGAAGGGGGCTTCCATGAAAGGCCCATAGACTTTTCACATTCTTGCTGGAGGCATGCAGATTTCTTTCTCGGATGAACCGCGCCTCCTTCTCGGGGGTACTCATCACCATCTTGAACTGCACATTTTCGACACCGACTCCAGCAATCTTCTCTGTGGAGCCTTTCAATTCTTTGATGAAACTTCGGTTGCTACAAATGATCCACCGAAGGAGAGGATAGATCAGGGGATTGATCGGATCCAAAATCGGTCGGAGAGTCAGTGTCGTCAATCGCCGCAGTAGGGTCAAGTTCTGCTTTTCTTGCGCCATCTTCAGTGTCTTGGCCTCCTCCAAAGCCTGCGCGCGTTGGAGTTTGCTTTCCTCGTCTGAATCCTCAGCCCCTCCATCATCCACGTCCGACTCTTCAGCATCAGAATCGTGACTATTGGCTTGAGAAAGCTGTCGCTTTAGCGCTTTCCGCAGCATTCGAATCTTGGGCAGCAAGTCCAGTGTCTGAGTGAACAGAGACATGTCGGCCGATCCAACAGCAGCATTGGTATGCCATCCACTCCACGTACTTCGTACAAAGGTGTACGGCAGTGACACATTCGAGAGTGCCGTGTTGTCTTCGAGAGAAGGAGGCACTCGTTGAACAGTGAAAGTACATCGGCATGTCAGATCCCCCGACATCAGAGAATGACTGGGCACTCCCAAGAGTTTGAAGCTATGGTCATTTTTCCGATGGCGAAACTGATTTGAATTGCTGGGTTAGCCAAATTCCCAGATTGGCAGAAGGTAACAGCCAGTGGGGGATGATCACGTACCTGGATCACATCGCTCTCTCGAAGTGTAGTACACCTTCCGTAACATTGCACAGTCATGGAGCCACCAACTTTGCTGACGATTCGAGCAGTGCCGCCGTCATGTTGGGACACTTGCTCGACGCCGACTCCGTGCGGAAAGGGTGTGAGTGACGAGCTTAGCGCGGCGGTATAAGCCAGTGATACAAGCAGATCAACGACATCAGGGTGATGCATCACCTTCGGGCAGTTTAGATCAGAGATTGTCTGGGATGCGGAATGACTACAAGAGCATACCTCCAACTCAATCGATGGTCCCAACCCAAGCTGCAGAAATTGATGAGTGCAAAGGTCGGCGGAGCACACGTATGGCTTCAAAGGCTCGAAATCTAGAAATTCGGTCAGTCTCAAACTTCGAAGCCTGTACGAGCGATTCCACTGACCTGAAAGAGTGCGCTTGTGGCACACGAGACAGTATTTTGCAGCTAAGGAGAGCCGCCGCAGTACATACCGCACAACCAGCAGCGGAAGATTGAGGTGGTGTGCCCAAGCCTCTTGGTACGCGACCTGGTATGGGCATGACACTGCATCGAGCTCGGACCAAACTTTTCCAGGTCGCTTTTTAGTCGTATTCTGCCTATACGGGAGTTTCAGGCACGCGCCTCCCGATGATGAGAAAAGCTTGTACGTTTCTAACTTGGTGCACCAGAAGATATCACGTACCGACTGCTCGCGGTTTTTGTCAGTGAGTCAACGATGGTGTCGAGGATGCTAGCAGCAGCATCCTTGGCTGCAGCACCTGCGTCGACGCCCTCGATCACGGCTTCGGCATCCGTCCTGAGACCAAGGTTTGTGAGTTTACTTGAGCAATGTCGCAAAGGACTTTGTGCACGATGCCTACCAGCTACAGCCTCGCTCCAACCGGTAAGTCAGCAGCGGGAGGAACTTGGTCTCGAGTAGATCGCACAGAGTCCACGATAACAAGAACGGAGAGAGCATCTCGGTCGTCTGGGTGGCTCCATCGCTGAACTCTTTCTCTAGGGATCCAGTCCTATTCGCCGTGGACCTTTGGAAGCACAAAAAGGCTTCGGCAGCAGACACTATGGGCTTAGAACTCAGCATGCATCTGGTGAAGACGGTAAGTGCGCTCATTCTCTCATTATCATCCATCACTGCCCTCCTACCTGAATTGTGCTTGCGGTTGTCTATGAAACGCCATGTTTGGGTCGCCTTGCATCCTAAGAGAATGATATGCCGCATGAGATACTAGCAATGAATGCCGCACCTATCGATGTAACTAACCCTTTGACATAACCATGCTCTTTAGAATGCCCCTGAAAACCTAGTGATAAGCTGGTTTGCTCGTGATTCTGAATTCAGGAAGCGTGACACTCACGTGGTTGATTACTTCCCCGTAAGCTGAATCAAACTTCATGAGGATCACGACGTATTTGTCCACGTCGAGATACCATGCCGCGCATTGATCTTCGTTCAAGAGCTCGGCGTCCAACAAGCAGCGGACCGATGTAGAGATGTACAACATGAATCTATAAGCCATGTTTGCCTTAGCCCGACAGCCTCAATGGGAAGCGAACGTAATACATTGTCCGCTTACCCTGAATCAGTGTCATACGTCAGGTACCCCACTTGCGTGTAGCCGCACGCACGAAGCTGAAACACATCCCGCAGAAGTAGGGAGCGCAAATGCGGGTCAATGTTGCCGGAGGTGAAAGGAACATCATAAGTCCCAGAGTCGCCGTCTGTATCCATCGACATGTCGCTGTGATTGGACATATGGTCATCGCTCTCGGAGCCATGTGATGCTGTAGGCGAGGACAGGACGGCGAGGAATTCTTGCGAAAGGCAGAAGAATTGGCAAAGCCTCCATGATAGCTCCTGCACGACTTGATGGACTGGTTTCCCATCAATCTTCACGTTGAGTACAGATTCGGTAGCTACAAAACGGCGTGATGTCTCAGTTTATACGCCTTCAATCATTGCTCTCCTGGCTCCATACCGCCTCGTGCTTTCCCGTCCACATTCCCTTCCGCAAAAAAGATGAATCCAGAAGAGCCAGTTGGGTATCGAAACAAGTCTGTGAAACAGGTTTGCGTCAGTAACCGCCATATTGGGCTCACCACTGTCCAAAAACACTCACCCTGAAACTGAATACATATCTGGAGCCAGTGCTTATCGTCGTACTGGAAGCTAAAGTTCACTTCCCCATCCTCCTGACCTGGGACGACGTCTATATAAAGGAGTTTCAGTCAAAGAGTTGCGAGAAACGGTTTTCCCAGGGGTCGGTCTCATACACACCTCTAACGCAGCCACCACCCCCGAGTTGGTATCTGAGTCCTTGCAGTGCAGCAACATCCTTCTGATAGTCCTTGCGCGGCATGGCTACTAGCAGACTTGGGGTTCGCCTATCGAATTGTAGGGTCGTTGGAGATGTCTCAGCTCAAAGACCGAGCCAGCGGCCTGTGGGGAAGAGAGCCGTCAATTCGCTTGCCCACGCGCCGTCAAACATGTCAAACCTGTGACGTGATGACTTTCTCTTATTTCCGACTCGAGTGTTCGTCAAACTGGATGGTTCTCAACTCCATCGTTGCACTGGAAACATCTTTTCTTCTTTTTCATTCCAAGAACAAAAGCAAAATGATCTGAAGAGCCATTTAGGAGAAAAAATCGATTCCAAGCTTCAAAATTGCAAATACATGTTGCTGCTCGCCAGAAGCGCAAAAAAACGATGCCATACGCCAAAAACAGTATATACATGAAAATGCCAGAATCTTGGCTTCATATGGGAAAACCAATCAGACTAACCAAAACAGGGGAATGAGCTACCCAAAAGAGACTCGACTAGAGCATGACTTTATTAAGAGAGGGGCCCAAGTTGACGAGGGATGCAAGCCGAGGAACTTAGTAGCGACCTCCGTAGCCGCCGTAGTTGCCATAGCGGCCACCGCCGTAACCGCCGTAATTGCCGTAACCACCTCGGTGGCCACCTCCGTAGCCACCGTAATTGCCGCCGTAGTAGCCGCGAGAGGTAAGCTTTGAGTCGCTGCCCGTCACTTCGGCCTTGCTGTAACCGCCGCGGCCTCCGTGTCCGTAACCCCCATACCCTCCACCCCCATACCCTCCATAACCACCGTAGCCCTCGCTGCGCTTCGAGACATCAGCAGAGCTGTAACCCCCGTATCCCCCGTAACCGCCGTAGGCGCCGTATCCCTCTGTGTCATCCCTCTTCGAGACGGCAGCTTTGAAACCGTGTCCCCCGTAGCCGCCGTAGCCGCCATATCCCTCTGTGTCATCCCTCTTCCCGTAGCCGCCGTAGCCGCCGTAGCCGCCGTATCCCTCTGTGTCATCCCTCTTCCCGTAGCCGCCGTAGCCGCCGTAGCCGCCATATCCCTCTGTGTCATCCCTCTTCCCGTAGCCGCCGTAGCCGCCGTATCCCTCTGTGTCATCCCTCTTCGAGACGGCAGCTTCGAAACCGTGTCCCCCGTGTCCGCCGTGTCCGCCATAGCCGCCGTAGCCGCCGTAGCCGCCGTAGCCCTCTGTCTTGGCCGTAGATTCGTCTTTGCCGTAGGAGTTGTCTTTGCCGTAGTCCTTGCCATAGCCGGAGTCGCCATAGCCGTCGTCGCCATAGCCGGAGTTGTCCTTGTCGTAGTGCTTGCCATAGCCGGAGTTGCCATAGCCGCCCTTGTTGTCAGAAGTGACATCGTCTTTAGTCTTGGCGACTTCCTGGAAGAGTTGGAAGAATGGGAAGCCAAGTAAGTATCAATGATCACGATGCTCTGATGAGGGGAGAAGGGCACGCATCACCCAATCCGAAAGAAGACCGCTGAAACCTACCACTTTGGCTACCTCAGGAACAGCAAGAGCCGAGACGAAAACCGGGGCGCAGACCGCAGAGGCGGCCAGAAAGTAAGCGAACTTCATCTTGAAAGCGGTTTGGAGAGATTGGATACGGCAGAGGGTGATAGACTGCTTGTTCTCGAGACGATTCCGAAGGTTGTGGGGATGAAGTATGGATGTAGACGGTGAGTGAGGATTATGAAAAACGAAAGCGGAAGCCGAGAAGGGACCTGCTTTTATAAAGGGTGGGGGGGAGCAACCTGCCGAGGGAGATTCTGGAGAACTTCTCCATGTTTCTGCCAAGCCTCGTGCGGCCGCCTAATCATACGCAATGGCGCAAGAGAGGATGTCAAAGAGAAACGGGGCTGCCAAGAGTTTTTCGGCCGCAGCGCTGGTTCACCTGCGACGGGGGAAGGTTTTTTCCTCCCTTTGAGCATGTAACATTGCGCTATGGGAGGCATATGAGCGGGAGACCATCCCGTGCGGTTCGACGGCGTGCGGAAAGAGGCAGTGACAGATGATGAGATGGCACACCAGAATGAAGGCCAAGAGTTTAGCTTTTTCAGTCCTCCTCGCACTATAACGTTCGGGTCGGTCGCGTCACAACACATAAAGCTCCCCCGTTCCTGAGCGTCCAGAGCGCGTGCAGCCCTGCGGCCTCTTGACCTTGCCCCCATTGCACCATTCGCAGCCTGTGGCAAGTCCAGCCTCACCCTCGCCTGACCCCTCGTATCCCTCTCCTCGGCACGCCGTCTTGGACATTCGTCCGCAACGGCAGATGATTTTGCTGGATGGGAGAAGGCGTCATTTCGCATAACCTGCCGTCGACGGCGAATTTCGACAGCGCGCATGTCACGTGCCGCCGCACTGGCGGATTTTGACGTGAGCTTGGCCAGCCAAGACATCGGCCGCGACCCCCAAATCGCCTCCGGAAGTGGCGGCATACGAAGGACGTTGGGAGCCTCGCCGGTTCGACGCAAGGGGCAGGACAAGGACGAGATCGAGAAGATTGAGGCGGAGATGTGGCGGGCGGAGTACGAGGACTTGAAGATTCGCCTCTTGGGGTCTCGTCGACATGGAAAATATGGACTTTGAAAAGGCAGCACATTGTTCAAGCTCTTTTTGTACATGCACGGCTCTCGTGCCCCTTGTTCTTTCCTGTGCTTCTGGAGGATCAATGTTGTCAAGCCAAATATATTTAGTTCAGCGTTCTCTTTCGTACGGTAACCCATGCCGGCTCAGAGAGAGGTTGTGGCACGTAAACAGTTTCCACACCTCGCTTTGATATGTGGTCTGGGAGGGCAACGCACAATCGCGCTGAATTTGCAAGGTAGGGCATTCAAACACAATGAATTGGGAACCCTCAACGGAACAGGACGAGATCTAGAGTTCGTGCCAGATCCCACACGTTGTCATATGCCTGCCATTGGGCGGATGGACTTCCCCTTCATCCCGAGACCTCCATTTCCGTTCTCCGGAATCAGCAAGGAGCTCTTCCCTCAAATTGAAAGCCTCTGCCTTCCCCTGGACGGCTCCCTCGGTCCACAACATTCCCATCTGTAACCCTCCTCTCGACAAAGCAGTATAACCCACGGTGCTGCCAGCTGTGTTCAGGCAGACATCAGATCCGTCACAAAAATCCATCAGAATTCCAGCTTCGGAACAATGCGAATGTACAGTACGGGTGATCGTATTAGAAGAACATAACAAGACGGCTAGATCAGACGCTTATTCGGACTTCTTGATGACAGCTATTTGTACGAGAAGACGAGGCGAGTTAGCAAATGGTTGATGGGAGTCATATGCACATGCGCTTCCAGGATGAGAACTTACCAAGACTGCCCTTCTTGGCGAACCTCTGGTTGCGCAGGAACTTGGGGTCCACACCACGGAGGGAAGGGTGCCTGTTGGCCTTAGGCTTCTTGATACCGTTACGGTGAGCCTTTTTGTTCTGGTTGTGGTTGGTGTGGTTCTGTGGGGTGCAGAAGGGTGGATGATGAGGTTTCCTTCCCAAGTGGTCGAGCATGCGTGCATTCTGAAGTCTTCAGACGCATCCACAAGGGTGCGCAATGGCTGATTCGACGTTCACCCCTCGTATGCCTTTCGTAGTGAAGGCACCCGCGCCCTAAGCGACGTTCTTAGCGCAAACCAGGTCCAAGGGTATCACCATTCGCTCATTCCAACACGAAGTTCAAATGCGTACGTCCAAAACCCCCTCCAACCCTCCACCTTCCAACTTCACACTACCGTTCCGCCCCCTAAATACGCCACTATCGGTGCAACGGAACATCAATCAAAACGAACCTTTGACTTGGCCTAGAAATGTAAAGGGTCAGAGGGGATTCACACGGCAGTTCGAAATGACGCAGAAGTAGCTCACCATTGCTCCCGTTTATAAGGCTTTAACCTGATGACGACAAGGAAGAGTTGAAGAGTTCGTCAGTCTCCTTGTCTACCAAACGTATCCTCGTTACGGCTTTCCGCCTCCGACCGCAGTTTGCGAACTTCCACCAAATCTCCGACCTCAATGCAGTGCGCTCCGACAATATTCCAAGCTCCGCCTCGCTGATATCGTCCGCCACCCCCTATACCATTGTGCCAGTCGTATTGCCTCCCTCCAACGTCCATCTATATCTTCGAGCCAAAATGGTCACATGCTCATTCCGCCCATATCGTGTCCCGCCTTGTCAAACTTTCCCAGACTGGCGGCGGTTCCCTCTGCTCTCATGTACGTACGGCGGACGGACGGATGCGACAAATGGACGGATGGATGGATGGATGGATGCCTATTACCTTGATTTACTGTACGAGAATGAATGTGTGGATGTCAAGCTATTATCTTAATGATCGAACGTCACTCAAAGCGCGCCGTGAGAAGGGGGTGTGCGCGTAGTAGCTCATGAAGGTTCTGACGTGATGAGACTGAAAGAGAGTTCATAGGGATTGGATCAAGTTTCCCACGGCGACGGCACAACAATCCGCCCTTAAAAACTACTCAGACCATCCGCTCATCGTATTTGCCTACTGACAGGAATGACCGAAGCTCACCGCCTTAACTCCCCTTCCGAACGCGTGGATCGTAACGAAGACGAAGAGCCGGATACAGTCGTAAACGAGGATGGAGACCATGACGAAGATGACACGATGAACAACCACTCGGGCATCGTAAGCAGCGAAGGCGGTCATCCAAAAGACCATGAGGACTTTGACGGTTTTGAACCCAACGCCACGATGGACGAGCTGTCCGGTGCATATCTGCAAAATATGATCGAGAGCGACAATCTATCTCAAGCACAGCAAGGAGACGACTTTCACGAAGATCCCGAAACTCGGCACCCATCAATGTACGAGGATGACGATTGTCAAGCGCAGGGCGGGCGTGCGATAGTTAACAACGATGTCGACGAAGCAGCGCAAAGTCAGACCCGTACGCGCTCACGCACGGCGTCTCCGACCGACGTGGCACATCGAGGTCGCGAAGGAAAGGAAAATGGGATTCAGCGGACCGGAGGGCAGAAACAGAGTGTACAGCAGGAAGAGATTGAGATCGATCTTCAGAGACCTCTTCAGCGCATCGCGATGGATGATTTGGAGTCTAGGTTGCAGCAGCATCAGAATACGAGGAACAACCGTTTCGAGGGTATGCGCTGGAGAGTCTCATCATAAGGAGTACATCATCAGCGGCTAACGGAAACCTTACGCAAATTTCCATCTCCAATTCAGAGCATAGCAACCTGCTGTCGCAAATGATAGAAGAATACATCGCTCTAATGCGCGTCCTCATGAACCGAAAAGAAGAATGGTACCTCAAGCAAGTCCAAGAAACTGCGTACGCGATCCAGGAAATGGAAGACGACCAAGGTATGCTTCTCCACCATGCGCGGCAGCATCCTACGAGTATCAGCGATGGAATGGTACTCCACCGGAAGTTCGGCGCCATACGTGAGTTTCCCTCAACATTGCTTTGGCAAAGCCATGCTCATCACCGGATGTATCATTCTCCCTTTTGCGACTTTTGCAGAACGGCTCCGTGCCAAGCTGCAAGGGTTCTTCGACGCCATTCGCAGCAATATTGCCAATTTCCTCGTATAAGCGCGGCCGCTGGATCGGGGAACAGGACTATTACCCTGTGCTGTGCTTGGCGACATCTGCACGGCGTGCCGCTTTCTCGGAGGGAGACCAATGATTGGACCCTATTATCATTCTCTCTGATCACATCGGCATCGGCGTGAGGTAGCTCATCATACGTAGAAAGCGCACATTTAGCTCATGGCATCATAGCTTCTGCCAGAATCGCTACCTAGATGGGTTCCTCTGTAGATCTTCTAGTCTGAATGAAACGGAAATTGATCTGTTATGTACGGTACGACCTGCGCTTCTATTCAATTTCACGGTGACCTTCTTAATATGGGAAACTTTTATGAGGTGCGCCAGGTATCTATGGCATCGCTTTCTAGAGGAAAATCTTCCAAGGGTACTTGGGGGTTCTGATGCAGTATCTATGTCACGCCGCTTCAATATCTCACTGACAAGCAGGGAAAAACGAAAGAATCATTTCATCACTCTATCTACTGCAGGTAGCCGACTTCTGCCAAAGTTTGTCCAGCTCCGCATACGCGATTCCGCCGTACACAACGGCCGTCTTGTCAGTGCCGTACGGGAACCACATGAAATCCGGCTGGTTATTCTTGGACTTGCCAACCCACTCGCCGCCGACAATGATCCCATCCGCGTTCAAGACAAGGATGTACTCGTAACGGGTGGTCCGGAGCACAGACTTGAGCTGGCGGGCGTTGTCCTCATAGTTGAGATCCAGCTGCGAGTCCGTGGCTTCCGACACCCAGTCGAGGTCGCTCGCAACGTGGATGAATTTCGCAGCGTGGGGACCAAGCTTGAAATCGGCCCCAAGGATCTGCTGAGCATACGCCCGGGTAATCTCCGCCGCGCCCTGCATCTTGAATCCATACACGGGCTGGTTCCACACCTCCGCCTCAGTTTCCTGGTCGAATGCGAACGCGCGCTTGTAGCGACCGAGCATGTTGGTGATGACGAGGTGGAACATGCCCGCGGAGGAGTCGTTGCAGGAATTGTCGGTGTAGTACCCGCTGGGGTCTTTGCGGGGTGTGTCCGTGCGGCAGCGGGCGGACATGCCAATGTCGTAGGTGTATTTGCCGCGGTCGGCGGCGAAGAAGCCGCTCATGAGGGCTTTCAGGTCGCCGGGGTTGAAGATCTGGGGGAGGGAGGTTTGGTGAGTATGCAGTGGATGATTGTGCATCCTGAGGGTGAAGATGGGCTACTTACAACGCCGTTCTGGGCCCGCACGGAGCACTTCGGCTCGGGCAACAGCACAGCAGCGGCGGTCCAGCCGTCACAGATGCCCTCCCAAGTCGGCACGCAGTAGCGCTGTTCAAAAACCCCAGCCCCACTGGGAGCAACACATTTGCTTCCGCTCGGGCATCCAAAGCTCGAGACACACTTGTGACTTATATGTCCATTCATCAATACCCCATGCTGCTTGCTGTACTCTGCGGCAAGCTTGCTCGCATCGAGACCGTAAGCGGTGGCATACTTCTCGACGGGGGAAGGTACGCGGCTACCCTGCCAGCGATTGTTGATGCCGTCCAGGAATGAGGGCCAGTAGCTTGACGCCCATGGGATCTGGGTGGACAGGCCTTCGGAGGGGAGAGCGGTGAAGCGGCGCTCGAATGTTCCCCAGCGCTTTTCGAGGCGCGCCAGGGCGGGGATCTCGGTTGTGGGGTCGAAGCCGTCGTCGGCGCCGTCGTTGTCACCGGGGGCGGGGGCGGGGACGGCGGTGGGTTGGGATGTTGCGGTGGTTGTGCGGCCGGTTGATGTCGTTTGTGGTTTGGCGGTGGAGGTGGAAGTTGGACGGCGGGTGCTGGTGGGCGGAGGAGTCGGCGGCCTAGTTGGCGGCTCAGGGGCGGCGGGCGGGCAACGAACATGGAACCATTTGCAGAGCCAAGGGTCAAAGAGTCCAGCTTGATTTGGAAGCTCGGTCCTAGGTGCACCCGCAACACCGAACGGCGCAACGAGGGTCAAGCCCAGAATCAGAACGCTGCCAGCTTTCATGTTGGTATTGTTGGTCAGACAAGAGGGGAACGGACTTTCTCCTTCGGCGCCCGTTTACTCTTTATATCGAGTCGCATTCCACCTGCTCCGCAATGATGACTTTCGACGGGGCTCCCTCAGAGAAATCCGCCCGCCCCTACAACATGGCTCGTGCCTTTGCGATGAGGTTATCTGGACTTTCCCTATCATCCCGCAGCCCGCCACCATCATCATGTGGGGCCGATCTGGTCAAGTTGGCCCTCTCTTCCAGCGAACGGCCAGCCATCTCTCGGCAAGTAGTGGCCCATCTGTATGGAATGTCGAATGGCGGCGGTTACTAAGTTACGGCGCACACTTTTTGTGGTAGAAACTTGAAATTTTTGCTTGTGGGCGTGAGCGTCGAAATTGGTCCAACGCGAAAGGACGACGGCTTGCACGCGCGACCAATTGAACAATGATGAGAAATGATTATGTGAGCACGCCACCTGTCCGAGTGATTATTTACAGCGCGCAGCCAATCATTCCATCTGGAAGAACTGTGATATGTTACCGGCGGTATCATGATCAGGTCGTTTTTTCCACCCAAAGTTTCCAACATTTTTCTCAAGAAATGTCTGATGCTAATATGTATATATATTGCGCCTCATAAGGCGTACCTCGAATCTGAATCTGCACATGTGCATGTCTCGCATGTCTCCAGTGTATCGCAAGCCAGTAAACTATATGGCGGCAACGGCTCCTCCTCCTGCAACAGCAGCTCCTGCTCCACCACCACCTTCCCCGACGTGTGCTCGGACCGCTCAATAACCGCCCTCAGCGTCGTAATCACCGGCCCACCCCGCATCGCCAACATCTCTCTCGTAACCCCATGCAGCGTCAACTCAAACGACATGCAACGACACCTATCCGGGTCAATCAGGTGCCGTTTTGGCCACTCGGGCGGCGTCCACACCGTCGTCTTGGCGAGAAGGGTGTCGTCCTCGGATAACGTGATCTGAATGATGTCGGCGACGAGGAAGGTGCGGAGGTGCAGGTGGACCTGGCCGGTGATGGTGGTGAGCGAGTCGGAGGTGGCGGTGGTGATGTCGGAGAAGAAGAAGCGTTCGACGACTTGGGAGTGGTGTTGCGCAGCGCGGTGGGAGAGGGGGAGGCCGACTTTGGCACTTTTGTGGAAGGCGGGAGAGATGGAGGCCCGCGATTGGGGTTTGCGGAGGAGAGGCATCGTGATGTGATATGTGGGTGTGTGGGTTGATGCGTGCGTGCTTCGATCGAACGAAGAGGTGATGCGAGAAGAGCGCTAACCAATGCGTCAAAGGGAGATCCTCTACGCTATCCTCTGCTATATATATACGCCGACAGTTCTACTCGCGGAAACTTCCAGGTATTTTCTTCCAACGCCTTACGAGGGGAAAATGCCTATCCTCTTTAGGCAATTGCACATGATCAGAAGGGCGGTATCACGCCGAAGGTGTCCTTTCCTTCACATTTACACCGCCAGGCTCCTTCCCCGGATCTCCGTTGTAGGAAAAACAAAAGCGGACGCTGTATCCCGGGGCCAGATGGTGACCCCCTTAGGACTGCACTTGACGCAATAGCTGTCAAAGCCCTCTCCACCCCCCTGGGATGCATATGCGAGCAAAGCCCTGGGCTGAATTCTGAAGGTGGAGGTCGGGAATAGCCGGAACCACATGGGTGACTGGGCGCGTCGCGTGAGCCTAGGGACCTTTTTGCCAGTGCTCGTCACGTCAGCGGAGGTCTCACACATAATCGACAACAGATTTTCGCGGAGAGTGGGATAAATATATATGTCTCATATAAAGTGTACAAGTCGTTGTCACCGGCTCGTCACTCCAGAATTTCCGTGGCGAGGTATCAGTACGATACTCGGGGTTTTCGTACGCAGTGGACCGCTCTTACTCACGTGCAATGTGCATGCGATGGTACAGTACTGTGTACCGTGTACATACAGTATGTGAACATAAACCTAGATACACCAGTGATTGAGTCAGTGTCCGTGCGCAACTGCGGCGGCTGGGGCAAGGGGCTGGCCAAGCTCGGACGCGTGTATCCAGCTTTATGTTCACATACTGTACAGTATACGGGCGAGGCGGAGAAACGCGTGCCGCAAGTTGGATATCGATGCCGATAGGAAGTCGGGATTCGGGAAAGCATTTTATACGCGGATGGCCAGATGTGATATACTGTTATCTACCGATCCATCTATAGGCTCTGTCAAACCGACGGTACCGGAGCCGTGCGGCGAGCATTGATGGAAAATCGCAACGGTCGCTGGATGAACGAGTTCATCTGCCATACCTCGGACACTCCAAGTTGTAGCGATGTTTCCGGATGGCAATTTGGCACGGTTCCAGCCACATTGATCAATGTCCAATGTCTTAACTAGGGCAGTATAACCAATAGTATTGAGTAATAAATATGCGGACAGTTACAGTTCCCAGCGCAATGCCGGGTTTGTCCAAAAGTATGTACAACAATTGTATGTATTCTCAAAATGGTTTCAACAATGTCTACGATATCTATCCCAACCCCATCGACCCTCAGTAGTAAGAAGACGACTGACCGCCGTTAAAGATGGAGTTGTTGCAGATTTCGTCGTCAAAGAACCGAGCGACCTCGTGTACGCCGTTGGGCTTGTAGCAGTCCTTCGACGAGCAGAGCAGGTTCCCACGGAGTGCGCCGTCGGGGAAGCGGGTGGTGTGCACATTGATGTACATCAGACCAGAGGCAAGGAATCCGTACTGTTCCTCAGTCAGCTTGATCGTTTCCGGGTTACGGAGCGGGTTCTCCTCAGTCGCGAATTTGGGGTCCTTGGAAGGGAGGATGTTGAAGAGCACCGAGCTGTTGGAACGGGTGTCGGCAGGCCCGTGGATGTGCAGCTTGATGACGGGGGCGGTCATGAAGTGCGAGACGATCAGCTTTGCGGTGTGCGTCTTGCGGTTGACTTCGAGGTTGGCGTAGCCGAAGCCGGGCTCGTTCTTGATTACTGTCGGCACCTCCTTCTCGCCACAGAGGATGGCTTGGTAGACGTCGACGTCTGATTCGGACTTGTATTGCTCTTGCTGGTAGTCGTTCTTGTTGTTGGAGTACTGCTGCTGTTGCTCGTGGTAGGGCTCAGGCGGCGAGTAGGCGGCGGCGGGACGGCCATAGTAGTAGCGCTGGCCGCCGGACTTTTGCTGCTGCTGCTGCTGGTAGTTCTGGGAGTGGTAGTTGTTGTAGTTCTGGTAGTTGTCCTCGCCAGACTTTTGCTGCTGCTTGTAGTAATCGTCGTTGTGGTCGTTGCCGCGGTACTGGTTCCATTTGTTCTTGACCCAGCTGGAGATGGAGGAGTCGTCGTAGCCTTGCGGGCGGGAGTAATCGTCCTTGTTTCCGTACTTTTCCGTCTCTCCCTTGTATTGTTGTCCATTCCCGTAACGCTCATTCTTGTACTGCTCTCCGTTGCCGTACCGTTCGCTCTTATATTGTTCTCCGTTTCCGTAACGGTCGTACCCCTGGTTGTAGGAGTTCACAGAGTTACCCTGTGGGTAGTTCTGGTATGGGGCGGCAGAAGCCGTAGAGATGAGGACAGCAGCGACGGCTGTTGCGATGGTGATTGGGCGAAGCATTTTGGATTGTGTTATACGGGGGTTTCTGAGAAGAAATGGGAGGTGTGCTGCAGGCAGAAGAGCTGGTCGTTGGTGGGTGCGTTGATACTGTGAGAGAAATGGACGGTGCAACCCTGACTTTTATACAAATGCACAAATGTGCGAACTGCACACATGTACGCGGGAGCGGTTTCTCGCCTGGTCCTGGAAAACTTTGAATTGAGGATCAGCGTAAGATTTTCTTCACATCTGCCTGTGTGATTGCGGCCTGCCGTCCCCGGAGGACGCAGTTGTCCACGACGGCCTCCGTGTGCGGCGACCTTCCTGCACATGCACACATGCAAAGTGAGGCTCAGCGAACGCGCACGCGAAAACGCGCCGGCGAATGGAGTAACGAGTTGACGAGAACCCTGCGGAAAGCGCAGCAGCCCGCGCGCGCCACAAACGCCAAACATCAGAAAATTCCACAATTCCAAAAATTTGACTCTCAAATCGGCCGCATGTTGGGAGGCTTCTCTGAACTTTGTTCAGGTTGCCGTGGATGAAAATGCGGAAACCGAGGGTCCAACGGAGCGAAGTTGCAAGGTATGCAGGAGGGCTGTGCTCATCACGAGACTGCCGATTTTGCGGTGTGCGGTGTCGGACCAGCATCGGCAACAACATCTGAGTGCCAGCAACCTCAAAAAGCATCGAGGAAGCCCGGTTTTGGAGCACAAGCCACGTTTCTCTGACATCCCGCCGGCGGCAAGATGAGGTAAAACCGTCCTCTGCCCGTCCTCTGTCTTTCGAAGCTCCGGGTTTTGCTTCTGAGCTCCCGCTGCACCGTTCCGTGGCTGTGAATTCGACTGCCCCGCTGGTTGCCTGTTTGATCAGTGGTGTGGTATTGATATTTCCGCTCGAGAACGGTGATTGCCGATGATTGATATTGGAATTCCAGAGAATGGTGTTGCTGGATGTATGCAATCAGCATTGGGTGAGATGCCATATAAGTTCTTATCTATGCTGGGATATATACATTGCAAGTCGCACATACGGCGTGTCAAGAAACACGTCTGAAAACAAGACTCCCTACTCTATACGCGTACAGATGATTTGTGATGCTGGTACGTACACTGATGACAAGCTCAGAAATCCCAGTGCGAAGACAAATTAGGCGGCCCTTGAGCAGCAGCGGGTTTCTTCCTTGCCTTGGGCGTTTTCTCCTCACCGTCTCCGCTCTTTCTCTTACTGGGTTGCGGATCCGCTTTCTTCTTGCTGGGTTGTGACTCCGCCTTGATACCTCCGCTCCAACTCCCCGGTTCGGCGGGCTTGAAGTAGTCGTTCACTTTGGACTGGCCGCTGGTGTCCTCGAAATCCGCCACGCGGTATAAAACAGGATCGATGTTCATATGCGGCATAAACTCCTCACTGCCCGGCTTGCTATAGATCCCCGCCTCGGTATAACAATCCGGCTTGAAATGCACCCTCATCCTCCCCTCCTGCCAATCCTTATCGTATCTCGCCGCCAGCTTCATATCCTGCAATTCACGCAACACCCGCTCAACATCCTGCAGATCCGCAAACGAGTGGACGTACACGCAGATCAGGATGTTGTTAGCCCCGTTCTCGTTGGGCGCGCCGACTTTGGCGATCGGGCCGAGTCTGCCCTGCACCACCGCGTGGGCAATGCGTTTCCATACGTCGTCGATACGCGATTGCGGGACGAAGAGCATCCATTTTCCGCAGAGGTGGTTGCACGAGATGGCGAGGTCGCGCACGGCTTTGGCGCATTGCTCGCCGACGGATTTCTTGGTGATCCGTTTCCCGTTTTCGAGCGTTGGCGCGTCGGGTTTGCCTAGTTTTCGGTAGAGGTCGACGTACTGAGATACTGAGGCTTTCAGGGTGCCAAAGAATCTATCCATATCGGGTGTAGGCCTGTTTCCCCGTGAATCGTGTTCGACCCACAGCCAGTCACCGACAAACTCGCTTGCTGGAAATCGGGCTAGGAACCCGTTCAGAGTCCCGCAACCTGGGTTGTAACGGTTTTTATCACTCCAACTGGTAGGCGTGTAGTCGTTGGGATCCATACGATCGTCCGACGGCGATGGTACAGGTGATACTCGGTGCTGATTTTCCTCAGTTGGAGGCCCTGACGCCAAACCCTTCATCTGTCCAGTCTGTTCCTCTGCACCCTTCGCCGGTGGCATCGACGACTCCCCCTGTGAGCTCAATTTCCCAGCCACCCCGTCCCGCGCACCCTCCCTCTTCACTTCCAACTTCACCACGCCGGCACGCTTCCGTGGAGTCCCACCCGTCCACTCCGGCGCCTCCAAATCAACAATACTCGATGTGCCCATCCTTCTCCTCGCAATCGGACTATCCGTAACCGCCACCCACTCATCAGACTCGAGATCGATTATCATGGGGGTCGATTTCCACTTCTCTGCAAACTGCGGCATCTTGGCTATAAGTTTTTCCAACTGCTCCCCGCTACTTCGGTGTCCGTCTCCTGTGCTTGTTCCGAACGCTGCCCTTCCGTTCATCGCGTGGAGGGTAGGGACGTGTTCAGCATCCCCGTCTGTTTCGCTTCCCGTAGTATCGTCGTCATCGCTTTCTGCTAGAAGGGTGTTCTGGGGCTTTGACGGTACGGTCCGGGTTGGGTGTGGGAGTGGCATTGTGATTGCTGCTGTGCTCGGAGTTGGCGAGAGACGAGGCTTTTCAAGACATGATGTTCAGAAGTTGGTGAGTCAAAAGCGCGCTGTCGAAATACGCTCATGAGCGGAGACTTTCTTGTCAATTGGACCAAACAGTATGGCGTCCTAGCTGACATGTTACGGACTTTGAAGTGGGTCGTTAATGGACTCTCGGTGTCTCTGTGAATATCGGAAATATGCCCGCGTCAATTGGGTCAACACTCAACCGAAAACACGGTTGACCCAAAACGAAGCGAGGCTTTCAAGGGGAGGGGATTAAGCTTAACGCCGGAGATTTCGCCTAAAAAAGTTCTTGGGCGCAGATAAAGCATCGCAACAAGCGCTTTTGCTGCATGCAATCCGCGGCGCCTCATTTTATGGCGTTCATCATATGTCAAGTTCGTCGCATTTATGCATTGCTGAGTTTTCGGTTGTCTGATTTTTCTTCTTCCTCCAGGTTTTAGCTAGTTTTCGTTTCCTGCGTCAAGTTTTGGACACCGACAGAACAAGACATACACTCTCAGACCGAGAGCCTGAGAGATTTCCGAGAGCCTCGACAAGAAACTTGTCGTTTAGGAATAGATAGATTCTTCGAGACCGGAGCAAGTAGCTCTCTCAAAAGCACAGAACACATTAGAGCCCTCGTCATCAGCATAGATCTTCTAGGCCATGTCTGATACAGTACCCAACCCGCCCGAGGCAACGCCGGCCGCCGTCGAAGTCCCCACAGTGCCTTCACCCGAAGCCGCACCTCCCATGGCTCCGAGCACGCCCAACAAAGGCATTGAAAACATGCTATGGGAAACTGCGCTGGACATCCACGTTCCGCCCAAACCGCAGCAAACCCCGCCGGCGGCCGTAACTGAGGAAGACGAGAGTGCGACGGTGGATTTGAAAGAAACGAGCGAGGAGACCAAAGGTGGGACGACAATCAAGACGACTGTGACGACTAAGGTGACGGTTGTTAAGAAGGGGAAGGGGAAGGGTGAGGAGAAGAGTGGGAAGGAGCAGCATGGCAAGAAGGCGGGTGCGCACCATGCTGATCAGAAAAAGGAGGCTGGTGGGCAGGAGAAGGACAAGCATGGTGGGGCAAACGCATCTAATGCGACTGGAAAGGACGGAGCGAGCACCGCCGGCACTGGCAGCGACGCGGCAACATCTCAAGACAGGGCCAACGCAGCCCCAGCAGCGCACAAGGCGGACGCCTCAAAGACCTCCAAGAAAAAGCACAACAAAAAGAAAGAAGCACCCACCGAAACTCAAACACACGAAGAAAAGATGGCCGCCCTCGACGCCGCCGAAGCGCACTACGACAAGGAAAAGGCCAACCTCGACGCGTCCGACGCCGCCGCCAAAGAAGCTGACGATCAAGCCAAGAAGCAGGAACAGCAGCAACGACAGCACCGTCGTCAAGCTCGTGCGGCTACTGCAGGTGGAGATCCCTACGCGCATCGCCACTTTCATAACCTGCACCCGACAACGAATAAGATTATGGCGGTGAAGTGGGATGAGATTGATAGGGAGTTCCATGCGAAGAAGTTGGCGGGTGTTAAGAGCTTTATTGACACGTCGGCACCGAAAAAGTATTCACATTTGGAGAATCGCAAGAAGACGTTGCAGCTGGCCATGGGTTGGTGGGCATTTTTCGCAACCCGTTGTGTGTGTGTCGGGTACTGATGCGAATATGGTTTCACTGCGATATCTAGATCGACAGGCGCAGATTGACAGGGACAACGCTATACTGGTGCAGAAGATGACTGCAATCATGAAGTCGACAAAGAGTCATTTGTACGGACAGTATGATCAGCACCACCCTCTATACTATGCACACAGTCTCAACGAGGGCAGACGCATGCGCATATTTGGAAAGATTGACGAGGATAACCTAGTAAGACTCGAAGCTGATTTACTCGCTCAAAATCCGTCCCTGACGAATGAACTCCAATAGGCCATTCTCCACCGCATCGAGACGCGCAAACCCTACTACGACCACATCGACCAACTCCAATCGCGCGTCCAAAACCTCTCATACCTGCGCAACATCGCCCAATACCCCCAGCAGTTCATCGAAGAGGACGAACAATGGGGCACGCGGTCGCAGGCAGCCGGCGAGCGTCGCGAGCAGCGCGAACGCGACATCCACCGGCACCATCGCGAGAGGGTGCAGTACCTCCTAGACGAGCACCATGACCACGCCCACCGAAGTGACGAAGAGATGGGAAGGGAAGGGACCGATTTGGAACACAAAGAGCAACAGCAGAAAGATAATAGTAAGGCGCCCTTCCAAGCCGCCTTGGCTCAACCGGCCAACCCGGATGTAATGCTGTTCAATTGGCTGGGCCCGGAAAGGCAGTTGCAGTTGGAGCGGGACTGGACTGCGCCCGTGATCGCGGCACATGAGAAGACAGCAAAACACCACCAGCGTGCGCATGCGACTGCGACACCACCGAAAGCTGCGTCGCCTACTCCTCGTGAAGACGCACCTGCGCCGCAAGCTTCGTTGTCGCGTGCCGCGTCGACCAAGTCGGTGAAGAGATCGCAGACGCCGAAAGTACCTGTTGCGGACACTGATAAATCATTGCTGGAAGGAGGTGTGCCTACCGGTTCTGCCCCACCTCTTCCTTCCATTTCACGTTCTGGCAGTCGCGCTGGTGGCCTCGAGCATGCCGGGCTGGAACGGGAGGCATCCGCGGTTGCGGCCGTCTAAGTGGATGGAAATGCGGGTGGCAGATAGGAAAAACCTAGGGTTAGGCAATATAGTGGTAGTCTCAGCTAGGTAGGAACCATGTGGGGAGGATCCAGGTAGTGTGGATGAAGGCAGCGCGAATTAGATAATAGCAATTCAACGAATATGACAGTGAGTGTTTCTTTGGGCTACGGCGGCAGCACGTTTGACGCGTGACGGTTTGCATGAGAACACGCTCAGGCGCAACGTGGGAAACGGCATACAGTGGCAATATTGCTTCAACAAACCCCAAGACTGCCGGCAGCAGCAACGAAAAGGACGTCCGACAATCGCGGGAACCAACGAGCGCACTATTTCTCTGAAGTGCGACTTGGAGGTTATTGAAAGATTGTGCAGGTGCCCGCTAGCCGAGGGCATTTTACCAGGTTGCCGCGTGCTCTTGAGCATGCCAGCAGAACCGTACAGCGGGTCCTGAGAACGGGGCAACCACCCTTCTGAAAACTAGCGCCCGCATGTCTCGCTTCTTCATCTCAGCCGAGCGCACAACGGCGCAGAAGCGCACGGCCGCTGCCAACCAGCTATCCCTTGTCACGGCCGATCTCCTCCTCCCAGGGTTCCAAATATACACGAATGTCGAGTGGGTGGTCAACCGGTCGCGGGTATTCAAGACGTTTGCGGTGTTCACCGGCCGAAACGATCACGTCGCACGCGTAACAGTCGTCGAGTTCCGTGCGGATCTTCAGAGCGTAGATTATGAGGACTCGATACAGAAGGCGTTTGCGCAATTCGAGCAGGATGGGTTGAAGATGAGGGAGACGCCGCAGGGGGTTATCATGACTGGGAATCCGGAATGGTTCAGCAAAGCTTCTAGGTGAGCCATTGTCGCGAGTTAGGGAACGGGAACGCAAGCTAGAGGCTTTCATTCTGACAGGAAACCGTCTTCGTTGATAGTACCTGCATCTTGGTCCCTGAGGGTGACTACGATACCCACCTTCCGGAACTCTTCGTGAACATCAATTTGCGTCGCTTTGGCTGTGGGGAAAGATCACTTTTGTCATACCGGCCGCCCTCACAGGCTGTCTCCGATAAGTTCTATCGTGTGACCGGTATCGCTCCATCGGAAGATCAAGCTATCGGCCCCTGCGTTCTCTCGTTAGGACATGTCGCGCACGAAGCGCTCGTAATGTTATCATTGCTGGAGAAGCCGTTTGAGGACGGACTTATATGCGATACCACGCAGGCCGCTTTCAAGCGTTTCTACAACGAGTTTGGTCCGTTCAATGACGTCGACATTGGACAGGGAAGTTGGACAGACCCGATGCTGATCACAGCGGCGCTGCGGGTGGTGGAAAGGCTCAAGCACAAGCTTGCAGTGCTGGGACACGCGGTGAAACCGGGCAACGAGGTCAGCAACGAGTTGGGAAGGCAGATTAAGCATTTTCAGAAGTCCCAGGGCCTCAAGCCGACGCAGGTGTTTGATCGCAAGACTATAGAGCGAATTGATGCGCTCTACGTGAGGGTGCCGGCGCCTGCCCAAGCGGTCGCGGCCGTATCCACCACTGTCAATGTATTGCGATCGACCATTGAGAACATGACTGGGCTTCCAACAGGCTCTCACCGTCGCGGCGACGAGGTTGAACGAGATGGACCTAACGCGACGCCAGGTTACAGCGTTTCGGGAGACCATGACCTTGAGTACTTCTACGCCACCTGGATGAAAAGGAATAAGCGCATGGAAAAGATCCAGAATCGCAAAAAGGATAAACGAAATCGAGGAGAAGGTGTCGGAGCGAGCATCGGAGGGACGGATGCTTTCCACACTTCCATCCGTACGTCGGCATCGCTGCCGTCGTCAAACGAGAAGGCAAGTGGTGGTCTTGCCGCAGCATCTCCATCACCGTCCACATTGTTGAACGAGGGTGCAGGCCGGCCAACGGGGCAATTACCCACAAGTCAGTCTTGGGTGGGCGAAGACGGGGATGACGACGGACAGGGCAAACATCGCCACGGGCCTGGTCGGATGCTGCGTGGGATCAAAGATTCTACGTCGCGCACTATTGGGGGAATAGTTGACAAATCTAAACGGGTTCGGAAGGGCATGAAGCAGCTTGCGAATGTCGTCATGGAAGGCGGGGTCGGTCTGGACTTTGTCGAGTCGGAAACGGATGAAGAGTACCCTCCCCTTGAAGCCTCATCAGCTCTGACGCGGACAAGCTTTGACGAGAGGATGCTGTATGGTGGCGAAACCGGGCCGGACAGCATTGATGGGGGAGTGGAAGACATGGATCACCTTGAGGAAATGGCCAGAGGACGAGGCCGCACCACGCAACCACTGGCGGACGGGTCCGGGTTTCCGGCAAGGAAGGGTGCTGCTGGCCGGCGTGCGCTGAGTCTGGACGCATCAAAGGGCCTAGATGTTTCATCACCGGGGCGCAATTCAGCACGTCGCGAACGACTGGAACGCGTTCGTGCCCAGAGTCCTGGACGGGCGTTGGCAGATCCTAGCAGCCCGACCAGTGCATCTCGCGGGCAATCGCTCTCACTCATGCCTGAAGATGCGGAAGGCGTTGTGCAAACACCTTCAGGTCCGAGCGTCGATAATGTGTCCCAGTCATCACAATCAACTGGGCACACGAACCAAGTGTCAGTCCCACTAGTATTACGGCGTCGTAGCACATTCGAGGGAGGGCTGACGATCGGTCGCAAACTATCTATCAAGGAGATGTCGATGCGCGGCTCCCCAGCATCTGCCGTCCCGTCCACGGTCACGACTGTAACCCCATCATCCGTCATATCACCAGCGTCAACAGTCTCAACCGCTTCGCCGCAATCAGCGGTCGGATCCGCCACCCCGTCCACTGCCACCCCATCCACAGCAACGTCCGTTCGAGCCAACAACAAACACTTTTCGACAGATGGCAAACGCGCGGCGACATCCACAAGCTCCGCCCCGCCTCTCATCACTTTGCAACGCGGCACGCCAACGCAGTTGAGTCTCGCATCAACTGCACCCAGTCTCAATGATGCCCCACTGCAGCCACTTGCTCCACACCCCAAAATCGAAGCCCTCACCGCGGGCGTCACCCGCCGACTCAACCATCTCACCCACACTTTAAAGACCACCATCCCGCCATTGATAGAGACACTGAACACGCAATCCGACACGATCGCGCAACGGCTCGCAGAGCAAGCCGCGAAAGCCACCGCGATGCGGGCCGCGCTCGAGGAGCTTGTCGAGCGGCAGAAAGAGATTGAGGCGCGGGTGGAGAGTGTCGAGACCGAGTCGTCGAGAGTGAATTACGCTGTGGGGGTTTGTGAGGATCGGGTGAGGGAGACGGAGGAGGCTGCGTTGGGCGTTTTGGGACGGGTGCATGGCGTGGAGAGGTGGTGGAGGAGGAAGGGGCAGGGGCAGGGGGTTCCTGAGACGGAGGCGCTGCCGAGCTAAAGCGGTCGATTCGTATTCTAACAGGGGGGACCGTTTTTGGGTTTATTCCTTTTTGCATATATCGACCGACGGTCTTATATCACATCCTCATCATATAATGAGTTCATATCACCAATCGTACATATCCAAGTGGTTCGCAGTCATTGATGTCTTTTGAGCAATGAGCTCTGTGCGTTCGCGTATAGGACACGCCGACGAAACCGCCAAGCCACTCCTTGCCACGAACGCCACTCGGGACGTGTTGCTCCAACATTTCACGCTGCCCATTTCCTCGTTTGGACTTTCCCCAGGGATCCCGTATTTCGCGACGGTGGAAGCAAAGGCATCATGGCTTCAGAACAGAGTGGCTTTGCCATCACACCAGAGAACTTTGAGGACTACCAGACCCACTTGTTCACGGCTCTGGTGGGCGTGACGAAAGCCTCGCAATTTCTGCAACCAAACGAACTAGGTTTCTACAAGGCCTCCGTGGAAGGTTTCGACGAGTCCCTGACAAACGCTGGAGATCAGCTACTGGAAGCATGCAACCGACTGCTAAAACACTCGACGTCGAAAGCGGTTCCCACTTCTGACCGTGTGAGGCCTTTTGAGGATGCGGACGACGTAACGGACCGTTTCGCTGCCGTGGTAGACACGGTTGACCACTTGCTCGAGAAAGCAGACATGAACCTCGACAAAGTCACAGGCCGAATAAAGAAGAACGCCCCCGGCAACGTCCCCGGGCAAAGCGCCCCGGTCATAATGCAAGTGCAAACAAAACAAAACACGTTCCGCAAAGTCGTCCACGCGCAGAACATCTCCCGCCCGCAGCTGAGCTTCGAGGATAAGGTGGATAACTCGAATACACCCTTTGTGAGGAAGATCACGCAGAAGCCGAATGCGAAACGGCCGTTGGATTATGGGTTACCTGGGTCTGCGGATTTGACGCCGGAGATGAGCGCGCATTTGAGGTCGTTGGGAATTACCGATGCTAGCTCTTCGAAGACTAGGTGCGCATTTGATTAACCAGTTCGGCGGATGTGCATCTTGGGCGCAGTAACTGATCTCTTTCCTCTGAATTCGTCATCAGTCATCCACATCCGTACGAGTACGAGATCCAGAACATAGAATACCCTCACCACATGTTCGAAGTTCGCCCTGAACAACTCTACGAATCGATGGAGGAAACGCCGTATACGTACGTGGATACCGATGAGAAGCTGGACCGATTAGCGGCGTTGTTGGACTCGGTTAAGGAGATTGCGATCGATACCGAGGTGAGACGCAAGTAGTGGTACGAGGGACGGAAGATGCGGTTTGCTGACCCTATATCCTCTAGCATCACGATTACCGAACATTCCAAGGATTCGTGTGTCTGATGCAGATCTCGACTCGAACAGAAGACTTCATCATTGACACTCTAGCCGTGCGGAGTCGGATGCACGTGCTGAATTCCAGCTTTACGAATCCGGAGATTGTCAAGGTATGTGACCTGCGGGCGTCTGCATCTCTTGCCCACCGTAATGGTTTCTCACTGCCTGTCTCACTGCCTGTTGCAGGTCTTCCACGGCGCCGACATGGATATCGTATGGATGCAAAGGGACTTTGGGCTTTACATTGTCAACCTGTTCGATACATACCACGCATCACATCTTCTCGAGATGCCGCATCATGGACTTGCGCATCTCTTGAAGTACTACTGCAATGTGGAGACGAATAAAGCATACCAGCTGGCGGATTGGAGGATAAGGTATGTGACTTCTGTTGTTTGAGTCAGAAGTGCGCGAGAGACCATGACTAATCGTATATCTAGACCTTTACCGAAGGAGCTACTGAAGTACGCACGAAGCGATACCCACTATTTATTATATATTTACGACCGAATGCGCAACGAGCTCCTCACCCTCTCCAACCCCGAAACGCACAACCTCATGCGCGCGACCCTAACCCGCTCCGCCGAAACAGCACTCAAAAAATACGAAAAGGACATCTACGACTCGGAAACGGGCGAAGGCCCCAACGGCTGGCGGCAGACCCTACGCAAATACGGCGGCGCCCTCCGCCCCGAACAGTTTGCCCTCTTCCGCGCCATCCACGCCTGGCGCGACCACACAGCCCGCGAAGAGGACGAGTCGCCCCGATACGTCCTCCCCACGCATATGATGTTCACACTCGCGGATAGGATGCCCACTGACCAGCAGGGGATCCTTGGGTGCTGCTCACCAGTGCCACCGTTGGTCAGGATGTACGCGACGGATTTGGCGCTGATTATTGAGAATGGGTTGATTGAAGCGACACGGTCAAGGGAACGCAACGAGGCGCTATTGGCGAAGTTGAAGGAGGACGAGAGGGAGTGGATGGAGCGGAAGAAACGCGGGCCGCAGCATTTAAGGTTTGGGGAGAAAGATGAAGGGGAGGTTACGACGGGGGAGAGCACGCCTGCTGAAGGGCCTCCACCTATCTTGGAAATCCAAACCCTACCGACTTCAAGGCTGTTTGGGACGGTGAAAGACGCTGCGAAGACGTCGACAGTCACCCACGTCTCGATTACCACGTCCTCGATTTTCGGAACCACCGCAACACTCGACGCAGACGAAGATGAGCGCGCCGTACAGGCCAAACGCCTCGCGGAGGAGATCAGACGCACGTTGAGGCTCGAAGCGCCCGTAGGGCTATTACAGGCCAAACGAAAACGAGACGACTCTGACGATACGGAATCCCCACTCCCATCGAGTAAATCCCCCCGCGCGTCATTGGAGAATACCACAGCGTCCAAATCCCTCACACCGTCGGAATCAAAAATATCTGCCACCCCACCCGCGCCAATCCAATCCCGTGTCGCACCCCCAACCACGACCCTCCCGACGGACATTATAACCCTCTCCGACGAGGAAATCGAAGTCGCCGACATCAAACGTAAAGGCTCTAAAGCCAGAAAACGGCCTAAAAAAGACGCCCTCACCACCGATTCATCCTCCCCCACCCGGGCCAAGAAGGGTAAAAAAGACTTGGAATTCACACCCTACGATTACTCCAAGAAAGGCCAGAGCAGCACCCACCAAGAGCCGATGGATGCCACGGAAGACTTTGATGGGGTATTCGTGTTGGATAGTGATGAGGAGCCCCAACAGAAACAGCAGTCGAAGAAGGGGAAAGGTCCAAAACAGCAACAACAGAAGGTGTTTGAGCCGTATAAGCAGGGAGAGGGGCCTAAGCAGGTAAAGAGTTGCGGTGCGTCATAATGCGGGTGAATGTGGGCTGATGACTTCTTTTTCTTTTGGGGATTGTAGAAGAAGGATGCGCGGGTGAATATGAAGCCGAAGAGCGGGAATAAGAGCGGGACTTTTAGGCGGAACGACTAAGGGGAAGGGAGGTCCGCTATGCCCTTCCGCCCAACTCGGTTTACCCGTATCAACATGTCCCTGAATCATCCCGCCCCTTCCGGAGCCCCGATCACGACCTTTTTTTTTTTCGTCAACCTGGCGTAGACGGATGGTCTCTTTCTCGCTAGGTGTCGTTTGCGGTTCATGATAGGGGTCCGTTTTTGTGTTGGGTTTATTGTTCTGTGAGTAGATAATGAATTATGTATGCGGGTGATGAGACTTCTGTGCAGCCTGTATTTGGGTGTCCACGGTCCACGAGATATTCTGTGCATATAGTTCAAACCAGAGTTCAAACTGAGAGCGAGACCTGTTTTTGTTTGCTGTATTGAAGCATTGAAAGATGTGACTACACTGCATGAAAACCCAAAACTAAAGACGAGGTTAGTGAGGAGGTGAGGAAAAATAACAGGAACTGATGGAGTAGGGGTAGGGGGAGAGGGGGAGGAGAAATGAGGGATGACCAGAGACAGAGGAGATTCCCTAGTCTGTATATGTAGGATGCAAACGAAAGCTTAAGAGAGACGGCCGCGTAAAACAGCGGTCAGCAAAAATAATGTCCGCTTTCTTACAGGAAACACCGCTGGTGAGAAGGGGGCATACCGGGGGCGTGTGCTCTCCGTCCCGATGATCCAAGGTCATACGACCTCGCAGACCAGTTGCCGTTCGAGGATGAACTTGCCCTCTTTGTATTTCTGGCTGTCTTCGTATGCTCGTTCCTAACCCCACGCCGTGCGAGATAAAACCCCCCGCCATCCATTCAGCCTACAGGGGTTTAACGACGGATGAGAGGTGAAAAGGCTATGACTTACGTATTTCCATCTGCCGGAGGAAGCAACATTTTCGAATGTTAGGATGGGGATGACGCTGACGAGGCGGGTGTGAACCCTTACCCGACAAGCGTCTGACACGCCGTGCAGTAGATGTCCTTAACGGTATGCACGCCGGTCGTCATGGTCGCCGTGCGGAGGTCGCCTTCGATGACGTTGACCCTGTGTTGTGAATGAGGGCAGGGGTTGGTATATGTGAGCGAAACGATAAACCTCCTTCCTTCGTCCCGCTTGCAGATGGCCCGCCATGCCACCCGTCGCGCCTCCGCGCAATCGGGAGGCCTCCCTCCCTTTGCGCTCCCTTCGCTCGAACTCAAAACATAATCAGAACCCGCTTATCTACAGCATTATCGTTGCTTACACCGACTGAAAAAGGTACGCGCGTCCCGTCGTCCCCTGAAACGCCTTTTCCCAAACAAAAAATACACCAGGAAAGAAGATACAGTCACAACACGGATCAGTAACCCAACCACCTCAGCAAAAGTTCAACATCCCCCAAATGTCAAAAACCTTAGAGAGTATATCCTCGCTCGTCGAAAGATGGGTCTTGCACTCTGTACATCCAAAGATGCGGCTGTTGGTGTGCGTGGGCGTGTCCAGGTAGCGTTTGAATATGATGCCCATGGTTTTGGGTTTGTTTTTGTTTTTGCTAGAGACGGCTTTTTTAGTTTTTCTGAAGGTTGGAGCTTGATTTTAGCCATTTGCGAATTAACATCCCCCCAAAAGTGGCTAACGGCGGTCTCTCAAAGCATCCTCAGTTCCAAACCTCGCTTGTGGATAATATCGAAAGCTGTGGTTGACACCGAACGGGTTCTTTCTTCTCTTTCGTTTGTCGCGGCTCCCGCGGAGGGGAGCGTTGGACAGGCCAATAGGTCAAGGGATTTGATGTGTGGGGGTTACTGAGGCGGGAAAAAGAGGTTGGGAGGTGTGCAATGGTGGGTGTGTGTTTTGACGGGTGGTCCAGTGGCGTTGGACGATGGTGGAGGTGGGTAGCAGAGGCGGGTGCCGTAACTTTGAGCCGAGTGTATGAATTGCTAAGGCGATGGGGCGGAAGATGACCTTCGGGAGGATGGTGGTGTGAGATTTGGTGCTGGCGGTGGAGAACTTCCGGGCGAAAGCGAATTCCGAGGTGTTGTCTGTTCTGAGAGAGTACGAACAAGGTGGAGGAGACAGGTCTCCCGGAACGAAGGATGGTATGGGCTTGAAAGACGGGCCGCAGGAAGGTAGGAATACAGGCAGCGGTGGATAAGTGTATTTTATAAGGATAATAGTAGGGTGGGAGGGGGTAGTTGCAAGAATGACAGGTCCACTGCCAAGTGATGACACACTCCAAATTTCGGCCCCGGAGTCCAAACTTAATTGATGAAGGAAGATCGGCCGCAGTCACTCATTCCCCCCCCCCCCCCCCCCCCCCGCCCTGCTGTCATACCGCCACGCCTTATCGAAAGTTCGCAATGAGGCTAATTGGCGTGTGGCTAATGAAACGCGTGAAAAGCCCGCTAATCATTCTGCGCACAAGGATGGCGCAATCTCTTTAGCAAGCCTGATCACCCATCTCCCAACTTGCCTGCTGCGCGTGCTAAACAAAGAGCAAGTAAACAAACGAGCCAAGCGGGGCTTCAAATATGTATTACTGTACTGCCTGACCTTGCTGCATTCCCGTGGCCAAGCTCCCTGCCTTCTTCCATTCCATACTCCAAACTCCCAACTCCCACGACCGCACAATACTCCTTCTCACGCCCGCTCTACGTCTCATAAGAATTTGATATCGTGCAAGTCTGTACTCTGTTCGCAATTCTATCGCGAGGAGACCTCCGTCAGCTTTCGCATTTGTAAGGTCCATACCCATTGCGCAATCTTCCCACCGAACTTGCACTCATATTTATCTTTCTTCACAGTGACCTAGTGAATAGGCTCGTCTCTGTTGACGCCGCATAAGGTTCCAAAACTATCCAAGTCCAAGTTTTCGCCTGCCCTTTGTTCCCACGCGAACCTGTCAGGGGCAAAGCAGTCGAGCACAGCACCCTCCCACACAAATTCCCACGGAATACCATCCCGCCTCTACACAGCCATGAAACCAATATTCGTCCTCGTCCTGGTGGTGGGCATGCTGTTGACCGGCACTGTCAATACAATCCTCAACAAACTCCAAGACAACACCTGCGTGGAGAACTGCGATGACCCGGATCCGAAAAGGCGACACCTGTTCGAACAGCCGCTATGGCAGACAGTGAACATGTTCTTGGGTGAATCTCTCTGCCTTATTGTCTACTACGTGGGAGTGTGGAGGGAGAACAAGCGGATCGCGAGGGAGGCCGAAGCGGCAGCTGCTGGAGCGGCCGGGGTTGCAGTGGTCCACCCCGATTCCCCCGGCGTCGCGACAGCCGACGACGTCGCAGGCGAAGAGACATCCCCCCTCATCCCCCCAACATTCGTCGCGCACACACCTCAGCCCATGACAGGCTACTACAATTTCCTTCTCTGGCTCCCCACGCTCTGCGACATGATCGCAACAACCCTCATGAACGTTGGTCTGATCCACATCTCCGCCTCCGTGTACCAAATGCTCCGCGGCTCCGTCGTCCTCTTCACGGGCACCCTCTCCGTCCTCTTTCTCAACCGCCGCCACCCGCTTTACCGATGGTTCGCCCTCGTCATGGTCTTCCTCGGCGTCGCCACCGTCGGGATGAGCAGCATCGTCGAGCACGCATCATCCCCACCCCCAGCTGACTCCCACAACGACGCGGAGCATCCATACCTTATGGGCACAAAACCAAGCACATGGTCCATCATCGGCGTCCTCCTCGTCATCCTCGCCCAAACCTTCACCGCCCTCCAATTCGTCATCGAGGAAAAAATCATGTCCCACTTCCACCTCCCCGCCATGAAAGCCGTCGGGCTCGAGGGAATCTTCGGGCTCATCACCACGGGCACACTCATGCCCGTCCTGTATTTCACTGTGGGAAAGGACACGGGCAACTTTTTTGACTTGCCGGTGGGGTTTAGCCAGTTGTTTGGGTTCAGTCAGGTTTTCTGGGCGGGTGTGGGGATCACGTTTTCGATTGCGAGTTTCAATTGGTTTGGGTTGAGTGTTACGAGGAGTATCAGCGCGACTAGTCGGAGTACGATCGATACTTGCAGGTCAGTCCATACACTCCCCGGCCATGCACCCCGATCGTGATTTTCTCCTGACATTGACCACTGACCATCTTCCCCTCCCCGCAGAACACTCTTCATCTGGATAATATCCCTCTCCCTCGGCTGGGAACACTTCCGATGGCTCCAAGTTCTTGGATTCGTCATTCTCATCTACGGGTAAGCCCTCCCCCGCCCCTCACAGGGGTGCCTCCACCCATCCCATCCACCCGTATCTAACTTGTCTTCTTGCAGAACATTCCTCTTCAACGACGTTGTCTCCCCACCACCCTTCGCGGGGTGCCGGCGGCCGCCTGTGCCGCAGGAGGATTTGACGGAGGAGGTTGTGTGAGAGAAGTGTGCACGTTCCTAGTCCGTTTGACGCTTCTCAGCGTTCTCAAAACCTCATATCTCGACCCCCGGACGGAACAACTTGATGGCTTATAGCTCTGTGTCCCTTAGGGAAGTGTTCGTAGTGCTCTCGCAATCGCTTTAGGACAGAACCTCCTACGACTCCCCCTATCGTTTGTATTTAAAATATGCCCCGTTCCCAATATACTGTACGGTATGGCAGCAGCGAAGGACCCTCAGTCCGCGGGTCTGCTTCGACACGTGAGACACGTCGAGCTTTTATGCATCATAGACAACGATGCGGCTGGTGCGCGCGATTCTACCGTGCCGTGTGGGTTACGTACGGCCTGACGCGAGAGACGTGAGGCCGCAGGCGAGAGACGACTGACAGCTCTCGCCCAGCTCCGCAATCGATTTTCACTTTTCTCCCCTATCCCCGAAGTGATATTGGTGCGACCTTTGTGCTCTGTCCCATTTAGCTCTTGATAATCCGGTGATTCCGGTGCACACTGTCGAATCAGCCTGCCGTGGCTGCTGTATCGCTTGTCCCAGCCTCCAAGCCTCCAAGCCTTGCCCATAAAAAATCCCGATTTCGACAGCGAATCTCTCGTCAGGGGGTTTTGTTAGTGTTTCTCTTTGCATTCTTCAATTCGAACGACCTGACCGGACAACTGAGCGCAGGCATGAGTGATGAGCTCGCCGACATCCAGAGCGGCATAGGCGACAGCGCCGTCGCCGATCATGCGACGTACGAGGAATATCTGGACAGTCAAATAAGCAATACCGACTTATACTTTCTCGAGGTTTCGTCAAGTCTAAACCCTCGAATGCTCGATGACCCATCACTCACAACCTAACCCTCATAATCCAGGACAAAGAGCTAGCAAGACAACAAGTCGAGCTCGGGTACCGGGGCTCAGGCGAGCCATTGAAACGAGAGGAGTTCGAGGCCAAGAAACGAGCGGCCGAGAACTTCCGTCTGAATAAGCACTTGGCCACCAAGGTGCTTGCATCGTATGCAAAAGACCTTTCCGGATATCCATTCTTGCAGGCACTGGCTGAGAGAGAGGAATCCAATCGGAGCGGCAAACTCACGGTGAGAGTGAGAGATGCCATGGACTCCGACACATATATATGATATTGAAATCATTTTGCTTTTCCAATGCAAGTCCATCATCTTCATCGGCACCTACAACGCCAAAAACCAGGAAATCAGCGGTTACATCGACTACGCGCACCGTCTCAAAACCGAAAACTTTGAGCCCTACTTCCTCCGCACACGGGCATTGATGCCACGCACGACAGACATGAGCTTCTATAACTGGGAGACGCAGACATGCACCAGCAACGCGATGCCCAATTTCCAGGTGATTGCAGACAATGAGAGCGGGATACTGTTCAAAAATAAGCGAGATCGGAAGATAATTAATGTCGATCCGAAGGTAGGGGATGTTTTCAGGCCATATCTTTTGGGTGGTGGTATGGGTTGGCCGGTGAACTGATTTCCCTTTGAGGGGTTTAGGAACCGAAACCGGGGGATAAAACAACCGTAACACATATTGTGAAGGATGAGCATATCCAGGTCGTCATATATGACCATCTCACCCGGCGGAAGACATAGGACCAGTGATGGGTCCGACGACTCATGTACATATATATTACCCAGATAATACTCGCTGTTCATCGAGCCTATCAGGTTAAACCGCTGCGATACACGTATCCCGAATGAGTGTTTGACTTTTGCCGGCTTTTACCAGTTAGCAGATCGGAAAACGGGCGTTTGCAGGCAGATTCCCGCGTATACCCCGCATATACCCACGCCTCAGCAGTTGTGCATTACCACTCCCCGTCAAGTACACCTTCCCTCATAGCCCTCCCCACATTTCTCATCTGAGAGCTTCACCGCCAGAACGCCCCAGTACGCGTGCTTATGCTCACACATCTACAAGGTCTTCGATTTCGACGATCCAGAATGCCGACCCGCTGGCATCGAGCCGCCAGACGCTTCGGTGATCGCCCATATGTTTCCGGCATTGCTTGATGCGCCGAGAAGCGGGCTATTGACCCCCCGGTATGTCTCGTAGCCGCTGTGTGCATATTGCCTGCCGTGGGCTCTTTCCGGCAACCTATGGGCTTCCGCTCCAGATTTTCATTTTCCCGAACCCGCTCCAACCACCTCCTCCCCTTCCTCCCCCTTCCCCTGACCCCATCGCACCTGTTTTCGACCCAGCAAACTTCATCAACCCCCATGCAGCGTCGATATGAAAAAAATCACATCCCCGTCTCTCAAGACATAATCCAACTCCCCCTCCAGTTCCCAGTCCGCATCATTTATCAGCACTAAGATTCCCGGTTGTCTAAGAAAAGCAGTAACCGGTATACGAGTATTACCATCGCTCCCCAAGCATGATAACGGGGGGTTTGTTTTTGGGGATACGTACACGGTATCACCCTGCATGAACAGCTCGGCCCGTTCGGTCAGCAGCGTGTCGCGGATGTAAGGGAGGAGATGGCGGAGTTCTGCTTCCGAGGTTAAAGTTGACTCTGACGGATTGGGTTTGGCGTAGTGGGCAAGCAGGTCGGAGGGTGTGGTTTGGAGGGCGAGCTCTTTTTGATGGGAGAAGAGGAGTTCCATGCCTCCGCTGCGAAGGTGACAAAACAAGGTTAGGCGTGGAAGAGGTTTGACGAACAGGGCAAGCGATGGTATGGGGGCGAGGTCTGCACCTGAATTGGAGAGTGAGGTTTAGCGTCATTGTGGGTGGTGGGTTTTCTTGGGGATGTAAATAGATGGTCCACTCGTCACCACTTTCCAAGTTTTTCTACGCGATTGAAACCACAGGCCTCCAGCTGTAGAGCCGTAAGGACTCGGACGATGCGCTGGACCCCGACCCACTGTTTAAAAGAACGCAAAGAATGCCGCATGAACCTACGGCCATCCATTTTCCAGCTACTGTGGCCTCGTAGCGACTAAACTTATGACAATGATTTTTGAGCAAGATTTTCATCGACATATATGTACATCAGATATTTCTGTTCAGATGTTCCTAGGGTTGCAGCTGTTCGCTGAGGGCATGGCTTCCATCACATGAGTTTAGCGAGAACGAGGTGATGAGGGTGGATTCACCTCCAACGTAAGAGTCCAGCGAGCCGTCATACAGCGAAGGGCAGCCCGCACGGGAACTCACGATACAGCAGTGATTGTCGTCTCTGAGCTGCCTCCCGGAATAAACTCAAGTCCGCTGCAGAAGGCAAGGGGTGAAGCCCTCCAAGCATATGGAGAATATGCTCTTTTCATTGAGTCGGGTTCGGGCAGAGTGTTGCTCCAAGGACCAACAACCAACCTTCCACTGAGATGGAAGGGGATGTTTAGAAATACGAGAGATCGTTGCCACCGGCCACTCATGAAAACTTCACGCCCATCTCCAAGTCTGTACTGCCAACAAACAGCTGCGCCTTTCCCAACTTTGCGAGCGCTTCCAATGCCTTCACCATGGTCTTCTCGTTCAGTCCATGGAATTCTGCGAAACAACACCACATGAGGACGACCGACAGGCATAATTCACGCAAGGAGATGACCCACCTTGTCCCTCAGTGTATTCGCCATGCAGAAGCTCGTAAACGGTACAAATGGATCCCGTCGATCCAGAGTCGAAAGCCCATTTGTAGACTTGCGCTCCCCAATCCTCCGGCTTCCGCCAGTAGATGAGACATTGGTCCTTGGCAGGTGAGTCCCATTCGGCTTGACCTGAGGATTTTCGTCAGCCGGCGGAAACGGACAACCAAACTGGGGACATCGTGCCAACAGGGTATCAGCCTACCTTGCTGCACTAGCTCATCAACGATCTGTTGTATCGCTTCCCTGTTCAACCTTCCTAGGCAAATCGAAAGCTCCGGCGTGAGGTTTCCGAACAAACGCCGATCTAATTCCGCTCTGCCCCGCAGACCCTCACTTCCCCACCGATACATTACGTCTTATCCTCTCGTTGGCAAACACGGCCTGCGTCATTGGATCTTGGTTCATCGCGGCCGGCGCAACGAGCAACTCAGACGTGCGAGTCGCTGCACAGTACTGCAGCAGTATTTCACACCATAACTGTAGTTGCTTTGTGCGGGTGGATATTGTCGGTTGTATTCTGTGAAAACGTCAAGGGCGTGAGAGTGAGTTCTTCCGGGTGTGATCACTGCTCCCATCCCCACCCTTTGGACATCCTGGGCATCTTAGAAAAGTCGTAACTTACGTGTAGAAGGGAGGGAAGTCGTGGATGGAAGGGAATATATAGCTGCCAGCTGCTTGCTTAGGTGTCTTCCGGGTGGCAGCCATGGTGCAAGAAGGGTCAACAGATGCTTCAGAACTCAGCTTGTGAGAAAGCTGCCACACGCTCCACGTCTTCCTTTTACCACCGGCCAGCTGCTTCCTCAAAGGTCGAAAAGAAGTTGATATGCGAGTTGTTCAGGGTTCTTGTCGTGCCGGTGCCGGAAGGGGAGAATGGGACGCGATCGTCAGGATGTATGTAAAGGACGCTCAACGGTGCGTTTCACGAGGCCAGGTCCCAGAGGTCCAGTCGGGCTGGAGAATCAGGAGATAGAAACAGAGAATCGAGGCTTGAAAAATTTGGCCTCAGAAAGAATTCGGTCGAACTCCTCTGAAGCAGCCTCTGAAGCAACATCAGCCCAGAGACGCCTGGTGCACTTCCCCCCCAGCGTGGCCAGTCAGGCATCTATGCCCCGCCTCCTTCGCCTCCACTTCACGCGGCCCCCACCGCAGGAAATCGCTCTCGGCAAACCCTTCCCGCTCACAATCTCACTCACCGATGATCTCCGCGTGCCCGTCTCAGCCATAACCGTCCCTCGTAAGTACCCGACTCCCCTTCCTCAATAAGAAGAGTGCCGTTGTACGGCAGCTAAAGCTTCTTGGTTTTATGTAGCTCAACCCACCTTCCCCTACCACAGTCCACCTCCGCCTCCTCGACGCACGCTCCCACACCCCCATCCCCTCGCTAACTCTCACCCTCTCCAAACCTGCCTCTTCCTTCATCATATCTCCAACCGGCCAACCATCCATCACCATCGACGTAACAATAACATGCAGCAAAAGTTTCCGGCAGCCCAAACCTGTCTGTTTCCATGTGGGTGTGGATAACGCCGCGTGCGTAGATCCGACGGAAGATGGGGATGTGGAGGAGGGTGTGGAGGATCTTACAAGCGGGGTTTGTGAGGCGGTTGGTGCGAGGGGTGTGAAGACGGATTTGGAGGGAGGGATGCGAGTGGTGGTTCCGCTCGGGGTTTATTCGGGGGAATGTAGAGTGATGCCGGCGGGACGGGATGCGAAAGGTATGTGACTCCGTCAACCGACCAACGTCCAAACTATCCAAGCTGACTAACGGACGCTCTTCAGGCGGCAAAGTCCAAACCAACGAACGCCACTTCCGCTTCCAAATGCCCCGCCATGCCAATCCACTTTCAGATCGCCTCCCAAGGACACTCCCGCTCGTCATCCCCATAACAGAACACGCCCACATGACCTTCAGCACCGGCACCCACATCTGGGACTGCGCGCCCATCCTCGCCCTCTACCTCACCTGCCACGCCCACTCATACTTCCCCCCGTCGTGCTCCTCCACACCACCACGACAGGTAATCGAGCTGGGCGCCGGCTGCGGCCTCACGGGCATAACCGGCGCCGTTCTCGGCGGCGATGTGGTGTGCACGGACCTGGATAACCCCGCTGACTCGTGTTTGCAGCACAACATCGATGTGGGCAACAATATCATACAGACCGAGTACGCAGACACGGGAGGGAAATGTCGAGCGGATATCCTCGAGTGGGGATTCCTAGACGCGGACATCGTTGCTCGATTAGCACCACCCACCGACGGCAATGGGAAGAGTCCTCTCCCGCCGCTGGTGATAGCCGCCGACGTGCTGTACAACGTCGCCTCGCACGGCGTGTTTCTCGATACCATTACAAGTATCTGCGCTCATCGGCCCGGGGCGGAGGTGTTGGTGGCGTATAAGTGGCGTGGGGAGGGGGAGGAGGCGTTTTGGGGCAGTGCGAAGGGGGTGTTTGAGGTTAGGAGGGTTGCGGGGGCGGTGGGCGTTGGGGTTTATAACTTGCGATATGTATTGTAGGATAGCACAGCGGCTTAGAGGAAGACCAATCGTTGTCAGCACAAGCAATGTTGTGTTTCTGGAATATCGCGAACGCTTTTTGTGTCAGATAATGATATTCGATCAAGCAGGCTCTTGATGCTATATGTGTACAGAAAAAAATCAATGTGGATACAAATGCAAATGGGAAATATGTGTCTACATAAATAATACAAATGAATGGCGTGGGCGCCAATAACCGAGCAAAAAGTATATCAGCTGCTGCTGCTGCTGGTGTGTGAGTTGTGGTGCGATGGCAGCCCGCTATCCGTGGTGGACTCCGAATCCCTCTCTCATCCCTACGCCTCCACAACAACATCCCTCACAACATTCGTAGCGCGGTTAGCGACGAAATCCTGTGCCTCGGCGGCGATCGTACCCGCCGCCTGTACGCCGCTGACGCGGACGTTAAGGGGTTGGCGGACCTCGAAGGAGCCTGTCCCGCCCTTGACGACTTTGCCGAGGACGAGCCGGGCGGAGGGGTTTTCGAGGTTGTCGAAGTCTCCGGATCTGTGAACGTAAGATGAATCATGTCTCGTTAGTTTACGTTGCAATCTCCAAAGACCAATGACATGTGTGAGGTGATGGGTGAGTACTTACAACGTCGCGGTAGTCAAGAACTGCGTCGTCGTCTCGAAACTCATCTGCGCAAACGGACTCGGGTTGCTGCCCATTCCCATCCGATTGAAAGGCTTATACCCGCCCTCAAACGTCATGAAATCCGCAATCAACGACAAATGGCGCTTGTCGACGTTGATCCCATACACCGCGAACACGCCCGCGATCTCCTGCATGATCGCAGCGCGGGCCGCCTCGACACCGTACGTCCGCAACACCGCGGCAACGTCGTTGGTGTAGATCTTGGAGACGTCGATCATGTTCATGTACTCCCACATGCCCTTGAGGTTGACGCCGTCGGTGCCGATGTTGACCGACTTGTCGTTCTCGGCCTCGTTGGGTAACGGGTACGAGCGGGAGATGCGGTCGACTTCGTGGATCACGACGCTGCGGCACACTTTCTCGACAAGGGAGACCATGAGCATCTTCTTGACCGTGGCCGGGAACGAAAGCTTGATGTCGCAGTACCGCCCGCGCGCGTGGTCGAACTTGTATCCGACCACGAAGCGGCTGCTGGTTACAATCCGCTCTTCCCGTGTCAGACCGCTGGCGTCGGTGGCGCCAGAAGTGTCCTCGTCAGCCTGCTGCGCGTTCCCTGCAGAGTCGTCCTCGTTTTCATCGTCGCTCATTTGGCGATCCACCCGGCGTATCACTTCCTCATCATCGTCGTCGGGAGCGTCGTAGCTGGATAGTTGCATCCGCGCCTTTGTTTGCTTGGTGTTGACCGCATCGCCATCGTCTCCTTCAATGTCCGACCCGGCGTCGTCTTCGTCGTCCATAACCGCCTGGCGGTCACTTCCTTCCTCGCCGTCGCCCGATCGAGAAGGTCGCACAGCGTCAGGAGAAGTGGTCCCAACCCCAATGTTATCATCAACATCATCCTCCTTCCTCTTCTTAGCCTTCAGTTCCTTGGTAATAGCCCGATCCAGTGCCCGCACGAAACCCTTCTCAATAACCCGCCCAAGATCCTCCTGCGTGATCCCGTGATCAGCCTTGTAATCCTCCGGCTTCCAGAACCTCAGTCTTACGGTGAAGATCTTCTTCCTCAACAAGTCAGTCCCCTTAGTGCTGAGCAGCTCCTTCACACTAACGCCTTCCATAACCTGCGACAGCACCAATTTCGAGATACTCTTTGCGAACGCCTCGCTCTGCGCCGGTGTGACGCTCGGCAGCATCGGTAACCTCATCATCGGCGTCTTGATGTTATCGGACGCCGTCATGATAATCTCACGAAGACGCGGAATACCAAGCGTGACGTTCTTGGCACCGAATCCAGCAAAGTGGAAAGTGTTCAACGTCATCTGCGTCGAAGGCTCGCCGATACTCTGCGCCGCAAGCAGACCGACGGCTTCACCGGGCTCCACCAGGGAGTTCATGTATTTGAGGTTCATAAGGAGCTTGAAGTGGGAGTCCTTGACAGCGTCGCCGGACCATGCCTTGTGCTTCTTGCCTTCCTTTCTCGCCTTCTTGTTCGTGAGGAGGTTGCTGGGGTTCTTCTCGATGTATGCGTCCAGATCGTTTGCAAAACCCTCACTGACCGCTCCAAGGAAACGAGACGGGGAGAACTTTTCCAGAAGCGTGGTGTTTGTGATCCCTCTCTTCTTCTGCTTCTTTCGGTATTTCTCCACCTTCTCCGAGTCAATAGAGGCATTAGCAAGACGAGTAGGGTTGTAGCGCTCAACCAGCGCGAGGTAGTTCATGGCGCAGAAATCGAATTTGGTGAGCGTCTTCTGCTTGGTCACGTCTAGCGAGTCCTCGCCGTAGTGGAACTGAACGATACTTCCGTCGGAATCACGGACAGTGTGATCGTAGTGGACCCGGAGGCCTTCCAGGGGCTTGATCAAACACCTCTGCAAGTAACCTGATCGAGATGTTTTGACGGCTGTGTCAATGAGACCTTCTCGCCCAGCCATACAATCTATTTCGAGGAAGTGAAAATGGTTAGACAAACGAAGGATTGCTTGCCACAAACACCAATCGCCTACGACTTACGGAAGAAGTACTCCTGAGGTTTGATTCCAGTCAAGAACCGTCCGGTAATATATCCTCCCGCTCGTGCGGCCGTATCAAACGCCGGGAAACTCGGCAGCGTCTTCCCCGAGATCATCGTAGGCACACGCCGACCCTCCAACTCCTGCTGTCCCAGCAAACACGAGATCTGCGACACGTTGACGTTCGACCCCTTAGCTCCCGAGACCGTCATCATCTGCATGTTGTTGTGCGGGAACGGCTTGAGCAGCTGATCGGGAACAGTGGACGAGATGATCTCGGACGTGACTCGGTTCGTTTTGCTCTTCATCGCGGAGTCGAGGCCGGCCATCTTCTCGTCAACGCGGAGGACACTCTCCATGCTTAGCGAGAGGGAAAGGTCCGTGCGGGCTTTCTCTGCACCCACGTACTCAACGATGGCTTCCCGACCCATCGTTTTGCTCTTGTTGATGAGTTCTCGTCGCTTGATGTCACCCTTGCCAGTCAAACGCAAATCGTCCATTCTACACGTGAACCCGAACATCTGCATGTACCCGGTAAACAGCCGTCCGAGGATGGAGAGAAGCTTTCCGGCGTAAGCGGGTCCGTAAGTCTCGTAGACGGCGTGCACAAGACCGTTGTCACTGGCACCGAACTGAGACTTGTCCAGCACACCAGTCAAAAGGTGACCGTCCATGAAGAGCACTCCTTGCTCTTCCTTTCCAGTCGGTCCCCAGGCTTTTGCGGGGATCTTCGCTTTGGAGATCATGTTAAGGGGTTCTGCTCCCGCAGTCAAGTTCAAAAGGACGGTGGTGATAACTTGCTTCCCCGTCCAGAACCTCCTGGGCTTCATGTGCGCAGGTTCGATAGTGATGACCTTGCCATGCTCTCCGATAACCAGCTCTTCCTCAATGTTGCCATTTCCAACGGTCCCGAAACCGCGCATACCCTCCGGCCGCAGGCATCCGTACACCAACTGCATGTACTCCTCCCTTCCCAGCAAGGTGTCCCGACAACACATATGCACACCAGCGTCAACGTGATCTTGAATGAGACCACGCAAAACTCCTCCATCTGTGGGGACAAGGTACTGCTTATCCGTGCGAGCGATCAGCATCGCCTCCGCTCTGGCCACTTCGTTTTGCGGGAAGTGCGCGTTCATTTCGTCTCCGTCGAAGTCAGCGTTGTACGTGTTACTGTTGATTATGGATTATGTTAGAATTGGACACATTGTTGTGGGTACTTTAGCTATTAATATTGTATTCCTACCAGTTGGCGTAGTGCATTCGAATGGTTTTCTCACCGGGCAGGACACGGGCGGTGTGTGCCATGATGGATGGTTTGTGCAGAGTTGGTTGACGGTTGAGGAGGAGGAAATCACCGTTCCGCAAGTGTCGGAGAACTTTCTTGTTGACATGCGTGTGTTGGTTATTGCCAGACACACCGATATTCGGTGTCAACAACTGGTTTGCGATCCCTGTCCGTCCCGCCTCGTCGAAGGTAGCCAGATTGACTTCCGTTCCATCCTCCGTGACGACATGTGACGCGCCAGGCCACTTCAAAGGCCCGTTGATGACTGCTCTCCGTAACTCCTTGACGTTGTGATGCGTCACCGGTTCAGGATATGTAAGTTTGGTAGCAAACACGGGTGGTATCCCGATCTCGTTCGTCTCGATGTACGGATCCGGACTGATGACAGACCTGGCCGCAAAGTTGACACGCTTTCCCATCATGTGCTTTCGGAAGAGACCTTCCTTCTTCTCAAGCAGCTGTTTGATACCAAGGGGCGGTGCTTTGCCTCCGGGGCCTGGTGGTGCCTTTGAGCTGTCGATGTTGTTGTTGACGCTCATCTGCAACCTGATCCAGGAATCAACGATCCTTTTCAGGAACTCCGATCTTCTCTCGTAATATAGGTTTGATGATTTGTCGGGAATAGCAGCAAGAGCAACTTGCTCCTGAGCTCGAATATCCTGGATGGCGAGATTCGCCTTCAGGATCTCTGTCAGATGCGTGTTTTGGGGGTGCTCGTAGACCATATCGTTCATTTTCGAGATCGGTCGGAAGCGGGTTGGGGCAACGGGAACAACGTCGGAGAAGAACATCCGGTACGAGGATGTTCTCTTGCCAGTCTCTACGGACGTGGATCCATAAAGAAGGTCGAGTATGCTTTGTTCCCGCTCCCACAGCATCTTCAGATGTTGTTGTACTTCTAATGGTGTCAAGAACTTATCCTTGCTGAGGACGGGAGCTTGCTCGACGGCGACAGCGTCCAGGTCTGCTTCCGTAATCTGTACCTCCATTGCCAGAACTGCTCGTGCCTTCTCAGTCGCGCTTATCCCGTTCGTTGCAGAGTTGCCGTGACCGAGAGATGGATCTGTCTCGGCCTCTTCAGGCGCGGTGGAGAAGAGCGATTCAAACTTCAGCCCTTTCGCGTCCATAGCGTGCCTCTGTTTCGGATTCAACGGCTTTTGGAAGATCTTGAGCTGGCCTTCCTTACGAAACTTGGGACTTTGTCCCCTACAGCCAGCACAACTTTGCGCTGGAATGGAGCCCAAGAACTGCCTTTCCAGCTTTCGAAGTGCCTCGATCACCAGAGTTGTCTTTCGAACTGCGCCGGGACGTTCCTTCGCAAAAACTTCCTGCACGTAGTCTTCGATCTCGGCAATCATGTGTTCAGCTGTCCGTGGCCCAAGACCAAGTTCAGCATCAATGTCCATGGAGTCCTCGTTTTCAGATTCCCTTCCTTCCTCCTCCTCGTCCTCATCCACCTCCTCCGCCTCGTCCTCGATGAACTCGTTCCGTTGTGTGGATTTGGTCGTCTTTGCCTTCTTCGCCTTTTTCAATGGCGCGCTGGCTTTCGTCGAAACAAGCGTGTCGAGTTCTGCCGCCTCCGTGATCAGACCAGCATATATGAGCTTAAGCTTCGCTGAGTAATGTGCGATCGCAACCCGCGAGGAACGCAGATGATGGCAGTAGAAACATAGGGATTGGAGGAGTTTGTACATAAGGCGGAAGGTGATAGGGTTGTAAACGGGGGCTGCAAGGTCGATGTGGCCGAAGTGTCCTGGGCAAGAGAAGTGCCCGAGGGAACATGTCGTACACCTATAGTCGGAGTGTTTTCGTTATCAGTGAAGAGTTTCATACGGCGCAAAATTGCGATGGCCTACCTAGAATTTTTGTCGTGAGGTCCTAGCGCGGGATCATAAAGACCGCCTGTAGTCGGATGCTCGAGGTTGTCAAAGAGAATAGGATTCGTTATCTGCTTGACCGAAAGCTTCCGAACATCCTTGTTGTCCAAGAACGAGAAGGCCACCGAAGTGACCTCCTTCGGCACCGGGTTCGAAATGTTCATTTTCGACTAAATTCCAAAAGACACCGTGTCCACGCCCCCTTAGAGCCGAACCGGCAGCTTGTTGTACTGAGAAACCGCAGGCGACGTCGTCGTGCTGTCCTCTCGATGCCTGAAGTTCTATTGGGTCCTGGCCAGTGTCGATCGGTAATGCCAGAAGGGGGTGTGAATGCAAACGACCTTCCAAAAGTCAATCCCGTTTGACAGTTTCTGTTCGCGAGTCACGTGACTGTTGCAGTGTTGAAAGCGTTGACTTCCCCTTCCCATTCTCGACTGGACGATCATCGGCTGAGACAGAACCAACACACTCCGAACTGGCAAACATGGCAGCAGTAACAGAAGGTGCGCATAGCGGAGGGCTTGAGCAACCTGTGCGTCGTATATATTATGCTCACATCACTTTATTTCGGCTCCAGATTCCATTGTGAAAAACCGCCTGTTATTCGATAACCGACAGCTGAAGAAATGCATTCGCCGGTATATCTTACAAGGGGCTTCCGGGAAGGAGAATGACTCGTAAGTTGCCGCAGAGAATTCTCTCTATTTTCGCTTTGATTAAGGCTAATGGTAGAGTGCAGAACCCTCTTCCTTGGGGACCTCGCTCAACTCGAGGTGGGGCTGCAGAAACACCAGCTTATACATGATATGACTGAGAAAGAAATACGGCGATATGATGAGGCGAAAGAGCAGATTGGTGAGAGTTTAAGAGTCGTATTCGTTTATCTCTGAGTAAAACCATTCACAGACTTCGCGCCACTTCAGCCTTGGACATCGAACAACGGACGAAGGACCTTGCGATTCTCAAAGAGCAGTTGATAGAAGCGCAGCGGATAAGGGCAAACAAACTGCAGTACGACGCTTTGGCAGAGAAGATACTAGGGTTCCCTCGACGAGGGAAGAGCATAGAGTGAGTTACGTTCTCGTTCTTCAACCTTTACGCACCGTGCTGATGTATTCCAAATTCAGAACCGCCGCGAAGCTGAAAGTCAAGATCGAGAAAACGATAAACGAAACAGAAACAGTGCGACAAAAGCAGGAACTTCGACGGAAGCAGTTGTTGACCCTGGTCACTGCGATACATGAGATACAGGACGCCATTGCGGATGATAGGCAGGCGGATGAGGCGAGGAATTTGGAGGAAAGCTATGCGGAAGAGCCGCCTACACCGCCGCAAGAGGAGGAGGAGGAAGAGGGAATGCTTATGGAGGAGGAAGGGAAAGGTGAGAAACCACAAATGATGTCCTTTTCTATGATATGGGCTCACGCCAGGGGTTCGACTTGTGCAGATGCGATGGATACCAGGGCCTGATATGGAAAGGCGAAACGATTTATTGTCTTTCATGCAGCTTGGCTAGGACTCCAGCTGCAACCTATGTAGATAGCATAAAATTTTGGAAATGAAATGGGGATTACCGGTTTAGTGGCTGCTATCGGCGGCCCCCACGCTCAAACACTTAGCCACACTAGCTTACAACGAGCAATGTTGAATGTACTGCCTCTCATTAAGGCGAACAGTTCATGTATTTACACAAGAAGAAAGGAAAAGCAAGCATCATACATCTATCCTTGATGACCCATCGTCTACATGTGCCGGTGGATTGTGGGAGGGTATGACAATGAGAAGTTGAGCGACAGCCGGTCTTCGGAGGGTATGTTATTCCCCTCGGCCTACGCTGTTGTGCCCGACGATGTCTCACAGGCACGATTCGCGCGGAATCTTTCTCGATACGAACATCACAGAATCAAACAGCCTTTCGACTTCTTGGCGGTCTTCCCCCCAGTCGACTTGCCCCCACCTTTGGCCTCCTTCCGATCCCTGATTTTCCGCATCAAAGTCTGATATGCCTCCTCCACATTTTGTCGGGTCTTTGCACTCGTCTCAATGTACGGGCACCCCCACTCCCTCGCCTTCGCCTCGCCTTCCCTCGCCTGCACCTTCCTCAAATGCCCCAAATCCGCCTTATTCCCCACTAACACAAACGGCACAGCCTCGTCATCCAACACCCGACAAATCTGATCCCGAAACTCCTGCGTGTGCACAAACGACTCATGCTCGCAGATCGAAAACACGCACAGAAAACCCTCGCCAGAACGGTAGTAATTATCCCGAATGGCCGCGTACTCCTCCTGTCCGGCCGTGTCGAGGATATCAATGAAGCATTCTGTTTGGGGGCCGCTCCCAGCAGTCCCGCCCGCCCCGCCGCCCCCTGACGACTCCAGCATGACTTTTTTTCGGTACGAGTCGGCTTTTGTCGGGTCGTATTCTTCGATGAAGTCGCCATACATGTACTGGAGGGTGAGCGCGGATTTGCCGACGCCGCCGGAGCCGACCATGATGATTTTGTGCAGTGGGAGGTCGCTTCGGTTTGGCGCTTTTTTGCCCATCTTTGGATTCGGCCCGGTTGCGATGAGAGGGATCTGAGATGGTGTGCCGTTTGAGTACTCGTCATATGAAAGATCTTTCTTTCCCCATAGGTTCCAATGACAAAAATAAGAATCCCAGGCCTCACCTGTCAATAAAAGTGATGTCAAAGCGAGACCTGAGCGCTTAGGTTTTGCTGGCAGCTACTTGTAAGTGTAACAGCAGGGTCCTCGCCGAGGCCTCGTGCTGGGAGTTGTTCCGACGAGTGCCGTATGCTTGGCGCTCTTTCTCTCTATTGATCACTCTAGCGGCGCCTTTGTGCCGCACGGGGTGTCTCAATTTGGTCAATGGTCGACAGGCCTTGCAAAGCGATTTCTTCGTCCGGATAAGGAATGTTTTTCGCTAGGCGATGGTGAAGTAGGGCAGGTTGGCTAACTTTGAAAAAGTTGGCGAGTCTCATGCGCGTACTTGGCACGCACGCATTTGTCTTGGGTCTTGGCCCCAGATGTGCTGGCAGCTAACTCTTATTGCGTTTTGACGTTTTGCCGTCACCTCTATTTCCGATTGCTTACGTGCGGCGCGTCATCAGAGTTCTTGAAAGGCTTTCCAGGCCCTCCCAACATTTTAAGCTTCAAACGAACTTCGGCAACAAACAAGGAGAATGAATCTCTGAAAAGCCCGCCGCCGCATGCTACTGTTTGGGACGACTTAGATTTGGCTCTCTTACTGTACGTGCAATCGCGCGATGCAGCTGGTGTAGGGTTCATTTGTGTGCGGGGTGGGTTCGGACACGCTCACGCGCCGGCGGAGAGACGTTTGCGGAGAGCGAGTCCTTTCGGTCATAGACTGAGGAATGCGTAGACGCTTTATGAGAACTCCAGGCAACCCCGCCATCCACATCCTATCATTCAGGGATTTCAAGCCAGCTCAGCTGCAGGCTAGTAGTAAGTCTCCCCCTTTGAAGCTGGTTTCGGACTTGGGCCGCCTCGTTCACGCGTTGGGACATGCGCAAGATGGCATTCCACTTCAACCCAGCTTCAAGAATGCGGTTCCCCATCCGATTGTTCTCCATACGGAGGAGTCGGCTCTACAGCTCTGCAGCGGCGGCTGTCGCCGAGTCGCCTACGCCCCCACATATAAATCCTATCAAACTGCGAGATTATCAAGAGGAATGTATAACGACTTGTTTGCAGGCTTTCCAGAATGGCGTGAGGCGGCAGGTAATGGAGTAGCCTTCGTTTTCTGCAGGAACAGTGTGTTGATTCCTTAAAGCTTGTCAGTCTACCCGTCGCAAGTGGAAAAACCACCATCTTCACAAACCTCATCTCGCGAATCCCGCCGCCAACACCCAAAGCCACCAAAACGCTAGTCCTCGCCCACAAAACCGAGCTGATACAACAAGCCCGCCTCACCCTGAAGCGGGACTTCCCCCACCTGATTCCCGACGTAGAAGAAGGTTCAAAAAGAGCGCAAGACGACGCAGACGTCATCTTCGCCTCAGTCAACAGCCTAGGACGAGGAGGATCCACCCGGCTGCAAGAACCGAGGTTCGATCCGTCCCTCTACAAAGCGATCGTGATCGACGAGGCGCATCATACTGCGGCGGTTACCTACCAACGCATCCTCAAGCATTTTGGCGCCGATGTGCCTGAATCGCCCGTGCTGGTGTGGGGATGCACGGCGACGGTGCGCCGGCATGACGGGGTGACGCTCAAATCCGCCTTCGACGAGATCGTGTTCCATCGGTCCATTAAGCAGATGATGGACGAAGGCTGGCTGTGCGATGCTACTTACCACCGCTTACACTCGGATGTATCCTTGGAGGATTTACCGTCTACTGGACCCGACTTCGATATTAAGAAGTTGAGGGAGCGCGTGGATGTCATAAGGCGGAATAGAGCGATTACGGAGGGATGGCAGGAGGCGTATGAGAAGCATGGGTGTAAATCCACCGTCATCTTTGCGGTCGATGTACAGCATATCAAGCACATCCAGAAGGAGTTTGAGGATAATGGCGTGCCCGTTGCAGTCGTGTATAGCGACTTGAAACCACTCGAACGGGCCACAGCGCTCGAGTCGTTCAGGAATGGGGACGTCCCGGTCCTCATCAACTGCGGGATTCTGACAGAAGGCGTAGATATCCCCAAAATCGACTGTGTGATACTCGGCCGACCCACGCGGTCCGTCGGCCTACTCCAGCAAATGATCGGGCGCGGCCTGCGAACCTCCCCCGCCACAGGGAAGACCTCCTGCCGCATCATCGACATCTGCGACAACGTCAACGCCCACACTTCCCTCGCGACCGTCCCCACCCTCCTCGGCCTCTCCCGCGACTTTGATTTCGCAGGCAAATCCGTGCGCAAAGTCAACGAAGCGACCGAACGGTACCGGCTCGCGGGGTACGATCTACACCAGTACGCCAACATGGAGGAGATCGAGCGGGTCGCGCAGATGTACACATATCGGACCGGCGTGGTGTTCTTTTCGTCTCCGTTTTTGTTTGACGAGGTGCCAAAACATGAGGTGTTTGATACCGAGGCGGAGGAGTTTAGGAGGATGAAGACCAAAATGGCGTGGGTGAGGACAGGGCCGGCCAGTTGCGCGTTGGAGGTGCAGAAGAGGAAGGCCGTGCTGGTTACCCAGAAGAACGGGCCGGACGGTAAGGCAACATACACACGGTTCGCGCTTTGTACACATAAGCCCCCACTCATCCCTTCCCATCCCGATTCAGGCGAGCTGCTGTGCGACGTAACCCTCGAACACCTGATAGAAATCGCCTCCTCCTACAAACACCTCCACAACCCGCGCAAACCCCGTTTCTTCACGAAACGCACCTCCCTCGGCACCCTCGACGACTTCCGGCTCGCGCTACACTCCGCAGAAACCTACCTCCGCACCCACGGCCTCGCCTCGCCGCACATCTTCCGTTCCGCCCCGTGGCGCCGTGAGGCCCCGACCAACGCGCAGATAGAGTATTTGAAGAAGATGAGAGTGGAGAATTATGACGGGTGGACGAAGGGCAAGGCGGCGGATGTGCTGACGAAGTTGCGGAGAGGGGCGAGGGAGAGGGAGGAGGAGAGGAAGAGGGGGATGGAGGAGATGAGGGAGGAAAAGGAGAGGGCGAAGAGGGAAAAGATGATGTTTGAGAGGGGTGGGGAGTTGCATTGAGGGGTGTCACATGTACGGATACCCTTCGGGTTGTGTATCGGAGTTTTGTGTAGTTTGCGTAGTTCCTTGTACATAGCCATACCCTTGTAAATGTTGCGAATATGAACTGTGCCTATATATGTAGGCGGACATGGAATGTGCCGGGAGAGGGCATGGACATCACTCGACGACGCCTGTTACGAGGTTGATCCGCTGCAGCCCCGCTGCCAATACCCCCCGACAATCGCACTCCCACCGGTAACCACACAGCGTCTGAAAGCCATACCCCTCCATTCCTCCAAGTTGTGTGGACAAACGCCATGTAATTTCCAAAACAAAATGCTTCTACAGACGTCCAGAAGACCTCATGACGAAAGCGGTGGTCTACTTCCGCCTCTCCATCTTCCATTCCGCCCATTGCGCATCTACCTCCTCTGGAGCCCTTCACTTCAATCGAAACCGAACAAGAGAATGGAAAAGACCGGGGGATCGAACTCTTCAAATTGTCGGGAACGTGAACATAACGATGTTATGTACAGAATTCGTATTGGACCACCCCCATTACAACTTTTTCATTCACTCTCAAATTTTCCACACAGATGTCGACGGTCGGTTTAGAACTTCAACAAGTGGGGGAATTGCCCTCGGGACAAAGCGAAGCTGGCGTTCAAGTAAGACTTCAACACACGATCCTTCTTGAGGACGGCAAGGATGGCCTTGTCAACCTCCTTCTGGTCCGAAACACGGGAGGCGGGGGTAGCCTTCTTCTGTAGAATTGCGTAAAGCTATGTGAGCAATATGCGATCATGAGAACTGAAAATAAAATCAACACCAACCTGCTTGGCGTCGAACAAAGCCTCCTCAGTCGCACCCTTCTTGGCGTCCTTCTCCTTGTTGAAGTAGGCGTCGGTGAACTTCTCCGTGTTGACACCAGAGATGTCAATCTTGGTGGAGGTGGCGATCACGTAGGCCTGGTTGACACGACGGATGGGGACACCGTTGGCCTTGTGGGGTCCGGTGACGAGCAGAAGGCCAGTCTCGAGCTGCTTCAGGAAGACAACACGCTTTCCACGGTACTTTCCGGACAGAACGATCAAGACGGTGCCGGGGGTGATGGACGCGCGAAGCTTAGCGGGCTTGGGGGCCTTGCGGGACTTCTTGGGGACTGGCGCATCCTCAGCGAGGTACCAACGGGAAGCCTTTGCGACGGGGACGTTGCGGGACTTTCCGTTCTTGGCACCACCGACCTCGACGGTCTTGTGGGACGCCGGGGCAGAAGCCTTAGCCGCGACGGTCTTCTTCTCCTTCTTGAAGAGGGCCTTCTTGGCGTAAGAAGCCGAGCGAGAGAAACGGCTGACGCCGGGCACGATGGCGGAGTTGACGGGGGCGTGGGCCATTTCTGACGTTTTCCACTGTGAATTTGAAACGGGAATGCAAGTGATGAGCATTCATTCCCATTCCCAGACCTCCGTTTCTGAATTTTGCCCTTCCAGACGGTGAGTAGAGTCGCCGTCTTTTCCACCCGCCCCCATTCCGCTCTCGCAGTCGTCGTCGCTATTCCCACTCTACTTCCGTCGTTCCAAAGCACGCCTCCGCCGTAGACGGCAAATTCGCAATTCGCAATCCGCAATTCCCACACCCACTGCATGACCGCCTGAGGCCTTCTCTCCGTCTGCCGCTCGATGATCTGTTGCAATGCCCCAGAATTTCCTTTCGAAAGACACTCGTATTTCGCATCCTGCCGCTTCGTTGTCCATGCTCGTTCCGCATGTCGCCCTCCATTTCCAACCCTCGGCCAATCGTTCATAGCTTCCGCCTGCCCTCTTCATTCGGCCCCTCTCTCGTCCCTGCGCCAACGTACGCTCTCTGCCGACGGATGGCTGTGATGGATGGATGGATGGATGGATGGTCAGCTTCCTTCCTTACCTTATGAGTTGATTCGTGTGGGAACCGGTTTCGTGGTCCATACCCGCCATTCATTAGGCAGGCACATTGGAGCGAGCGAGCGGTGCCGTCCTTGGTCACGTGGCTGGATCCGAATGCTTAATGGAGTTATACTGAGGTGCTCTTTTCTCTGAGACAGGATTTCCCCAAGCTATGAGCATCTGAATACTGTTCTCACATGTCCTCCCAAACAGAACATACCCCAACTCCCCACGTACTCGCCCACAATCGAACGAACACTTGATGTCGGGAACAGCCACAGTAGGCCGTTATCCGAAGGCGCAACCTGCGCCATATCCCAAATCTGTACATGTTCATCTTTTACATACATACATTGTTGAAATATGGCGTGCTATCTATACAATGGCCGGGATATGGAAGTCACTCGGCTGAGACCCACTTGGAAATGCCTTAGGACGACTGATCAAGCCGCAGCTTGATGCCAAAACGGACGCTAAACATCCCTGAAGCCGTGCGTTACTGTACTACACACACTCCTTATTATTACCATAACGCTGTGTGGACGCCACAAAGCTATTTTATATCTTATCCAAGCAAACAGTGTCGTCTTCCCACTATTGCAAAGCACTTCGCATTTCCCACCGGATAATATCTCTTCTGCACCCTTTGCAAACCCAGCCAAGACCCCTTCGACGCCTTCGTGCTTACCTAATCCAATTGACGCGTTGCAGCTGTTTTCCCCCTTGATTGTCGAACTATCGAACCCTTGCCCCACCACGCGTAGGCCGTCCTCGAAAAACGTTCTTTCCTTCGCCCGCTTCAATGCCCGTGAACGTGTCTTGGCTTTCCCGTATGGGGTTTGTGATTATGGGAGTTGTAGATTTGGCTGCCGGGACCCTCTTTGGGCTGCTGAAATAGAGTTGTCGGATTTGCAATTTGGGCGTTCACCGGATTGAACATCGTTTTGTCACTCCTCTACCAGCCTCCCTTCTGAAATCGAGTTCCGCTTCAGACCCATAAAACCCACGGGTGCCCTGTGCTAGCTCTTTCTTACTTCCTGGATTTTCCTCTGAGTTTTGCGATCTTTGTTGGGTTTCGCCATTGCCATCTTCTCGGACTATACGTTCCGTCGTTTTTTTCTATCTACCTGGCCACCTGCGTTGAACGTTATTATTGAGCGAAGATGGCTACCGTTACCAAAGAGAGCAATATGACTACCGTTACCAAGATTTGTTGTATTGGGGCTGGCTATGTCGGTGAGTGTTCCCTTCCGGTGTGTCGATCATGGCCCCACACGTTTTTCGACGCGCGATGCTCTCGTCCGAACGTCGTCGGCGCTCAAAACGCGTGCAGTCTGGGTGCACGAAGTACACTTTTCGTCGTAACCCGTTCTTTGACACAAACTCTCCTCTTTCTCATTCTCACCAGGCGGCCCAACCTGCTCGGTAATCGCATTCAAATGCCCGCACATTCAAGTCACTATCGTCGACCTCAACGCCGAGCGCATCGCGGCCTGGAACTCCGACACGCTCCCCATCTACGAGCCCGGGCTGGACGAGATCGTGCGCGCCTGCCGCGGCCGCAACCTCTTCTTCTCTTCCGACGTCGACAAGGGCATCCTCGAAGCCGACCTCATCTTCGTCTCCGTCAACACGCCCACCAAGAAATCAGGCATCGGCGCCGGGCTCGCGGCCGACCTCGCGTATGTCGAGTCCGCCACCCGCCGCATCGCGCGGATCGCGACAAGCTCCAAGATTGTGGTGGAGAAATCGACCGTGCCGTGCCGGACCGCAGAGAGCATGCGCGCGATCCTGGAGGCCAACTCACGCGAAAACATCCATTTCGATATCCTCTCCAACCCGGAGTTTCTGGCCGAGGGCACGGCGATCCCCGACCTGCTGAAACCCGACCGTGTGCTGATCGGGTCGTTGCAGTCAGAGGAGGGGAAGCGGGCCCAGCAGGCGCTCGCGGCCGTGTACGCCAACTGGGTGCCGCGCGCAAACATCATCACCATGGGTCTGTGGTCGTCGGAGCTTTCCAAACTCGCCGCGAATGCGCTGCTCGCGCAACGTATCTCCTCCGTCAATGCGCTCAGCGCCATCTGCGAAGCCACCGGCGCGGATGTGGACGAGGTCGCGCACGCCTGTGGGCTGGACTCACGCATCGGGCCGAAATTCCTCAAAGCATCCGTCGGGTTCGGCGGCAGCTGCTTCCAGAAAGATATCCTCAACCTCGTGTACCTCTCCGAGAGCCTGCATCTCCCCGAGGTCGCGGACTACTGGCGGCAGATCGTGACAATGAACGAGTACCAGAAGACGCGGTTCTTTGAGCTGGTCATTCGTCGGCTGTTCAACACGGTTACCAACAAGCATCTAGCGATCTATGGGTTTGCGTTCAAGAAGAATACGGGGGATACGAGGGAGTCGGCGGCCATCACGCTTGTCAAGCAGTTTATCAAGGAGAAGGCCAACGTGCATATCTATGACCCGAAGGTGGACGATGCGCAGATCGAGATGGATCTGACGGATCCGAGTGTCGCTACACCCGCTGAATGTACGTAATATACATCCCCATCCTGTCCTCACGCCATCGCAACACTAACCCTCCCATCTCTTCTCTCTCCCCCCCTCACAGTCAAGAAGCACGTAACCATCCACCACGACGCCTACAGCTGTGCACAGGACGTGGACGCGGTCGTGATCCTAACCGAATGGGACGAGTTCAAGACGCTCGACTACGAGAAGGTGTACCGCAACATGAACAAGCCCGCGTTTATCTTCGACGGACGGTTGATCCTGGATACCACCAAGATGAAGAAGATTGGGTTTCAGGTGGATGTTATTGGGCGACAGGTTTACTGAATGGGCGATGTGGTGTTGAGATATTTAGAAAAGGGGCGTTATTTGGAGACAGTGGGATGTAAACTTTGTGCTTCGCTTTCGCTTTTGGATCGGAGGTTTTTCCTGTTGGTGTTTTTGGAATTGGTGGACCTTGGAGCGATGCATGTATTTATCCCCTGGAGGGTTCTCACATGTACATGTATTGGACTTTTGAATTTGATGTGTGGGACAGTGTATTTCATTGATATGCAAAACTTTGACGAACCACACGGCATTTGACAGAGAGGACGTTCGAACGGAGCGCTGGAATACGCCGGAAAGTCTTTTGCTGCCCATACAGGCCGCCAACAGTAACCCAGCCAGCTGGACCTCTGCGGATGCCCGACACCGTCCACAACTATTACAAATGCCGTGCCCTACGGCACTACGCTGCCGAGATTTGCCCTTCAAAACACTCTACTCTATCTTTCTACACCTACGCCTACACCTAGCCCCCTTTCCCCTTGAAAGCATACTGAGCACTAATCCGTCCAGTAAGGTGCCAGTTCACCGGCTTGATAACGGTGTTCTTATCGTTCGTCTGCGAGTTCTTCAATTTCCGCCACGCGTTCAGATGGATATCGATGGATCCGGGCGACCTAACCCACTGGTGGTCGAAGGCATCGGTGATGAAGAGCAGGCTCGTCTTTCCGGTTTGGGGGTCGGTGACTTGCGCTTCGCGGCCGCAGTACATGCTGGCGTATTTGGACCACTTGGCGTTTGGATAGACGGCGTTGGTCCATTCGGTCATTTGGCTGATGTCCTGTATACAGCGAGAAGGTTCGTTAGAGACATTCCGCCAACTGGAATAACCTCAAAGCACGATAAGATCCTTACCGGTGCAAACCCAGGCGTCGAATCCGAGTACTTATACCCGCACCAACTCTTTCCCGTGGTACTATCCGATTTGCTGTTCGCTCGAAACCAAGAGCCAATGCCGCTTTGTGGGCCTTGGAAAGCTCCGGGGGGTGCCCGCACATACTTCTTGCGAGAGCTACCGTCGGACGGAAAGATTGCGAATTCGGGGGCGTCCACGACTCCGTATTGCTGTTCCCAGGTGAGGGTAGAGTTGGTTGATAAGTCGTCGGTTGCGGCGACTTCGGCACGAGCGAGACCGAGAAGGAATGGCAGCGCTGCCAGCAGGGCTGAAAGGGACGGTGTGAAAGCGACCATGACTGGCGGGAGGCTTGCGGTGGATATGGACAGCGGTTGGAGAAACGAGCCAGCGTTCCACTTCTACGTATGTATTTGTATTCTAGACTCTAGGAACACGACCGCAGAATGAGGGGGTCCAGCCAGCTGCTTGAGATGCGGGAGCGACGGCCAGCGTTGCTTCTCTCTCTCTCCCTCTCTCTCTCTCACCCTCTCGCTAGTGGTGGATATTTGCCCAACGTATCCGTAGGAACCCATACCACGGAGAGTGCTTTCTCTCAGTTCTAGTTCTGGGCGAGTTGTCCTCGGAGGCGCGATTCCCGCACGACGCGTTGGCGTCCTACTCTTTCGACGGGTGGGAAGTGACAGGGAGTGATTCACGCTTGCGTACACAGACGATCCACGGCGGGAGACCACACAGGAAAGCAAAGCCGCCCTCCATACGGACTCACTAATTGATAACTAACCCGTCCCGCTCGTCACCACACGCCTCCCAATGCAAGCTTGCACGAGTATTCGGTGAAACAGTGATGACTGCAAAACGGTCTTTCCGCTCGGGATCCTTCACGCGCGTCCAGCTTGCTGGAACAAAAAGCTTGGTGACTAGTGGACGTTCGATGCGGACTTTGGATCCAGTCGACGGGTTTGGGTGGTCGGGAAATCGAAACCAATCGTGTTGAGCTATCTAGCGGAGATCCATTTTTTTTTGTTGGGTGGGGCATGGCACTTGCAAAAACTCGATGGATTTGGCATCGATTGCGACTTTCGCCAACACCCCATGTGCAGGTGGAGTACGACCAGACTCACCAGAGTGAGGTTCCGTGGCGATCGCCGACTCCCCGTGCATGGACCTCGTACATGGATTCACCCCATCCACCGTCCAATCCGTCCAATCCGACGATGCGTACTGTACCCTCCGGGCAACGCGATGCATAACGCTGTTCGTTTGGTGTCCAGCCGTATACTATCCCATCCCCTCGTTGAACGTCCGATGATAAATACCTCGAAGGATTTTCAATGCGCTTCACACACATGCAGGTGGAGTCGGACTGATTGCGGCAAATTGCTACTTGCAGTCGACCAAGATGTGCATCGGACATCCTCGCGTCTACATATACACGGTAAGCAGAAAGATGTGTGCGAGGTTCGGCAAAAGACTTCCCAAGTTCTCCCACATATGTGGGCAGGATGCCCATTGGACCTCTTGAATGGATGTACGTTAAGGTTCATTCATGCCAGAAGGAGCATTTCGACACCATGTATTGCAAGCAAAGCCCATGCACCGGTCGCCTTGCTTTGCAACCACAGAAGCCAAGACGGCCGTCCGGCCTCGACGAGCATCATTCCGCACTTCGAAAGCGTTTTGAACCACCAAAGTTCGGGGCTCACATATCTGGTATATCCGAACCCTTTAAGAGCCTTGTATAGTGTGACCGTATTATATCTCGGTTCTCGGTCAAGGACGTCCACCTGCGGATGGATCTGCTTGCACAGTCGAAAGGTCTCATGCAGCTGGCTGGCTTAGGAAAAAAAAGCACGCGCCAACGCGCTGTCGAAATCCCGCATCGTTCAACGGGCGACAGCATAATGACATCACCAGGAACCAGCCATGACGGGGTACCCCCATTGACCGGGGATATATGCCAAAAGGCATTCATATCATATATTATGCATGGAACCTGGCTGTCAAAAAACCCTCATGACGCTCTGGCTACGCAAAATGAACATGGAGGGCTGTGGGTTCGGGAAGTCGGCGACGGCAACCAAATGAGGGCACCAAGTGGCAGGCATATATAAGGCCCAGGCCTGCTCGTGGGAGACCTTCTGTTCCTCTTGGAAAACCAAGAAACCTTAGAGCATCGGAAAAGTCTACCTCTTTCACCTGAAAGCATCGTACCGTAACCGCCAAGCATAGCAAAGCAAAGATGTCCTACCCACCCGCCGCATATCCGTTTCTGGCGATTCTGTACACGGCCACCAACTTCAAAGATCTCGCAACACCCGTCGCAAAGTCTCTGGGCATCGCTCTCGGAACATCCCTAGCGACCGTCATGTAAGTACTCAGACCATTCAATGAACGAAGTCTGCTCATCACAAACTGATCATCTCTTTTGCGTTAACCTACACATACAGTCCCCTCGTCCTCTTGACCCTCAACTTCCAAGCAAAGGGTGTCGCCAGCTTCCTCCGCGGCCTCGATATCCGTCTGGGTTCAGTTTCGGTGTTGGGAATAAGGCTCTCGAAATGGATCGCGCTTCTTCTGTGTATGGGCGAGGCGTCGCTGGTGGTCATGCTCACGCTGGGGAGCAAACTGGATTCGACTCGCGTTGGCCTTTTCGACGATGTTTTGACCAAGTAAGCCACCCGCTGCATTGGGAGGAACGTCGATCCATTGAATGGTACTGATCTCCATTCTGCAGGCGCTCTAACGTCCGAATCGGCCCCTACGTCGCGGACCCCAAAGCCGTCCTCCCCACCCCCGAAACCCCTACCGCGCTCTCCGCCCAACGCCAAAGCATCCACGAATTCGCCCAACTCGCAACCTACCGCCCCAACGCCACCGACATCTTCCACCCCTCCCGCATCCCCCGCGCCGCCCTCGGGTACGCCCTCGAGTTCGTCCCCGTCGTCGGCCCTTTAGCCTACGCCTACCTCGAGTGCGAGCGAACAGGCATCGAAGCTCACCACCGCCTGTTCACGCTGAAGAAGATGCAGCCGGAGGAACGGGGCGAGTGGGTGTTGAGACATCGGGATGAGTATTCACAGTTTGGGTTTGTGGCCGCGGCGCTGGAGGCTGTCCCGATAGTCTCGACTGTAACTAAGTTTACGAATGCGGTGGCGGCGGCGATGTGGGCGGCGGATTTGGAGAAGAGGCAGGAGCAGTTGAGGGCAAAGAAGGGGTTTGCGGGGAAGTGAGAGGGGAGTCGAACAGATATATCCCTGGTGCCCGCGAATATCAAAACAACGAGCGCGAACAGTTGCGCCGAGGATGCGATAGGTTTTCATTGCATTTTGGATTGGATGCGCGCCAGCACCCAAACTGTATCTACAAGGTTTTGAATGTATCCCACATTTGTAGCAACATGCACAATACATATGGCTCTTGAATCTACACATGCGTCGTTTAATCTGCTTTCTTCGTCAAACGGGTTTCTCACTCCGCATGTATAACCCTCCTCGTTCACATAGCCGAAGAGGGCCGTGACTGCTTATTACTTCCAAATACCGGAAGTTCCTAAACAACGAAAACAGTCAATTTCTCGCGCAGTGCATCCTAGTGACGATCCCAATGATACTCACATCCAGTTGAAACAGCCCGCAAGAATGCAACTGAGGATACGGCTCCGACGCGCTGGCGAACGCCTCGAACGTCATCTTGCCGCCCCCTCTGCGCCCGCCTTGGCTCAATAATGATGGTGAGAGGGTGGTGGAGCCCGGAGGAAGACCGCTGGGGATGTTGAGGTCTTCGAAGATTCGGGCGAGAAGATCCTGTGGGGGACATCAATACGGTCAGGTACAAGTGCTGATGTTGCAGAATACATCGTATGGGGTCTTACCAATGGGAACGGATCCTCAATGCTAGCCCCGCTCCCAAGCCGGTGCGTCTCGTCAACGAACGTCAGGCCCGTATGCAGGATCTGATAGATCTCCGCCAGCGTACAAGCCCCGTCCCCATTCTCGCTCATCACGGTGAACGCCTTCTGGAGCCCGACTTTCGGCGAAGGGTCCAGCGAGCAGCACATCAAGAACGCTAACGCATCAAACATCGGCTCGTTTGGCGTCGCCGTCGCTGCAGACTCTGCCTCGACGCCCAGCGATGCAACGACGTCCTCACCATCCGCTGTCTCCTGCGTCAGCGTCTTGCCCACCGCATTAATCTCCTCACCGCTCTGCGCATGTGCCGGTGACTTGGCCCCTGCAATAATCGATTCCGGAGCAGTGCTCACCCGGCTCGTATCATCCGACGCACTATGCGGCTGGCCCTGCAGTGACACATTCGAACCCTGGTCATTCCTCTCGCCGTGCTCGCCCGCTCCATCCTCCCCAACCCCTTCGCCCTCCGGACCAATCTCACCCAGCCCCAAACCCTCGTCCGCAGTCTCCGAAGTCTCCACCGACTCCCCCGACGCAGCAGCCGGGTTGACCTCAAAGAAAGTGAAGATGGCTTCCTTCATCTTGGCGGCGCGGTTGAATTTCTGTTCCGAGTCGTCGGTATAGTCGGAGGGAGCTGGGGTGGTGCTGCGGGCGCGGATGAGGTCGTTGCCGGCGATGTTGATGCCGCTGGGGGTGCCGTTGAATGTGGAGATGCCGTCTTCGAACCAGAGGGGGATGGCGCGGTAGTCTGATTGGGTGATCTAAAAGATGGGTGGGATGTTAGAAGAACCGCATCATCGGTGGAATGGGAGCAACAATCATGCGCTTACCCTCCATCCTTGGTCTTTGCTTCCATTTGCGGCTGCGTACCGGTACGCCTTTTTGAGATCAACCAGGTAGTCCAGCGACGGGACGGGCAATATGCGAGTGCTGAGCAGCACAAAGCGACGCCACGACACAAACCCAGTCTCGTATGGGTCCAAGATAGAGCAGAGCTGGATATTGCAAGAAAATCATTGAGTCACTGATTGAAGGGCGGAGAGGATGGGGATGCATATTTTTGGATATTACCTGCTGTAGCTGTGCAGCATCCAAGGTGGCATATTGATCGGGTAGGGTCTCTGCGCCTGTGGAGGACACGTTTGCGAGACGCTGGAAGCAGTCGATAAATTCTTTGCAGCTGATCAGTCCCGATGGCGATGAGATATGTCGGAATTGGGATGCGATGTTGACGAGTTGGACGACTGTGAACTGATCTGGCACTGTAACGTAGAAGTAGATTTAGCACGGTTTATTCCCTGACATGATGTGGACATGTCCTTACTTGGCTTCTCGACAGGACTCGGCGGCCTAGGCTCGGGCTCCGGCTCATACGTAACAATCCCAAAATCGACCTTGAATTTCTCCCCGGCCAGAACGAGCCGGTTCGGCAGTTTCGTTTCCGCCTCGACGGCTTCCTTGATGACCGTCATCAGATCCCTCACGGCATCCATCTCCGCGCCGAATCGCGCGACGATCCAGTCGTCGAGAAGCGTGAAGACTTCGATGGCCTTTGCGCGGAGGGAGCGGAGGTTGTCGAGGGCGTGCTGGCGGATGCGCTCTACTTTGCGACGAAGGATCTGGTCCTCGCGCTCGACTATTTGGTGATACTCGGGGATGGATTCCATGTCGGCGTCCCCTTATACCACTTTGTTAGATCCCAAGGCTTGAACTACACCAAAGTAAGAATCGAACTCACCTTTGACTTCCGCAACATCCATGACCTGCTTCTTCCTATCCTTCTTATCCTTATCAGCAGTGGTCGGAACACTATCCCCATCATGCTGCGCCAACAATCCCAGAACCGCATCGCACGCGTTCAGCACATCCGCGTAAATAGACATGTCGGCCTCCACCGCCGACGCATCCTTCTCCATCTGTCCCAACGGACCCGCCATGGAATGCTTATTGGCTTCCACGACCGACGCGTTGCGCGCAAGAGGCACCATCTTGCGAGCCGCTCCACCTGCAGCAGGCGGCGGTGCACCGCCCCCTGCCGGGACCGCTGCCCCACCGATGTTGCCGCTTTTACCACCGGCGCCGCGGATGGGTGCGGTCGCTTGGCGCGGGTCGGCGCTTCCTGTGGCATCACGACGCTGAAGTTTGTGAGAGCTCTCAAGCGATCCGGTGCTGACTATGGAGCCGATGTCGATGGACGCTTGGGCTGTAGGGCTTATGAGAGGGAGTTTGACGGCGGGCTTGTTGCCTTCGCTCAGAACCTGAAGAAAAAACTCAATGAGTTACTTGGCATAAATACGCAACGCTGCATCATCAACACGTACCGCCCCATAAGCGTCCTTGTAGTAATCCGCAGCCATGACCTTCGTGCCCAAATACCGATCAATCTCCGCTTGAATCATCGTTATGTAGATATTGGCGATGATAATGAAATGCTCCTCAACCCATTTATCCTCAATAATGGTGACCCTCTCAATCTCAGCCTCCTCTTTGCGCCTATCAGACATATCCCACAACTTGTCTCTCAGGTCCTCCGACCGCTGATGCAACTCCGCCTTCGCATCGGGGTCAGACCTCAAATCATCTTCGACGCTGTTGAACTCCATCTGGAACAGGTCCACCAGCTGCTGTTTATGGTCCGGCCGCTCCAGGAAGCGTTTGAAGTTGACTTTGGCGGCGTGGAAGTATCGGATGACGGCTTCGCGTTCGCGGCGGAGGGATCGGAAGTTGAACTTCATCGTGTCGGTGAAGGTGGTCTCGATCGTTACCCATTCGTCGGAGAGGACCTCGGCTAGTTCTTTGGAAGGCAGTTTCTTGCCGTCGGCCGTCGTCGCCCGCGTGAGGGTGATGGGTGAGATCTCGAAGGTGCGTTCGGAAGCCTCCGTGGACGGGCGATCGCCTTGAGCGGTGCCGGGTGCGGGCGGGGTGCCTTTCTTTGCATCGGCCGCTGTAGATGCTCGGTCTTTTGCGGCGCCAGGTGCCGTTTTGGCAGGGGCCGCAGCAGCAGCGGGTGTAGGAGCAGCTGCTGCGGCGGTGGGTTTCTCGCCTTTGGCGGTCCCTGGAGTGGTCAGGCGCACTCTTCCTGACGCCGCCTTGGCTTTCTTATCGTCGTCGAGATGGCTGATGACGGTTTTTAGTTCCGCTTCCGATGCGGCCGCGACTGGTGCTTTGACTGTCTGCCCGTCTTCTGGGCCAGTTGCTGCTTGGCCAGAGGGCCGGGATCCGCCTTCGTCAGACCCCTCTTCAGGATTTGCGGTTGCGGAGTGATCTAAACCAAACCCAGAGCGGCGACAATGTTGAGAGTTTTGTCCCTTTGATGCACGGCGTTAAAGATGATCTGAAACTCACCTTCCTCCTTGGCCCCATTCTCAGGGCCAATATCCTTCTCCAACAACTCCATGGCTTCCTTTGCCTTGCGCTCCTTCTCCTTTTCTTTGCGATCAATGATGCCCACAATGATATCTTGCACAGTGTCAAACGTCAGTTCGGCATCGGTATTTCCGTCAACGGTCTGAGAAATGTCAGTGCGTTCAGTAAAGATTGAAAAAATCTGTAGTCTGCTCTCTACCCAATATGAAGCGATGACGGCAGCTACCTACCTGGAGGTTGTCAAAACGTGTATACCAGTCCTTAATCTGCTCCTGTTGATCCTCAAACGCAGCGACTTGGTAATGAAGCTGGCTGCTTTCGCTCTCATCGTCGTTTATCGGAACAAGCCGCTCCATCAACCCCTAAAGTAGAAACCGAACATGATGAATAGGTGCACTCCAATCGAGGCGAATACCAGAGACCCGCAAAACCCACCGGGTCGTTGGTCGGCGGCGGATCCATCGTCAAGTGGTACACATGGCCACTGACAGGATCCAACCGCCTTCCCGCCGCACGATCGTACGCAACCTCGTTGGACACATCGATCATGACGATGGCGTCCATGCCGCTCACCACCGAGCCTGGCTTGATTTCCGGCTGGGGTGCATCGCTCGGGGCGATCTGCGAGCGCATCTTGGCTTTGTCGCGAGGTGTGCGCTTGAGGTTCCCGGGTTTAATGGGTTTCGGGTCCTCATAACTGCAATGGAACGGTGTCTCAGCTCACTGTGGTAACTCGAGCGCAATACCAACGGTCTGGCCAAACGCACCCAGAGAGTTCCTTCTCTAGTAGTTGGGCTTGCGCCCGTGTCCTGGGGAAGTCCGTCAATATGACGCCGCCATACTCGGTCGGCTGGTCTGCTGGTAAGATGCGCTGGATGGCGTCGACGACCAGCAGCACTAGTAGGCTGTCATCAGGGCTCCCTCCTTCGAGCATGTTGATCTCTAGTTTTGCACCAATGACAGCTCTGTTGGGGACTTTTGTTGGGTGCCCTTTGTCGGGATCGGCGGGAGGTGGGGCTGCGGCGTTCATGTCGGCTTGTCTGAAACACATTATTGAGCAAGGGCATTGAGGTCTCGAAGAGTATCAGCCCTGTGCTTACTTGATGGCGTTCTGCATCAGCTCATCGACCGAAATGACCGCCAACTTGTATTTGGCGGCAATCTTCCTGGCCAGCGTCCGTTTGCCCGCAAACGGCTTTCCGATCAATGCCAATTTGAGCGGAACCGGCGGGAGATGAGCAGTCTCGACCACGGGTTCCGGAGGAGCCGTGATCTCGAGGATGGTGCTAATGAGCTTGTTCAGCGCTTTGTTCCGTAGTAATCGTGATGATCTGGCAAACGTCGGATTAGACTCCCGAACGCTTGCCTCAGCGACAGAGAGAAAGACGAAGCTTACAAGTCGTTCGGATAAGACCAATCACCGCGCCCATGCAAATAGTCCTCGAACTCCTTATCGTCCAAAATTTTAGCTCCGGGCCCGATAGCCTCCTTCTTCGCCGCAGGAGTCAATGCGCTTTGATCAGCAGGCACATCGATCTCGTAAATTGCCGGCTCGATGACATCTTTCTCCAAGTCGATCGTGTACTGCTTTGTAAGGGAGTTGCCTTGACTGAAGAGTAGCTTCCATTCGTCGACGAACTTTTTGGGCGCGTCGCGGCCATCGTTTAGTGTTCGATAGTCGGCCATCTGCGAAATGAATACATCAGATCTCCTTATCCTTCGACGCTGGTTCCATGCAATGTGATTTCCTCACCTTCATCGCCAAATCAAAGATGTCATTCACAACCTCCAAACACATATCACATCTCGCCTCATGCTTCGCCTGCGCCTTCTGTCTCAAGATCTCCTCATGCTGAGCGACCTGCAAAGCCGTCTGCCGTCTATAATCCAGCCTCTCCCTCTCACACAGCTCATACTCCTGGGCCAACGCCTCCTCATAATCCTTCTGCCGCCGTTGGGCATACTGCTCCTCCAAGAAGATCCGATTCTGCCGCATCACCTCCCGCTCATGCCGGACCTGCAGCAGCTGCTCAGCGATCCTCCGCTCCTGCTTCGACTGCCGCAACAGCTTCGCAAGCGCGACCTCCTCGATCTGCGCGATCTGACGCTCATCCTGTGCCCGCTGTTCCTGCAGCGCACGCTTGCGGCGGCGCTGCTCGCGTTCACGCCGCGACGCCTCTTCTTCGAGTTTCTTGTTGCGGATGGATTCGAGGAAGTCGCGGCGTTGGTTGTGCATGGACTCGAGGGGGGGCAGCGAGCGTGACATCATTTTGAGGTGGTTGAGCGGGTCCATGTTGGCTTGCAGTACGATGAACTTTTTGATGGCGTTGGGGTCGAGCGGTGCACCTTCTTCGGCATCGTCGTCGTCGGGATGGCCCGCTTTGGCGGAGTCTGTTGTCGGTGACTCGTGATGTGTAAGAACCCTCAGCCGCTTCTCAAAGGACTCTACTTCCGCTTTGATGGTGTCAACCATGCCCTATGGAGAAAGATAAATGTGTTGCTCGATCTATTTACAAACACCACCATGGACGGAAATCCACACAAACCTCCCCCGCATAATGCGTAGGCCTCTCCCTCCTCCTCCCCGAGCGCGCCGCACTCCCTCTCGCAATCTGCTGCCGATGCAGCTTCTCCACGTGCTTTGCAACATTCTGCACAATCGCCTCCTCCGGCTCCGTCGTAGGCTGCTGCGTCAATTCGCCGACATGGTAGGACCTCGTCACGTCGGCGTAGTAGATCGGTTCCTTCACCTACATCCAAAAGTGTTGCTATCAGCACTCTCTCCACGTTTGCCCCTCCATCAAGCGTGACAAGACGACACGGCATACCTTATCCACCACATGCCGATGGTGCGTCGTCCGCTTAACATGTTTCGCATTCTCCATCTTCGACAGCTTGTTCTTCAACATCTTGGCAAAGAACTCATGGTCCTGCTCAATCGCGATCCGTTTCGAGCTCTCGGCCACCGGCGCGAGGTCCGGGACTGGGCTGCCGTCTGTGCTATGCCGGTGTTTATCAATGAGGGGTTGGCCTGGGAGGGAAAGTGGTTGGATGGATCTGATTCCTCACCTCGAGGGCTGTTCGGGTACGACGGCAGCTTGGGCACCCCGCCCTGCGCTGCTGTGAGCAGCCGGGTGTGCGGTTTGGTCGCCGGGTGGATGCCCTGTGTCGAGACGGCGCTTTTGATCTGATACCTACATCCCCATACAACCCCCATAGTCAGTATCCCAATTCTCGCCCGACCAACCCCCTCGACTCCCAACCCCCGCATGTAACGTACAACAACTTCGCGGCGCCCCCCGGCCGTTCCCTGATCAAATCACACGCGGCATTACTGCTCAACTCGATCCCCAGCTTCTCCCTCAACGTGTGCTCCACCCGCGCGTAATTGCGCACGAGCGCGTCCACGTTGCTCGTATCGTACGTCGCGGTGGTCGCATCGGGTGGCGGCTGGAGGTTGAATTTGCTGAGCAGTTCGGCGAGGAGGTGGCCCGAGGCGAATTGGTGGTCGAGGGTCGAGGCCGAGGCGTGGTGCGAGAGGGAGACGTCGTGGTTGAGCCATTGGGCTAGGATGTGCGACATTTTGGGGGGCTGTGGGGGTGTGGATGAGTATAGCAATGGGGTTCATGTGGACGAGGGTTTTACTACCAAGCCGTTGAGGATTGGGCCGTACCTTCTACGACCCACTAGGTCCGAACAGAACTTTGGCGCCGCCCAACAAGATCGATTTCCCGTATGTCTTAGCTCCAAAACTCTAGGTTTCTGATGCTCTCTGGGTGCTTCAATCGGCAGCCCACTCTCCGTTCAGAACACTCGATCGATCTCCGCCCCAGTCCTCCGAATGAAAAAACATCGACAGACGCGAAGAAACAAATGACAGCGAGACCGCGGCTGACTCACGCGTCGTTCACTGTCAGTCAGTCGACCCTCTGCGCTCACCCGGCGTCCCCGCCAATAATAATGCGAAGCTGGACCTGCATCCACGAAAGATAAAAATACGGCCCTGCAGCCACCGTCTCGCGTGGCCCCCTCTCGAGCGCCGTTTAGAATTCCCATGAGGGCTAAATCTCACCCTGCTTCCGAAGGGGGAAGTCTGGATGTTCTTGCATTGGGTACCTACACGAGGCCAAGCTGCCCGTCCGTAGCTCATTCTATATTCTGGTGGTTTATATCAGTCTCCATTATGTAAAGCTTCCCAAAAGTCTCACTGCTACCAAGACGAACCCCTTCCACTCCTCGCTATCCCTAATCATTACCTCAATTCTACCTGTTAGTCCTGTATCCTCATGTAATCTCCCCCAATCTCGTCCCGGAAACGCCCCTTCCCAAAAAAAATTCCCCCGCCCCCCCCGATCCTGCCAAAAATTCCTATCAACCCCGCACCCTCAACGTATCCATCCTCGTACTCGGGAAGATGGTCACAAACGGCGACATCCGGCTCTTCAAACTCGGGCCTTTACTTCCCTTCCTGCCCTTCTCACCCTCCCCGCTATCCTCAACAACCGCCTTGGCCGTCCCATGTGGTGTCTGCTGCCGCGCTTGAAGACGGGAGAGTTCAGTGGGCAGCCGTTTCCCGAGCGAGAACGCCGGCGCGGCGCGCTTGACGACGTTCGTGTCGATGTGGGTGTACGTCCCCGGGCCGGGGGTCGTGTGCTGGTCGACTTGGGGGGTGGTTGTGGGGGGTTGGGTACCTAAGAGGATGGACAGGGGGGTTAAGAAATGAATAGACGGGGGCGAAGAGAAAAGCGGGGACAACGATGTATACGATGAGAAGAGTACATACCGGCTTGTTTAGCTTCCTTCCGCTTCCTGCACGCCTCCTCGAACCGCGCGAGCTGCAGGGGTGTGAGGAAGCGTTGGGGGACGTTGTAGTCTGATGGGCCGGGGGTGCTTGCTATTCATGTCATGGGTCCGGGAACACGTTTACGATTCAAGTTAGGTCAGAGGCACATTCCCCAGCCCAGGCATCTCGCTCCCCCAAGCAGTGTGTTGCAGATTGGCCCTACCTGCAAACACCTTCCACCGCCCCTTCAACGTGACCTTCGGCCCATCGTTGCTTCTGACCTGCCTGTCGCGCGGCGTGTACTCCGACGGGCCGGGGCCCGCTGCTGCCGTCGTCGGGCGGGACGCCCCGCCTGGAATAGTTGATGCACTTGTTCAGACGGATCCATCTGTGTTGGCAATTTGCGCCGTCGAATACCACTCACCATTCTGACTCCCAGGCCTCCCCCCCAGCGTATACGCCGGCCGCTTCTCCATCGACCCATTCAGGTTCGGGTTATATGTTGCCGGGCCGGGGGAGTCGCCCGCCGCTCCCGGTGTATCTAATAAAAAGGAAAAAGACGAAAACGGGTCAAATCTTTGCCAGCTACTGTCGTGTACTACGGCGAGGTAGTACACATACGAGGCTTCCCCCTCAGCGAGAACTGCGGGCCCGTGGACTGATCTTTGATGAGGAAACTTGCTGGGCCGGGCGTCTTCAGGGCCTTGCTTTCCGCATACCAGCCTTTCAGTGTCGCGGCGCGTTCGTTCCAGGGGAGTTTTGGGAAGTAGGCGTTTGGTGAAGGTGTTCCACCTATACAAGGCGAGAACCGTTAAACCAAACCAATCGGAATGGCAGGACGATGGGATTCCAGGCAAAATGCAGGGAACACATACCAGCTTCCGACGTCTCAAACACGTCACCGCCCAACTTTGGCCGGAACGTGAATGCCGGCGCGGTTGATGCGTGCGGGGGAAGTTTATGCGATGCGACGTCGTAGGATTGCGGGCCTGGCGTTGAGTCGTCTACAGGGTAGGGGAGAGTCGCAGCGGATGAGTTTGCACTGATGATGGGACTCGTATGGGTGGAGACGCGTTCCGAGTGACATACCAATGGAGATGTACTTCCGCCCAAAGGAGTATTTAGGCGGTGTGGTTCGCCCGACAGTTGCTTTGGGGAAGTAGGCGCTTGGTCCGGGGTCTTCCGGAACTAAACATAACCCATGCATAAGTCACAACCTCCCTCACGATCGATCCCCTCACGATCAGTCACAAAACATACATTGCGTCTCAAACCTCCCACTCAAAGAAAAGCTGGGCGCGTCCCTCCCGACCGTCCTATCCGTAGGGAAATACGTCGCCGCACCGGGCAAACTCTCCTCCCCCTCCCTCTTCACAAGCGCATGACTCTCCTTCCCACGACTCCCCGCAAAGCTCCATTTGGGGGCTTCCTCAAACACGACTTTGATGGGGTCGGTGTTGTACTTTGACGGGCCGGGCCCTTCGTTGGTGGAGTCGGAGGAGGGGTCGGGGTGTTTGCCGAGGATGGAGACTTGACGGCCGTTGGGGGGGAGGAGGGGGGTGTAGGATTGGGGGGAGGGGGTGGGGAGGGCTGTAATGATGAGGAGTGTTAGGATCGACCATCAACCACCATCAACCACGATCAACCACCATCAACATTGTCTACAGACAGTACCCTGCTCGCTCCGCTCGCGACGAGGATGTTGGGATGCGGTGGGCGGGGCGTAGCTCGCTTCGCTCGCTGAGGCTCGCTACGCACGCTGGGGCTCGCTACGCACTCCGCTCGCACTTGCATCACTTACCAAGACTCGAAAGCGGCAATCCCCCTTGTGGCGGCACATACTCCCCCATAGGGGTCCTATGCTCGACACCCAACTTATCCTTCAACAACAACGGCACTCTTCCTCCAGATCCAACACCATTGTTCTCTCCCTTTGAATCACTCTCAGCCGCCACCGCCGCAGAGTGCCGTCGTATCGTGCCATCCTCGTTCGCCGTGTCCGCCTCAGCGTGTGCGGATTTCGACGATGGGTCGGTCATATCCAGGGGTGGCAGCGTAGTTCCTCCATTATTGCCACCACCAGCCTTTGGTCCCCGGGTAGTTGTTCCTCCAGTAGTGCGTGCTCGGTCGGCACGAGCGCCTCTGCCGCCGCCGCCGCCGCCGCCGCCGCCAGAATGGCCCTCTACGTTGTCGTTGACCGTTTGACGGTGCGATACCAGTGGCGCTTTTACCGCTGCGACCATGTTTCCTCGTTGTGTCAAAGCTCTGGAAGTCGCCGCCACGGGTTGCGAAGATGACCGCGCGGAGGATGGGGGTAATACGCACGGCGACGCGAAGTGACTTTTTTGAAAGCCACTATTGGAAGTCCTCGCCTGACGTACATGGTGTAAGCTTTTCCGAGTTGGACGGGGGTTGCAGGGAGGGTGAGAGTAGTGGAGGTAAGCGTAAAGTTAGTTTGTGTGTAGCGTTGCAACGAATAGGAAAAAAGGCGGCGATGGAAAAGGGGGGGTTGTTTGTCACACCTCGCGCCCTTTCCTCCCTCTGCTCTCTTCTCCTGACTCTTCTCTCTCTTCCTTCGTCAACCAGACATACAGTAACAAGCGGCTGGCCTCAACACAACACCAACACATACTGTACAGACAGCACCCACACCCCCCAACCACTCGGGACACAGCACCCCACCCACCCACTCTTCCTCACACTCACTCACTCCCTCACTCTCCTCTCGCCAAAAGAAAACAAAAATGGAACCAGAAACAATCAACAAATACTTCCCCGTCATCCTCTTCGGCGCCCTCTTTGGAGTCGTCTTTGTCTCCCGCTTACTTCGCTACTTCGGCCTGTTTAGCGGATTCGGTGGTTCAAACGTCATTCCGCCGCCGCCCGGGGTCAACGTCAGGCCCAAGAAGATATAAGGACGGGCGATAGCGAGGTGTGGGAGGAGTGGGAGGGACGGGCGATGCGCGAGGAGAAAGGCTTGAGGGCTGGGCCAGGGCCGGAGGCACAGGAATGTGGAGGGGGTTCCGAATGATAGCGAGTCGTTCGTTGTAAATAGATGAAGGGAAACCGATTTCGTTCCAATTGCACACATATCTTTTTGCTTCTTTTTTCCGTGATGTGCAAAATAAAGATAGATAGTCGACAAGGAAAACCTATATGAAATAAATACATGTGTCGGTCGAAGCAAACCGTGTGCGTGCGTATGCATCTTCCCCCTCCTTTACATCTCCCCCCCTACTCCACAGTCAACTTCAACTTGACCCCCATCGCCACCAGCTCACTCACAAGGTACCTAAACACAAACGGCACCGCGACAATCTCCACGCCCTTCCCATCCCCACACGTCCTGCACACCGCGCGATGCTTGCCTAGCGCCGTCTCCACACCCACCAGGCTCCCACATTGCGAACAGCACCACGACTGGCTGTAATCAGAGCAGTTCATCAGCCGGTCTTGCAGGAGGAACGACACGCCGTGCGCGAGGAGCGAGTCGCGCTCCATCTCTCCGAATCGGATCCCGCCCGCCCGTTTGCGGCCCTTGATGGGTTGTTGCGTGACGTTGTGCACCGGGCCGATCGTGCGCACTTGGTATTTGTCAGAGACCATGTGCCGGAGACGTTGATAGTACACCACCTAACACATCCCAAAAAAAAAGGGCAGCTCAATCAGTCAATGAATCTCCCCAACAACCAGCCACCAAAGCACCCACCCCTCCACGAAAAAAAACTCACCCCAATGTAAATATCAGCCTTGAACTCCCCCCCGGTAATCCCACTATACATCGCCTCGTTCCCATGATAATTGAACCCAGCCTCCCTCAACTCCTCCCCAAAATAATCCGCCGCAGGCTCGCCATCCCCCTCCAAAAAAGTCCACGGCGTCGCATCCTGCGCCTTCCCATGCAACGCGCCACTCTTCCCCGCCAAACTCTCCACAAACATCCCAATCGTCATGCGCGACGGGAACGCGTGCGGGTTGATGATCACGTCCGGCACGATCCCGGTCTCGCTGAACGGCATATCCACCGTCGGCCATTTCTGCGAGATGACGCCCTTCTGGCCGTGCCGGGACGAGAACTTGTCGCCGATGACGGGCGGCCGCGGGATCCGGAGCTTGATGTGGATCTTCTGCAGCTCCTGGTCGCCGGTGTCGGTGCCGATCAGCCGGACCTGGTCGATGTAGGCGTCTTCCATGCCCTTGTAGGGCACGACGGTGACTTTACCCGTGACGTCGTCGACGTACGCGTAGTATGGGTCGCCGTGTGTGATGCGGTTGCCGATGATCGGTAACCCGTCCTCGTCCAGGAATTTCAGGATCTTGTCGGCGTCTTTGAACGTCAACGCGGCGGTGCCTTCGGCCATGATCCCGAAATGCAGCGTCATCGGCTCGCCTTTCTTGCGCTTGTCGCTCAGATCGATAAACTCGCCTTTGTAGATCGTGCCGTGCCCGTACCCGCGCTCATGCGACGACTTGTTGAGGATCGACGCGTCTTCCATGTCGTAGCCCGTGTACGAAATAACCGCCACCACGGCGTTCATGCCGTTCGGGTACCCATCCAACCCATACGCGTCGTGCAGTTTAGGTCTCACAACAGGCGTCTGCCCCGTCTGCAGACGGTACAGCTTGTTATCCGTCCGGTTAGGCAAGTTCTGCGCGGGGGTTCCCATCGACTGTTTCCCCATCTGGCACTGGTACATGTTTCGCGGACTCTGGTTGTGGTCCGAGAAGGGCGTCAGGTTCGCAACGACGCTGAGGATGTTGGTGGGCGATTCTTCGATATGTGTCGTCGTGCCGGGGACCACGTCTTCCTTCAGACACGCAATGTCCATGTACACCTGCTCGAACGGGCCCACCATGTCCCGCTCGCCCGTCGCGAGGTGCTTGACGGGCCGCATCATGCGCGCCGGCGTAGAGAAGAGGAAGAGACCGGGATACTGTCCACCTCTTGTAGGCGGGACGTATCCAATTTCCAAATCCAACGGAATAGGCCGCGTGCGGGTAACCTTCCAATGCCGGAGCCGTTGCGCGACCTTGGCGGCCATCGAGGCGCTGCACCATCCAATGACTTTCCCATCCAGCTGCACGGAAACAGTGACGTTCTTCCGACGCTTCATCTCCGATTCCGGGTCCAGCGCGTTAAGCTCGTCTTCGTCGTCCTCCACGTCATCAAACTCATCATCTTCCTCGTCATCGATCTCCATCGCATCCGTTTCGTCCGGCACCGCATTCGACGCCTCGTTCCGCGTCCGCGGACCCATCCCGCTCATCTGCCCGACGCCCAAACTCGCTACCAGCGCAGGCACCTTGCTGACATCGATCTTATCCACCACGATCCGGCACAGGTGCGCCAAATGGTTCAGCAGACCACACGGACTTCCATCGGGCGTGTGGACCGGACACAGGAACCCCCAGCTCTCGGGTAACAACTTCCGCACGGTGGTCGTTTTCAGCTCCGCAAAGAAACTACCACGGTGGACGGACCGGAAATGGGAGATGTATCGGTAGAAATTCAACTTCTCGGCAACGATGGTGTAACCGGACGTCTGCTGCAGATCCAGACCCGTGTTGGAGACCAGGTTGCCCGTGGCGAGGAAGTACTCCATCTTGCGGCCGATATCCGCCGACCCGAACGTTTTGCTGAGCACTTTAACAATGTACTTCTTGTCCATAAAGTCGACCTGGGTGGGTTTCAAACGGATATCCTGCTGGATCTGGATCTTGATCGCGGTCAACCAGTCGCCCATCTTCTCCTTCATGATCGACAAGTACAGGTGGCCGGGCAAAAGGATCTCTTGATGCTGCGGCGAATCCGGGTTATCGCCCGCACAGTCGCCCGCGACAAGAGCGTACAGCTTCTGCATCATGAAGATCAACATATCGAACTTCTCCCTCGGGTCGTCGAGATGCACAAGCACGACGCGGCGCAGGAACTCCTCGCCGACCTCCTCCTCGTACATATCGTCGGGGGAGTCCATCATGACCGCGAATTTGGCGCCGAGGTACGCCGTGCACTGCTTCTTGGTGTGCACCGCGTATCGGCGGAAACTCCGCAGGAGCAGCTCGACGCGGTCGGTGAGGAAGGTGTTGGAGGTCTGCCCCATCGTGAGGCGTTCGAAGAGCTCGCGATCGCTGGCTTCGCAGAGGGCGCGGAGGACGAGCATGACGGGGACCATGTACTCGTTTTTGCGGTAGGAGAACCGCAGGGTGACGGGTCCGTCGGTGCAGTAGTGCATCGTGACGGTCTGGGAGGTCTGGTCGGGTCGCACGCACCGCATGGAGACACCGTACGGCGAGTAGGTCGGTCCACGGTTCTGGAACGAGTTTCGGATGATGGCGGTTGGGTGGTTGCGCCTGGGCACAATTAGCAACCGGATCAAACGCTCGATACCATTGCTGACAAAGTAGCCCCCGAACTCGTCGGGGTCCTCGTTATGTTTGATGAGGTCGCGAGGCGATTTGCCTTCCAGGTTGCAGCGGAGCGACCGAACCATGACAGGCAGCTTCCCGAGAGATCGCACTTCGCTTTGCACCGTGCCGCCGTTCACTCGCCAGTTTAAACGGACTTGCATCACGCTCTTGTAGGACATTCCTCGTTCGCGGCATTCTGAAGGAAACAGCTGGTTTGATACCCCACCACCGCCCGCTTCGATTACTGGTTTCCCTACGCTTACGCTCGATAGCCATACTGAAAAGGTCTCGTTGGATCAGTACGCTATTCGTCACACCAGAGGCACTCCCGCATCTAAAAACCAACTCACATTCAATCTTATTCCGTCCACTCTCCCCGGGCTTCCCATCAAACACCACCCGTTTCCCGATATCCTGCACGGCCCTATCCAGCAGCCCACTAGACGCCGTTCCATGCGCAAACAGGCTGTTGAAACTCTCGACATGCGGCGCGGAGAGCTTGGCGAGCTCCGGGTACTGCGGGCGGGTTTTGGACGGGTAGACGGCGGCTTGTTGCCGGTCGAGGGTGTGGAAAGTCGAGGTGTCGGTTCTCCTTTTGGAGGTGGTTGTTGTTTGTGAGGGAGCCATGGCGGGCTGGTGTCACTGGAACTGAGGGTCGTGCTGGAGGTCGGCTGCTCCAAATCTCAAACTTCCGGTGGCTTTTTCGAACACTGCCCTGTCCACCCTTCCTTATCGGTTCGCTCTCCCTGTTTGTCTACGTTATGCACAGGACACTTCTGATCATAGGGCGGTCCGCTCACCAGCAGCCGATGGTCCTGTTTTGCAAAAACCTCAGGCAAAAAGCTGTCATTCTGCTTTCAACGTTCAATTCGGATCGTGTGGAGTCACGTGACGCGGATTTGAATTTGGGCGGTGGTCAGACCGACTCGGACGCTCTAGCTTTCGGGCGGATAGGTTTTCCGAAAGTCATGCCTATTTCGCGGTGTATATACAGTACATTACAAGTGTCGCTAGCTATGTAAGGGGGAAGCAGGAGTCTATGTGTCTACAGGGGTGGATACCGGGGGAATATGGTTTGCTACAGTACGGAATCTGGGATAACACTATCCCAGTCTCTCTACCTACAAAGGGATGTTACAAAAAAAAAAAGGCAGAACTAATTAACAATATGCAAACCCAGCGGTCTGTCAGTGGCCACCGGGTGAACATGGGCTGGAACATTGTGCACCATGTTGATGTTCTGCATACGCGGGGATGGAGGTCCATACGCCGTAGGATCATACTGATAACCCATCTCGGGTCCCCGTCCCAAACTTGGATACGCTTGGTAAGAGTCACGATTGTCCGCAAAATGTGATGGCTGAGACATTGAGGCGTTCGAAGGAGCGTTCATGAGGGGTGGCACGCCGCCCTTGAGGAGGGAGAACGGACGCTGTTTGGCCGTTTCGAATTCGTAGTCTAGCTGTTTGTCCCGGCGGGCCCGTCTCCATAACAGACCTCCGCCTGCGAAGAGCACGGCGAGCGCTGCAATGACGCCGCCAATGATTGCTGGTGTGTTCGACCCGCTGGAAGAGCTGTCGGGGTTCGCGTTCACTGGGGCGCTCGTTGCGATGGATGTTGCAGATGAGGAGGCCATGGCCGTAACTTTTGAGGATGAGGAAGGAGTGGCCGCAGAGGACGTGCTGGCGGCAGACGATATCGAGGACGTAGACGATGCGGTCGTGCTGGCTGATGTCGACGTTGACGTTATCGATGAAATAATAGATGAAGAAGTGGCCGGAGCGATGGAAGTAGAAGCACTTGTTGTAGATGCTGGACCTAGAGAAATGAGATTGGTAAATCCTCCTCCTCTCTCAGATAAAAACTGCGAAAACACCCAAGACTCACCAGCACTGCTAATATGAACGGGAGCCGCGCGATCAACGCTCGTTTCTCCGTTACAGAAAGGCACAGGAACATCCAACAGCGGCATTTTCTTGCAATCCTTCCATTCAGCCGACACATCGAACGAGTTTACGGCAGGGTACCCGGAAGGAATCGTCGTCGTACATGTCACCGTTGTGCAGAACCCTGCACCGCATGGTGCATTCTTCTGCGCTCCATCAAACAGCAAATTGGCACATGCTCGAATACGGCCAGTTCCCGCCGGCGCACCCAACGGGCTGAGATATATGGCATCGACGAAAAGTGTGTCGGAAACGAGGCGATCGAGAACGAATGTCACCGTTTCGGGCTGACCGGCTTGCCATGCTCCATTTGCGGAATAAGAAAACGTGAAAGCACTCGCTGCGAATATGAAAGGGAATGTTCAGCACATTTGTCGGCAGAACACCTGGTTTTCACCGACACAAACGCCTGTACCTTGCGCGGCAACCTGCGTCGCTGTCGTCAACGCCAAAACAAGGGCGACCTGGGTTCTCATTGCTCGCCGTTGCGTTCGTCCTGCCCGTAGATGGTGCCTCATAGTTTGCAGCTGCAGCCGGAACGGAGGGTATGCGTTGGAGCTGCCACTTTTGTGTTGCGTTCGAGGGTTGCAGCCGCAGAATTTCCTTGCCCTTTTGCTTTGTCAATTTGAGACGAGATCAGGGGGCCCATGCCAGCCAGGCCTTAAATTTTAAAAGTATCCCAATGATTATTTAATTCGAGCATCTCCACGCCCCAAGCCCCGCCAGGTGCACCAGGCCCCGTGAGCAGCAGCGCACCTTGCGCTTGAACTTTCGCGTGGGCCCTCGCAAGGACGCGCACTGGCAGCCGCACCAGGCGCGAGGTGTTACAACGCGTTATGTGGTCAAGAAGTGGGATCCGCAAGATGTAAAATTTTGGGCGTCCTTGCGGATCGGGGTTGTGCCTGTGCGTCAGCAATTCACAACACCAGCCTGGCATGGAAATGAGCACTGCCCCCTTGGCTGTGGAGGTCTGGGAGGATGGATATTTGACAGGAATGTGACAGGATTTGGTGTTGGATGTATGTATAGATGTCGGACTCGTGACATTGGACGCCGACGAAGGAGATGCAGACGTAGGCAGGTTTGCGCGACGGCACTCTGGACATGAGAGTCAACTGCGGAGGTAAGTCTGATGTTATTTGCTCAGTAGCTTTTCTTTGTCTTCTGGGTCTTTATGAGTATCAATCAATCATCGGCCCGATAACTAGAAGTATCTACTTGTGGGGCTTACTCAAATGGCAAACAGCGGGTTGCACCACCTGATTTGTTTGAGAGTAGCTGCATGGGACGGAAATGCTGCACAACCGTCTGAACATGAATATGAATGGAGCTTTGGCAAAGGAATGAAGCACGATCGGACCACCTGAGACAGGATGCCGCTTGATTGCAATGCTGCGAAGGCAGGTAGTTCTTGTGCTTGCTCTCTACGTAGGGGCGCGCATTTGATGGTGTTGGGTTTACTCAGAGCACGATCTTGATGACTACTGATGAAGTTGTAATGACAAAGACCCATGGGAGACACATGGTGGATTTGTATGTGACCAATTGTAGCAGCGATGATGGAACTGATGCCACTGTGCAGTGTGCACCTACAATCTGGTGACTCTACTGACCGCGCGGGGAGAGGTGGACCGGACTCGCCTTCAAATGGAGGTCGCTGTGCCTGAGGAGGGCGACCTCTTACTCCAAGCGGAGGTCGCGCGTCCTCTTCCAGGTTCGCCGCTTGCATCCGGGCAACCGCGGTCAGCAATTCGTCGCGGATGCTTGGTACTGGGGGGGAGATGTGGTGGGGCCGTTGGCCTTGAACCGGCGACGCTTCGGCGGGGTCCCCGTCCTTCAACCGGGACGTTCTCGCGTCCCTCGCGGCTTCTCTGACGGCGGTCGCGTCGAGTTGAGCCTGATACTGGATGCTTCAGAAGCACGCTTGGTACTGGGCACGAGAACCGCACAAAATCAGTACATCATCGCCCGACTGACACAACCGCTACTCACGCAAGAAAGAATCACATTCTCAATCTACTTATGAGGAAGCCTCCCTCCTCTCCTCGTCTCCCGGACGGCCATGCTGGACTAGGTGGCCACAGAGTTCGACACCTCCCACCAGCTCCATAACCCAAAAGCCAGTTACATTTGTCATAAACGTCGTATAGCTGGATGATGGATGGGCGGTGAACAAACCAGAGTCGGCTGTCCTGCGGCTTCTTTTTCCTCGACTCTTCTTCATGTTGCTCGGGTTACTTCCGACTCCCGACGACTTCTGCTTTGTCTTGGCCGATGGCCACATCCAGCCCGCGATGTCATTGAAATGGTAGTTGCCGTTCACTTCGATGATTGCTTTGAAGTTCGGCATGCAGATATCGAACGGTAAGCCGCCGCCAGTAACAATATCGGCTTCGACCCACATCCATTCGCTGGGGGGCCGCGCAATTTGCCCATGTTCGCGACGTGTGAAGTTCCCATGGCTGGGAGGCGGCCGGGATGGGGTGGGGCTACGGTTTGTTCCATTTAATCCCAGTCGGCTTGCTCATCGATTTGTGGGGCAGCTCTTATTGGAGGTTGCCAATGTCCGCATCGCACGGCGCATGGATGTTGAGATGAGTTCATTCGACAACTTTTTTCGGAGGAGTTTCTGGTTGTTTGTGCTGCCTAAGCAAATTCATATTTGAATCCAGACCCCGTGACCCATCAGAAATTGCATAAAATTAATATTTATTATTTATTATTGGCTGAAGCTGTTACCGGGGGCCGAGACAAATACGGGAGACAATGCTCACAAAGTCACCCAACCGAGCCGAGGGACCGGACAAGCCCAACCATGCCGCGCACCCCCACTCGCGCACCTCTCCTCCGCATCAAAGGCGGACAGATCGGGCAAGTCCATTTCTGCATTGGGAATCTGGACTTTCTGTGCTCTCGCCAGACCATGCCTTTTCACCTCCCATCTTTTGATGCTCGTTCGGAGGCAGATGTCCTCTACTCCTTGTACACCGGCACATCCAGATTTACCAGTGTGCTAAGCGGTACTTTCAACGAACTCCCGAGCCGTCTCGCCAGTAGTCAGTGATGAATTCTGAAGAATGTGAACGCGGACTTCGACGAATTCGCCAACAACGCTGGACGAGCACGTGACCGACGCGGCTTACGATATCGAGCGGACTTTGTGTTTGCTAGTGCTGGTCCATAGTTCGATTATGTCCCTGTCATTTCATATGTCGGAGATATAATGGTTCCCATTCTGCTAACTCGGGATTCCATTAGTAAACATTGTTTACGCTGTCAGTCCCAGATCCGACGCCGCAATGTCGGCCTTTCAGGTATCCTTCCCTGTTTTTCTCCTCCATCCTTCATCCTTCGCACCTCACATCGTAGGTGCACAGCGGTATCCTTTCTTCCGACAATCGCGGATTTAGCATTCTCTACATCTACCATGGGTTTCCTCGCAAAGCTGTCCCGTCCCTTTTGCTGTTTTCGTCGTCGCCCGCGTCAACAGGATGGCCCCGTGTGGGGCATTGTCCACGTTGCTCCCGACGAAGGTGCGGTCATCTCAGCCGTCATGTTTGACCGCCGTCGCTAAAAATCTGATCCTGTTGCAGTGCCTATGGACGATCTTCCCGCTGATGCTGTTTCGCCTGCACTTGAATCCGGTAAGAACAGCAAATTCCCTCATTGCACTGTTAGGACTGTCTTCTAACGCTCCCCATCCCCTGTACCCGTTCGTTTAATTAAAGTCATGTCCGAGACCGCCCGGACTCCTCCCGTCCGCCCCCAATCCGCTACCCGGAACGCTCCGCGTGTGGGCCCCTACGTTCTAGGGAGAGAACTGGGTAAAGGGTCGACCGGTAATATCTTGCCCGCAGTTTCCCTAGGCATCATTCTTTCTGCATAGCGCCGATATCTTATAATCATATCGAAATGCTATCGATAATTGTAGGGCAAGTCGTCCTCGGGACGCACACTGTTACGAAGACCAAAGTGGGTATCAAGATCGTAGATCGAACCCACCGAAACAATGGCGGCAACGGCCGATACCTGACCGGCTCCGAAGCTGAGCGCATTCAGCATCGGAAACTAGAACGCGAAATCACCATTATGAGACTCATCCACCACCCCGCCATCATACAATTGTATGATGTGTACGATAAAGAGAACTGGCTCTTTCTTGTTATGGAGCTGGTAGAGGGGGGTGAATTGTTCGATCACATCATCCAGCGTGGCCGACTGCCAGAGCCGGACGCGTTGAAGTATTTCCAGCAGATCATTTACGGCCTCGAATACTGCCATGGCTACAATATCTGGTACGTTCCTGTGCATCTGAAGCTTCGTCACATCTGCCCTGTTCTCTGCGTTACAAGTTGCTGACCATTCTCTTCGCTCTCCATGCATCTCTCCCTCGCACAGTCACCGCGATTTGAAGCCGGAAAACCTTCTCCTCGACCGTGAGGGCAACATAAAAATCGCCGACTTTGGCATGGCTTCGTTGCAGCACTCCGGTGCACTTATGAAGACCAGTTGCGGGTAAGCCGTTGTACTCCTCCATTCTCATACCGCATCTACAACTGGACGCTAACAGCCACCATGTCCTCGCAGGTCCCCCCATTACGCATGTCCAGAGATTATTCATGTAAATACCCTATACTCCTAAATTGCTCCCCTCCCTACATCCTCCACTTGTACTCTTGAGACTCATCGCCTTGTATGTACCTCTGACGTTCATACTATACAGGGTGACAAGTACGACGGCGCCGCGGCGGACATTTGGAGTGTCGGTGTCATCCTGTTCGCGCTCGTCACCGGCAACCTGCCTTTCGATGACAAGAACGTGCGCCTCTTGCTGGACAAGGTGAGTTTGTCACATCTTCGTCTCTCCTCCTGAAGTTTGATCGGTGTTCATCTCAGCCTCTAATGTGTATGTGCATTCGCTTACTCTTTGACTTTAAAACCTCTGATAGGTTAAGGCCGGGCGCTACGCTATCCCAGATATCGTTGGCCCTGAATGCAAAGACATGATCAGGAAGATGCTGACAGTAAACCCCGAGCGACGCATTAAGGTCAGCACCTCATGTCTTAAAATCCTCATCAACGCCTGTCAACACCGCCTTTTCATCGCACCGTCACTAAACCCAAGTTCTCCCTCGTTCTCATCATCATCCAGATGCCTGCCATCAAGGAGCATCCGTTTTTTACTTTATACGAGACCGGTGTACAACCTAACCCACCTCAAGAAGATCATAACGAACTCCACCTTGAGAGTGGCGAGGTAAGCCGCTTGCTGACATCTGTCCCCATTCGTCGCATGTTTCGACAACCGGTTGCTGACTGCCTCAATCCCAGGCGCTTGATGAAGATTGCGTGAAGTCGTTGGTGCATCTCGGATACGGCGGCGAAGACCAAGTCGAAGAGGTGGTCATCGACAAGTTGCGGGACGCAAAGTATGTTTTCTCCTTCTGCTCTCGTCATGAAGCTGTAAGCATCTTACTAACCATGTCATGCTCCTTTCCCGCTTCACCTTTTCGACCATGTTCATCTCCGTCATTCATCATCATCAACTTCAACAAGACCGCACCCCGCAAAAATGTTCTACAACTTGTTTTTGCGTCGGAAGATCGAAACATTCGAAAACTACGACCCTCTGAACGGTATGTACACGTACCTTACCCCACACGCATGGTCACTCATCCGATTCTAACTCTCGACTTTCTCCGCTCCATCTGTTCTGAAATCAAGACATCAACTGGGATGTGGAGGGAGGGCCAAAACGTCGAACGAGCTCTCTTCTCGCCTTAACGCCGACCAGCGCGCAAGGCTCAGCGGTAGACCTCGCCCACGGGTCGGCTCTCTCCCTGGCAGGCAGGTCAACCGACGAGCTCCGACGTTCGACGGACAATGTGAACGTGCGGAGCTCCCGGGAGGAGCACCCGGGTGCGGCCTCGAGCAGCACCACCGACCTCCCGGCGGCGTTGGGGGCGTCAGCTCCTCGTCCGTCGGGAGAGGCGGGAGCGACGGCCGGGCCTGTCGGCGGTCCAGGGAGGGACGCGACAGGTGCTGCCGGGCCGTCGGCTGCGGGGCAGGCGTCGCCCAAAAAGGCCGTAGCGCCGAACAAGTAAGTTCTTCTTGAGACTTCATCAGTGATATTTGGAATGTGAAATAGTGCTGATTGGACATCTCTCTCTTCTACCTCCCGTGTTTTCACAGGATCTTTACCAACGTTGGCAAGTACGCGGACACTGCTGTCAGGGTTAGCAGTCCGCTGTCGGCCTCCATTACCGAGTAAGTACTCAGCCCCACTCCTTTCATCCGCCTTCTCCATGCGCAACACTAACTTACTCTTCTACGCCTCTCCTCCCATGATTTCCACCGCATCCTCATCCACCTATCAAGCGACTCCTTGTCTCTTACAACCACTACTACGGAAGCTTCGTCTTCCACGCCAGCCAGCCACTCACGGGGTGCGTCGGCTCAAGCACGTGCGAACAAGGGAAAGCTCACGATTCAGACCGGCAGCGGCGAACCTTCGGGTGCTGGTCCTTCGAGCTCGCTATCTCAGGACCCTGCGCGAGCGGCTTTGATGCAAGAAATTCTACGGGCATCGCCTTCGGGCTCCCAAGCTGAAATCGGCACACCTCGATTCCACCGGAAGAAACGTGAGTAGTCTTTCAACATCGGCGATCTCCTTCGTTACCCATTCCTTGGTCGGGTTTTCATGATACTAAAATGTTCAACCTCCCCCTTTCACTCAGACTCGTTTTCGGGTTCGCTCACACCGGCCGTGTCTTCAAGCCCCAAGAGATCCTGGTTTTCGTCGCTCTTCTCGATGAGCAAACCTGAGCCTCTTTACGTCACCAGTCGCAATGGCTACGAGCGTACTTTGGAAATGTTGCGTACACTCCTGACTGTAAGCAACCAGAATGTTCCTCAAGCTCCTTCTCCTCAATCATCCACTCATCATCCATCGCAACTCCTCATCTTCCCATCAGACCAACGTTGCATGCGCCCGTGTAGATGCCACCCGCGACGGCTACAGGTGCAAATACGACGGTAACGCACCTATTTCAAGATCCGCCACCGGCGACGCCTCGGCTCCTGGCTTCAGCAGCGGGAACGCTACCCAGACTGAACGGATTGTGCTTAAGCCCGTGAAGTTCACCGCGCTCGTCGTTCGAGCCAACGGTGAGCCCGCGTCGTCGTCGGGTGCCGCGAGCGGGGATGACGAAGATGCGGAGGAGCCCGGGGAGGGGCCTTTTAAAATCCAGTTGACCATAAGCCAGGGTATGTATTGCTCGATCAGCAACGGTATCTTCACTTGTACGTTCGTCACTGATATTCCACCTCAACAGGAGCGTACTCAGCGCTACAGAGCATCGCTGCAATCATGCAGGGAATCGCGGACAGTGAGGATTGGGCTCCACTAGCGCCGCCTTCCTAAAGGAAAAAAAATCGTTGACGGGGCCGTAGTTTGTGTTCGGTCGGGTTATATCGTGCTTGCGGTTTATGTTTGCTATAAGGACCCGGTTTACCGGTGGTGCCTTCAGGAGAGAGGAGTGACGGGGGCTCCAGTTTTGCTCCGAACGGTATTATCAGCGCTTGCGGTTCTTTGTTGTGATAAAGGACTCGGGATTCCCGGTGGTGCCTTTTGATTATGTGTATATACCATTCTCGCGGGGGAGGGAGACTGTTGTGGTGCATACCATTACGCTGTTGGAAATACAAGTTTTTGGAATGCGAATGAGATGGTACTGAGGAAAGCCAGACTTCAATGATCGTGGATGGTTTGGATGTCATTCATACTGAATTTGAGATGCTAATCGGTTGCCAGTGATGGGTAACCGAGGCAAATGGTCACATTCCAAAGAACGTCGGAAGTCTTGATTACTGTTCTCCATTCCAAGTTATGCATTATCGCCATCTCCGGCCCGACATGGGGCCGCATGAAGCGTCAAGGCAAAACCCGGAAATGAAAAGACCAGTAACCGGAACCTCGACACAAAATAAAAATCGAAAAGACGACCGTAAAGATGTCAAGGCCTTGCCAATGTATCAAGACCAGACATTACCATTCTCCATTCCAAGTTAGGTGCTGACGTATGGGCAACAGGCCGAATGAAAGCCGTATGCAAAAGCTCGTCAGGACCAAACTCAGAAATGAAGGAACAGTGATGATGTGGTATCTGGGAAGCTGGGCGGTTGACAGGTTCAGAAAAAGCGGAAACTGATGTTGCCGACGACAGCAATTACTATTCTCCGCTCCAAGTTATGTGTTGCGCACACCACTGCGTATTGTCTTTTGATGTGCAAGACAGAACCTGAATGCGAAAGAACAGTAATCGCGCTTGCTGAACGATGTGAGTTGGGGGACTCGGATGAAGAAAAGTGGTGGGGATGAGCTCCAGACCCCGTCTTTTATAGACGAACCGGATCAGACGACCGTCGAGCGTACCCTCCTCCCTTGGCGACCAAGCGGTGGGTTGTTCGTAAGCTCGGGTGAGTCTCCAATTTCGTAAAGCTGACACCGATCTTCTCCTTGTGCTTCATTTCCCGCTCACGCTTGCATTGATCGTTGCAGCCTTCATCCCGCCGTCACCGCGTTGATGAGTCTGCCAATTCATTCTCGCCCCTTGCCCCCATACCTCCTCCCTCTTTCTTCCATGGAAGCCCTCGCTGGAAGAGCTCGCCGCAAATCCCTTCAATATCCCTTCAACATGAAAAAAAAAACAGAAGAAGCCCTGTGGAATGCGAAGGAATTAGCCGCTCACAGTGACGGTGGAGGTTCGATGGGAGCCTTGGGAGGTCCATCATCAGGCTCATCTGTGTTCAATATGGTCCAATGTACGTATAAAAAGCTATTTTGTGCGCGTTGAGTTTCATTTTCGTCACTTCTGTGCCACAACTGTTTGTACTGTACAATACATAAAACGAAAAGTTGAAGAGAACACAGAGAAAGGGAGAAGGTTTGGCTGTTGCTGACTGGGACAGTATGATTTGGCGACGCTGGCGACGCTGGGAGGTTGGCAGCGTCGCAGACTGCGAGGTCCTCCCCTCGCTTGACTCGCCGATGGTCCCGAACATGCCACGAAGATCGGTATCACGGGCAAGACGACGGACTGGTAAGTCCATCTTTGGAAAGATATCGCGCTACTTCCACGAGGCGGGCTATCCACATCGGGGACTGACGCATGCCAGTAGCTATTGATACGTCTGTGTGTGGATGCAATGCCGCTGGCGGATCTGATCGATCTGGACATCGCCGCATTCGCTGCGAATGGAAAACGCGTCGCAAGTCATGGAGTCTCCAATCAATGTCCATCGTCCTCCGACTCCTGGAAGTTGGAGGAAAACCTAACGTTCTGCGACGGACCGCACAATGCGTTGAGAATCAGTTTAAAAAGCAGATTCCCGATGGGTACATTATCAAATTGCTAACTACTTACCCGCAGACTTTCGGGGGAACTGGGAGAAGAGGCTGCATTGGGAGGAGCCGGACGTCTGCTCGAGACGTATCAGATCCAGCTTGAAGTAGAGAGAGACTGTTTCACGAGAGCTTTGATATCCGCGGACAAGTGTGAGCTGTGTTTCGCCCGGGAAACAGAGTTTACTCCACTTCATTGGCAGCTAGCTAATTGTAAGGCTGTCACCAGCAAAACAGGACTGGGTCCGGAGGAGGAGTGGATCGCATAGAGGAGGGTGGATGAGGCAGAATGAGCCGCGCGCAGGCGTGGATGCATTGCGACTCCTCGCGGTCCATTCTACCTCTTCCCTCGAATCAGGATGCCCATGCCTATCAGAGAAGGGTGTTCCCGAATGCAGTCAGGGACATAGGCCATCACCTGGAAGATGTATGACATCGTTCTCGAAGCTCAAAGTTCTGATTGCGGAAACCTGTCGTCGCAAGCGGAATCCGCCATCCGCTGTCGCCCAAAGCGATGATTTTCTGCGATGTTGACCACGGCCCGACCAAACAGCGTGCGCCACCTCATGCGTTGACAATGTCCACTCTGCTCCATCCACCCGACCGTCCCGTGTTCGCTGGATGACGTGCATTTGCTTCTCCTTGTGGATCCTCGGCGCAATTACCAGATCGCGCATGTCTTGCAAGTGCGCTGCTAGTTTTTCCAACGATCCGCAACATCTCCCTCGGTCTTTTAGGAGGGTTTTTGTTCCATGCAGAGTAACTCTACGCCGTTGTTGGGCAGCCGCCCGTCCGCTTCACCCAATGCCTCACTGCGCCCCACCGGAGTCGGTGTTTGTCACCGGACAAAGCTGGTTGCCTACATGTCTGCCCCTGACCACAAGGATGTCATGTTCGCTCATTGCTACATCGGAGTCGGAACAAGGAGTCGAAACCAGCGGTCCAAACTGCTGGAGCAATGAATGTCCGGAGATTGCAGAGGTTTGGTCTTACGCTCGGTTTGAGCGACCCTGCTTGGAGGATTACTCCTGAAACTCGTTGTACCAGACCTGCGCAGACAGTTGAACCTGTAATCGCTTCCCTGACGATTTACATGATTCATTCTGAAGATTTACATGATTTATTCTGTTCGGGTACTTTGATGGGGGAAGGATGCGATTGGACTCTTACGATCAAGGCTTCTTCGCCGCGCAATCTATAATTAATGTTGTATTCTGAATGTCACGCCTTAGAAGGTTTCGTTTCATATCGGAAACCAGGGCTACTTGCCAAAATCCAACATGAGCTTCCAGACTGGTCCGTTCATCTTCTCTGATATTGTAAGTATCATCGCTCGGTTAACAAAGGCCTACTAGCGCAACGGCTTACAGCTGCCTCCGTGCATCAGGGTTGCCGCCGTTTTCACGTCGTTCTACTCATGGATGTCCTTTCGTTTGCGTCTCCCAAAAGTTTTGCTCTTATTGGATGAAAGTTGTATATGCGTACAGTACAAAAATCGAATACTAGCAAACCCCGCCGCAGACATGTACAAACACACGTATCCTTCGGTCCGTAAGAAGGCTGAATCATGCTCCTGCGGGTGGTCCCGGTTCCCTCTCCCCCAGCCTCCAGCCCTTTGTATCCCCCAATACTCTTCAACTTGCCACTGAATGATTGCGCGGGATAGTCAACGCAGGCGGTGGGTTTGTTTGACGTAGACTACTCGAAATGACGGCCAATGGCGAGCGTCCCTGGGTATGGGAGCCTAGTGGGCTACTCGAGGCGAATAGGAGTGGAGCAACAAATGGCGATGGTCGTTGCCGGGACATGCATATGCTCGAAACACCGAGTTATGGATGCCATACATTCCGGGAAAAGTGTCCCCATTGAGCCGACCAGGCAGAGAGGAATGATGGCTTTGCCTTTCCTCGTGCCTGCGCACATTCGATTATCAAAGGCCTGGCGAGCCGACAAGCAGGTGTTCTGGGTCTTCCAACCCCCGGAACCTTGATATCGGATGGGCATCGCACGGGCGATTCAAAGTCGTATGGCGAAGAAAATGCATCCCGCGTTCTGTCACCTTTTCCAGAACGTGCCGTCAATCCCCTGTCGAAAGAAAGCCCCAGCGAACACATCTCTCCGACCCAACGGTAAAAAATAACCGCATTTCCGCAGAACTCCGCCTTCCTCTCAAGCTCAACCGTAAAACAGACTGCGAGTCGTCGGCGAACAATGGTTCGGTGTAGAACGGACACCGTCGTCTTAGGGACGCACCCGTGCACCCCGAGCTAGCCTGCAACAAGCTTCTGATTTCGACTAGACGTTCTTGGTAGAAAAAGGTACCGGATGGCAAACGTTGAATGTCGATTCGGCTTCAAGTTTTTACCGGCGCTCGCATTTTTACCACCGTCCAGTGAACATGAACCGGACTTCCTTCTTTGATTGCCGGTCGATCCGCGACCGGTACAGACTTATTCACCTCCAAGTCTATGTCCCTTACTAGCGTAGTAAGTCGTAAACGAAGAGGACTTATGGTTATGGTGAAGAACATTGTCGTTTGTGCTTTGTTGCTTGTTGCTTGTTGCATCTCGGTCCCTTGAGTTCCGCTTGCAATAAGTGCCTTGCGCGTCCCTTGGACCCTTGCCGAAATACTGTCACTCGCTGCCATAGCACCGCTTCCCGCACAGCAACCCCCGACCCCCTCACAATTCAAGTTCCATGCTCCTCTGCACACTCTCACACAGTGCAGCAAGCTCCGAGTCTCTCAACCCGATCCACTCCATATTCGCCAACACAGCCAGCACAGCACCCTCGCTGTTCGTTAGGAACGCCTGCATGGCATCCACGTTGCCCGTATATATCCAATGAAGCAGGATCGCAAATGCATCCGGGCTGGGCGGCTGCACGGTTATCGTGTGGGGTGGCTGAAAGCCGTCCTCTGTCACGGCGTAACCTGATGTTGGCACTGACTGCTGATACATGCCACTGGTAGGTGCCGGTAGTGACTTCGCCTGCTTGGCCCTTTGCTCATCGTGAACAAGCTTCCCTAGAACCGGCGAGAACGTCGTCAAGAAGATCGAATGCACGGGCAAGATAGTCGGCAACGTCAATGGGCGCATCTGCCGCTGCTGCTCTTCTTCCACTTTCCTCTGTGCAGACGGCACCACCCGATACAACTTCCCATGAACGCTGACGAAATCTTCAGCCGGCTTTTTCGGTCGCGGCATCGGCGGGTTCAGGCCATCAGCTGTCATCGAAAAGTGTGTCGGCTTCTTCGTCGGAGGTCTATTTGCCGAGGCACTGGGACCGGCATCATGGCTCGATCGGCGGGTTTCGACGAATACCCAGCAATCGCAGGACGATACATCGCCCCATAGCTGCGTTCCAAGACTGCGTAACTTATCCCTCACGTATGACTCCGGGAGACCTTGCGCCGGATTGACTGGCGGGGGCGGGGGCGACGATATTAGCAACTGTTCGATTTCGACATCACTCGGCGCTTCGGGCCATGGGGATGGAGCGGATGTCGGTGCCGATGTGGGGAAGAACGTCAGGACTGGCGGCTGCAACGTATGGTGGGTCCAAGGATAGTTTGTGTACAGCGCCGGTGGCGGATACAGCATGGATTGTGCCGGCTGCTGGCCGTACATCAGAGTTTGCGGATTCGGGCATCCGATGAGGTTGGGAAGACCGTTTAGCGACATGAATTTGGCATCGCCGGTGCCTGGTGGATAAAAATCAAATGCTGACATGGCTTCCTCTTAGGGTGTATCGCAAATGCAAATGCCGGCAAGCGCTGGGCGGGATGAACTATGAACGGCGCTTGGACTTTGGACGGATTTTACTTCTACAAGCACGGACCCGATCGAATGCGAGCCCAGGGCTAATGGATTGCGTCTTATGAACACAGCGACGGAATGTGCCGGCAAGCGCTGGAGCAGAACGGAATGACGACCGCTTTCAGGATGGACCGACTATCCTTCACGTATGCAACCGATCGGATACAAGCGCAGGCTAGGGGATTAGTTCGTCTGAACGCAGCGAACGGAATGTACCGGCCCAGCGAGAGGTGCAGCAGGGCATCGATGCCTTTATATGTGCTCCCATTTTCACCGTCCCTTGAGGGCTACGCAAGCCGTGCAAATCACAAAGACCGGATCTGTAAATGTGCTGATGTGTTACATCTTACTGCAAAGGATTTCGCACACTTGGGATGTCGACTGCAAATACAACCGCAAGGGGAAATCTGCTGTACAGCCGCGATCTGAACGATGGATCTAAGGGAAGCGGACGGACATCCCAAGAGATCCTGAGAGGAAACGCACCGCGTAGAAATCCGTGCCAACATCAACGACGTTGCCTGATGATGTCGGTGTTGACTTGTTTTCCCAACCGGTCGGAAAGGATACGTTCAACATCGTTCGACGCTACCAACAACTCCGCTGCTGCAAGGCCTTTGCATGCTCTTGGGCCTTCAACAGAGGGGGATAATATCAATTTTACGCGTCTTCAGACTAGTTCAGGGCGCCAGTGAATCACAGCTCGGTCCGCTTGGTTTCTCTCTGGACTCGAGGAAGATTGGCAGTTCGATATGGATCAAGGCAAACCCAAAACCAGGCAATCACCAGGAGGCGCACAAAACGGCTCCACTTTGGGTCGTAAAATGACATCTCGCAGGGGTTCATGTCACATTTTCACCCGCTATACGAGCCTGGAACCGCGGTGAGGTATTGTGCCAAGGGTGCCCCACCCGAATTTCCCCGAGTCCGCGACCGCCATCTCGTGTCCTGGCCATGGAGGGCGGGACTTGGTGGTGTGTGATTTGTGGAACCTCCCGCCTTGACGCCGAACGAAGACCCTTGACATGGGACGAGAGCGCAAAACAGCCCGACTCGGATACTGCACATACAGTACTGTACTGTACTGCACATACGCCAACGACGCCGGGCTGGTCCAGCCTCCCAACCAACAGGAGCGCAAAGCGGGTGACAGCGCACACTGCACGCAACCACAGTGTCCACACAGCACAGTGTTGGCGACCGTATCACGAGCGTACAAAACACAAGCGGAAGGAGGGAAATTACATTGAGGACGTTGCACGTGTCGGACATGCGATGAAGCAGCGCGAAGAGTTGTGGTGGGGCAATGCGTTCCATGTGCGAGGATAACCAACCGGTTCCAGCCCCCCAATACGACACCACGATGCGTGGCGGCGTACAGTCCTATCCGGCTACATCGTGCTACTATCCTGCTGTACTGTATGCACCAACACGGAAGGCCTACGAAAGGTGCTATCTACTGTACGGCCGTACAGTATATCGCCCACGGACATTTCGCAGATAGGCTAACGACCATCAATTGTCAGATGTTGCGAGTGCTGTCTCGTTGCGCCCGCAACACCTTGCGCCGACAACGATCGCTGCCCGGCGTTCAGTTTCGCATCATGGGTGATGACGCAGCGCTCCCAATCTCACTGTCATTTAGGAGCTCGTAGTAATGGGATGATGTGCAAATTTCCTATCGGCGAGGCCCATCGATTCCCAACGTGGACAGTTGGAAGTTGTTTGGATTGTGTGCGGCGGCGGCGGCGGCACGGCTGAGAAAAATGTGTTGCGCTTGATAAACCTCACGTGACTCGTATTTAAACGGCGCTTAGTCCCTCAAACTCCGCATTGCGCAACGAGGCTTTTTTTCCGGTCGGAAACATCCGTCGAAAGCGACGTCGCTATATGGGCAGCAAGCAGTTGTTGTTTGGGGAATACCCCGTCGATCGTTCAAAATTTAATTTACTCTAGAGCATATACAAGGAGAATCAAACAAAAATATGGTACACAAAGTGAAAAGGCGGGGGTGGGGCGGTGTTTAGAAGTCATAACTTGGGGGGTAACGTGAAAACAAAATCGGTTGAAATGCCCATCTCCGGAACAGACGATGATACTGGTATAGAGCGGCGTGCAGGCAAAAAAGCGTCTGTGTGCTGCGATGGAATGTCACTCGCCTAGTACGGCGGGAGGTAACACTGCAGCGGCATGGGGTATACGGGATGGAGCGCGAGCGGGTGATTGCTGTTGATGTTGTATGCGGGCATTTGGATGTATTGTTGTGCTTGTGGTGTTTGTTGAGAGCCGGGTATGAGCATCGTGGGCATCGGGTATGCGAAGTTGTTGGGTAGGCCGCCGGAGTTGTTGATGCCCGTGTTGCTGGCGGACCAAGCTGCTCGACGGGTTTGATGGTGGGCGTGTTGATGCATGTGGGGAATGTCGGCCGATGGGGTGCGGGGGATCTTGCGCGGGACGAAGTCCGGGTGGAAAGCGAGAGGGTCAGGTTGCTCCACTTTGCGTTTGCGGTAATAGCCGACCATCGTGGCGTGCTGTTGCTGTTGCTGTGATGACCTCGCAGTTGGAAGTGGCGGAAGGTTTGCGGGGATGGTGGATGGAATCGTGGACGTTGTTTGCGGGGAAGCCTTTGACGGGGATGTAGAGTTCGGATCCTCTTCCAGCGAGACGCCCAGCTGGCTCGCCCATGCCTTGCAGTACCGCACCCACGACCGAAACTCCTCCTCACCGACATGCAGCTTGAAGTCTATCTTAGCGAGGAAGTCCGTCTCCATTTTGTTGATGTCCGCCAGCGCAAAGCCGGTGAGCTCGGCCCACGTTTTGTTGGTGAAGCGATTATCGTCGGTGAACTTTTGGGCGAGGATGACGGCGGCTGTGACGAGTCTCGCTTCGGATAATGCGGCCTGGTTTCCGAAACTGTTACCGTCGAGCGCAGATATCGAGTCGGGGACGCCGCTGTTGCTACTGATGGTTGGGGAGGATGCGCGGCGGAAGCGGACGATGTAGAGAAGGGAGAGGAAGAGGACGATGGAGGAGACGCCGGAGGTTCGTTGAATGCGCGAGACAAAGGAGAGGAAGGAGGGGTGTGGCCGGCCTGGGGTGCTCATCCCTGGCCGGTGCGGCCATGTTCGATGTACGACTAGGCATACGAACTGGGAGACTAGTTGAGCGGATACTGGGGTTGTCGTGCTAGAGTCCTGCTGTCGCTGTTGCTGTTGCTGCTGATGGGGCTGCTGATGTTGCTTTGGAGCATCGGCGGCCGCCGCAAGGGCTGGGACAGGGTTTCTGCTCCATCGATGGTGAGCACACATACCCTTTTGCGCCGACGTTGGCTGTATTGATGCACCTGCGGCGGCGGCGGCAGCGAGTTGAGGCCACGCCGAAACAGCCATCGGAGTGCTGCTTCGGTTATGCTGTTGGGATTCTGTTGCAGAGGGGACGGCTGACGTTCGCTGTCAGGCCCGGCGGGGGCACGGGAAGCGGCCGAAAGCTTTATATACGTTTTGATACCGCTCAAAGCGAGCAGACCAACGTTTAGCGTGAAATTTCCGCGTCAGCCCCAACCCTTCTGAATCAGCCCGTCATCAGTATCGTGGAGCGAGTCCGAGGGCTGACACGCTTTGCGCAGACGGGGAGCAAGAAAGGGAAAGGGAAAGGGAGGGTGGCCAAAGGCCAAACAAGCAAACGCGACATGGCCTTCGCGAAAATGCGCGTGTAAAAGTGAGGGGTGGTGAGTGTGGTGTCGGTGGGGGTTTGCGGATGCGGACGTTGTGAGATTTTGCGGGGACAAACCCCATGCCATGCAGGCTGCTGAAAATGGATCATTTGGGATTGTGTCCCGACGGCTCCGAAGCCAAAATGTATTACCCATGTTGCACTGTATGTGTCCGACCTATGGATGGCACACTACCAGTCCCACCAAGCAGCAATGAACAGCCGTCGCACATGCTTCTTCCGACCCCTTGCTCCCGGAGACCGGCGGAAGGTTGTCGGGCGGGGTTTGGGGTTGGGTTGTTTGGGTTGGGTGGGTAGACAAAACAGAACCCTGGGAGTGATGACTGGAGGCGGCCCCGCAAACTTTTGCATTTTTCCCATTTTGCGCCTGTCAATCAATCACAGCCGCGAGTCGGAAGGAGGAGCCCTGAACGACGGGGGAGTGACATCTGTGATTCGATCAGTAGGAGAAATTTCGCCCTTCGGCCAACTCCGTACGTGCCATGGAGGTATCAGAGGTTTCATTACGGGCAGATGAGCGAGGAGAAGCCCCGTAGCCAAGTCATATTGCATTTAGCGCGTGCAGCGTGCGCGTTGTTTTGCTGTTCGCCTGACAAATTACGGCCGCCGCCCCTCCCCACTGTCCCACAGCCCGCGGACATCGGTTCGACGATTAGCCTGCTGCTGTATACAGTATGTATGCATGTACATACGCACGCAGGAGTGGCAAGAAGGGAAAGAGATGACATGGGCCACCGTGAGAATTAGCATGCGCGCGTAGGTGGGAAAGGCACCAACAGCCGACCACCAGCAAGTGTCAAAAAAAAAAGGGGAGGCTGTCCAAATTGAGCAACCCTCCATCACATCATCCCCGCGATGATGTGAGACAGTCAGACGGCCCAAGGTCCTCGCCCCTCCTTTTTTTCCTTACAAATCCAAGGCCCCAATCACAACGCGGATTTGCTCACCGGCAAAAATTGTTATCTGGTGGGCCTTGAGCTCGAGCTGCTCTCACTGGTCTTCGTGATTTCAGTCGTGATTCATCCGCCCCGGGCGCTGTGCTACGCCGTTTGCATCAAACAATCCTCCACACTCCCTGGTTGTGGCTTTGGCGTACGCCGTCCGAGTCGACAACAGTCACCCCTGTTGGCATTTTTCACCCTCCTGGAGAACGGCTTTTCACCCCGATTCACCCACCCCATCATCGAGCCATCATGATCATCAACTTTTGTCGGATCTCGGAAATGAGTTGGAGTTGTATGTACCCTCTTTTTGTAACCGATTCAGGGAGGCTCAGCTACTAGTTCCTGACCGGTGGTACGTACGACAAATATGCTCACCGAGGCTACGTTACTCGCATCGGCGACGATATCATCCGTTCATGGGTTTCGGACGTCGATCGGACAGAGGGCGTCTCTTTCCCTTTTGCCTTTCCTTTGCGCTGTCCGTTTTTTCTCACTTTTTCTTCTGGATTTTTTGTGTGACTGTGCCACCTGTCAAATATGTGCCAGGGTCGCACGCGTGCGTTTATGTAAGCCGCGGAGTACGAAGGAAAACGCAAAGGGGACAACGCCAAGCGTGGCTTTTGGAGGACGATCAGGCGCCTCAGCGGCATCAACACCAAGGAGGTCTGGACTCTGGACTCTGCGACTTCGCCGTCATTCTGCGATCGCCATTTGGCCATGCCGTGGGTTGGCCCGTGCGATGGATCACATTATTGGTCTACGGTGCATCGCATCTCAGGCTGCAGCTACAAAGGGCTCGGATGGGCCCGGAGTTGCTGCAATATCCTAGCATCGTACAGCTGGGCCGACGTACTGTAGGACAGTGGGGACGCCGAATGCACACATTGCACATTGCACAATATCGCTGTTCCTCAGCTTTTAGTGGGAGGCAAGGAAGACGCTGACAGTGGGCGCCAAGCGTGCATGAACATCAAACTTCCTGAAGCTTGATTTCCACCTTCGTGTAACCCGTACACCACTTCACGCCGTCGAATCCATTTTCGATACAACACCTCCGGCTTCAATATTCCATGTCAGCAACCTTATCAAGATGTCCTCTTTTTCATGGGTTATGCCATATCGTCACAGTAGCGGCTCGCTGCATTTACAGTATGGAAAAGGACTGGATGGATGGGCGATAATCAAAGATGGCCGTGCAGTGCAAATTCACACCGGAGTTACAACGGATATTAGTCTCGCGCCCGCTGGGCCATTGAAGCCACCAACGATCAACGACCTCCGCCGCAGGAGCAAAGCGGCTCAACGATTCCAAATTGGAGGCGTCTTGGTGATTGGCCGGGGGCGTGAAACGGGTGAAGATCCAGGTCAACCTGTGCATGGACTAAGTAGTAGGCATCATCTAGCATTATCGTGGCTGGTCATGATGCCGCTGACGGTAATGTCCCGAGTGACCCCTTGGCTATGATGCTGCAAGGGGGGCTTATCTACAGTATGTAGCGAGCGGCGCCCAACCCGAGACGCGCTGACAGTTGTTCATGGTTCATGTCACTGGACCCCATTGATATCAGGGGAGGAAACTTTGCCGAGAGTAGTGAGGGCAGCGGCCCGATTTGCGATAGGAGGACCAGGGCGACGCGGTATTCATCAGCGGTCCAAGCCGTTTTCCCCATGAGGCGACGTGACAGAGGGCGTGACATCTGCCTGCCCGGTTCGAGCGACGCCGCGGGAAAAGCCTGAGGTCTCCCGCCGCCACGACTCGCTCGCGTATGATGAATCGATTTCACAGCGTCTGTCGGGTCCGATTGCATGCCACGACTCGTCGAGCCCTGCGTCTACATAGTCGTCGGTGTTCCTGTCCTCACGTCTATTTCAAGACGGCGCGAACCATCCGGTGACGTTCCTGTCCTCACTCCACCCAGGAGACGGGCGAGTGGCACCGCAGCAAATCGCCTTTTATTTTGTGTGCGTGCGTCCCGGGACGATTTAATTGTTCAGTATAGCTTTCACTCTCTTTCCCCCGTCACTCGTCGAGGGTTCTCTCATCACTTCAATCTGTTCAAGCTCCTCATCTTGCGGAACGTTGACGTCGGATGCTGCAGCAAGAGCTGCCGGGGGAATCTACAAGTGGTGGGATGCGCCGGGGTACTTCCGATACTGAGGTAGGTAGGTGGTGCCGTGACGGTGTCGGGTTCTGAGCTTCCTTCACGTCGTGCGGCAGACCTACAGAATCCCGCACTTTCCACTTGTGTGGGTGTGGTCCCCGACGAGGAGATACGGGTGTATGTCCCACGTCGTGGCGGAGGTGATCGATTCGCCTACCAAGCTCTCTTTGCTCCCGGAGTGAGAAAAACCGTGATCGATGCGAACTCCTTCCGTGGGATGCCCCTGCGAACTCCTTTATGCTTGCGGCGGTACTTGAGTTACAACAAAGGTCCTTGAGACGACCTGATATATTGGCTTCCGCGTAAACCGGTCCTCCATTGGCTTCTAGATCACTTCTACGATGAATCTCATGAAGGCTGTCCGCGCGCCTGGGGACGCTTGTTTCGCCGCTGAGAGTTCCATGTTAGCGGAGTTCGCGGGTTGTACCTACGTCGGTTTGGAAGGAAGCAAGGCAGGCCCCTTGCCGGCTCTCCAGCGCCAACACCTATCGACGCGTTGACCGTGTCATCGTATGCGAATCATGAGGCTGAAGGTGGAAAAACGGGTGGCAGCAGCTACCATCTCTTTGATTGCCTGACTACGGGCGCTCCTCGTTGTCCGTCCGATTGTTGGTGGCTCGCATGCCTATAAACGTTTGAATTTCCCAAGTCACCCACCCCAAGGAAAGAGCTGAACATCCCCGTTTCCGCTTCCGCCTGAGCACCCATCGGTGAACCCATATGTAGCCGCTAACCTCATTCTGTGGATATATATCCCATACGTCCGCTTCGAGAATGCAATGCCTGCTCTCAAAACGGACACGGGATATTCTCAAGGTTCCCTGCTTCCGTGCATGGCGTCGAATGCCCATCCTTTCTTCTCGTTCTTCTCATATCGTCATCCTTTCGCGACATTGCGCCGTGGTATTCGCTAGTGTCAAGGTTGGCACTTTCAAATTCGAAAAAGAAAAGCGAGCGTCGGCAAAAGGATCATCGGCGCCATCCCGGCGCCTCCCCTTTAACTTTCACGCTCACCCGCCTAGCCCATTGATGTTTCGCAAGCTGCAAGTCCACGCCTCAGGTCATGGAGCCTTGCCTTTTAGTCACTACTGATCAATGAAACTAGACGTTTTGGTTAAGTGGTTGCGTATGCCCCGCGATTCGCTAGACCTATTCCCACAAGTGAAACTACGTTCAAGTTGGAGGCAGAGGTAGTTCAGAGTGCATCCCATAAACGGAGAATGGGAGTGGCGCGGTTACGGTCTCTCTGCTGGTGGGAAGAAGAAGGGGTAGGTGGGAAAAAGAAGGGGGAGCAGAGAGGGGTCGGAGCCGTCGGTGGGAGTGCTTATGTAACGCGCGAGAAGCCTCTTCCCCGCGGCGTCGTCCTCCTCGGTGTTCACTCAGGTGTTCACCACCGTCTTTCGATCACTGGAGCTCTCGTCTTTCAAAGGCAGAGCAGCCAGCGACCGCCCCCAAACCCCACACCCTCCATCCTCAAAGGGCTCCCGTTCCGTCAACTTCACTCGCTCACCAGCGCCCACAATGCGCTCGCCAACACCCACCCTCCTCTTCGTCCTCCTCGCGGCACTCCTCCTCAGCACACCCGCCGCCCCGGCTCCCATCTCTCCATCTCCATCACCCACCTTCCCCGGCACCGCCTTCCTCCAAACCCTCCTGCACTCCCCTCCGCTCAAAAACAAATTCGCCACCCGCCTCCCCCTCCCTCCCGCTTCCACCCTCGCCCGTCGTCATCTCCCAACCCTCCACACCGCAACCCTCTCCCAAAACCTCTCCACCCTCCTCTCCCCCCACACCGCGTTCCCCTTCCCAACCTTCGCCAACACCCGCTGCGATCTCGTCAAAGACACCCGCCCGGTGATCCCATTCACAGAGCAATCGGGACTGCAGGCCTATTTCACAGCCTTGTTTGACGCCATCCCCCCAGCGACACGGAACGTGATCACATTATCGCGATTCGATCTCTTCCACGCCCACCTATTCGCCAGCCCATCCGCGAACGCCGTAGGGCTCGTGTTCCATAGTAAAGAGTACCCCACCTACTCAGCGCAAGCCTTCCCGTACAACCTCGGCTTCTGCCAACTCAACTCGACGGTTGCGTACAACGACGCGCAGATGCGGCGGCGGAACATCGTGTGGCTGCTGGATGGCGAGGCGCGGATAAGCTTGTGGTGGATCGATATGGCGGCGAGGAGTGGGAGGGCGGACGTGGATGCGGTGTTGAACGAGGCGCCGTTTTATACGCTTTATGAGGATGATTTGGGGCATGTCGTCGCGGATTTGGATTACCTCAGAGGGACCGGGCTGGGGATGAGCCTGTATTGAGGGGATGGGTCGACGGTTGGAGAGTAGCTCGAGTGGCTCGCTGCTGCCTCGCGGGGCGCTGAAGAAGGGCTGTCATCGTCGGAAACGTTTCAAGGTCAGGAACCGATGCCATCGTGAGTGGTATCAAGGACGTTGTGCGACTGGGGATGGGGATGTTGCCGCGATCGGGGATGTCTTTTCATCGATACGTTGTCGGACACTTCCTTGGACGTGTCTTGAAAGTGGCTTTGGAGGTTATAATCAACCCATATGAAACGATTACAGCGTCATGGGGGCGTAACGTATATGTAGAGCAGAATAATCGGCGTAATCCCGTCTCGTAGGATACAAATAGCAAGAAAACTTCGGGGGCGGGTACCCCTTTTCTTCCAGTACCCATAGATGCAGTAATAGATAGACTTCCAGATACATCTTAGATTCTTTCCCTACGCCGTATCAAATTAGACACTGCTATATATACGAAATGCGGTATCCCAACCCGCTCTGCGTACGAGCCATGGATGCCTCTAGCGCACTCCAAAAGCGCCGTGCACCTCTCCCTAAACATCTACAAATATTATTCTATCTATTGTCATTTCAAGACCTCTTCACAACCCCTTTCAAGCCTCGCCTTTTCCGAGCCTGAGCGCCCGCATCCCCCTCCCCTCCCCCAACAACCTCCACCCCGCCACCGCGGCAAACCCCACCCCGACAACACCCACAGGCGCGACCAGACACGCGCCTGCAACCTTCAACATACGTGCGAGGTCGCGGATGGGGAGGATCGTTAGCGGGTCGCAGGGGAGGGTCAGCGGGGGTGTGAGGATGGGTGGGAAGCGGGTGTTTGCGGGTTGGCCGGGGATGTGGGGGTCGGTGGTGTTTGTGTATTGTGGGGTTGTGGTGTTGGTGTTGGGTGGGAGTTTGACGGGGGTGGGTGGTGATGCTATTGCTGTGGATGCCAAGATCGATACCGATACGGATGTGGTGGGTATCGTGGTTTGCGATGCGACGGGTGTAGATGTTACTGCCGGCGGTGCATTCGAGATCGACGCCTGCGCTGGACCAGTCACACCCGGCGCCGCACCACCACAATCTGTAGACAGCAGCGCGATATACTGCTCCCTCGTCGCCGAGATCCCCGCACACGGCGCGAGCGCCGCGTAGTCGCCGCTGATGGCTGTTTTGCGCGCCGCGACGTTGCCGAGGGTTAGGCAGGAGGTGGGGGTGGTGTCGAGGTTTATGAGTTGGCCTGAGATGCCTGTGGGAGGGAGGGAGAGGTGGGGTGGATGTGAGTTGGGTGTTCAACGGTTGGGGGAAAGAGTTACCCTGCTCGCTCCGCCTCGCGATGAGGAGGGTTGGGCACTGGTCGACCCTCTCTCACGCTCCGTCTCATTCAAACTCACCATTCTCCTCGACATTCGCCCCAATTCTCCACCTACTCGCGACAGCCGCATCCCCACAATGAGCCGCAACCTGCACCGGCGACCCAGTCCCCACAAACCTATTCCCACTCGCCACACAACTTCCCTGGCCCCCGCTCTCCACCCCAATCCTGTACTGATCGGTCGTCCCACCCACTAAACTAAACGTCAGTCTCTGCGCCGCCTCCCCTCCATTACAACTACTCAGGGCCACACCACCACTTCCAGTACTAGCGAGACATAAGGAGGTGGAGGAGGAAGGTGAGCGGGATAGGAGGATGTAAGGGTGGTTTGGTTGTGGTGGCCAGGTGCAGGCTTGGAGGCCGGCGGGGAGGGTGAGGTCGGAGGGGAGGGAGGCGGCGCGTTGAGCGAGGGTGGGGGTGGTGAGGAGGGTGAGGAGGAGGGCGGTGGGGAGTGGCCTAATGCCCGCTAAGAGGGGGTGTTGTGTTGGCCATCGCATTGTCGTGAAGTGTTCCGGGCTGATTTTCTTAAAACTTTGCGTAATATTGGGTATTTCACGCTTAAACTCGAGAGGTGCTGCTCATGACTGCCGCGGCGCACTTCCTTACGATGACGACAATGAAACGACGACGACGACGACGGGCCCCCGTTGGTGGGTGGGGGACGTTCGTTGAGTCGTTCGGGCAGGACGAGGCTTTTGAACGTTTGATGGTTGATCCTCTGCGCGCAACAATGACGGTGCACAAAGGCTATCTACTATGGAGCGCCAGTCAGTGGGTCTCGAGCACAACGCGCCCTACGTAAGCATGGCCCAATCGTTCCCGACCTAGCACCAATGACGGGCAACCCCTACTGCGCCACAGCCCGACGGCGGACGTAAACAAACGACGCCTGTCAAATTCCCAGTTTCCCAACGCCGATTCAATCATCTCTCGCTCGGCCCCGGGCACCAATATTATTATCTGCGAAGGGGGAAATACATCGAAGCCGTCATGTGCATGTATGCGTGATAAGACCCGTCGATGTCGTTTTGGAAGCAAGGTATGCGATATGCAGCCGGCATATGTGCGTTCACACGTTGGTTGTTGCACCTGGGATGGGGAAACCGAGCCAGAACAATGCTAAGCGAAACCCGTGCAAGCGTCTCAAACGGGCGGAAAACAACTTGCGCAAAAGGCTTATGCAGGGTATATGATATGATCCCACACACACACCTCCCATCCATCCTTCGCCCCCCCCCCCCCCCCCCCCCCCTCCCCAAAACATGATATGATGCCGAATGACGTTTTGCCCCTCTCTTGCGTTTTGCCTTTTATCATTCGGTGTAAAAATCAGACAACCCACGGCCAGAAATTGGACGAACCCTTCGAGCGGGGGGGCGAGTTTATTACCTTTACCTGAACGGGAGGCGTTCCTTCCCGGACTTAACCAAGATGTAACCGTCTCAGGCATTGATTACAGCTAGCCCCATCCCCCCATTAATTCGTTTATTGTTGCTGGAAAACGCCCCCCGCTGCTGTCCCTGCCCTTTACCTTTCTTGCACATCATTTCGCACTCATAACCGTTAACTTGCCCTTTTTCGTTCCCCGCGCCCCCCAAGATACTAGAATTGGCTGAATCGGCCTTTTGCGCCTCCCTAATATGTGTGTGCAGATGCATCTCTCTCGCTTCGTGTCGTCCGGAGGTGAATCTATATGCGTCCTAGCGCAAGCTCGTAGTCCACTGTCGAGTATATATATTTGTTGCAGCAGAGAGTGCGTCCGTGCAAGGAAAACAGCAACGGGCAGCACACAACCCCCACCCAGGAAACGATAGATCTAGGGCCGGGACCTCTATTTTTTTTTTTTGGGAAAGTGGGGAAATTTCATTCCGCCTTGTATATCTAGATAAGCCAAAAGGACAATCTGACCATAGCCATCCCATCCTCATCACTGCACATCCCCCAACCAACCCCATCCCACTCCTTCTCAACGAACCGAGAAAAAATAGCCAGATGTCCCACCCCACCTACGACACGCCGTACGAAACAGCGGCCGCCCGCGCCGCCGCGTACATCGCGTACGCGCGCATGAAGGCCGCGCAGACGTACCCGCCGACGGCGCCGTTTCCGCCGTTCGAGGCCGAGGATGAGGTCGGGTGTTGCTGTGGGCCCTGCGGGGGTACGGACGCAGCGAGGGAGGGGGAGGGGGTGAGGTGTCGGTTTTGGCAGAGGGGGGCTTGTCGGTGAGGGAAACCGTTTTTGGTGTTTTTTTTTTTTTGGACGGATATGGGAGTTGGCGATGCATCCGTGAAATATCATATCTGGTTTTTTCGTTTACTGACGACGAGTCGTACATTCCTCACCGGTGCAGATCCGGCGACGCCTGTTTTCTGTCCCACACCCTCCAACAACGCATCAGGACACCCACACCCACGCCCACGCCGCCGACCGCATCGTCGATCACAGAGTATCCCCGCCCACAACCGGTCTACGCCCCGCTCGCCTACACCAAGCCCAAAAAGGGTTACGAATGGGGAAGCCACGCCTGGAAAGTCGCGGCGGGCACCCCGCATAATCATCCTCATCACGGAACCGCCTCGCATCGTCACGGTACCAACAGCACCAACAGTAACAGTACCGGCAACGGAAACGGCAACCCCTCAAAGCCCCCGCGCCACCCACCCGCGTCCACCTCCACCCACTCCGTCTGCCGCTACTGGCTGCAAGGCATCTGCAACCGCGGGCCGGCCTGCCGCTTCCTGCACGGGTCCGCCGCGCCCGCCGCCATGCTCTTCCCCCCCTCCTTCCCCCGGCACCCCACCGCGTACACCACCCGCCCGTCGATGGCCCGCCCGCGCCCGCGTCCCTCGATCCGCGGCGAGCTGATCAAGGCGCTCGGGGTGTATGAGTACGAGGCGTTGGCGGCGCGGATGGCGGCGTTGAGCGTCGGGGGAGGACTGCACATCGACCGGGCGGGCGGCGATATGCGTCTCCCGAATGCGTATCGCCAGCCGCGGTTCCCCGGCTACGCGATGTCTCCTGCGCCGATGCCCGCCGCTCATCCGCAGCAGACCGCACAGCAGATGCCGTACGATCTGGACCTTGACCTGGATCTGGATTTCAGCGCCTGTGATGATGGGGATGAGGGGTTGAGCGGCGGTGGCGCCGGCGAGACCGCGCCTTCGCGAAATGCTCAGATGGGACCGAAATGTGGGGCTGTGGATTTGCGCGCTATCTGGGAGAGGGAGATGTGAGGGGCAGTGAGGAGATAGATAGTTTCTACGTAGGTTTGCGCCCCCCGCGCGAACTTCGTTCGGCCTGCGGTTGATAGAGGTAGCGTGGTTAGGAAGTGTGAGTAGCGTTAGAGCGGGACGACCAACCACCACAAGTTCGAGGGGGATGTAAATGGGAATGAAACGAAATCAGGCGACGCGGGATGGGTATCAGTGCATCTGCATCGGGAGCGAAGACGAGAAAAAAATGAGCGGGGATGAGAAGAGGTAGATAACAAGAGCGGAGGAAAAAAGATCCAAAGTTTGGGGCGTGCTGTTTATTCATAGTTTTTGTTGTCTTTCCAATTACCGCATTTCTTGTCATGGTCGGGTATTTCCGTATACAAATCGCCCTGCTTTCCCCTGAGAACTTCCCTTCACACCATTAGAACATCCACCCAAAAAAGTCTTCGGATCAAACGTTTATTCTTTTCATATACAACAGTGAGTATGTGTGTGTCCAACCTACGTCCAGCAGGGATGTACAATAGACCGGGTCGGGGTAGGGCGCGCGAAATGTACAAAAACCAATCTAAGGGGAAGCTAGCCTCGGGGCAGACATTTACAAATGGATGAGTCTAAAGGTGGGAAAAGTGGGGAGATATCTACAGACAGACCGGAACCAAAATGTTGGAGGGGAAACGTTTTTACACGACATTGATACGAACACAGTCGTCCTGCGCTCCACGCTGGGCAACGGGCATGACGAGGGGTTGGTGGGAGTTTGACGCGGCCATGGTGCACAGCCTGTACATGCCCGGTCCGGCCGCGGCGACGCTCGCAGCGGGGATGGTTGCGCGCAGGTTTCCGTTGGCGTCGGCGGCGGAGTTGAGGCCCTGGAAGAAGGCGAACGTGCGGGCGTCGGGGACGCTTGGGCGTTGGGCACCGGCTCCCGCGATCTTTTGGAAGACAAAGTGCTGGTGGCCTTGGACGGTTCCTTGGGCGGAGAGGGTTTGCGGGGTGGTGTAGAGAGCGGTGGAGGGGTTGGAGGAGAAGCCCGTGACGAGGTTTGCGGTGTTGACGACGACGGGGATGTTTTGGCCTCGGCGGATGGTGGCGCCGTTCGCGGGGGAGACGATCATGGTGGACGGCATGTTGACGGCTTCGGGGAGGGCGCCTTGGATGGTGGTTGCGCAACCGCCGGCGGGGACGGGCTGGCCGTTCGTGATGGCAAGGCCGTTGAATTGCTGGCAGAAGGCATTGCCGCCAATGGCAGCTGCGCTGGCACGGTTTCCGCCGAGCGCGGCATTGATGGGGCCTTGTCGTGCGGCGGGGGGTGCGGCGACGGGTGATGCGGCGGGGGCTGCTCCGGTGGCGGCTCCCGTTCCAGCAGCGGCTCCTCCGGCGGCGGCTCCTCCAGCGGCGGCTCCACGACCCTTCCGGCCTTTCTGAGCCTTAGCTCCTGCTCGCTTTTGTGCGCCGGCGGCGGCACCACCGAGACGACCACCCTTCTTGGCTGCAGCTCCCTGAGCGGGGGCAGCTCCCGCGGCGGGTGCTGCGGCGGGTGCTGCGGCGGCAGCACCTTTCCTGGCTTTCCTTGCACCCGCGGGCGCGGCTTTGGCAGGAGCGGCGGCACCGGCAGCACCGGCAGCAGCACCTTTCCTGGCTCTGTTTGCACCCGGGCGAGCAGCCCTGGCCGGAGCGGCGGCCTTAGCAGCACCTCGCGCTGGAGCGGCACGTGCTGGAGCGGCAGGACGATGTTGATGACCAGCATGTGCTGTGGAATGAGAAAGGAAATGAAAATCAGCTTTTTGAACTACGCTGCATCGACCCAACGGACACCACCAAAGTACATACGTTCACGAGCCTCCAAAGATCGTTCCTCGATGAGGGACAGTTCCCGCGACTGAATGGGCGGGGTGAGGGCGGAACATGAGACTGCCGCGCCGATAGCGACGACGATCAGGTTTTTGAACAGCATCTTGTTGCTTGTTGTTGTTGTTGTCGTTGAGCGAGGAGGTTACAGCAATGAGAAGGAGGGGCGAGAGGGAGAGGAAGAAGCGTCTGTATGTATATTCGACTTTTTTTCCCAGGAGACCAAGGGCGGAAGCGCAAGTTGTGAATGAGAGCGGCGTATGGGAATGAGCAGCGAGACGGTTAGGTGGTGGAGGGGGGGGGTTGGGGCGGCTGCGAGAAGGGGGGCGGCGTTTATATGGGATGGCGCTGGGGGAGGCGGGCGGAGAGGAGGGAGTGGCGAACACAGTGCAATCCGAAACGACGCACAAGTCTACTTCCTGACACGGAACAAATCTGACCCACCACACCCACCTTTCCCACGCACCTGTCTTCCCATCCCCATACTACTACGAACCCCCAAGCAATTATAGACACTGTGCGAGTTAGAGAGGAGGGGCATGCCGTGCCGTGCGTGTGTCAGGTTGCCTGCCGAATGAATGATGAATGAGATGATGAAGGGCGTCTGAGCTTTTGCCTTTCCCTCCCTCCGTGTTTTCCCCCAGTCCATGGTACATACATATAGCTTCTCCAATTACCTCACCTCGGGGCATTTGTGACTCCGAGGATGGGCTGGGCATTGGTCGTTCCCCCGTTATGAACTCTCCTCAGCAACACCACTTTGTTTCAGGGGGGGTTGTTGTGCATGTCCTCATTTGATGCAAGAGGGGACTTGCCTTTTCTCCCGATGCGATTTGGATGGGCGGCCCCGTGCCGCTGGAGGTGAAACACCGTCAGAGAGCCCCGTGAAAAGACAGACCTAACATTAGGCGCGCCTGTCAATTTCATTTGCTGACGTAATCGCGACTTGGGGGGGGGCCGTTGAGTTGGGCGAGGGGGAGAGGCTTCCGAACCCCGTCAGGGCTGGAATGTTCCAAAAAGACCATCCAATGAGAACTCTGGTCCCACTTCCTCTCGATGCATACAGGACCAAAGTATAATACAGGATAAGTGAGCGGGGAGAGATTCTCAGAGCAATGCGTGTTTGGGAGGTGAATTAATCTGTGCATTGTGGTTTGAGGCTCTTTGGCAAGAGCAGCTGCAGCGTCTGTGTCCAGTCTGGGGATCCGTATAACTCCTTCATTGCCCGGAAAAACCCGCCGCCGTCTGTCATGTAGGATCCCATAGCGGCAGAAGGTGCCAGGTGCCAGGTGCCTCGCTGGACAGCTCTCTGTCTGAGGCTCGTGAGATGGCATGTGCATATGTCGCCTGATTGAAGGAATCCGTAACTACATGGTACGGTGGATGGTCGCATGCAAACCGATCCCGAAATGACCACTCCGTGGATGCCGAGGAAAGAACGCTTGATGTTGGGTTACGCGGCATCAGAGGACTCGTCCACGCAGATGTTGTTACACCCATTCGAAGGTGCTTCGTAGAAGATGAAGAATTGGCCGCGAAGAGAGTGACAAAGTCGATATCCGTCAAAAGAATGCGACGGCAACGATCCCTACACATAGATGTCCACCACTTCCCGTAATAGCGTACTTTGAGAGTGAGACGCAACGGCTATGTGCACATTGACTGGGATATATACTTGGACTGATGGCAGTGACGGAAAACACAACACATTTTGCCTCCTCCGGTTTTGGTATATCAACTTCCGATGTGTTCTCATATACCCACGAATCACCGCCAGAGGATAACCCAAAGCAGGATGGATGCGGCGATGATGCGTCCAGCTCATCCCACCACGACGGGCGGATACAATACCGCGGACAAGCGCATCGGCTCATATCAGACTGACGACGCCCTCAAGCTGATATGTCTGTCTGGCATCGGCGAATTTGCAGGGTCACTGTGCGACTCTGTCCTCCACGTCTTGCGGCCCAAGTGAAAGCACTGGAATGGCACTCTCCACAGGATGATGCCGGGCTTCACTCACCCGTTCATGGCTTGCTTACAACCATTTCTCTTGGAGCAGTACATCAGACACCAACGCATCTTGGGTTCCAACTTGCAGCTAGTGGGAGGCATGGTTCGCAATTGGGGGACTCGTTTGCCAATGGAAACCACAGGGAATGTGGGGATTCGGCAATCCACTGGGCAAGTTTGTGATCCATGCTTGGGCAGGGATCCCGAGGCTGTGGGATCAAACTCATCAAGTGAAAGGGACGTAGGCATTCTGAACGCATGTTGTGATGCGGCGGTGCAGGATGTGCGAACGAATTCAAAAGTCCAAAACCGCGCACCAAGTCCAAAAGGTGGAAAACTTCGGACAAAACTCAGCGTCCGGTCCGACGCTGACGGCGCTTGGGGTCCCGAAGCGCTCGAAGATCGCGCACATTACCCTTTTTCCTGCACGGATACAGACCGAGTGGTTCGCTGATGCCAAGTGGAACCTATGGGTTTCACATATGGAAGTGTCCGAAAGCGTCGCTTATGGCAAGGTGTATGGAAGGGTGTCCGGCCGGTTTTGAGGAAACAGCAACGGACAACGCGAAACTGACGCGTTCCGACCAGATGCTTCACTGCTCGGCTCTGGGTAATGAACAAATGATATCACCTGATAGGCTTCGCTGTCTGTTAGGGGAAGCCGGCGTGCTTCGTCCCGGTCTTTTCCAGTTTCCGTCCATCAGACCCCGAGTGAGGTGGTTTGTGAACACGGCCGCGTGGGCGAGTTTCCCGGGGATGTTGAGGGCGTCCACCAACAACGCGGAAGACGGAGCGCACGACCGGTGACCTTGTCGAGAGGTTCATATACCAAAAGCCGCCCATCCCCCTCGACCCCGATGGGTGACACTTGCACTTGTAGTACTTTCAGTCGAAGCTCTTGTCGAAGGAAATGCTGGCCACTACGAAAGCGTCGCACGTCTGTGATGGTAACACCGACGGCTTGCGCTGCTCCATCCCACGTGTTGTCGTTTCGCTTAGCTTCTGATGACGGTGTATCGGGTGCACCCGACAACGGCTACAATTACGCTCAAGCGTTCTGGGATGGCCCCGGGGGTGGCCTTGAGCTCCCCACCACAGACTTTCGCAATGCAGCGGGGTCACAGTGGGGGCACATCACTGTCATCGCCGTCATTATCGCTGACCTTCATGCGCTTGTAGTACCGTCTACGAGGATCTTTTGGGTATATGAGCGCGAGACCGGCGAGAGGTTACGGGGGTGAGAAAACGCGTCTCACGTGCTTACGTAAAGACGCGTTTGCCCAAACTCCGACTTTCAACCCGACGTCAAGAGCAAGCCCCTTCTCCACTTTCCGGTCCCAGATGGCCCGACAGCCGTCGTACATGCGCACAATTGGTCTGAACTCAAAGCTCCTGGTTTCAGGGTTGATAGCAATTGCATCGGATGGGTCCGCCGGGATGCCTGGTAAGTGAAACACAAAGAGAAGGTGAGAAGCTGCAGGACGTGGGTGTCCTGGATGACGCGCAATGGTAATCCTATCACTCTCGATCAAGCAATCAACGCAGCTCGTCGTCCCCACGTTCCTCATGGTTTCACCATGGCAATCAAGAACGACATTGAAACCTTCCAGAAAGCTTGGCGATAACTTTCCAGGTGCGTTCATTTGATTCATCCAGTTTGTCCTTTTCCCTCCTAAGTTTTTGCGTTCCTTCCATCCGGGCTCGCAGTTATTGGGGCCGTATTAGGTTCCGGTTCCTTCGCGCTGGTTAGACCCGAGATGCCCTACTTCTCGTTCACGCCCCCTCGCGCCCGTCGTTGAATCTGCTCGCGTCCAACATGCAATCATCTAACACTCCCACCGCAGATGCCGCCATCAATGCGGTTTTGTGGCCGATTTTCCGTTGTCGACCCCCGCGGCAAAGATGAAGCCACCGTCTGCCACCGTTGTCAGTACTAATAAAGTCTGATTAGGCAGTTCTGGCTATAACATTCGTTGGCAAGGACTCCCCGTCCCTGTCAGGGTTTAAGCACTGTCGCCTCTGCGTCGCCCGGACCTTCCCACCCCGCGGCCTACAGGTCATCTCCGTACTCAACAGGCGCAGACGCAGCAAGGCAACACTGACCCTGTGCCTTATCCACCGCTTGCCCGATTCTCCAGCCCGTCCCATCCGTCTCGGTGGTATGCCCCTTTCCCCTACTTCAATGCTCTCCCATCTCGCCCACCCAACCGTTTGCGCGAGGCATCCAGAAAGAACGTGTCGTTCATTACCCCACTGGCAAGTTCCCCTAACACCCAAGACCGTATATGCCTGGGTTTGAAGATCCAATTGGGCAATCTCCTTCAGTAGAGATAACATTGTGGTGCGGAGGTCGGCAAGGTCGTAGGGTGCGAGTTTGGTGATACGCGTGCGAGCCGCGCAGAAGCGTTTTGCCATGGGTTGAGGGAGGAGTGAACGATGCTTGGAGGAGGTTGACGAGAGTGGGGATCCTCCCCCACATCACCTTCAGCCCATTCCTGGATCTCCCCTTCGAAAACGCCGCATACTCCCCACACCGTTCTGTTCGGCTTGACGACTTCCTCGAGTGAAGCGCATGGCGTCACCGGCAACTCCTGTGTATTCCCGAGTGCAAAATCCAGCTGATAAAGGGGACATGGGCTCAGCGCAACACTCGGACGCGTTCAAGTCGCGTTTGATTTTGGGCGTCCGGGGATCTCGGACAAGGGTTAATTTGATTACCGTTGCGCAGGCAGGAAAAATTTGTCAAAATTCTGGCTTGCAAAATTTGCCTGCCTGTGCACAAGTCACCTGAAACGCGCGCGACATCGCCGTAGCCAAGCGCAGCATCCTCATCACGCCCCGCTCCGATTACAACAAGGCGGTGCTGGGAGCCTGGCCGTTCACGGACGCTTCTCCTTCAAGGAAGGGATGACGACGAGCTTTCTTTCGTGCGGACTTGCCGAAAAGGGGACTCCAAGTGAAGATGGCCGGGGCGGCCCGGAAGTCAGAAGGACAGATGCGGCGGTGATTGAACAGTGAGAAAAACGTAGCATTTGCTATATGATTTGGGCGTTCTTGGCTGCCGTGCCGCAGCACTGCCGCTAACTTAGAACGCAAAACCTAAAGTCCGCGGGTTGGGCCGCTGTGGGCAAATGGAAGTTGTGCCCGTGGTGTGCGGCCAGTGGGTCACCGGCCTTAGTATTTGTTGCGGCGTTATGAGCCTTGTGATACCGTGCACAACAACAATTTCCCCTAAAATCTCCTCCGTTTCCCCCTTGTGCAAAGTTCCGTGGTCTGCACCGAGTTCCCAGTTCACCCCCTGTCACCCCCAGGTGTCTCGAGGGGTCGATGCATGTTCGCTTGGAGGCATGCGGTAGGAAACAATAAAGGGGGACCGTTGTGTGAGCGAGCAACGATCCGTTTATAAAAGCAGTGCTCTTCTCCTGTCAAGCTTCCCACGCATCTGTTTCAGAATCTTCCGATCTTTCCACTTTCCACTTCACGGATTCCAAGGCAGCCCCGATTCTTCGTAAACAGCTCAAAGATGCACTCCTTCATCACCGCTTCGATCGTCGCAACCGCCTTCGCCGCTTCGGCATTGGCCCAGTCCTCCCCCGGTTTGGATGGTATCTTCCACCACACAGTTATTCCAACCATCAACTGCGGGCCCGACATTCTGGTCGACGACTTCCATGTTTACAACCGGTCTATGCTCCCAATCCAAGGCGAGAAAGACCCCAGACAGGTCAACCTTCTTGGTGGTGACTATGGAACCGACGGCACCTTGAAGTTCAACGTCAGCGTTGCTAACAAGGACGTGGAGGTCACCCCAGTTTCCGGCGCAAGTTACTTCTTCTTCAAATTTGTAAGTAAAAAATGCCGACGGCCGTCATCGAGCATCTCAAAACTCTACGAAGATTAGCTCGATTTTGGGTCGTTTCCCACGATTGACTTCTACGACCCTTTGCTGATTCAAGCTTTTCATGTTTCCACCATAGGATGCTGGTGCATGTTTCGACCTTTCCGGTTTCAACTCTCTCTCCTTTGACATCATTGCTCCCGTGGGAGGATCTTTCGACATTGGATTGACCCAGAAGTCGGCCGACTGCCACGAGCGTCTTGGTGGGGAGACCTCACAGTACGACAGCAAGTACCTCCCTCTGACACAATTCGTGACGCCCGATGGCACCACCAAGCAGACGGTAAGTCCCCTCATCACTCTTCTACTGCAAGGCACCCAGCTCCGGTTCTGACTCTTCTCATCATAGGTGGTTGTGCCATTCTACTCCCTTGCTGGACCAACTCAAGCCGGCCCGGCCTTTGACTTTGTCCACTTGAAGGACGTGACCTTCATCAACTGGAAGTCCTTCAACTCTGTCTACAAGATCTCCAACATCCGTCTCCGTCGTGCCTGCGGTGAGAACGGCCCCTCGGGCGCCAACCACACCATCTCGGGTGCTGCGCCTACCGGACCCACCACCAGCAGTACCGCTCCCGCCCCAGGTGCGACCGCGACCGCCGGCAATGGTGGTTCCCCCCCCGCATCCTCAGGCAGCGCAGGCGCCGCCGGTGGCTCTGGCTCCAACAGCACCAGCTCTGCTAGCAGCCTCCAGGTCTTTGGCGCGGGACTCGTGACTATGATGATCGGTTCTCTCGTCGCTTTGTAAATCCCCTTCCGTTGAGCCGGGCATTTCTACCTTACATAGTTCTGTTCCCTTAGACTCTCGTCACGGCGTACCCCTGGTGTCTTCCCGCCTCTGATTAGACGTATCCCCCTTACTTGTATCTATTTCCCTTTCTTCTCTTGTTGTCCATCGCGTTCTATGCCGTGAGAACCTTACTTTATTTGGCTCAGACTCTGTCATAGACAATGTACCTGCCCATAATCGGTTTGCGATCGACGTTCTGAATAATATGTCGCTAAAGAATGTACTGTAATGAAATGTCTAGACCGGCTACCTAATGTTTCTCTGTACGCCTCCTCGCCAAGAGTGACTGCGAGGAACCCATCTATCTAGTTCCTATGCACCACGACGAAGAAGTTACGCCAACGTCCCAATACCACCGTCACCACATCCTGAATAACCCCAAATCACGTCCTTCAGTATCCCCAATCCGGAAAATCCACCCCAACTCCGCCCATCTCATCTCAACGCCATATCACTAAACGACGGCGATGTCGCCGATGCTGATGCAGCACGTTTCCTCTCATACGTAAACACGTAAAAGCGATACCGGCGCCTCTCGCCCTTCCAGTCCGCGGCCCCAATCACGTCTTCCACCCACTGGCCCTGTTGTTGGTATCCCTGTGCGTTCGTCTCGTCCGCGGTATCACTCTCTTTGGTGGTGGTTGTGGGAGCGGTAGTGTTGATACAGACAAACCCCTCCCTCGCCATATTCCGCTCAAACGCGACGATGCTGTCGATGAATTGCGGGCGGATGCGGTTGAGGATGATGACATGCGCTTTGTCTTGGTGGGCTGGGATGAATGGATTGGGATCGGGATCGGAGGCAGACGTATCCACCACCTCCCGCAGGACCCTCGGCAGCAGCACGGCATGGTGCGGGTCGTACACGACGTCGGAGGCGATGATGGCGTCGATCGGTGGGTATTCGCGCACTGGCGCCGTGTCATCACAGCTGTCGGTCCCAGCGGAATCGAAGAGCAAGTCACGTCTCGTTTCAGGCCCCAAGTGGTTCCAGTCCAGACCGCGGACACGGACGGTGTTGGCGACGCCGTTTTGGAGGACGTTCGAGCGAGCGGTGCTGAGGATCGAGGCGTGGTAGTCGGTGGCGGTGATCACCACCGCCGGGTTGCCGTTTTCATCCGCTCGCTCCAGCGCCTTTGCCGCGCAGATGCTCGCGACGGCGGTCCCACAGCCAACCTCCAACACATGTCGCTTGGTGCGGAAGTCAAAGGGTAGGGCGTCCAGACGGGTATCGAACACCCGCGCGAGCAGGATCCCGGCGTTCCAGACCTGATTCCCGATCTCGACGTCGTTGCCGGTGTGCGAGGCCGAGGGCTCCGTCAAAGTCAACGTGTGGGTGGAAAAGGTATATGATTCCGTATGAGTTTGGGATTCGGTGGTGGTGGGACTGGGTTGTTCGATGAGGGTTGAGGGGGGGTTGGAGAGGGAGGAGAGGACGGCGGCGGTGATGTCGAGGGCGGCGGAAGCGGCGGGGGAGGAGAGGAGTTCGAGGTCTTCGGTGCGGCGGTAGAGCCAGTTTGTGAGGGCGGGGGTGTAGAGGGCGAGGTCGGATACCGTTGTTTCGGTGTCCTCCTCGTCGTCTCCTTCGTCGTCGTCCCGCTCGTCCTCGAGCACAACCCCATCGTCCACCACATGCTCCTCGCTGGCCGCACCTTCCACCTCATCCTCCTCCTCGGCCTCACCATACCCAGAATCCGTATCATCCGGGACACTCAGCACCCGCCGCCGGCAATCCACAGGCCGCAGTCTCCGTTTATCTTCCCGACCATCCAGACGAAATTGGCGACGGAGCGACACGAGCGCTGAGAGGTATGCGGGGATATCGGCGTCGGAGTTGATGCGTAGTGGGGGTAGCCGCGGGTGCATTTTTCGTGCTGGTTGTGAGGCGGGTTGGAAATCTGCTGCGGGTATCCTTGTGACCTGCGTTGCGTGCGATTATGGGGCCTCTTCAAGTCCGTGATATATATATTGCTGAGCTGTCGGTCTTTCTATCACTCGCCGGGGGTGAGTGAATTGCGGTCGGAGTGGACAACGACACCCTGACTTTATAAGAGTCCGCTTCTATCTAGGCCCCCTTCTATAACGAGCGAGCAAAATAAGCTCAAGTCTATGTAGTGCCCATGTTTAGGTTTCGGCGGGGGTTGTGGGAACAGGAAATAGAACGGTGGGTTGCGGAGTTTGAACAGGCGGAGTCCGAAGGAGGGAACTGGAGAACACGCGCGATCATGCACTAGCGCTAAGCAGAGCCGGCAGTCGAATAGCAAAGAATTTTACGAGTGAGCTTAAGACTCATCTATCGAACTTTGCACTATGAGTTTCTGCGGGCGTCACCAGCGAGTCACGTAATCAATCTTGACACAGTCCAAAGCTTCACAATCGTCCCAGGCTCAGATGGTTTCCGATGGTTGTCCGATGGTCAGCTTCCTCATCAACGAGAAACAGCGCGTTGAGGTCAACCAAACCAATCTCGCACAGCAACTCCGGGACTTTACGGCGGCGCCCAATGCTGGTTTGCTGGAGAAGAAAGCAGCTGAGGAATTGCTACTGAAGCGCAGGGTAGATATCTTGGAAAACAAGATGGCTTGTCTGTGCAATAAGCTGGACGCCCCAGGGTACGAGGAGGCGAAAACCAGCTTTTCGGCCGCGACTGAAGCAGAGATTGAATGAGAGCTATACTTCTGAGAGCAGCGAAGCTCTGAATTTGCAATTTCCTCGACGCAAAGGCTAGTGGATGAGGCAGAAGGTACGTACAGTACAGTAGTCGGCTAGGGTGCAGTTTAGTGGGTTTTGCCCCCGTAACCCACCCGATCCAGAACCCACCAAACTACACTGCTTCTACTGCGCGCGTCCACAGCCCACCAAACTACACTGCTTGCGCGCGTGTTTGACCCCCCATCTCGCAATTCCAAACCCAAAATCACCCTAGCCGGTGCAATTCCAAACCCAAAATCACGCCAAGCATGGAGCAGTTTTCCAGCCCCACCCTATGCGCTGCAGAGGAGTACCCTTGGTCCCAAGATCGTGAGGAATTTGAATTGGAAATGGCCGAAGAAGACTACGACCAGGCATTCACTGAAGCAATTGAGCGGGAGAACGTGGATATTTCGGAAGAACAGAAGATAGAGGCCCGCTTAGGACTAGCCAACTCTCGTCATCAGCACTTGTGCTATGATGATCCACCTATCACTTGATGCTATGACACGGGGGTATAGTGGGCGCACAGGCTTGGTGATGGTTTACAGCCCGTTGGAGGAGGATGTTGAAATAACTGCAGACCCGTTGGACGAGTGATGAAATGGAGAAGGCGGGGGGTTCAGGGGGGCGGCAGCCCCCTTGAGTGGGGTTTTTTTGTAATATATACGTACTATTTATACTAATACACCCCGTCAAATGAGCAGCGTGCAGAGGGGGGTCCAGGGGGGAAAGCCCTGGTGGGGGTGCGGGGGGAACCCCCGCTGTGGTTGTGTGTAGTTTGTTGGGTTTTTCTTTGAGTGTAGTTTGGCGGGTTCTTTTTTGAGTGTAGTTTGGTGGGTTCTGGGATCCGGTGGGCTACGCGCGGAAAACCCACTAAACTGCACCCTTACCCAGTAGTCTTGGTTGAGTTGTGCACGCTCCCTAGAATGCGCTACATCAATCTCAGTGCCATCATGCCCTCTCCCGTAAATCTAGTCTTTCATCTACATCTACAGCAGAGTGCGCAGGAGTGCGTGTATGTCAGATGGCGTCCGGCGTACGGGATCGCCTTGTTGCATACTATAAGTAACGATAGGACTGTATGCACATGCATATTATGTCTCGACATGTCCGACTGTCCAGTGTCGACAGGGCGATCCCGGGGCGATCGGCGGGGGGTTTCCATATTGCAGTGGAGAACCGGGCGCGACTCCCCTCCGAGGCGCCGATCTCCATATTCAAGTTCTGACCACTTCCGCCACGCTTCGCTGTCCACTTTCGCACTCAGAGGACCAGGCGTCAAAGCCTCTCGTCGAAGCCTCTTGTGAGCACACACAGAGCGCTTACTATATAGGGCAGGAGGGACGGTAGTATCTCCCGTAGCTACACACCGCGCTTCGGCAGCAACGAGGAACTCCTCAAAATGGCTGCAATGGTGGACCATGAACACCTCGCCGTCGACATTCCCGAGTTTAACATCCCCCCTGGGCACCACCCGGTGGCTCACCACCATCACCACGACGACGAGCAGAGGCAGCGTTTCCGACAAGCGTCCGTGCTTCGGCGCTCGGTCTCCATAAACGAGGAAGGCACCACCCCACCTGCGTCGACGTTGGCACCTCCCTCTGGTGCAGTTCCTCACCAAACCTGCACTCGCTTCTTCCGCTCCGGCTCCAAGCAGTTCCAAATCGTCGACAACCCCGACGAACTGCCTCCCTGCAACAAAAGCATCGATTCCAATGGCTCCGAAACCGAGTTTTGTGTCATGGGCAGCCCCCAGCACATCGCAGCGCTCAAAACAAAAGTCCTCGAGCTGCAGAAAACCGCCCGCGACGCCGAAGACGAAAAGGAACTGGCCCGTCAGCGCGCAGAGCAGATCAGCGGTGAACTCGAGTCTCACAAAAGCGACCTTCTCCGCTTCACACGCACACTAACCAATGGATCCTCCTCCACCGCGACCATGGTCCACCCGTCCATCAAACAGTATGGACCCATCGATATGGAAATCATGCCGACGGAGGAGCCAAACGGCGATGATGAGCAGCTGAGTCAGATCTTTTGGAAGAAGCCGAGGATCCGCCAGTACCTCATTCGACACACGACGTTGATTAGAGAGGCGGAGGAAAGGACGACGACGTGGCTGGAGCTGTTGTTTGATTTGTTGTTTGCGGGGATCGTAGCCATATTGGGAAGCGCCTACATTGGCACCGAGTCCCCGCTGGATCTCCCGCAGTTTTCGATTCTGTTCCTCATGAGCATCAGGTGCGTGACGGGAACGTTTTCCGCGTTGAGGGACACCGCCTTTGTAACTCGGACTGACTCAATCTGACACTTCTGGCGGAACACAGACCGTGGGTGGACATGGTGATGTACTACAATGTCTTTGCGAGCGACGATGTGGCACAGAAGGGGTTCATTGTTTGGGTACGTAATCCAGCGCATGGACACACCGCCGGCTACCGGCATGGATATGCCCACATCCTTTAACGGCTCTGCAATCCTCAGATCATGGCCCTAGTCGTCGGACTCGGCATCAACTGCACAGAAGCCATTTCCTCAACCCACACCATCTTCATCGTCTTCTACCTCCTGATCCGCTTCTCGTTCGCCCTAACCTACCTCTCCTACTATCCCCTCTTCCCTCAATTCCGCGCCTCCCTCGTCCAATCCGCCCTCCCCTCCTTCGTCAGCGCCGTCTTCTTCATCAGCTCCATCTTCTCAAAAGAGCACAAATACTCCCTCTGGTGGGCAGGGATCGCCTTCGACTACCTCCTCAACCCGTGCATCCTCCTCGCCTCACGATACATCCCCTGGATCCCGCGGCCCGTGCATCGCCTCGCTGTCAGTATCGAGCACCTCTCGGAACGCAACGGCTTGTTCCTCATCATCGTGCTGGGTGAAGTCATGGTCGCCCTCTTCTACACATCCTTCTCAGCCACCCCGGACCTCTCGTACGTCAAAGCGGTCCTGGCACTCATCCTCGCCCTCAACCTCGCCTGGATCTACTTCGACGTCGACGGATCCCGGCAGGAGATTCATGCGATGCGCAGGCACGCTTGGACGGGGATCACGTGGAATCTATCCCACATCCCCATGTTTGGCGCCGTCGTCCTCGCGGGTGTCAGCGTCGAGGTGATGGTGCGCGCCACCGACGACGGTGCGGGTGATCATCACGCCGATGCACCTGGGGGCGGCCACAACTTTTCAACAACAACGTACCGCACCTTCTTTGGATCGCTGGCGGTGACGCTGTCCTGCATGACCGTCATCTCCCTCACCCACAGGTCGCTGCACGCCTCGCGGCTGTCCAAACGCGTGCGCACCGTCGCAAGGATGGCTGTCGCTGTGTGCTTTGCGGCACTGGCCGCGGCCGCGAGTGACGAGCACCCGCTGATGACTTCGGCAAAATGCGTTGCGCTGGCCGCGGGCGCGACGTTGGCGTTGGTTGGGCTGGAAACCTGGAGTCGGTTGGGTGGGATTTCGAGACATGTGCAGGGTGTGGGGACGCAGGATGTGAAGACGGTCACGGAGGAGGGGAATGTTGGGGGGGATTGTAATGGGATGCAGTAGAAGCATGTTCGATCCATGTAGTGATGTAGGAAGGGAGGCGGGGAGGTTGGCTGGGCTGGTTTCTGGCTAAAACCTTCGCGAGGACATACACGCAATGCGTCCATATATTCACATGATTTTTCACACCCAACCTCGACGCCGATGGGTGACATTCCCCATATGTACTCTTAGTTTGTAAATATAATTGAGTGCCTCCTATGTGCAATTCATACGTAGACGATGAGCAACCTTTCATCAATAGACATTCATGGTGTTCATTATATTGAGTTTGCTGGTGTATGTACATATATATTTCAGACTGCTGGTCACTGTGCAGCCCGTCCTCCCATCGACGGCCATGCTTTATGTACCCGTGCGGGTGTATCTGTGCTGCCAGCGGGAACCTTTGAGGATTGTGCACCCATCTAGACTACGTATGATGACTCCAGAGTCGACCCCTCGCGCTCTTGCATGTTCATACTAAGCTGCTTGGCAAGATATGTACGAGTGCGGAGTGGGTCTCGAAAGTGACAGGTAGCCGTCATTACGTGCGCGGCGGACTTGGGGTTTCGCGGACTCCACAATGCAATTCCGCGGATCGAGGGCTCTAGTACCCTTCAAACACACGCCTAGGCCACGATGCGAGGAAGCCAGAAGGAGCTGGAAACGGCGCCAACCGGTCACCGGCCGACTCGCGGAAGCTGCGTGCTCAAAAGTAGTGCAGCGCTATCCCTGCGCGACGATACCGCATTGGATTGGAATTGGAGTGGCGAAACAATCGTAAGCTCGTGGCGGCTCCTTCGGCTTGCCTACGCATGAGGGGTGACAGAAGTCGAAGAGGGAGAAACATTCGGCGTCTCCGGCAGTTGAAGCACAGGGCAGGGGTTCCGGTACAGCGTGTGAGCGAGAACAAAAGCAGAACGACAAAGGCCAAACGACCACGTAAGGGGACCTGCTCGAAGAAACTTAATAACAATTCCCCAGGCCCGACTGTTACTGTAGATGCTGACCATCTTACCGGCCATGCTTGCAACGTCGGACAAACTGAACTTGCGGATGGACCCATACGCTCTCGTGACAACGTAAGCATGCGAGAGACCAACTCAAAACGTTTTCGGATCACCACGACTCCTCTGTTCGGTATTTGTTACAGGCGCTGTTATGCATAGACATCAACCTTTCCCGCGGCAACAAGTACGACAGGAAAAACTTTCGAGTTGTCGCGAGAAGGAACAGGGGGTTCTCTTCCGATTGGAATGAATTAATCTTGGGTGAGGCTACGCTACTCGCTCGTTGCCGCGAATCCGCCATTGAGAAGATTCCGAGAAGATTTTCAGGCGACCGATTCTTTGGAGTTCGCCTGTGCGCTAGAACTCAATTCCTCAGACGGACTCGGCGAAAGCCCCAGGAACACTGGCTGCAATTCCCATCTCTTTTTACAAAGGTGTGTGATAGTCGCGCGGCATATCGCTGATGGGAAGGGGCCTTGTCCAAAACGTGGAGATATTTACTATGTCCTCTCCCTGGGGTCGTAGTGAATGTCTGTACGGATCCTTGTGCTTAATGACGAAAGAAGAGACTAGCCAGCATTTTCATCGGCTCCCATATGGCCGTTAGATATTTGACTTCCAACCCATTGGTCAGATCGACAGATGCCATCGACATCTGCGCCGCTCTTCCGCAACATGCAACGTCCATTCTTCCGGAGGCCACATGCCCTTTGGGACTATTACACAAGTTGGATTACGGGGCGCCTGAGCACTGAGCACTGAGCAGCAGTGCAGCACCGGCCAAGCACAGACGACAAGCCATTTGCAGTCGTCCCCGTGTTTGTCGCCCGAACATCCATACAGGCATAGAGGGAGGCTCTGCTCGGTATTGTATATAATAGATAATTTGCATTGCAAAGCGTTGTGGAGAGGTGGTGCCATGCCGACGCCTAAATCCGGTAGGGCAACCCCACACTCGGAAGTCACAACGCACCGGAGACTCCGGTTTTCCGTATGAAGACTTGGCATTTTGGATACGGGGTGGATGAAATCGAAGGGCTGCGGCCAAGCTGTCGAACCTCGTCAAACATCTGAAGGCTGACCGTCTCCGCGGTGTTCGGTTGGGGACATACACCCGACGGTAACGGCTCCGCGGCGACCCATATCCGCCTCCTCCGAGCTTGTGAGGAATCACTGTGAGGATGCTTCGCAGACGGCAGACTGGCGGTCGCTTTAATTTGCGTGTTAATTTGAATTATGGGGACGGAGTATGAGAAAAAGGATTGACATCCTGGTGACGAGCGCGCGCCCAACTCCGCGGACCGCGTTCTCAAGCGTTCTCATTGGTCCACTTAATTAACAGCTACCCGTCAATTTCCATCCCGTCAACCCCACCCTGACTTTTCTCCCCAACTGGTTATGTTGATCTAATAGAGGGCGCTGTGTAATGATGATGGCCCTCCTCACCAGCAAATCCTGATCACACCGCAGAAAGCTCGGGATCTGTTTCCGCCGCCGGCATCTGTGCCTAATTAGATACACCGCTCTGTATCAGAGTGGGGCATGTTCAGCAGAAAGGCAGTTGCCATCGCGGGCAGAATCTCCCTCGTGGAATAGAGGACTCCAAGCAGCTGTCGGCACCTGTCGGCCCAGGCGCTGATGTAGTGGCCACTCGATCGGTCGGGGGGAAAGTATCCCGACCGTTCGACATCAATGCATCCGCGTTCCGCCCGCAGTTCGCCACAACCGCCACCACGCCGTAAGTATCGCTGAACTTTTCTCAACGGTTGCTACAGCGTATTCAATCCGTCCAAGCTCTGTGCAATGTCAGGCGGTTATGAATGGATCCGTGGGGGAGGAAGTATCCGTCTAATCGCGGTGTTTCGTCATGCGGTCGCGGAAGAATCTCTGGAGCGAATGCATCTGCAGGAATGTATGCTGCCGGTGGTGTTCTTCTCTTTGTATGCGTCGAGAGGGTCAAGGCCTGCCGTGTTTCTCTTGAAAGTTGGAACACCATAAATAGTGCGGTTGGCGAGGCATGTCCCTCTCTGCACATCATCCAACGGCAACGGTCAATTCAGCAACAGGGTCCCGCCACCATGAAGATTTCGCTCGCAGTTTCCCTTTTGGGCGCTTTCGCCAGCCTCCAGCCCGCCTTCGCCAAAATCTTGTGGCGTGGCGACTTCGAAACGAGCGATATCAACCAATGGGGCGTTAAGGAGAACCCCGGCGGTCCTGAACGGTTCCAAATCGTCACAAGTCCTTTGCGTCAAGGAAAATACGCTCTGCGTGTAGAGACTCGTCAAGGTGATAAGTACAAAACCAGCAGTGGCAATCGCAATGAGTTGTCTCGCGAGGATGGTAAGCGGTCAGAAGCCTTTTTTTTGGCAATTGTCTTTACATTCTGAGCTTCCGAAGTAACATTAACTCTGGTTCAAAAGTGATCATCAACAAAGGCGAGGAAGAGTTTTATCGTTGGAGCGTTCGCTTTGACGAGAATTTTCCGTCGCCGGCCGGTACCTGGGAGGTCCTGGCGCAGTGGCATTCGCGCTACAGTGCCGTCCCGGTTGGGTTGGCATTGAACGTGAGTCATTGATCTCCTGCCGCCATCGGTTCATCCGTGCGTTGGAAAACTAATTTCCTCATTCCTAGGGAGAAAAAGTATGTATGAGCGTCGGGCAACCGCATTGTGATAAGCCAGGGTTCGGGCATTTACATCGCTTCGGCTTTTCAGTTCGAATGGCTCGTCGGAAATGAGATGGATGGTCCCTGGCCTGGCACTCAGGTACGTGACGTTTGCGTGTGCGGACATGTTGTAGCGATGGCGAATGCCCTTTCACTCACGGTCATCCGTTGTCTTCGCGCAGGTCAATGCCTGGAACACTCCTCTCAAACGAGGGATTTGGTATGACTTCATCGCCCATTTCAAGTATGTCGAAACACGCGCGTAGGCGGTGTCTCACATAGCGTGGCTGATCCTTCGATCTCGTTACTTGAAGATGGTCTCCTGAGAAGAACCAAGCGAGCACAAGCCTCTGGGTGAACGGGGCCAAAGTGGTCGACGGCATCAAGGCGCCCAACATGTACCGCGGAGAGACCAACTGTAAGAGCTGCTTCATCCGCCTTTCGGAACAAGCTCGAGACAATTGGCAAAAACGTTCTTCCTCCCGACACCTGGACTTTTAGATCTCAAGGCTGGTCTTTACCGCAAGGATACGATCAAACCCGCCGGCGTCATTTACCATGACGGCTGGATGCTCGCGGACCGGTGAGTGCATCACGAGCTTTGTATTTCATTTTCATTTTCCGCAACTCCGCTGGCTGACGTTTCTCAATATTTCTTCTGAACGCGTTTTTAGCCTCGACGACTTGTTGACCGACGGCTACCAGATCACCCCTTACGACCCTAACCATCTGCAGGGTGGGACTTCCGGCAACACCACCATACCCCCCACCGTTCCCCCCACCACTCCGCCCACTGGTGACTGCACCGCCGCGAAGACCCAGTTCATGGCCTGTGTCAACAAGTGTAGCCGCCAATTGTAGACTTGTAGAGATCTCGTTACCCTTGTGTAGCTGTCAAGTGTAGACTACAAGACTTGTTGAGAGAACATTTCCCCTTCTCCCCGCGACTACTCTGTATATGAAATCTGCAATTCAACAGAGTCACGTACGCATACACATGAGTACATGAGTACATGAGTACCCGAATCATGAGGTTTCAAATTCGTTCCTGGCTCTTCATTTCTCCCGAGGACTTGTAACTTATCAGTGCTCACTTTGCCATCGCGAAGTGGCTGATGGTTGACCCTTAGGCACCGGCGTCGGAATTCAAGACCCTTACTTCCGACCCCTCTGACCGACTGAACAAGATTTTGTCCGGGTCCGAGTAACCAAATAGGATCTGCGAATTGGCCCGCTGAATAGCGCCATGAAAGACCAGACGGGACCCTGCCCCGTACACACGGACATCCATATCACGACGACCCTCCGCAGTCATGCAAGCATCCTTTATGCTGAAGATGGCTGGACACAGCGGATCATGTCCACCGGGTCTTTTCAAGCTGTCCACCCCCTCCCCTGCCTCCCCCCCCTCCCTCCCCCCCCCCCCCCCCCTCCCCCTCTTCCCTTCCCCCCACCTCCCTCCCCTCCCCTCCCCGCGCCTCCCTCCCTCCTCCCCCCTGGTGGCGACCGTTATAATTCGGGTGGTGATCCGGATTCGAGCATTTGGATGAACGGTGACCTGGAGGTTGGGCCGACGTAGTCGTCCGATGCTGTCAGTAAGTGCACAACACTTGAAGACGCCTGTCTCTCCGTCTGTCGTCCTAAGGTCCAATTGCACACCGCACGATGCTTTATCCAGGAGACCTTGAAGCTGTCCGCAAGTCAAGTGGGCGAATTCATGATCCTAGCGTTCGTGCGCGTCTATGAACTTGCCACCCTTTTTTAACTCCGTTTGTTCGTCCCTCTCGCAGCACCGACGACCGCAACGATGACTAGACACAAGCGCGGAAACATGTTCGCCGTCCTTGCGGACGACTACGAACCGCCGGAGCGTCCGAAAAAGGTCATCGTCGAAGAGTATCCGAGGTTCCCGGATGAGTTGCCAGAACAGGTTAGCTGTTCCTCCTACACACCGCCAAAGCTGGTTCAGATCTACTACCGACGGAAGTGGGACAAACGTGTCACCCGGGATATCTTTCGGCAACATTGTCTCGCAAAGCACAACGCCATCAAAGAAAGCCCTGAACGTATTACCACCCCGTTTCATATCGAGATGATCAAGAACGGCTGGATGGGCTACCATGCGCAAAAACATCATCTAGGCGGACACTACGAGGATACTTGGCGGCATCCGGTGTGGAGCTTCCATCGATATGGCAGGAGTAGGACCGTCCTGGAGCAGGACGTAGAGACTTCCTGCATCGGCACCTTGCCTCAAGGCACAAAGCTCTTCATCGGAGGGTACCATGAGGAGTTTTGTGATTTTGACTACTTCATCTATAGTGATGTCACCGTCGTGAAGCCGGACGGAACCATCGAACTGCTTCAGTACCATACGAATGACTTTCCACCAACCGATGGCCATACGGCAACGCTTCTCGGCCATGACACACTCATCCTCATCGGCTCTATTGGTTATCTCGATGCCCGTGGTGATAAAGCACAAGTGTGCGTATTGAACTTGAACACTATGAAATGTCAGGTGTTGACCGACACAAAAGGGGACGATCCCGGCTGGATCAGTAAGCACTCTGCCGAGCACATAGGGGACGGCCGGATTCTGATCACTGTTTCGGTCCCCGACTGGACCAAAATGCGCAACGGTTGTCGGCCGGGTCGCTGGATTTTCGATACGCAAGATTCCTCATGGTCGGCGCTACCGCTGACCGACGATGAGATAGCCCAAACCCGTCAATACGAAGACAACATCAAAAATGGCGTCTATGACACTGAGCTTCGGTATGAACGAATCAATGAAGGGAACAAGGAAAGCATGCGCGACACCGACGATCTACTCCGTCAAGTTGAGGACCTGGTCAAAATGGAAGAGAATTACAAGGAAATCGAGCGGCTACTGAAAGAATTGAAGGAGCAGGCGGAGGAGTACACCATCGAGACAAAGCAATATAGGGACGATAAGAGAGGGTTGCGCTCGTTGACCGACGCAAGGGAGCGGAAGATCGAAGAGGCTAGACTCAAACGCATATTTGACAATCGGGCTGATCGTCGAAAGGACATACGAAAACTGCGGCAAGAAATAGATAGACTCTGTGACTTGAATGCAGTCTTGTCCAAAGAATGCAGAGGCACAGATTGATTAGAGTGCGTGGGAAAGATCATGTTTCTATAGAGACACGGACGCGAAACTTGAGAAAGCAGAAGGCGATTGAGAAACTCAATAGAAGGAAGCGCGTGATGATTTGCCTCTTTTCATTGCAAAGTACTTCTACGTTCTATCTGTATCCTATCCTGTCTATTCCATTCTATTCTATTCTATGTGAGTCCCGGGTTCTTCTTTGGTTTCTTCCTTTCTAAAGTCCGTCAAGCTGCAACAGACTTGACCCTCAAATCGTATTCCAGGACACCCCAATTCGATCGGCATCTCTATCATCGATGGCCTTCTATACCGTGACGACAAGGTGAACTCATCGAAAACATTAGGGCTCCGAAAGAGTATCATCTTGAGGTATGCAGGCGTGTCCGCTTCGTTGGCCAGTCGTCGATCATCGATCAAGTCCTGCGGAGACTCGTCCTCTTCAGGTAACAGTGGCTTTCGGAAGCGTTGATTTCCATACGTGATCCCTTTCTCCTGAAAAGCCTAGACGCCGCTGCTTGTTCCTAGATATGGCGCGGGGTCCTCAAAAGTTGCCATGAAGTTCAGCGTATCCTCTGAGGCGTGATAAAGAGCCCGTGTCCAACCGGAGGTGCCAAATATGGCTATTCCGGGGAACCGTTTCACGCGGTAAGGGTGGTGCTCCCTTGCAGTCGGGAACGTCGGAGCTTGGGAACCCTTGACGCGTGAGCAGCAACGCGTGTGTCAGTAATCAGGGGACGCCATCGTTTCGTCTTCACATGGTCAATTCCGAAGATGTGCTCCGGCTTCAAGGAGAGCGCAAGGATGGTGCGACTATTTCTGTAGTCAGTTGGACGCACCTTCCATCGGCTTCAAGGAGGATGGTAGGGCTCATAAGGAGAAGGCAAGGGCATATTGTAAGGAAACCGTACGGGATTTCCGGGTGAGTGCAGGGGAAATGGGCCAACAATATGGTCTCACCTCTCGCGATTTGGAGGCGTAAACAACAGCGGTTGACATATTTTGAATAGCGGGATTCCCAGTTGGTGAGCTTTAGCGCTTTCATCGTCTATCAATGTACCCTCCACGGACCTGCATCCGCCTAACGACATCCTCCGAATGGACATTCCTGACCTCTTCGGCGTACGCAATTGTACATAGACGACTCATTTCCATAGTGTAAGTCAGACATCTAGACTCATCGGATTGCAAATGTTATATAATAGGACTGCCCAATTTTGCATGTATACAAGACTTTTCAAGAAATTGCACATGTATCTCGGTCAGAATTCTTTCAGTGGGGAGGGCAGCAAACGTACGGTACCCGCATACAACATACCCAATGGCAAAACCGACTGCAGCGGATTGCGGGATTTCGAGGTCCTCGCCATTGAGCGGAGAGGCATAAGGCTCGGGTCGTTCGGCCAAACATGAGTCCATCACGCTGACGCACAAGGTTCTCCACAGCCTCACTGAACAGGCTTCGCAATTGCCTTGGGTTCATGTCTTTCCCCCTTGTTGCGTTCAACGCCCCGCCGCACCCGCAGCTTCTCCATCCGCGACCCCATTCACCCGTCCCTTACTTCCATTCTCTCCTGGCCCATAAATCTTACGCCGTGCAAGCTCCAAAAGCCACCGCTCATAAATTCCAGTATCAAGGGAGCGCAGATACTCCAGTGCAGTCTCACGTCCCTGCACGCGGACGCGTTCATACAGTTCGTGATCATGCAGCGCCGCATGTATGATATGCAGCCAGGGGTCGGGGTCATTGAACGGGATCTTCCACTCGCCCAGCCTGCTCATCACCTCCACATCCGTTTCCTTCTCTCCCGACATTGGAGTGACAGGCACGACCCATGGTACGCCGAGATGGGCTTCCGGTAACCCGCCAGCGTCGGATGAGACGACGGGGATTCCACGTAGCAGTGCCTCGACGACCACGAGACCGAAGGCTTCGTAGCAGACCGAGGGCACGACGAGGAGTTTTGTCTGTGCGAAGAGATCGTCGATACGTTTGGTTGAGGGAACGACTGTTGCGTTTGGCAGTGCTTCGTACTCCTCCACGACGTGGTCCACCATTGACCATGATTTGACCACCAGGAACTCGATGTCGGGCATTAGACGGATGATCGAGTGCGCGATCTGGAATCCTTTGAGCGGGCCGGGGTTGATAAATGTGACGTAGGTCTTGTCGAAGTTGTCGTAGAAGGTGAGGTCCTCAGGGTTATCGGCATAGATAACGGGGTGGTTGTGAAGGGCTTTGCCGTGGGTTATGCCGCCGAAGTGCGTAAAGTAGGCCTGCACGGCTTTGCTAACGGCCCAGAGGGCATCAACGTCCTTGAGACGTTGATGCTGAGCCTTAGTTTCACCAGCAACCGCGTAGGGTCCGAACGGCAGGTTGTTTACATCGTGCGCGACAAAGACTCTCACGCACTGCGGCAGAGGCATGCGCTTGTCCATTGCGATTTTCAGACTTCCGCGTTCGTTCATTACAAGATGCGTCGGCTGAAACTCCTCAATGAGCTCGTACACGAATTTTTGCCGGGCTTGGTAAATGCACTTCTCGTCATCCACATCGCCGCTATTCGCTTCCCCATGATCGTCGTCATTTCCGCCCTCCAACCACGTACTGTATCTCTCAACGTCCTCAGTCTCCTTCGAATCAAACACGTCAGCGTACTGCTCCGCTTCAAGGCCCACGACCTCCAATTCTAGGTAATTGAATTTGAACACATCGATATGGTGCTGTTTTCGTTGCTGTTCCGCGGTGTCCCCTGTACTGATGGAGGTACCAAATGGTCGAGAGCCGACGTGAACAACGTCTTTCAGTAGCTTGAGGTCCTTGCGATATGGGAGCGCGAGCATTAGAACGGTGTGGCCAGCAGCGACCATTGCACGGCAGAAAGCGAGGTTGGCGCGGTAACCGCCGGACGAGGCATGGAGGCCGTAGGCGCTTTGAGTAAGGAAGATACGCATTTTGCCTCCTATGAGGTGGAAACGAACGCCGGTAGTCAGTTTCTGGCGAATACGTTTTGCATTCTGTTCGCGGTTCTGTTCTGGCCCATACCTGCGTCGCTATGGCTTATGGTGGAGACGGTCATGTTTCCAACAGTTCCTAGCATGTAGCTGCGCAGTGGTGTTGAGGGGAGGATAGGATTGCGGCAGTTCGTTTGGGGCCGTCCAGACGTTGCGGGTCTACATGTACTGTGCCTTCCCTGAGAAAAGTTCCCACGAAGGAGGAAGTCTCAGACAGACCGAGGGACTGAGCGACCGCGTCTCCTTGAGAATTACATACTGTACATGACGACGTCACTCACGCCTTCCGTCAGCAGAAATGGGACATTCGCTCAAGGACCCAACCCCCCTCCGGCTTAGTTGAAGACTGATATTGCGATACATATTACGAAAGGGTACCAACCGAAGTCTCTCTGGCAGACCACGATGTCGCCTCACGGACGGGACCTACTTTCAATATCATTGCCCAGAGGGAGAAAGTCAAGAATAGCTGCGCCAAAGACGTCTTCGTGAACTTCGGTTTGCGCTGACCACAGCGGAGGCCCGGCTGGTTGACAAGTATCGCCAAGACCTGTCTTTCGAAGAGAGCAGTCGAACAGAACGTGGATCACTCCATGGAGAGATTTTATGTGCCAGTACGTAGATTCACGGAAATCCTACCTTCTCTGAAAAAGTGTGAGGTGTAAACCTATCTTGATCTCGACAACGAAGATGAAGCACATAGCTGACTCGTCTACATTGAGACACCATTGGAAAGTGGGGGTCGAAAGGTTCTTAGATCCCTCGAGCGCGAAGCGCAGGGTTCCTGGAGTGTGGGAAGTGCACACAGATTAGGAACGCAAATCAGAGCGAAGCTGTTTTACATCACCTCCTCTGCGTCATTTGGAGTTGATGTAAATCTATGGGCGTAAGATTTTTACCCATATCTAGCAACATGCAAAATGTCGGTTAGGGATGGTCTCTATGTACATAGGCTGCATCTGTACTTCTGTTACTTCCGGCGTCGACCGTCGTAAATAGGAAGAAGTCTGGATAACCCCGCCATAGAACAGGTGGCAAAGGCTTTGGTCAAACGAAAATGATTTTGGCCCCCTATTGGACGTACGACATTGCGGAATGGTTTTGACTCCCCAAGTGTGCTATACCACTCATGCCTGCTTCTTGTTCATACTCATATCGATGTCCACCCAAGGACCGTACCATCCTGGGCACTCGTGTCGTTCAAAATGCTTCCAGATTCGGGTTGAATGCAAGACGGACTTCGCGTTGGTCTTGTCGGGTTTGGTGCGTGACTCCGCAATTGACAGGCTACGTAATCAACGCGTTCCAAGTCTCGACGCGTTTTCGCCCGTTCTGAGTCCAAATTCACCTCGCAAGATTGCATTGCATGGTGTTCGCAAGGAGTATAAGAAAGACTGCGGACCTCCGTCCTGCCAAGGCAAAATCGGATAACATCCTTTCCAAAAGTCCACCGGTGTACTGATCTTCATGCCAGATTCCCATCCGCCTCCGTATAGGCTTCCGATCCGCCTAGGATCCAATCCTGTACAGAACAACACATTATCGCTACGCTCTTCCTCGAGTGTATCCAAGAATCCCCGCGACAAGATCCTCCGTCCTGAGACTGGATACAATGATAGAATAAGAAGTGGGCTGTCGTATTATAGTTTCGAATATCCCACCGTCCCATGACTTGTCCGCCTTCATGCGTTACGTGATCGAGCCTTTGAATTGGGGATGGCTGACGAGCGTATCCGGAATGGGTTGACACGGCAAACACATCCCGCAGTGCATGTATGTCGCACGGGCCTATGGTGTGCAACGAGACCCATATATCCTGGTGTATGTAGGCACTTACATTTCGAAAGGTTTGTTTGGAAGTGTCAAGCATTCTGTCCTTACAGGTATGTTCTTCAACAAGCATGGTCATCATCTGTCCGGTTTGCATTAACTTCCACAATCTTTGTACAAGCTTTGCCGACGCTCATTCGTGGGTACTACAAGAAGGTTGAGCCCGTCCATGCTTTTTGGGTTATCGTTGTCTGAAAGACATGTTATAGATTTGAGGGTGTGAAGCGCTCCCGTCGCCGCTTGTGCTGTCCTTTTACAGAAAGCAGCCTGCTCGCACGTGGCTTGCGAGATCGAGAGTTAAGCGTCAAGGAGTGGCTTTTCGCAAACGCGCTGTACGTAAGCAAGCGGGGACGAGGCGCGACAGAGGCTTGACTGAATCCATGAACGCCAAGTGAGCGGGCAGGAGAATACTAGCGATCCGTGAGCAGCATGGAAACGGCCATTGGAGACTTGGCTCTAGCACCATGGGCAAGCTAAAATATGGAGCAGTCGCGCTTTCTCTGCGAAGAAAGCAGCAGCAGTAGTAGCCTGGGCGATTTGGATTTTGAGAAGTGGGATCATTCGGAGGCTTCGGTGCCGATGTTGATGTCCAGCGTTATAAAAGGGAGACTATACTTTTCAAGCACTCCCGCTCAAGCAGATCCCTCAAGCGACTATCCGATCACAACTCTCACACACACAAGCAAGCACCACTCATCGCAAGCAATGTGTTCCGCAGCCCTCTTCTGTCGGTCGGTATTGACGGCTGCAGCGCTCGTAATATTTTTAGTGACGTTCTTTGTCGTAAACTATCCGGAGATCCGCCGCAGCCGCTTTGACGCTGCTAACATGACGGTCGACGAAATCGACATTGCCTCTCGCTACTGCTGCGAGCGCAGCTGCGACGACACCTGCTCAAATTCCTTCTTCGGCACTCGCTGCGACGCTATGCAGAACGCAGCGCAAGCCCTCGACCCAACAAAGTGCACCGCAAACAGCACAAACGCTGCTCTCTGCCCACTCTCCGGCCCCGCGGCAACATGCGACAACGGCGATTACTGTTGTGCGACTTGCTGCTCGACGTGCCAGAGCTGCACTACCTCATGCTCGGGGACCGGATCGTCGCAATCATGCACAACATCATGCAGTTCATACGAATGCAACTGTTACTGCTGTTCGGAAACCGCCCACCAGCAGTGTACCATGCAATGCAACCTCTGCTACGCTGTCGAGATGCATGTTGAATTCAACGACCGATGGAGGCGGAAAACCACGGCGGAATTGAGCATGGACTTCAAGCGGGATTTAAATGCCGCTCAGGTGTTTTTCAACGCCCATCTCCCAAACTCGACGTTTGTTGGGTACTACGATACGCACGACACGTCCGTCATTCTCTTGTCTCGCGACTTCACCGTCAAGCCGTGGATCGGACTTGCCTCTGCCACGCTCCCCCTGTTCTTGGCCGTCCTCATCAACACTGCCTGGGTCATCGACGTTTCCATAGATCGCGTCAAATGGCTTCGATGGGAGCTGCGGCTTACACGGTCGATCGCTCCTAGCATTCCTGTCGCCGCTTCCAGTGCAATATGGCTTGGCCTGCTCATCCCGCTGGCTGTCCTCGTTCCCGTCGAGCAACTTGGGTACATCACGCCGGCAGGCCGGACGGCGCTCACGGTCTGCATCCCGATCGTGCTGGTTGTTGGATGGATTCCGCTGGCGATTCATGGATGGAGGCGGTTCCAGCTTTTTCGAACGACGACCGCGGCCGCTCGGCCGCCTCCTCCTGCAACTTATGAAGAGTGCTCCACGGACCAGCTCCCGGCATACAGTAAGGCATAGCCTGTGTGGACCTCGGCATACGTGCTTAGTTTGTGAGCCTCCACGTATGCCGCAGACCCTCTCTCAAAGGCTGCATCGTATGTACATATCATCTTGTAACGACAGTGCGTTATTTACAATTTTATGCTTAAGCGGTTAGCCAAAGCCTCCCAGTTTGTCGCAGGCGGCCGGTAATCCATCTCAGGAATACTGTATAGCAGTTGGCGATGTTCAAAAAGTCCCCAAATCCCTTGAGCATACACCGGTCGTGTTCATGTACGCCTGGCGCACTGGGTAACGAGTTGAAATGGACATTCCTAGTTCGTCACCACCCTGTGCCCAGGCCCAGCATCAGTAACTCTCGCAAATGCTAGTCGACAGGACGCAAAACACCTGTCGGACATACAGTACGCATGGCACACATGAACAATATGTGGCCAAACTATGGTCGCTTCGGTGGGGGCACATGCCGTACATGTACGCCAGACGGCGAGACTCACAATAAGCTCCGTTTCAATCCCGTGCGAGAGATTCTACCCCACGAAGGCCTGGCGCTATAAGTATGAGGCACATCGACTCTCAGACGAGACGAAGGCGCCCATTTCGCGTCCTCCCAGTGACGCAGCTTCAAGACCTTTTGGGTTACCGGCACTCCCTCCCAGACGACGACAACGATGTTGATATGGAATAGCAGTTTATTGGCGCAAATTGCATCAGCAGTACGTATAGAATACATAGGGGCGGGAGGGAGTGGTGTTCTTGATGTACGGCGTGGGAAACTATGAAGAAAGTGAAAGGAACTACAGGTTACGTACGCAAAGTGGCAATTGAAAGTGAACTGAAAGACCCCCCCAACCAATTGTTCAATTATGAGCCACGTGATCCCACCCTCGCGTCCTTTAAACCCAAGAGATCCAAGCTTCGTTCCGGCCATCCCAGGGTCGCAATCCCCCTCAGTCTCTCCTGCTTCTCCCAACGAGATGAGCCAATTCGCTCATGCTACTCTGAACTCCAATCTGTGATTTTTGAGACGAGGGACAGGGGTTAATCGGCTATCCCGCGCAATGCGGCGCGCCATCGATAAGGTTTGCCGCTGGAGCAGCGGCGCCGGTCTCCGTTACCGACATGCCATGCATGGCATGCATATTCGTTGAAATCTCGTCGATTCACATGAAGCGATAGATAACAAGCTTGGGTGCGTCCGAACGTCTCTTAAGGCTGGCCCCGGCCGGTTGAGCGATCTGCAAAGACTTCTTTCGAGCGCCGGTGGCTGCGCATCAACGTGTGCATGAAGTCCGTGTCCCGGCGGAAAGAGACGGAGAGAGTGCATGTGCAGTGGCAGCACGTTGAAACGTTGACCCTGCAGGCCGGGAGCTGCTCTTCTCTCTCCCTCTCTCGAACTCCTGCCACGCGAAATTACACAGGAGCTTTCTTTCGTGACGCGTGAGGTGCGCAGTCTTTAACGCTGGGCTCCTGTATCCCCTTCGCTCATCTTGGCAGCCCACATTGCGCTGCACGTCTCATCACTGACCCATTCCCTAGCACCGTCCAGTCTCCCACCGTACGTCAACGTTCAGCCCTCCGCGGCTGGGCGACTCCTCTTCCCGCACTTGTATATACGTATCCTGCAGTCCGCACCAGTATCGTACGTACTGATCGCCACCACCCACCACCTATTCACACACCCACATCACCCACCCACCGTCGCCGCTCTCCCATGACGGTCCTTCGCCTCTTCACCAGCGGACGGGCAGCAGGCTATCGTGCTCTCAACCCAGCGCGATTCGCTCATTTCCGCCACATTCCATGCCATCTCCGCGGCGTTAACGGTTTCCGTCTCTTTGTCACCTCCTCCCTCCTACTCGTCGCCCTCTACTTCACATACACAACATGGGCCGTATCAGGCGTGTCAGATCGGTTTGCATTATGGGATGCCCTCGAAGCACGTAAAGAAACCCAGGCACAACCATCGAGCTGGTTCAAGAGGAACGCGACGCCGGCGCTTCCTGGTATGACGGGTCTCGGCCGCGCAGGGCGGGGCAAGAAGGCCGATACAGATCGTAAACACGCGCTAGTAACGACGGCAAAACGTAAGGCCCCTGCGACGACGTGTCTCGTCACCGTGTGGGAGAACGGGAACCTCCCCAATTACATCAAAGCCGCGCTGGACTCCTTTGGTGCCCAGGTACACCTGAAGCATGGGAGAGGAAAGACAAAGAATGGGCATGCACACGAGAGCGGGAGCGACCTCCACGATGATGAACCAACGGTGGAGATGTATTTCTTTCTGGCACCACATATGGGCCTGCGCGCGATAGCAGATCTGTATGGCGGCCAGCCGACGTGGCCGGAGAATGTGCACGCCATTGATATTGGAGAGGTGGAGCCGGAGTGGCGGGCAATGGGGTGGAATGGGTTCTTGGGCGACAGCTTGTGTCGGTTGTATGGAGAGAGAAGGGAGTCGTGGAAATGCGCGGAGCTTAAGGAGGCAATCAGGCTGGTGCATGATGGCAAGGGATCTAATTTGGGTATGTCTTACTGGCCGCCGAGGCCCCGACCGTGAAGCGGTTTGCATTCGTTTGCGGCTCATTCTCGTTGCTTCTGCCCTGACTGACTTTCTGTATCTTGACTCAATCCATAGTTCACTTGCGCGGGCTCTATGGCAACCTGTTCGCACCGTGGGTCAATTCCGAACGCTGCAAGAGCTGGGCGTGGGGTGATCTAGATACCCTCTGGGGCGACGTGGCGGGCCTGCTAGACGCCCCCTTGATTCAAGACCAAACAGACGTGTACACGCTCTCCTTTGGCGATCTCGGCTCAATATACACGCGCGGGCAATTCACCGCCTTCAACCACCACAACAACCCGCAAGTAGATTCCGCTTGGCGCATCTGCGCGGAGTTCATGTCAATGGACACCGCCATCTCATTCTTCCGCAAGTCCGGCTGGCACGCCCTCGACGAAGGCTGTACGACGACCGCCGTCCTCCACTCCGGCCACCGCCTCACTGTCCTCCCCATGCAAACCGCCGACTGGTCCGTCCAGCTGGTACGTATTGACCGCGGCGTGCTCATGGGCTGCGAGATGCGGGAAAACAACTCCACCACCCGCGCCCTCTGCCGCGACCGTATGCGCTCCATCCGCGACGCCTTGGAAGACCAGCAACTCCACGACACCGACGTCAAAGACACCCACCCCACCTCTCCCTTCCACCGCTTCCCGACCCGCACCCGCAACGTCTCCATCATCCAGCCAATCGAGGCCGCCCACCCGGGCTCCGACACCTGCATGGCGTGGGTCGACCGAAACCACCAGTATTGCGCGCATAAAGGCTTCCCATGGGAGGACGCGGGCATGTGGGTGGAGCAGGTGGAGATCGATACCCGGTTCCCGGATTTTGATCCCACTGAGGTGCATGCGGACCCGTTTGCCCCTGTGGGGAATCCGAATGAGGAGGTGGTGAGGCTATTGAGGTTTCCGTTCAGGAAGCCATTTGGGACGGGCATTTTTGAGGAGCGTGTTAATGATGCGGTCGGGCTTGCTGCGACGGCTGCGGCTGAAGATGATCCTCAATTACTACCACCGTCGTCCACCGAGGACACACCCACCGTCCGCATCCGATACTACGAATCCGTCATGTTCCACTTCCAGATGTGGAAGAAGCTCTCCGGCTTCGGGATGATTTACCCGGACGGCTGCGACGCCGTCGCACTCGCGTCGGGCGACTACGTGCTGGAGATGTATGAGAACGTCGAAACGGACGCGGAAGACCCGTTTATGAGTGTTGGGAGTGGGGCTACGCTGAGGGCATATCATGATGAGCGCATGGGGAGTAAAGGGATGAAGACGTGAGACTGCGCGAAGACGGGAAGAGTGAACTCAGTACTGAATGGCACCCGGCTTTCAGGCGAGGCGAGAAACCACTTTTTCGACTCTGGCCTCCGTCAATCTCGGCCTGTACATATCTCCGGAGACAGAGACGGGGGCGATACAGATAAAGTGACAACGCGTTCAAAGGGGAAACATGTACGCATTTGAAGTTCGTGCGCCGGCATCCCAATTATGCACATAGAAAGCTTCCCTTTGTCTTGGTTTTTAATGGTGTTTTCTTGTCCATTTATGGCCATTCTAATGTACTGTATACATATCTACATCTACCAGTTGGGCGACAGTTGGGAAGTCGCCTTGGGCCTGTTTGCTTGATGTTTGAGTGAACTTGGGCCGTGAGCGACGCTGAAAGTGGGTCGGAATGCAAAGCAGCTAACAGGCGGACATGCGGTCGACCATCTCATTCTAGGAATTCTGTACTTCCCAACTCCGGAGGTCGTCCCAACTCTGCCCGCATAACCCCTGACTACGGACAATGTTCGCCCTGCTCAACTCCCGGCCACAGCGCCGTGTCTACAACGGCTTAGACGGGCAAGCTATCACACCAGAATCCCTCAACACGCTGTCCACCGAACAACAACAACCTCCCTCACAATCAACGCCAGCAAAACCACCGCCACCATCGCCCTACTTCATCTCCCACTGCACTTCAACCACGTTCGATCTCCCCACCCACACGGCCACCCAAATTACCCTCGAACGCTGCTCCAACGGTACTGCCGTCGATTTCGCACGCGTGCTTACCACTGTCGACGTCATCCATTGCCACGACGTCCGCGTGACCGTGCGCAACGGGGCTGCTGGGACGGTGCTACTGGATGAGTGTAGTGACGTTGTGGTGTCGGTGCCCGGGGTTGTCGATGCCAATGGGGTGGTTGGAGAGGGAGGGGAGGGCAGTGGGTGGACGATCTATACGACGCGGTGTAGTGGGGTGAAGATCGGGGAGTATTTCGTGCCGGGGGATGTGGGAGGGGATGCAGGGGACGGAGACGAAGGGGAGAACCGGAGGGTGTGGAGGTTAAAGACGTGGGTGAAGGATGGGATGTGGACGACTGCGAGGGCAAATCTGTATGGGGATGTTGTGGAGCCTTTGCCCTGATGTCGGGACGGGAGATGGGAGGGTAGGTTGCGGATTTGGATAGCAGGACCACTATGGTCTGCGAGGTGCAAGCAAAGATGAGCTTGAACGCATGAGACGTGTCGCTGTGGGGCCGTGTGCTAGGTAGAGTAGGCATAGACGGAGGTCTTCCGCAACCTGAAGGTTAGCGCCTCACAAACTGAACACAATCATCTTCAACGTCAAATGCTGTCCATTGCTTTGGATCTGGGTCTGGATCCAGTAAGTGAACCATGCGGAGACGGTGAACCCGTCCTCTCCACTCCTTCACCCTTGCGTGCCACACAACCTCTACGTTCGACCCGTCTACCCCACCATCGGCACTGCTGCTTCTCCAATGGAGATTGGGTTCATGTTCACTGTATATTTATGTAGTTATCCATCCTCTGTGCCCCGTGGCACTTGTCGGGATCTGGAGACTCCGAAGCTCAAACCTCGCGTGTTCGTCGAAATGCTGTGCTGAGCAAAGAGGTGACGTCGTGCCTTCTCTCGCACGCTCCTGCGGGCATAACCTTCGACTTCTTTCGAACTCACGTTGACAGCAAGGCCTCCAACGCAGCATCATCGCCCCACATACAGCTCGTCGAACCCTGTCGCGGCACATATACAATAGTATAGACGGTCGTTGCCGGTTCTCCGAAGTGCTTCTTCTCGTCTCTGGTACATCCTCATACGCAAGCAGTGGAGAGTGATCTCCAGAGGCGACCTCCAAGTGTTGTGTCTAGCAACGACAAGCGAACTGCGAAAAAACGCATAGCTACAGGAATACTACGTGACGACTGAGGCTTGGAGCGCTGCCCGGGGAGATACAGCAGGAAAGCGCCTCGAAGGCCGAACCGTCTCCTTCCCAACTGCTACCCGCGCTCAACTTTCGCAAAGAATGCTCCGCGCGCCAGCCCCCGCGCTTCGTCCCTCCCTCAAAGCCAGCGGAAGGATCGAAACGCAAAGAATTTCGAACGCTGCAGCCACAACGACGAAGAGAACGCATCGATATCAGCAGTGCCGATGCTACAACCTCTTGAGAAACAACGCGGCGGGCACAAGGGGAGCGCATGGGCGGAACGCAGTGCTGCTGACCTTGTTTGGCGGGGTGGCCATGCTTGCTTGGAAGAGGCCAAGAGCGTTGAACACAGAGCAGGGAAGTGGATCCTGGGAGGAGAAGGTCCGACGGTTTAGCGAGCAGGCGAGGGAACATGCTTCGAAAGATGCACCAAAGAATTCCCCGCAGCCGCCGCCACCGCCTGAAACGAAAGCAGATGATATCGACTTGACCAACCCATCGACAGCCTCAGCCCTGGAAGATTTCTCCAAGAAGTTCCTCAATCTGTCCTCCGTGCGCGCCGTGCAGGACCTCGCCGAACAATCCGCCCAACTCCTGAACGATACCACCCAAACGTTCGAGAAATCCATCACAGACCGCGTACCATCCGCCACTGAGATTGGCAAGCAGATCGATGACCTAGCAGGCTCGCTGGCCAAACTGCGGTTGCTGTCGGACAAGATACCGTCGGGGACAGAGTTCACCGACCAGGTTGCGACGCTTTGGTCGGATGTTGTACAGAACTCTCTGGAGAAGCTAGTCGAGGGAACTACCATCGAGAGCTTGCAGCATGCAATCAAGGATAAGGACGCCTACCCGGAAATAGAGTGGGACGCAACAGTGCGGGTCGGGGAAGCCCTCACTGAAGCCGAGACACAGTTCCTCGCCGAACGCCGTGAACGCGTCGCCAGGGCCGTCTCAGCCTTCCTCAACGAAGAGGTCGACCCACGCGACGTCCCTGTCATCGGCATCGCCTCCAGCGGCGGCGGCTGTCGCGCTATGATCGCCTCCCTCGCGACCTTCGAAACCTTCGACCGTGTCGGCCTCCTCCGCGGGACAACCTACATCGCCGGCGTGTCCGGATCCACATGGGCCATGTCGAGTCTGTACTCCGTCGGTCGCGACTGGGACGCTCTCCGCGATCGTCTGCAGAAGCAGTTGTCCGACAACTACCTCAGCGTTCGCGACCTCGTCAATGCGATTAACAGCCCGGACGGACCGCAGGTGCTTATGGGGATGGCGCAGAAATATTTCGGGGACAGGAGCTTCTCCACTGTCGATCTCTACGGGACTTTACTCTCCGCACGAGTGTTCCTGCCGCAGGTGGCCCGCGCCATTTCGGAAAACGGTAAGGAGAACCAGAAGCAGCAACGTTACGCGAACGACGATAGCAGAGCAGCCGGGAACATACATCACGGCCCGCAACGAAACTTCGGCAAACTCTCCGACCAACGCTGGGCCATGACCTACGAAGACCTGCCTCTCCCCATCTATACCGCCGTCTCCCACGAGGTTGGCAAAAAGGAAGCGAAATACCAATGGTGGGAATTCACCCCGTTCGAAGTCGGATTTCAGAAAATGCTTCCGAGCCAACAACGCCTGTTCAGCGCATGGGTCCCCACATGGAGCTTTGGACGACAGTTCGAGAAAGGGGAGAGTGTCGAACGGCTGCCTGAGATTAGTCTGGGACTGCTGTTGGGAACTTTTGGATCGGCGTTCACGGCGTCCGTGGCTGCGATTTGGAATGAGTTCCAGGATGTATTGCCCAAAACATTGCAACAAAGGATACTGCCCCTACTGGAGGACATCTCGCAGGTGCACCCCATCTCCCCCGCGACGTTCCCGAACCCGTTATACCACCTCCGCCGGCCGGAATCCGTGTCTCGCAATCCATCCTTAATGAAGCACTCCAACAGCCACTCTCTCACCAGCGACATCCCTACGAAGCCCGACGACACAGACGACGACCTCGCCATCCTAAATGCTCCTACATTAGCGCTCATGGACGCCGGCTTCGAGAACAACATTCCGTTCGCGCCCCTCCTCCGTCAGGAACGACAGGTCGACCTCGTCATAGCTGTCGATGCGAGCATGGATGTGGGTGTGGACCCTTGGCTGAGGAAGGCGGAGAAGTATGCGAAGGAGAGGGGGGTTGTCTTTCCCCCGTTACCGCTGCCTGAGACTGGTGATGCAAAGGGGAAGGAGGTGACAGATGATGCGGAGGCCAGATGTCGGATCTTTTCTACCATTAAGGACGCGGCGCATATCAACACTCGGTCGCCAGAAACACACCGGCAAGCGCCTTCTGACCAATCCCACGCGCCACCACCACTATCCCATGATTTCACCCTGATCTACCTCCCCCTTCTTCGCAACCCAACCTACTCCGCGACCCTCGACCCGCAACGCACCGAATGGTGCGCAACCCATAATTTCACCTTCACACCCTCGCAAACAGCACAACTCGCTGGGCTGGCGAACGCGAATGTCGAGGAAAGTTTGGAACGAATCAGGGACGCCGTGAGGAGAGCGTGGAGGGCGAAACGGGCGCGGAGAGAGAGGAGGGAGCGCGAGAGGTGGGGAAGGAAGATGGAGGATGGGCCTGCCGAGGAGTTCTGAGGGGACACGATCACCCCAACATTGCACCCGGCTACGTAACACTCACAACAAGTTTTATAGCGAACTATTTGCTATCCACACATCGCGCAGTCATCGAGCTTCCTCGAGCTGGAACTCCTCGGTTGCGTGCTCTATCATCGTCACCATACGTGTTCCGTACATATCCTGGATACGGTGCACACATCCTCAAATCCACACGACCATCGGAGCTTCAAATATTGTATTAGTACCAGCATTATACATAGCACGCACATGTAGATAGTCTCTCTCAAATTTGTCACAGGCATCAATCACTCACTCAAATCCCTCCTACATCAAATCAATAAGGTCGGTTGAAGCCATTGTCCCTTGCTCCAATATGCCTACCATTCGCAGCTTGCTGCAGCCAGGCAAGCTGCCAAGGCACACCTTGACTTGAGGCGTCCCCGCAATGGCTTAACAAAGTGGCGCCGAGTCTTGTTCATTACAAGGCAGACACTGTCCACCTGCACCTCTATCAGCTGTGCAACAAAGACCAGCTCGTTCTGGCCACAATCCAGACGTACTCCAAAAGCTTGACACAAAAGGACGAAATTCATCACAAATCGACGACCTCGTCGCTAAACATATCACTTTCAAATATATCCGTGTTGTCCATCTTTGATGCCCATTTCTCTTCAACCGAAGCTTCGGTGTTTGTAGTGCCGATGTACGTTGCGCTTCGTGATGCAAGAGTGTCCACGATATCGTCCAATTCAACCGATGCGGAGACAACTGAACAAGCGCCGGTCGGAAGGTGAAGCTGCACCAGGCCATACTTTGCATCCAGCGCCAGCACATAACGTCGGTCTTTTCGCTGATACTCGCCAAAAATGGCGATGATATTTTTGAATGCCGGGCGCATCTCCCGCATTCGGAGCTGACTCAGTTCTCCCTGACTGTGCTCGTTGGTGAAGGGGTTTGATAACTCGACCAGCTCTGAGCCCAGTCGTTCAAGTCCGCGATTGATCGCATTCTCGATGTTGCCCAAAGGTATAAGCTTCGGAAGCGAGTCAAACTGCCCTTGTCTTCGATCCACAAGGAGGTGCAAGGGTGTCGCGCACTGATCCCGCCCATCACACCTTTGCAGGTCGTGCATGGTGGCTGATGTTCCGGTGGCACAAGGGTTCTGGGTTCGATGAACGATTGAAAACTCCATGCCCAGCATAAGATCTCGACCGGCTTCGCCGTTTATTTGTAAATTAAGACCATCAATACAAAAGCTGGGCGGGTCAAATGTGTGACTGACTGACCTTGTCCTCCTCGGTAGGTAATGTGCTGAGACTCAGAGCGAGAGTTGCCCCTTCGGCACACCAACCGACCGGGTTCGCGAATATTGGGAGATCTATTTCCTTCAGCCAAGGGTGGTATTTGAGAAGCGTTGCGAGTTGGAGATTGCTGTCGTCCTCCGCCGTTGAACTGTCGCCCCGGTTTCGCCTGCTCAACCCAAAATGGACCCGAAAACTGGAAGCTGTCTTCGGAAACGCCCAGGGTGGTGTAAAACATTTCGAAATGCCAAAATGTGCGAGCTGCTGCCCAATTTGCACTATTGACGACGCGTGAGTTTGGCGAGTCGGACAAGTATCGCACATTTGGCGATACAAAGTCCGAACGACCTTCAACCCCTACACATAACTTGGTTCTCAATATAAGCCCAATCCAACCAATGAACCCCAAGTACTTCCAAACAGCAAGGGGTCTTGGGGGCCCTGCAGTCTCTTTCCATGGGGGTGTTTTCATTCCCGAGATGAGGACAGCAAGCGAGGATAGCTGCAGGTAAACTATGTCCGAACCTCGTTCACTTCACAAGTCATCCCATTTACGATCCCTGTTGCAGACTGTACGATCCCAGCAGTCTGTTAGAAGCCCTGGGAGTCCCGAAGCTTTGGGGCCGATGTGAGAAAGGACCCACGATGTTTGTAAAAGCAATGTGCTATGGGGAGACACAGAGCACATTGAAAACCTTATGTTCAGCCAATGGAATCAAGGAGGTCCTTATAATGCATGGGAAAGCTGTTGTTTGCTCCATTTGAGCTCAGGGTCGTGTCACCACTGCACTTCTTTGCCTTCTGAGTTCAATCGGTGAATCAGCTGAAGGTAGAGAGGACGACCCAGCTGTTGACATGAAGAGTGGTTCGGACACCATCGGGAGTGGTTCGGAGAACATTTGGAGTGGAAATCGCGGACGTACCAATCGTCACAGGACGTCAATACAACACTTCTAGACGATTCAAATAGCCTTCAGGACGTCCAGGACAACGTCCATCGCAACTCCTGAAGCCCCTAGTGCGCTATAGTCGAAAAGCGCCGACCTCTAGGTTATTTACCTAGTGGAACGACCGACACGTCGCAACCACCTCGCTTTTCGCACCTGGATGGTTAAACAAACCTCTGTAACTCGAAGTTTGCCATCCACATCTTACTCTTTCGGTATATCAACCCCTTGAGAGTACTCGTTCAACGGTCGACACGTAGTCGACATAAACGCGTGTTCACTAGTAGCCAATTAGTAACCCGTTTGCGGATCGGAAATCTACCCCAGTAATTCGATCCCCTTCAAACTCGGAAACCTCGTAGAGCACACTGAGCTTGAAAACTTGTGAAAGTTTGAAAGCGATTCGACCTTCGGATACGGAGATATCGAAAAACGCGCTAAATCGTCGCCACCATAACCTCCGGATAGCAAAACTATCACAGTTTTGACCAAAACGACCCCCGAGAAGGTTCTTCCTGATCTGGAGAATTACCTTGAATTTACCTGCACGATCCCAGCAGTCTGTTAGAAGCCCTGGGAGTCCCGAAGCTTTGGGGCCGATGTGAGAAAGGACCCACGATGTTTGTAAAAGCAATGTGCTATGGGGAGACACAGAGCACATTGAAAACCTTATGTTCAGCCAATGGAATCAAGGAGGTCCTTATAATGCATGGGAAAGCTGTTGTTTGCTCCATTTGAGCTCAGGGTCGTGTCACCCCTGCACTTCTTTGCCTTCTGAGTTCAATCGGTGAATCAGCTGAAGGTAGAGAGGACGACCCAGCTGTTGACATGAAGAGTGGTTCGGACACCATCGGGAGTGGTTCGGAGAACATTTGGAGTGGAAATCGCGGACGTACCAATCGTCACAGGACGTCAATACAACACTTCTAGACGATTCAAATAGCCTTCAGGACGTCCAGGACAACGTCCATCGCAACTCCTGAAGCCCCTAGTGCGCTATAGTCGAAAAGCGCCGACCTCTAGGTTATTTACCTAGTGGAACGACCGACACGTCGCAACCACCTCGCTTTTCGCACCTGGATGGTTAAACAAACCTCTGTAACTCGAAGTTTGCCATCCACATCTTACTCTTTCGGTATATCAACCCCTTGAGAGTACTCGTTCAACGGTCGACACGTAGTCGACATAAACGCGTGTTCACTAGTAGCCAATTAGTAACCCGTTTGCGGATCGGAAATCTACCCCAGTAATTCGATCCCCTTCAAACTCGGAAACCTCGTAGAGCACACTGAGCTTGAAAACTTGTGAAAGTTTGAAAGCGATTCGACCTACGGATACGGAGATATCGAAAAACGCGCTAAATCGTCGCCACCATAACCTCCGGATAGCAAAACTATCACAGTTTTGACCAAAACGACCCCCAAGAAGGTTCTTCCTGATCTGGAGAATTACCTTGAATTTACCTGAACGTTTTGGGATTTTTGAATCACTGCAAAACTAGTTATCTGTCAACGCCTTCGTCGTTAATTCGATACTTAAGCGAAAACGGGCGGATAGAAAAAGTCTTTCAGTTTTGGGACAGAGCTTAGCCGTTAGGGTTCTTCTTAATCCTCTCAAAGGCCTCTTTAAACTGATAGCTTCAGATTCGGTTCAGTATCAACGCAGCCAAAACCCGCCGACATCGGACACGGTGGATTTTGGGGATTTTTCGCTCAAAAAGAGGGAAAATCTATGCCCGAATTTTGGTTATTGCATAAGGCATATACCTGATTCGAAAACGTAGTTGTTTGTGTGTATTTGCTCGAGGTACTGAGCTATGCAACATCAACGGAGTACTTCTGTCCGCATTCTGGACGTATTCATCGCTGTTTGAGGTTATCTGACCTGAAAACGAGATTACACTGGCCAGAAGGTTGTCATGAGTACATCAACGGGTAGTATAGTTACCGGGAGTGAGGAAACTACTCCTGGAGGCACGGCTGTTATTACTGAGATCGTTGAGGAGCCGGAGACTTCAGTGGACCAACCTCGTGTTGAAGTTCGCCTTCCTCCTCGAACGACGGGCCCTGCTCCATTGGAGGGCATCCAGGTCGGTGGACCTCCTCCTGCTCACCCGCCCGCTATGGCTATGTTGACGATCTCCGTCAAGGAGCTTGATGCCCGAATGAAGGCTGCTGCGGCTGCCGCTCAAGCAGAAGTTTGCGATCAACATGCCGAGGAACATCAGGCTCAACAGGATCGTTTGCGAGCTACGTTGGAGCGTGACTCCGCAATGCGCCGTGATGTGCTGCAGGATGGGTTGGTGGATCCATTCTATATCGAGCAGCGTAGACACTATGGTACATGGATCTCGCAGCATCCGTTCAATGGCAAACAGCGTGAGGCCGCTTTTGTCGACACGTTTTTGCAGAAACATACCGACTTCATGGTTACTTTTGGTCGTCCGATTGACCGCTTTAAGTACATGCAGAAGGTCTCGAGCTCGCTTGAAGGCGACGCACGTACCTGGTTCGACACCGCATGCAGGCTTGACATGCGGAAGGAGGATTTTGAAACGGCTTTCAAGTTCGCCTTTTATCCTACGAAAGCGAAAACCAACGCGCTCAATACCCTGCACCGAATGTCCTTTCATAGGTCGATGGATTCGTATGTGATGGAGTTCAAACGTATCGTTGCTGAGGCACAGCGCAACCTGGAGGTTATCACTCCTGACGATTTGAATAACCTGTTCCTTCGTGGTCTTACTCGTGATAAGACCAATACCGTAGGCTATGAGATCGCCCAGTCGTTATTGCATACGATGGTCGATTATAGGGACCAACACCCTTTGCTCGCATTTCCATTGATTCGTTTGATGGATCGTGCGCTTAGTTCGTTTGCTGTACCTTGTCTCGCCAATAAGGGAACCGACGCGAACGATAAAGCGGTTGCTTCTGGTAGTAGTGCGCCTAAACGTGCTAATGTCTCTTCTGCCGCAGGTACTGCGGGCAAGAAGGGGGGGAAAGCTAAGAAGGCGGAAGCTGCTAAACCTTACGCACGCCCTGACTTCTCCAACATGAAGTGTTTCGATTGTGGCGAGATGGGTCATCGTGCGCAAGATTGTCCTAAAAAGAAGAAGGATAAGAAGTCCGACGAGGCTAAGGATAAGCCGCGTTGGGACGCTGGTCAGAAAAAGGGTTTTCAGTAGAGACGTTTAATAAAGACACCGTTTATTCGTCTCATTGTGCAATGGTGTCCATCGAAGAGGAATTTGAGGCTATACGCCCTGAGTCCGCTGATGGTATACTGGTTGATTGTGGCAATACGTCTGCTGCGGGGGCGCGTCTGTGCCGGCCAGATGACACTGAAACCGTTTTGAAGACTAGGCCTGAAGCACTGCAATTTCAACCCGATGCGTTGATCGCACGATGTGCATTTGTAGTTCATGGCAAGTTGAATGGCAAGTTTTGTCGTATTCTGATCGATACGGGATGTACAACACTGATGGTACATCAGGGATGGGTGTCGAAACATGCTTTCCAAACCTATAACCCTAAAATGCCCATTGATGTCGCCTGGGGCGACGACGGCCATACATTCAACGCCAACAAGGTATTTTGTGGCAATCTACAGTTGTGGGGAGATGGACGACACTATTCCAGAGAACAGCTTCCATTTGTGGTTGCTCCTCTGCGGGTAGATGTTATTCTCGGATTGCCATGGATCTATATGCTTGACAATAATCGTTTCGAGCACATAGAGGATGAGATTCCTGTTCTACGATTCCGTGCAAATGAAGTTGAACATACCCTGGGTGCCAGACCAGTAACTAGGAAATGGGAATCCCAGTCGTCCTGTAATGCGGCCGATCTGCGGTCCTTTGACACCAGAAAGAAGTCTAAACGATTCAAGGCGGCGATGCCTGAACGAGAAGACCCGAGTGCAGGGGTTGTAACTTATCAGAAGGTCACTCGCTTATCTCGAAAAAAGGTGTATGGGAAGTGTTACATAGCGTACGCTATGGACATAGAAGCTGCAGTGAATGCGTCACCAGCTTATGTCCCCGCAGATGAGCGCAATCGCGCCGAACCAGAGCCAGAGGTTCAAATGAGCGAAGTTACAGGCCAGAAGGTTGATTTAAGCGTGCCATCGGATCACCTTCTATATCCAACGTTGGAGAAGTGCGTGGATAGTTTGTTTGTCGAGCACGAGAGTTGCCGCCCGATAGGGGAGAGGATAACTTTTGTATCGAGCTGGAGCCTGGTACGAAACCAGTCTTTAATCCCTTACGACATATGAGCGAAGCCAAACTCAAAGAGCTAAATGAGAAGGTTA